TATGGCAAAGGCGTGCACTTGATCCCGTGCTCTGAGACAATCACCGCAGAAGGGGTAGCCGATATCCACTACAAAGAAATCTATCGATTACACGGCATCCCTGAACGATTCGTCTCAGACCGCGGGCCCCAGTTCAGTGCACGTGTTATGCGAGCGCTGCTCAAAAGGTTGGACATAAAAGCAGGCATTACAACGGCATACCATCCTCAAGCCGATGGCCAGACAGAGCGCAAGAACAAGGACGTCAGCACGTACCTGCGCATGTTTGTGAGACCCCATGTGGCAGCGGTCTATGGTATGCAACGATGAATGACAGGGGATTATGTGACGTATCAAGTGAATAATGACAGGTGATCACCGTCAGGCTTCAGGGCACAATGTCTACCGAACGCCAGACACAACCCCCTGAAAACAGACGAAGCCCTCACGAGAAACACCGCTGGTCTATTCCTAGCTTATTCGGCCAGATTGTTGAAGTCCCAGGCCTTGTCTCCCCGGCGTTCGAATGATGCACCGGACCGGTCTCGACTCCCCGTCACCGGGTCAGTCCGGACCCCTCACTGGACTTCAAAGCTTCAGCGCTTACTTTCTGTGACTGACTATCTCGGCATGCTAGTATACTGCCTCTCTCTCTCTCTCTCAGCAGTGACGTAGACTCGCGTTGTTATCGATACAACAGTGCACAATTTTGGCTCTACTTTATTTACATGCAAGAAAAGTGTCTCAGAGATGCACTATACCCCGGACTCCGACCTTCGGATGAAGCGACCTTAGATCCAATGATTAGATCCTACACTTGCTGAAAGAACGACGACATACCATTCGCATCGACTAAGTGCATAGGGTATGTGATCACCCCTGCGCCCTCCAGCCTCCGAAGATATCCCACGCGCAGAGCGAGGTCAGGCTTGTGCTCCCTTGCTTGGACTGCAGTCAAGGCCGGCGGCATGGCGCCGGTACAGGGACCGTTAGAACCTTTCTCCCAGAAACACGGCAGGCACGCTTTTGCGCCTCGCCAGTAACAATGTCGGTCTAACCTCTCACATACCGTGCATCGCACCTGGTGAGTCTTTAGCTAAAGGGTTGGCCGATGGCTAGACCGTGAACAAAACTTGCCTGAAACTGTGCTGCGTGTCCGTTTGCGTCTACAGGACAACCGTGCATTTCCGGGTGCTCCCAGATCAAGACATCTGGGACGGGTTGCCCCGACGGCCATCTGAAGAGATCCTCAGCGAGCTGCTTGAGATCATCAATGCGCCAAGTAATCTCCGGCTGGAAATCGCGCGGGGCAAGCCAAGGCGACCTCAAAGTCCTGTCAGCTCTGACGGCTGCATCGCTAACCACCAGCGGCATAGTGGGCGACGAGTTCAGTCCGACGCTAAGTCCGGTACTGGCGATGCGTGCTTCAGCTTCGGCGGTCGAGCCGGCGTCGAAGCTCGAAGGACCTCGACTGACGACGCGAGTGGAGTTTATCTGGAACGAAGGCAGAGGCGTCTGCTCGCGTCGCTTCGCAAATAATCGCAGAACGCCGTCATAGATGTCCTTTCGAAGGATGACACAGACGCTAGACAGCACATCTACCAGAAATTGAGCAATCTTGGTGAGAGTAAGAACGCCGGCTACTCACCGGCCGCGAGCCACCATTGCAGAGGACCGAGCTCACGGCTCTCGAGTAAAGCAAGGGATTCCACTTGTGCTTCCCCTGTCGCGCTCCTTAACGCGCTTATTCCGTCCAACATGTCACCAAGTCGCTTGTCGGGACCGAAACTTTGCATGAGGTCGACATCCAGGGAAGGTGCGTGAATTATTGTTAGAGCCTGTGGATGTGTTAATGTTGCACAGAAGGAAACGCAGGGTCCACGCACTTGCTCAACCGAAAGGAGTTCCCACAGAAGCTGCATATTCCCGGCATGAACGCCTGAAGATTCGGACGGAAGAGCGAGCAGGACATCCAGCGCCGAGAGCAAGCGGAGCAACGAAACCGCCGCCGCTGACTGGTGATCGCCTTGGTAAAAGCTGTTGAGCTCAGTGCGGAGCAATGAAGATGTAACCAGATCGTCCATAGAGCCAAAACCGCATGCCCTGCGAGCGCACTGGTCTAGATTGGGGCTTGTGGAAGAGACGGGCTGTGGTACGGCGGGGTCCATGGTGGTAGGGAAGGCGTTCAACGGGGAACAGAAGCGAAGAAAACTGATGTGACATGTGACGATGAATCAGCGGAGACGTTGGTTCTATCACGCCTCTGTAGCACCGGCCACGGGAATTTCTCTGAGTCACGATCATTAACGTAACGGCCCCTAGCACATTGCCTCCGTGTCTATAGATGCAATAATTCTAGCATGCAGCTATCGCCGGATCCACCACCGGAAACCAGGCGGTGAGAGACCGGCGCTCACGGGCTGTCCACGAGGACCGCGGGTCGCATGCAGGTGATATCGAGTGCTTGGTGATGCCGTAGTTCTAGAGCGTTACAGGAGCTTAACATTATTGGACGCAGATGCCACGGCCGTACAGAAAACTATGAAATTGACCGGGAAGCTATTCTAGTAGGCCAGAACAGGCGATATATCCAAGCGAGACGCCAATATGAAATCGTGCGCACGCTGGGGATCGTTGAGATCGGTATTGTCAACGTCCTCAATTAGCAAATAGAACTCCGGGTCGATATAACCAAGTTTAGCCATGTCCCCGTGAGTGACTCCGCCTATATACGTCAACATGAGCTTTGAGTGGATACGGCGGAAAGGAGACATATTACTGATAAGCTGGTCGTCGGCGTACACGATGTCCGTATGATTGGTTGCTACAAACCACCAATCGTGCGGCATATTTTTCAGCTGTTGCTTAAGCCTATCAAAGACTAAGTAATCCATACGCCACATGTCATGGTCAAACCGAAGATGAGCTCACAAGTCGGCATTCTGGACCTTGCCCGCGGCAATTGCGTCGTGTAAGTGACCAACTGACCAGAGGGGCACGGTGTTTATCTTAGTCGATCGTGAGCGGCCAGAGTTCGGGTATGCGACGAAGAAACCCACCGCCTTCGTCTTGACGCCTTTGACCAGCGTGAAGAACACCAGATCAATAACAGCGAGCCACTTCTCCCCGAAGTCATTCTTTACCAATATCCTGGCATTAAACATGATGAACCGCGCACGCCGCCGTTAAGAGCAGACCTACAAATGACCCTGTTTGGGTCGCCTGTCAGGCGTCCGGTCCCCAAAGCAATCGTGGGAGCGAAATAAGCCGGCGTCGTCCTTTTCCATGCTGTATATAATGGAAGAGACCCATCATGAACCCACCTCCGCCATGACTGGGAAGCATGCTTACAAGTATCCTTGAAGCAGAAGCGCTGGATCGTGCCGCAGTGACACCATGCGCAAGTGCTCGGGTCGCCTTGACATAGAAGGACAGATTGAAGATTGAACTAGAGAAAAGCGACAGCAGCGGTGGTGGTGGTAGCTGGAAGAGCCGGCGCGCATGACGCCGCGGTGATGGGAGCTCGTGTCACGTGTCTGACCCGGCGGCCGTTGCGCACGACAGAGCCAGCCTGGTCATCGCGCGCCAGGCGGAGCGCAGACTTAGCACATAGACGCCGAGCCAATGAGCTATATCACAGTACAATGAGCTATATCACAGTAACGAACGCATATCCACGTCGCACATGCGTCGCCGCGAGCATCGTAGAAGACTAGGGGAATAGCGCTACGTAGCGCGACCGGTCCCAGACAAAGGCCCGGATCTGTCGCAATAGGCGGGTATGCCGTATCACCAGCTTTGCCGCACGCGGGTACGGCGTTTGCTTTCCGAGCATTGGCCGTCGCGAGGCGTTCGGATATCACCGGCAACACACCGGCCGGAAGAAGGCGACACGTGGCATCGGCATCTGTGCCTAAAGACAGGATGACGTTCGCTCGCCATCGAACTTTAAGTAAAAGACAGCGCGCGTAGCCCTCCGCTTTCATAGTTGGGTGCTTAGTAGGGCACTGGGGCGGATTGTATTGAGTCTAGTTCGCCGCCAATAGAGTCGGAGCGGCCGGGAAACGAAACGCCGACTAGTGTGAAAGATCACCGATACTCTTGTGACCAGCCTAGCTTCCCAGGCTCGTGAGAAGGTCAGCTACGTCATGTACGTCTGACCTGATGGGCGCTCCCGAAGGTAAACCGTGAACGTATCGCTGGCAAACTCCGCGCATCCTTGATTACGGTTGCCAGGTAGCAAGGTCTACTCTTCGCTCCTCACAACAATGGCACCCACACACGTCCAAATCTCTGACAGAAATCTGCCCGTGGAGTACGCTAGAGCTGCATCGATGGTTCGCGGCATTAGCAACTCGGCACCTACGGACTTGGGCCCGCTCATCCATCTGTTAGAAGCTTTCAAATCGCTTCCCGACAACCGGGTTCTGCGGCCGCGAGCACCTCAATACCCCTGCAAGGCAACGTTAGAGGTACTGGTGACTTACGCCATCGAACACATACATGGGAAGTCTCTGGAATGGGAGGTGCGCTGTGTCGTGTACATCACTACGTATTCCAAACGCTAATGCCGTGACTCGGACACTGAATACATAGGTCGTAGCATGCGCCTTGCCAGTTGCGCTTACTCTGTACGAGCTTTATAGTATGCGTGTCGACGCTCTTTCGGCATACAACTCTACAGTATCCGAGACTCCTGGAACCTTCCACCCTCCCGCAAACATCGCGCAAAATGTCGCATCAATAGACCTGTACAGTTCGGAGGAGCGGATCCGGCTTCTACGGCCATTGGACGCTCTTATCAGCTATTTTTACAGCGCTCTCAATCGTGGTGCTCTCAACAATGCTGTGCTTCCGTACGTCATCAATTTCGCGTACAAAGTAGCATCGCAGTATGGCCCAGCTTGCGAGTTCGTAGCCACAACATCGTCTGATACCTTCTCCATGCTAACAGAACCCATTCAGGCTCAGTGAAGAGACAAGCGCGGCGTTCTTGCTTGGATTGATTCGCCCTGGCTCTCACAAGCTCCTAGCGTTTGTACTTCTGGCCATGGAGTACGACTTTCCGGAAGACGCCATCGGTCCCTGCGACGTTCTGCGTTGGGCTGAAGCGGCGACTACTCCTCACGAAGCTGCCACAGAACAAGGCAACTATATTCGCCGTATGTTTAGCTCGAATAGATTCAATCGCGCGCGCTTCCTCGCTCTGCCTGCGCAAAGCCAACTGGCCATCCGGAGGTCCCCTTACGATGCGTGGCCTACCTATCGAGGATGTTGCCTAGACTGCGGAGCCTCGGGCGCGCGCTACACGTGCACGCGTTGTACCCGCGTATCTTACTGCAACGCTGACTGCCAGAAGAGGTCAGTCGCAGCGCGATCGATATCCAGGGTCATCGCTCATTTCCTACAGGCATTGGGATGCTTCGCATAAAGTAGCGTGCGCCATGTACCGTTTTACGAGCTCTTAGACTTGATTGCGTGTTGTATTACCCTGTGGTAAATATAGCCCTTGTGCGTATATCTTGGTTTCAATTGGGACTATCGCTTGGCAGTCTTGTTTGTGTAGAAAAAAATTCCCGTGAGCCGGCGTTATATATGTTGTCTTCTCAGCCCCTCGCGAGGCGTCCAGCCGCCAGCATATAATTATGCCAGACGAACTATGGCCGGTGCTCAGGTCATTTTCACCGCGAGGCGGATGATCCGCGACTGAAATTGATTCGCCGCAGGTCGGGTTCGCGAACAAGGTATACGGCACAAAGCACATTTCACCCTTGAATGATATCGCGCGTAGTGTATAATTTGAATCAGATGAGTTCGCCGATACATGTAAAAGTCATCTACTGGGAGGCCTCAGGAGGGGGGAGGACACGAGGAAGAAATCTGTACGTTGAGCAGGCTGGCTTGTGCGAATGCCGCCAGTGCCTGCTAAGAACATCAGTAATAGATCTAATGCCAGTACTTAGGAGCACGCACGTCTTTTGACAGCCCCGGCTGCAGTACCTGATACGTTGACATGCCCCACACACCTTCGTGCTATCCTGGCCACACCAGATACAAAGCCTCTGAAGCTCCGGCCATATTTCAGTAGGCGGACGAATAGCCACCCTGGTTGGTATGGGTAGCGCTTCAAACCGACCGAGAGGGACCGTGGAGTGGCCAAATAGGCTGGCAATATAGAGCGACTGGACAAAAGCGCCTGAAAGTGCCGGCGTTATCTGAAAAGCAATGTTGAGGGTTTCGATCTTGTTTTGGAGGTCCGAATTGGTCTTCCAGTTGACTGCGGCTAGAATAAACGCCAGACGCTTGTCCGCGGCCAAGCTATGTTGCCTGACCTGGGACAAGAACTCCTCTCGATCTTGCCCGCTCTCTCTATAGAGTGGTCAGCGGTGCTTGAGTATCCCAAAGACGATGCAAGTATCGGAAGGAGAACGCACGTAAGACGGTGTACAAGAGTCGATGTGACACTGAAGCACAGGTTGGAAACATTGACTACCCAGTCATAGTCCATCCCATGCCCCATCCCAGGATACCCGCGATCCTGCATCCAGACGAAGTACAGTTGGCTCACGACGAGATCGACGGGGCCGAGTTCTTCGGCAATATCACGCCCTAACCGGAGATCGTCTTGTGGGTAAATCGCGCTAGCAAATGATGCGCCCGAGCGCATCGTGCGGCCCCATATCTCCCGGCCCAGGGCCTGAAACCGTAAGCTATGCAAAAAATAAACAAGCCAGATCGACTGCATGGCTCGCGCAAACGACTGCGAGAACATATGTATCAATAACGAGCCTACATCATCTTCGAGGAGGGGAATAAACACACGGAGATATCGCTCCTCGACGCGAACAAGGAGAGTCCAAAAATGGCCGGCCAAGATAGCTCCCTCAATGCGTCCCTGGAAGGGAATGCACGGATGGGAGGAAGTGTTCCCGAATCGTCTATTTTGTCCAGTATATCGATGATGGGCCCGATGTTGTCCCCTTTATGTAGCAAAATTATGCGCAGATAGCCGACGCAGACGTCGGCCTTCTGCTTGTTCCAGCGAAAGGGCGCGAGCTGAACTGGGACCATGGTTGAAACAGACAAGCAGGAACAACGCCGCGCGGGTCCACGTCACATTCGCGCCGGCCGGCCCTTGACCGCCGAGTTGCTCGCGCGTTCGCACCGGGCTGCCGGTTGCAAACCGTCCTCGAATTTTCATCACACGACCCGTGTTACCCTCACGACGGACGCGGCGACCCTTCGAATCAGGCGCCAGCCTGAAACCAAACCTATGTCGGAACGGGTCGGCGCCGGCATAGACGCCTCAGGCGTCTGTTCGACAAACGGAAGTTGCAGAGCGAGCCCCAATAGACCCAATCGCCTCACAAGCTCCTGGACCGGCGTTGATGCCGGACTTGCTCCGCTCTCAATTAGGTCACCCCGCAAGCAGGGCAGGTTCCTTCTATCATATTCATCACAGAGTCGCGTTTTCTCCCGCGGTCGAGACAAGACCGTCTTGAGTCTCCGTAGGTATGAGGTAATCACATATATGTCCAAACGAAGGCAGGCCTATGACACAGCAATCGCGCGACACTACTTCACCAGTCAGACAACGTCTCCTTCGCTTCGGATCATGGCCGGCATCAAAATACTGTTCAGATATGACACGCTACACATAATTCGGAGCGTGCATGACAAGGAGAAGCGGCTGAAAGGCCCGCGAGGAGGTTGACTCATTCGTCATGCGCGTCCACACCGCCGGAGAGACCTGGCGCAGCATACAATAAGCGCCGGTCACGCCTTTGATGAAGACGAAGCGTACCGGCGTTGCTCATGAATTCGAACGCGTGCTTCAGCCCTTGCTTAAGCGAGATGTCCATAGCTCTCATTTCGAAGCGCAAAATGTCTTGCATCGCTTGTATATCTTCCTTCAGAGGTTCAAGAGCTGGCATTGGCTGCTCAGTGGACAACGACGACTGCAGCGTGCTATTGATAGTCTGCAGCTGCATCTCCAAGCGCAGCATTGCATGGTCGAAGGTGTCCCGGAGCTCCCGTATCGCTTTGGCTATAGAGATGTTTAGCATCGTCGTTCGGAGTCGGCTGGCTGAGACCCTTACCGGCTTCGAGCGCGCCAACCGCGGGTTCGCTAGTGCTGGCGATGGCGGAGGACATGGAAAAATGCGGAAACGTACTAAACACGCTCGGCATATTTATAGGCAAGGTATGCTTGATTCCCACGTAGGAAAATCTAGACGGCGTCGGGATAGTTCGCGTTAACGGATCGAAGTTCAGCGGAACCTGGTCGATTGCCTTCGATGCCTCCTGTCTATCGCGGGGATAACACTGAGAAACAGGAGAGGTCACCGGTTATTGACGACGGCAAAACACCATCGCGCACGCATATAGTTCATCCGCTAAGCCTCGCGGAAACCTTGAACTTGCCTCCTGACAAATAGGACGCGGTGCGGTGCTGGTCCGTTCACCCAGACCTAGCGCGGGCCCCGCGTGAAGTCAGGCCGCTGCATCGCCGCCCAGAAACCATCTCCGCATGTGTGATCCGCGCTCCGCAGGGACAGCATCTCGCTGCATAGCATTCTGCTAGTCTCACTGATACCGCCGCTAGGCAGAGCGAATCGCGCACGTGTTCTCATAAGCATCACCCACGCCGTCGCGGCGCCTCCAGTTCTCCGATCAAGCCATCTATGGCAACATCGTTGAGAATCTCAAAGACAGACGAAGGCTGGGAGACGCGGTAAGACCACAGGCTGCACGAGCACTGTATGCAATGCGGGTAGTGGGTGGAGACACTGCTCTTCAATGTGACAATCATACATAAACAGGATAATATCGTAAGCAAGCGGACGAGGTATCAAGACTGAGCGCCTGGCTGATCCGGCGGCGGATGCGTCTTTCACGCGCCAGCGCCAGTGTCGCCAGTTCAACGACTGCGCCGACGGTGTGCTGACCGGACTCAACAGCGCGGCCGGTACCTTATGGTGTGCGGTTACGAGCCTCCGGCCTGGCCGGGTGTCGTTGCCTCTGGTAGCTTGGCGGTAAGCTGTTGCTCGAACTCGGCAAGAGTGGCGTTGAGTTGGGCAAGTTCAACCTTTATTGCCAGAACGTTAGATCGGTGAGCAAACAAGACACTGCGCATAGTTGCACTCACGCCTTCGGGAAAAGATTGGACTGCGTCCTTACGTGCTTGTACGGCGGGCAAGAACTTGTCCCACATCTCCACGATCTGGCGTGACTGCGCTTGACGCTCCTCATTAACCGCACTCTTTAAAGCTCCTAAGGCCTTGACGATCTCATCCAGATCCATGTGATCTAGGAGACCGGTGAGCCAAATCTCGAGATTCAGTATGGACTACGCACCTGCCTGAAGGGCGCGCTGCACGGTCTCATGGGAGGCTTTGACATTCTCTGCCGCGTCAGACAATATGCGCTCGTATATTTCCGCCGCTCGAGCTGCGTTGGATAGATTTGCATGTCATCGAAAGACACCGTGTAGCAAGCGCACCAGAGAAGGGTGATTCAGACGTGGTCATGACCGGTAGAGATGGCGTACTGGCGACTGACGAAAATGGCGCGGGGATACAAGCTCATGCCTAGTTCACGGGCTACACTATATCCACGGGATGACTCAAGTGGTGTATCACGCAGCAGCGTGTGAGATTGATTACATCGCGTTAAGGTTGTCGCAATCCTGTATTTACCTTCTCCGTGAGATGATCTGACCACCACCGACCTATTGAAACGCCAACGCCTAGAACGAAACTTCGGCGACGGGCTCGCATGCTGTCCATCACCAGCACCATGCCCCCGTGGAGCCCTGCAATTTGCGCTCTTCGCTTCAAAGAACCCCAAACGCCTTGCGTACGGCATGAGACGGCAGTGCAACTGCGTCCCAAGCCTTAGTAGGTCGGCATCGGACACTTCGAGCTCGCTCGGCGTTTGCCGAATGTCTCCTTCTAAGATCGCGGTGCTTCTGTTCGCTCGAATGATACCGGTCTCAGAAGATACGTAATTTCCAGTGAAGCGGCCGGTGCTTCGATCTAGTTCGGGCGCAGAGTTAATCTGTGCCTCGTCGCCTGTTCCTTGAACACAGACCCCGGCGTATCTCTCGCTCGCAACAAGCTCCCTATGGCCCAGCACCCTAGCGCCGGGTCCAGCGCGGGGTATGAGGTTCTGGGGTTTGAGCTCCATGGTGTCTCCTCAGATCAGGCGGACCCTGTGCCCAGGGGATACGTGTGGGAAGGCGCAAAACTGTATCCTATTTAGCAAACCATGAGAACACCGCGCGTCCGGCATCTCGGCGATCCATTGCCAGAGACACAGGCCGGGCGTCTACAATCTAGCCTTTTCTCCTGACAAGTCGCGACGATCGCATCACCTGATGGTTGGGTCTGATGAGCGGAGGGGTAATAGGGTTGCTGTACTTTCTGCGGTGATTTTGCGAGTAATCAACACGGTGGACTTGACGAAGCAGCGAATTCACAGCAAAAACATACTGAGACTAACGCGTGAAGTACAGATATCCTACATTCAAACTCATACACGCGCGACCAAGAAAGATACATTGTACGTGACAATTTTAGTTAGCGGGCTGGGGCTGTACGCTGGAAGTGTCGATGTTGACACCTAGCTGTAAGAAAACGAAGCGGAGGTAAGCTAACAGCTGTTGGTGCGCGATCCGGTGTTGCTCCCGAACCTCTACAAAGATGAATTAGGGATAAGGCGGCAACTTCTGGAAGGAGATGAGATACCAAGCAGGTCGCGCGTGACCATCCCCACGCCTTCCCGGACGGCGATCTCGAGGTCACGGGCGATCGTCCTTATCGCCGTCTCGGCCTGGCCAAGACCCGCGGCTGCAGCAACCGTCTGCTGCAATAGGATGAGGAGATCACTCATCGAGGCGTTGTAGAACAAGTGACGCTGTTGAACGGTGGCGGCCTGCCTGGCGGACTCGAGGTGGACGGCAGAAAATGCCGTGACAAGGCGCCGGAGCGCCGCTAAGACCAATCAGCAACCTGCAAGTAGTGAAAGCGCATAGAGCGCGCACCGATGACAGGATCCTCAGGTGGAGGCGGAGCTTCATCGTCTGCAGCGGCGCCGGCACCAGGCTCTTCGCCGTCAGGAGCAGGAGGCGCGTCTTCGCCATTGTCGCCGGGTTGGGGTCCTCCTCCTTCGCCGGCTTGGGTTCCGGCCGTCGCCACAGTGCCTAGCCTTTCTGAGCGCTGCACAGCCGTAAATAACTCTACGTGAACGTACCTGTGGTGGATGTGACCGCGGTTTTCATCGTCACGTCAGACATGGAGGGCGCGAAAGAGGCAAGAGACAAGAGACAGTTAATGACGACGACGGTGTTATATATCGCCGAGGCGACGGATCAAATCTGCAGACACCGGGAGCCGGACCCACAAGCGCCCACTTGTGGGAGTGTTTGTTCGTTCTCGGCACCGCTCGTGTAAAATTGTACCGATTCCTTGCGCCTCATGCATTGCACGCTTGACTCGCGTGGAAACAGCATTGCATTGTCGCCTGCACTCGACAACCAGAGTCCCAAACGCCACCCACGATCATGCTAACCTTCGTCTCCCCTCTGTTCTGACAACGGCGTCTTTCTGGCGCACGTTCCCTTTGCCGGCGTCTTACGGTCCGTCTGATACCGGTCGCCCAAGTCGGCAGTCTTGTGCGATTCTCGATTGTCGGCGTCCAAATTTTGCTCTATCCGCGGTCATGCTACGGCGGCGATCGTGAAGTGGCCCGGTGCTTGTGTTCAGCGTACTCAAAGCACCGGTCGGCGCCGCTCTCATTTGTCGTCACGGTTGCTCCTGTTCGCCCGAGTTCGCATCATTCTCTCCTGCCCCTGCCTCGACTGTCCAGCGCACTATTCACCATTCGGTGTCGAGGGCGGTAACGCGTTAAACTGCAAGAAGGGAACCTATCGTGGTGCGGCGGACTTAGCTGCGTGGCACTCAGGCATGGCTGACGCTCGTTGTAGAGTGAGGGCAGCGGCTACGCGAATTGTCAAAACCACGGGCGAAGGGATTCTGGGTAAGCAAACGATCCGTCTGTTTCTTCCTTTCAGATAGAATCAAGGTTGTCTGCCGCTTCTGACGATAACCGTCGCGGCCTAGGCGCTATAGCGCCTGCTTAAGAAAACTGGGGCGGTCCTGCTAGCCCACTACGGCGATTGGAAGGTCACCTGAATACACAGTTCTTCACCGCATGTGTGAGGGTCTCTTCGCATATGAATGTCATTGGCCAGTAGCTTCTCTGAAACGAGTTCTTCTGACGACGGATCTTACCCATGGCTGATATCGGGATAAGATATAGCCCGCCAGGGATTCGGGCCTTGCTACCTTATCGGCCGTTCTTGCACAGGTCTTTACATTGACGAATGGAATGGGATATACCCTCGCGCCAACAATTGGATTCGTTATCCCTCATAGTAGATATTTATGCATTCCTTGCTGTTGTGGACGAGAAGGTTGCATTCTCATAACACGTCATTGACGACGGGATCGAATCCGGAATACAAAGGCGCAGGTGTGGTTTCACTGCACACGCGATGACTTCGGCCATCCACGTGTTTCATTGATCCGATCATTCGGGACCGTATAAAGGTCTTGAGTGTCCCAAACTTGTCCTCAACCACCACCATGTCTCTTCACTCTGGACAGTCCTCCATTCCCAGCGAGGCCCACTCCCACTCCAGCGCGGCTGGTGACCAGTTACCCCTTGGTATGCGCCAATCTTGTTGACCCATTGCCGTACCGCTTACTGGCTGTCAGATATGATAGAACGTCTCATACAGCAGGTCGAAGACATGAACAAGACGCTCAAAGAGCAGAGCCATGAGTTCGGAGCGCAGATCGAGAAGGACGACGCAATTCGCGCCGAGGTCGCCCGCTACGTCCCCCCCATCAACGCCGCCGATGCCAACCTTCAGTCTCTCAGCAAGACGTTCAACTTCGAGACTGACCATTTCACGAAGGCCGTCACGAACTCGTTCAATGAACTCGCCAGCACCATGAACGGTATGTCATTTTCGTACCCGCAGCAGTCATGCGACTCACAACTTTCCGGCGCTGCAGGAAACGCATTGGCCACTGCAGGGATGCATCGCGAGTTGCTGGCGAAGCTCCAGAAGGCGCTTCCCATGAAGTAGTGCCACTTGGTGGCATGCTGCGTGTTTCTGTCGCTCGTGGATGGGTCTTGTGGTTCGGTTTCAGGATGTCGTGTCTCGCGTTCATGTATACATATTCTTCTCTGTTCGGTGGTTGATGTATATTCTCCCAGTTCATGACCGTGTATTACCTGTTTGATGTGTACATTAAATGCGCCTCTTTGTACGCAGAGCGTCTATCTCGTCAAAATCAGGCCGTCAAGCGTGAATTTCGAGACCTTGTACATACGTGCACAGGTGGGCGGCGTCGGCGTAGTGGTGCAGCGTCCTACGGGGATTCACTGAACCGAGATGCGCTTGAGCGCTATTACGGCGGCGCTGACCCATCGGGACCGTGGACGTCGAGTTGGCGCGAGGTTCGGCTCGATGCCGATTACGAATAAACGGAGTCCAAGAGCCGCCCGTCCCATCAGCGCTGTGCTTCTGCTGCGGGCAATTGTATTGATTTCGTCTGGGAAGATGTGTATTTTATGATCAGAATACGGTTCGGCGTGGGGCGCTATCTGACTGGACCGCGAGCATGGTCCTTCGCACCGTTGTCTCTGCACCGTCAACTGCTTTTCGCATTGCATCCATGTCATCGCCGCTCTCTCTCGTACCGCCCGAAGTCATTCTCGAGATAGCGTTATACGCTCAGCATCAATGGCATACAGACATCATGTCTCCTCAGGCCCCACATTCTGCTGTTCGTCGCCTGGACGCCCATCTTCCCCAGACTACTATGCGAGAGAAGCCATGCTGTTACAATCTGGAATACTCAGCAGTGCCTGAATGCTACGACGACTCCCTTCCCATCGTTGGACGGTCTCCTGCACATGCTCTCAGTCTTACATGCCGCTGGATGCGCAGCCTTGTCATCAACTTCGTATCCCTTTGGCAGACTGAGAGTATACTGTACCGAAAGAACGCCGAATACTCCGGGAAGTATCTCGTTTACAGACAAGATGCGCGCGAGCCTAGTGTCTCGTATGGTTCGCGCACCCTCGTCGCTTTGCAGGCGTGTTCCTGCTTTCTCAAGCGCCTCGGAACCTATTGCCAGCTGGAGAGCATAAAGGTTGCCATAGCCCGCGAGATCCCGGGTGTGCGAGCTTCCGACGCGGAGGAATTCTTCGTGAGATACAACACCATTGCGCCCAATACTCTGCGGCATTTTGATCTTGAAATCCTCCAACATTCTCGCACAGCCGACCGTATCCACATCCGTGCTGTTCGCACGTCGTCGCTCCTGTCGTCGCGCGCCATCAATACATCCGTCGTTTTCTTCTCATCCCAGTTGACCTCTATGTATCTATTCTATTCCCCATCTCTGCGACCTCGCCTGGGTCCACGGTTCTTTGTTGCCCTTCTCGCTTGTAGCGAGCAACTGCTATTCTTGACGATCGACGCGGGGAGCGCTGTAGTTCACGCTATGAACACCGTCACACTCCCGGCTCTACGATATTTCCGTCTTGTGGCACCCATCCGAGAGGGAGCATTTCTTCTCAGTCACTTGCGCCTTCCTGCCCAGGTCGACATTCATCTGGAGCCTGTTGTGGAGTGGCGCGCCACTGTGCCAACGTATGATGATGATGTTGAACCGCCGGTACTATGGTCTGAGGTGCCGTTTCACCTGCTAGATGATGAGGCCGATACGGGTAACCGCCGAGGCGCCATCTGGCGATATGTCAATGCACTCGCCGCGCCTGACAAGACATCGGCGCTCTTTCGGGATTTCCATCCCACCGCCTTTCCAGCGCCTGAGAACTTGTGGGACACGCTCACCACCGTGGCCCTAGATGTAAGACTGGATCCATCAGCATCCTCGTCAGAGCGTGAATGCGAGCGATTCCCCGAGGCAGTGGGTGTTTATTTCACAAAGGATCTGCATGGAATGCACACCCTCCTATCAGACCCAGGATTGGACTGGGCGCACTCCCTCCCGCCAACTGCAAAGACGACCGTGCGCCGATCTCTTATCGTCAGAGACGGAGTGTATGACTCTGTTATTCGAGACAGTCTATATCGCCCACAGTACTTGAAACCGGTGTACGAATGCATTGATTTCGTGTTGACGGCCGCCCTCCAAGGGGGTGGGCGAGGTCTATTTTACGGAACCCCGTCTTGCCGTTGCCTAGTGCTCCATGAAGCGTCGTTCAAACCTCGCTTTTCGATGGGGTGGGACAGCATACTCTCTTCTTTCCTCGGGGTTGAGCGCATCGTCATACGCTGCCAGCAGATTAACCTTGACGACACTCTCCGACCGTCGTCGGAAGGTTGCCTTGAGGCAGCGCATCTGGAGGCATTGGCGATTTATCTGAATGATGCTGCACCTCCAGGTAGACATCCTTGCATCTACCTCAAGGAGATCCATCTTACGTGCCACGAACCACTGCCGTCAAACTCGCAATGGCTGTGCGATCGCTGGGCTACTCGTTTCAACTGCTTGTCACGCATGACTTCGTGTGAATCGATAGAATTTGCTATATCGAGCATAGATACCGTTTGTCAAGTGATTGACTGTGTATGATACATTGTTCGCTGTCCGTCTTGTATACATAGCCGGCTTCACCGTGGGAATGAGTTCGAGCTTCGGTTGAAACCGGCGCTCTCTCTGTGGATCTCCGTCAAGCACACCATGACCGCCCTTGACTCGCTAAAGATTCTAGACGCCTGCGTAGACTACGGTGTTGGCTGCTTCATCAAGGGGATGTCATTGCAGCTTCCTGTGCCAGAAATCGACTCTCCATCCGGACCTGAAGGCATCCCTCAGGATTTCCTTGCTGAACTACGAGTCGTGGCGCACAGAGTACTGGAGGCGGTTAATCATCAAAGTCCGTATACTGCACGGCCCGTCTCTCTTGCCGGCAGGGGCTCACGACTTTACAGTTGAGATACCCTTGAATGCTAGGACGTATGGGGCATGCATCGCCGCCCGGGCCCAAGATGGTCGACGCCCGAAGTTCGAAGCTGTTTTGCAGCAACAATTCCCAATGCCACGCATAGAAGGACAGAATCGCCCATGTTGCTTCAAAGCAGAAGAGGGAGAGATCGTCATGTGGTATTTGCCAAACGTCTTACTTCCTGCGCGTCAGGTAAGTGATACATGCACCTTGATAGCACCAGACATGAACCTCTTTCAGGCAATCATTGCTGAGAGCATCCCCACCGCCGCCGCCGCAATTGCCGCTCATCCCCCTCAACCGGATGACCCGGATGATCCCAATATGGATAGTCCCCAGTGGCGTCACTCAGAATTATTCTATGCCATCGACGAAGGCGAGGAACGGCTTCGATTCGGCCGCGGTATGGCTACGCTATCACCTGGGTGGTTTCAACAAGCACAGGATGTAGGTTTCATATCCCAGTCGTAGTCACCGATGTCGAATTGACTGTACTCTCTGTCATCCAGGGATGGAACGACACATTACAAGTTTCAAGAGATCTAGGGGCGGCGCCAGGGAGGCGCGATAGCGCCGCACAGATCAGCGCCCAGCGTTGGCTCGCAGAGAACATTGAGACTGGAATCTTGGTGTCTGTTATCCTCGCCATAGTACATCCGGCACAATATCGCGAATCTCGGGCGGCACTAGACTTCTTGGCCACTCTCCCAGACTTTGCGCATCATATGAAGAACTGGACATTCGTCTTCAACGCCGTGACGTTGATAACGAATAGACTCACCCCGGGACATCGAGATCGAGCAAGCGGCGGCGCAAACTTCTACGATCTATTGCTCACCATTGGCGGTGATTCACGCACAGTTTTGTCCCTTCCTGGCCTAGGGATCCGAGTTCAGTACGACTCGGGCGCTGTTGCTCTTTTCTCAGGGAATGAGCATCTCCACGAGGTATCGTCGTTCGGGATGGAGCGAGCGTGTGTGGCGTGTTATGCACGACCGGCGGTGATGCGTTGGCTGAATGCGAAACACCCTCCGCCTCCCTACGGGGAGGCTATGCTGCCGCATGGGTGGTGGCCGATGCTTCTGCAGGTGCCCGGCGTTCGCAACTATTTACCCAAAGCAGGCCTGCGATCTGCTTCTGCTTTCCCCTGATATGAGAGGGTGTCTATTCCGCTGTATATGCAAGAAATAGGGTCATTCTAGTACAGGCGGTCTAGCTAACCTCATGTGGCGCTATTCATGTGTGTTCATATAATAATGTACAGGTCGCTCTGCAGTGCCTAAGCCGGAGTCAAAGCTGTGCGAATTCGAAGCGCACTTATGGACAGAGTGTTATGCGCGGCAAGGGCTACACGACACACCGGCCGCCGCTGCATTGTCGGCTGGTCCGTTGTATGATGAGAGCCTGGACTGCAGGGCCGGGAGCAATGCCGCGGGCGTAAGCTGGGCGGTGCTTTGACCCGATGTCATGCGGCTGTGCAGTTCGAAGCGGGTCCACGTGGCACGATTCCGAACTGTACCGCATCGTTAATCTGGATTCTCTTCACGCTTTGACTTCCACATGACAAGCGAGACAAAGCCTACTCTGGAACCGCTGTCCCACCTACCTTTGGGACCGTTATCTCTCCTACCCGTCGAGCTGTGGACCGAGGTCGCCATCTTAGCGCAACTCATCTGGCATCATGGAGCTTCATCCTCTCATCACGACCCCCACGCCGCCGTCGAGCGCCTGCAAATCAGCAGCGAATCTTCCGTGCCGCGCGCTGAACCGTGCTGCGAGCTCGTTCCCCGCCGTCGGCTTCCCTACTGCTGCAGAGTTCATACATCGCAAGTTGAACGATCACCCGCACATTGTCTTATTCAAACCAACCACTTCTTCCGCGACCTCATCTTCAAACGCCTCCCCTGGCTCTGGGAGTTTGACAATGTGCTGTTCAAGAAAATCGCGGGCTACTCTGGACGTGAGCATATTCCCAGGGACAATCCTGAGGAGGGGCACATGGTGCTGTACGGCGCGCGCAGCTTGATCGTGACGCGGGCTTGTACTTGTCTCCTGAGAGTCATGCGCCCACTCTATGATGTGCTGAAGGTGGTCAAAATCGCGATGCCCTGGGATGCTCCCCTCATCCCGAATAGTCGCGCGGAGACGTTCTTCCTGAATAATCCCGCTGTGGCACCGAGTCCGCTGGAACACTTCGACCTCGAGCTATTCGACAGTCCTCGGGCACCTGTGGGAATCATCGTACGCTGTATAACGCGCGAAAACTTGTCGACATTTCGTGGCGTCAACGTTGCATTCTGCTTTTCCTCGAACCAGCTCACTTCGATGTATATATCCTTCCCGCACAGTCGTCGCGCGCGTTTCGGGGCTAGTTTCACCAACGGTCTCGTCATGTGCGCCAGCCGGCTCGAGTACCTAACGCTCGATGCCGGAAATGGTGAGATTGTAGGCGCGCGTGTTTTGCGCCTCCCGAAGTTGCGCTTTTTGCGCGTCGTCTTGCCCATCACAGTTTGTGCCAAACTGCTCAGCCGCATGGATCTGCCCGCACAATTGGACATCCATCTTGAACCCGTCGTGCAGTGGCGCTCACAGGCTGCTCGTCGGGTCAAGAAGTTCTTCAAGTCCCCGCATCAATGCGAAGCCCCTCTAGCTGAACTGGACGCCGAAGCGGACAGCCTTGACACGCATCATCTCCCGTGCGCATTATGGAGGTTCGCCTGCGCATTGGCGGCCCCGGACCAGACCCGCTCCATCTTCCAAGATATAGCCGACTTCGACATACGGCAGGAAAACTTATGGGACACGCTTCAAACCGCGTCTTTCGAGATCCGGCAGGATCCCTCGCACCAAGGATGTGAACGCGAACCTCTACGGTTTCCAGAACTTGTCGGCGTTGTATTCACGAATAGCGTGGAGGACATGCGCGTCTTGCAGGAGCGGCCTGGTTTGGATTGGCGTCGTTCGTCCAAGCCAGGCGAAAAACATGTAGCGCGTCGGTCGTTCGTTGTCAGGGATGGCGTGAGCTCTGCTCAAGACCGGAACGCCTTGTATCGCGCGACATATGTGAAGCCTTTTTACGATGTCATCGCCTACGTGACAAGTGTCATAATTCAAGGACAACCGGGCACGCCTTATGAAGGCAAGCGCGACATCGCCTCTCTGGTGATCCCGAAGGGGTCATTCATCCCGCGCTTCTCCCTTGGGTGGCGTCATTTACTTGTGGCCTGTAACACAATTGTGGAACTCGTCATACACCACTCTCACCTCGGCGATCAACATCAACAGTCGTCTACCGTAGCGACGCGGTACATTATACCGACCGAATTAACAGCACTGGCTGTCTATCTCAACGATGTACCGGGACCCGGCCAGGTTCCTTGTCCTCATTTACGATGCATTCGCGTCGTATGCTGTACTGCGGCAGTTTGGGGCTCCGCACTGGAGCGGACATGGGGACGTCTTTTGAACACGAAGCACCGTGTTGACGCGGGGGCTGTCGGCATTCAAGTAATTCTCACCTCCATGTAATCGCCGGCTACGCGCCTATGTGCATTAATGACCGCCCTACCGTACTTGTTATCTGAAGCCTTGCAAAATATCATATCCTAGGTCATAGTACATTCTATTGCAGGTCATCGGTGATAATGTCCAAGACCTCCGCGTTGAACGAATCCTTAGCGTGGGCGGCAAGATCGAGCCAGCTATGTGCAACTTGCAAAGCATGCGCACGATGACCGGTATATCTTTCGCTGTCTGCGTCAAAGTTCGAAGCAAGACGAGCCCGTCTCCGCCACGCATATGCCAGCGCGACATAACCAAGATAACAAGTCTGCATCTCTCCTTGCAGCATGAATTCTTCCTCCTCACATCGCACCACCGCACACCGAGCATTAATCCAGCGAGTGCGATAGACTATGAAACGTCAGTCTTCCTGAAAGTTTTTCCGAAGGAAGCATCTTACAATCGCCGATGAAGGTCGCGTCATCAAGTGGCCGGTGTTCGGTATTGATCTCGTCATCATCTGGCGATTCGGGGTTGCACGGGATATTCATTCGCCAGAACCAAGGTAGACGGAAGTCGCCGCGAGTACGGATGTTGTTATAAGTTTCATAGGTTTCCGTCGAGCAACGTATATCGTTCGGAGCGATGAACCGATACCTCATCCGCAGGTCTTTGTACAGGGTGGTCGCGTCCTCGGTGTCGTCCCACATTAGACGGCGAAGTCTACGGACATGGTTATTGTAAACTGCAGCATGAACACGGACGTCCTTAGTCTGCTGACGGACATGCAACCATGCATTCGTGCGACTTTCATAGTTCGACTTCCCTTTCCCCTTCTTTTTACGAATCTCCAGGCGATATCCTTGGGCCTGATCGCAGACTCCTTCCCTAATGGCTTGTAGGCGCTCCTCCATATCACCTTGCCTCAATTCTCGCTCGATGTCCATTGCGCGCTGCTCCAGTGCGCTGATGCAGTCTTTTTTGCGCCATCCTGAGGGACGTGCAGACGGAAGGTCGACGGGTCGGAACTCGACCTTGTCGCGAAGGTGATAACTGTGCGAAACGTCATCGTCTCCACCCCATTCATCCTCATCAAGAATCTTTTGAAGACGAGCGGCCAGAAGATCCTCCTCCCGAGGTGCGTCGCGGCCTAATATATGCGCAAGTTCGAGGTTCGCATTCAAACGACGATTGTTGAATCTCGTCCTTGCGATCGCCGCCGTTCGACGGTCCGAGAGTGATGATCCCCAGGTCTTTCCCTGTGCCTGCATGCGCAGTCTGAAAGAAAATCAGCCGACGTTTGTAGTATCTCTATCATACTACTGACCCATCCTCTTCGAGCTTAAGACTAGTGATAATCGCTTTCACCAAACCGTTTGTTTCGTCGCCCTCTAGAAGGCGGACTTCGATCGAAGTCTTAGCGTCCACTGTTCTGAGTTGAGATTACATCCCCGCAGGGTGATCATGGCATACCTTTCTCTGGTGCGACGGCCGTCCAAAACTCATCAGCATAGTAAGGATCCTTCGCACGCCTTTCTTCTAGGTCTTTCCGGCTTTGCTCCCACCTCACGATATCCTCTTCGTCGCACGAAAGCTCCAGGCGTCTCAAGTGATGGCGGCGAACGTCTAGCTCCTGACTATATTTTCGTAACTTGCGTACCAGAGTGCCGACTTAGATGGTGCATCAGTAAGTTGGTAATCACAAATGAAGTATAGACCATCTTACCCATGCCAACAATCTTCCTGTAGTTGATGTCATTCATATGCATGTTAATTTTCTCCTCTCGCGCCGCTAGCGACATGCCGCGGCAGGACTGCAGTACAGCATTGAGAAGCGACCAGAGAGTTTCCAGAATCTCGCCGTCAACAATGCCGGACCGCGGAGAGTATGAAGGGGAGAATCTTCGCAGGCATTCAAACACATGGCCATATATGTGCCAGACGCCGACACCTTGTAGAACCTCCCGAAACTTCGGCCAGTTAAGTCCGCTATGGCGAAAGCGCTCCTTGACGTGAACGCCATAACGACACCAGATATCGTAAAGAAGCTGCACGCGTGTGATCTGGTCGGTAATGGTATGTTGAAATGCGGAATCCAGACTCTTGTCCACAGGATGTTGGCTATCACATCTCGTGAGGATTAGTTTGAGAGTAAACAGTTTGTATCTCACCCTTCTCCTAGTTCAAAATTGTTAGTTGAACATGGACAGAAGCAACCGTGGCGCGAGCAGGCCCATGAACCTATGCCCTTAATGTCAACAATCTTGCTCCGATTCTTGCCGACGCTGGCGGCAGCTCTGTGATTGTGACAAGATCTGTCGTCTTCGCCCTGTACCCCTTGGTCAGTGTACTGTCTGTATGCACGCCTTCCCAGCCTAAGTCACTCACGAAAGTAGGGTCCATTTTGCGCAGATCGTTGTCGTCAACGGCTTTTGCCATGTGCTGGCGAACTACATCTGGGTGATCGAACATACCGGTGCCCGGAAACAGGGGAACGTTGTTGCCCGGTCGTCGTGAGATCGTGTGGTCGCCGCTGAAGTTGCCGTCGTAACAGAAGGAGACGAACTTCCGCCATTCGTTCGGATTGTTGACCCAGGCCTTTGGTAAGTTATTGAAGTTAGGTGTTTTGCGAGGACAGACGATGCACTGCCAGACCAATCCACCTGGAGAAGGGTTCTTCGGACTCTCGGAGGGCTGAGTTGCGTAGCCAAAATCAATAAGATTCTTGATGGCCTCGAATTGACGCGATGCCACGAGAGCCTCGGAATAGCGGTTCTATAAAGGCTGTCAGCCATCACACATTAACGTCCGGACTAACACATACTGGAGCAAGACGCGGATCATTTGGTTCGGTACATCGCCTGAGTTTCTTCATATGAGCTTGCGGAGAGGTTTTGCAGACGACGTCGTCAATGTGTCTGTATTCGAGGAACTGGAGAGTGAACGCAGTCGAAGGGCGATCCTGAGAAGCTGGATACAGCCCGCCGTGCTGAATGAGTTGCTGATCTTCGGGAGCATGGCCGTCGCACTTGCAGAAGCCCACTCCAACTCCGTGGATGCCGTCCGTGTGTACAATGACCAAAGTGCGATGGCCGTACAGGTCCTTCGTGGGAATTGACGATCGTCCCGCTTCCCGCGCTATGCCGCCACGCATGTCCATCTCCGACGCGTAACTCTCGTCGTCTTCATCATCTCCTATCGGCTGAAAAGCATCGGACTCCCTGGGCGCGCTATCGAACACGACATCTTCCCTCTCTCCGTCGTCGATATCGTTGAAATGAGGGGGCAGATGGATTGTGGAATCCGGATTTACGGCGGCTGTAAGCGGCGTATCGGATGTGACCTCGCACGGCTTACGCCGAATAGGAGCGGTTGAGTAACTCCCGTACGACGGGGGCGGCGTTGCGTCTGCAAGCGCAAAATCTGGCGTTGAGCCGATGCTGGCCGGACATCTTTCACCAGGTCGAGCGTTTGGACAGAGATTGATGGCGACTCCTGCGTCACGCAGCCACGCTCGGCGGTAATGCTGTCCCGTCCACCACCCGACAATGTGAAAGGGGTTGTTCCAATGCGCTTGCCTAAGACACGAGCCGCAAAAGTCTCGCTTGACGCAGCAATGAGCACAGCGCCAGCGGCCAATCTGTGGAGTCTGGCACATCGAACATCGAAGGTCGGGAGGTGGCGCGTGATTGAATACAAGGATGAGCTGGGCGTATCTGAAGGCTAGGTTCTCCTCTGCGAAGTTGCGCATATAATCCACTTGCGTCTGCGTTATCCGTGTGAGTGTTCGTGCACAGGGACCCTTCCCATATTTTCTCTCTCACCTTTCCTTGGCTCGTGCGCTCAGCCGGCCCTGGCACAAGATATTCGTCGGATACGGGCACGCCCAGCATATCGACTCGCGTATCGCCTTGGAGCGCATCTAATACGCCGGCAAAGTTAACCAAGCCGGGGTGAACCCCTGGCGCGTTGTGTCGGCGCTGTCCGTCGGCGCTGTCCACTTCCTGACCAGCAGGTGCATCTGGCAACCGCTGCTGCTTATCCTCAGCCTTCTGCCAGATTCTTTTGGCGGCGTCGTTGCGGAAAGAGGGCGCCCATTGAATTCGGGCGTTGCCATTACGCGGCCGACTGGGTCCAGCAGCGGTAACCAGACGGTCGCGGGGACCCGGGTTGCGTTCGTACTGCTTCAAAGAGCGAGGGTCTTGAGCACCAATATGGCGTTTGTTTGCAGCCGCGGTGTTGTGAGTCGTTTTGAACACGGATTCTCGTTCGCTGTGCATAAGCTGCAGTCTGAATCAGCGGGTGTACATGAGGGAGGGTTCAAAACAGCGACGACGTGTGCCTAGCGGCGGATACTACACGGGTGATTCCAGGATCGCATGAGACTCTTCGATCGGGTGAGTGATCTGAACGAGCTTTCTGCCACATGCACATATTTCCTGCTCAGCTCAGCGTGGAGGCTCAAGACTTTCTAGCTCGCCGCCGTAAACGTGGGAGGCGAGCGCTCAGGGCTGAAACATGATGGTAATACAATGGCAACCTGAGACGATTAGCGCTCCACATTACCGCCACACATCATGCCTCGACTGCGGTAACGAAGACACCGGGATGGCTCGTACCACTCACATATACCGCTGACCGAGCGCGCTACGACGGTGAAGGTTACTCTCTCTCCTTGTTCCGCCATTCTGCGTGCTCGGCTACACGTCCGTCTCAGTATGCCTCCCACGAAGGGCGCCACCTATGGAGAAATCGCCGATACCCTCCTACCTTCTGCAGTATTCACTGTCGACGTCTTGAAGACTCTCTCTGCTTCGGTCGACTCGTATGTTCAGCTCGGCTCTCGGGACCGCCGGCCCTTCCTACAAGAACAAATGGAACAGGTTTGGCCAGCCGCAATTGACTGGACGAATCGACCTCGAACGCATGAGTTCAAAGCCCAATGGCTCGTAAGATCATGTCATCAACCTACCATGTAGACACACGTCGCTAACGCTGCACTGAACGCAGGCTTTACAGCGATATTTTCAGGAGCAGGGCCGCGTTCGAGAGCCTCCTACTCTTCCGTCTAGTATTGCTGGGCGCAAGTGGACTGGTCTCAGGGTCTGCGGCGTCGTGTATAGCGACTCAATCGACGAAATGGTCTTCATGGGAACTGGGATGCGACCTGGCGACCCTCGAGGCTATATCGGACATCGGATCAAGTGCCGTACAGTGTATTACTGGAAGCTACCGCCGGAAGAGAGAAAGTTGCTGGACACTATTGCAAAGGATTGGCAGAACGGCAGTCTGCCCGTTCAACAAAAGACAGAGTGCGTCGTGCTTCCGAGCCCGGTGATGTGACGATTTCTGACGGTTCGAACAGCGCCTACTACAGACGTTTTCAACACTTCATCAAGACGGTCCATCTGACGGCGCTCCGTGAATTTGGTCAACACATGGTCACCATGGCGATACCAGAACCTGGCTTGACCAATCCACCAAGACTGTAAGATACGTCTCCAGCCGTCGGCGCCCGAGAATTCACAGCATTGCTGACGCCCGTACAGCTACGAATTCATGTACGACCTGAAAGTACTAGATCGTCCTCTCGTCAAAACCGTTCCCGTCGGAGATATACTCACCGACATCTACCTCGAAGTCAATCACGCTGCCGGTAAGTACCAGACTGTGCTATCTGCGCCCGACATCTCATCAAAGACAGGTCGTATCGAGGGAGCAGCCTTGCCTACCGTTCTCAACAAGAAGTCTCGGCTGAAGCGCCAGACTACGTGGACTCTGCATGAAGATGATTTTCTGGGTCACAACGGGATCTCGCTTCGCGAGGAGGAGTTTGATGAAGAGCTCTTCTTCAAAGAAGCGATAGCCATGGTTTATATGATTGTGAGAATGGCTCACAGTTAGTCATCTTATCCTGCGTCTCACAAGAAGCCAGCTAATGTCGACATAGGCAACATATCAAAGTACCGTGATCTTGACCCACCTTGGTCATCGTTCCATGAGCTAGTCGACAGCCGGTATCTTCTACCAGACACTCCTATGTGCATCCCTACAACCCTTCGGCAACCTAACTGCTTCCTTTATTTGAAGCATTGGTTCACCGTTACCAAAGGACTCGAGTTCAGGCTATGGCAGAGGAAAAATAGTCTACCTACTAAGCCGGTGCCAATGGAAGAAAGGTGGTGGGCGGCATCTATGCCCAATCGCGTTCAACCAGCGGAACCCATCCCCCCTACCGCCCAAGCCGCCTTCGACTACATCCCCTCGCAGCCAGCCCCTCAAGGCGTAGCGCCGCGACTTTCGCCTTATGGAAGCGCCGGAGGTCATTTGGTACACGGCGAGCAAGCGCGCGAGGAGGAGACGCTGGAGACGTTGGGCGTAGCCGCCGTACCAGATCCAGAGGACTTGTCGCCGCTGAATATAGGTGTCTTTTCGTCTGCAGTCTGCCGCCCTTCCGAAGACGACCCGCCTTGCAGCGTACCGGCCAATGGTGAGGCGAGAGCTCAATGGTGTCTCGCGCAGCTGAGATCCCAATGCGCCCCACCCCTGCGCGTGAGTCGTCAGCTAAGAGCGGCGATCAAGCAAGTGGCAGAATTCCCGGTCAGATCACTTTCATCCTGTCAAGCTCTAGGTTCTCACTATGTCCAGATGATTCCTAACGCATCGCTATCATTGAAGGCGGCCGCGAAATATACGCTCCTCCCAAACGGCTTATCTTGGCATATGGAATCCGTCGCTCCACATTTCACAGCGGACGAGATGCAAACTTGGCTATCGTTTTTGCAGAGTGAACCTTGGACAATCTCTCACGGCGGTAGTCAGTTGTTTGCCGGTTCGGAGCTCATATGGACGTATATTCTGGGCTGGGTTGTTTATCTGCGCGGCTACTCTCTCGCCGGCGGCACGGGCTTCGGAGATGCAGGGGCGGGACTGTTCACCTTAGGTTACGCGGAATTCAGCGGTACTTTCGACGCCTTCGCAGAAGCTATGACAGGATATGCCGAGAAATATAGCTACCCGGGTTGGGCGCCGTCTACGAAGTATGCGGTTGTCAGCTCAAGAAGTCACTATTTGGCGTATCTCGTTCGAAATGAAGATTACGACGTACTTCTTCCGCTATTGAAACTCGTAGTAGCCCTGGTGAGTGAAGTATTCGATCAGTGTATACTCAACCTCACATTTATTGACAGCCAGACGGTCCGCTGGAACCACCCTTTTCTGTCGTATCGCACTCTGCAGCCGCGGACGCGCCGTCTTGGATCACGACTCATTACGGTGTCCCCTCCTGGCAATGGCAACGTTGCGGACTGCCTCCGACTACGCATAGTCGCGCCGATCTTCCGGACCTCATCAACGGCTATCTCAAGCGACCTGATCTACTCGTGTCTGAGTCCACCCCGCGCTCCTGCGAGACAGCGCTGGCCGTACTGCTGAAAGTGGCGTTGATACACGCGGATCTAGAGCACATTGACGATGAAAGGTGGGGCGAGGGAGGCGCGGCCGTCCTGAAGCATTCTACCCTTCGAGGTCATACGCGTGCCCTTCGAATCGCAATCGCGGATTGGGCGAACGAGCAAGCTCTGCTTCTCGAGCAGCTACTTCCTACTGAGACCGGGACACATGCTGAGGACGATGCACAGAGTGACGAAGGCCAGCGCAGGGTTATGTCGCCTACAGCGGAGATGTCTGAGGCAGCCTGTCTACAAGGTGCTCTTCCGCATGGGGTTAAGGAAGCCGGCGGTAACAGTATGCCTGAAAAGCTTGATCCCCGCTACTGGGCGGTGGAGTTGGAGGACTTGGGCGAATCGCACTCGGTGGGGCAGTACCAAGCATGGCTCGCAGCGCAGCCGCGCACAGCTGTGCAAGAGGTGACAAGAAAAGGATTGGAAGGGCTTTCTCAGCTGGAGGAGAGACGCAAGGCTAATAGAGCCATTCGCGACGCGGCCTTACAGGATGCCAAGCGAGGGCATCGTCAACGCAAGGTTCCCCGGCCTAAGCGACAAGCCGGCGCTTGGGAGCCTATGCCTGAGCCTGGGACAACCGACGACGACGAGCCCGCGATGCACAAGCCTCCGCGCAAAAGAAAAAAGAGAATGATTATCAAGAAGCCTCGACATGTTGCAGACGGCTCCAAGCTAGTCGGACCTGGACGCGAGCGTACTACAAAACCTGCGTCAGCATCAGCGGCTCACTCGGTCTCTACTTCGCGCAGCGTATCTCCAGCTACGGGGTCGCGCTCCTTCGTTGCCTTTCCCTCTCCAGCCGCATTCGACTACGGCGAAGACATCGAGATGCCGGATCGGATCACTTCGCCAAGCGCCCGACCTCGTACCGGTGCAGCTTTGGGGCCGATCACCTTTGATGTTCAAAGCACGAGCAGCGTGATGGACGTCGACAGCGACGACTACGGTTCCGCCCGGTCGGTCCGACCCTCTCATACTCGCCCTGTCGTATTTGTGCAGTCGGAACCTGCGATCTTTCGATCGGCAAGCACAACGCCGCATCCAACGGACCGCGACGAGGCTCCCACGTTATCCGGAGGGGACCTTCCGCTCCTGCCACCACGTATGGCAAAGCGCCAAGCGCGCGATGATCCTTTAGCATTCTCGAGCGCCACAGCATCGTCGGCGCAGGATAAGCCGGATTATATTAGAAGGAGCAGCAGATTGCGGAAGACAGCCGCATAAGACAGTGACTTTATCCTAGATACGGCGATGTTTAAGATAGAGGAGCGGTTGTACCTCTCATTCATCGAGTGGTGGTATCTCAACTTGAAACGGCACAGAGCCGTGTGGGAGACCCTGTGCTTCTTCATACCGTCTCTGAGCACGACTTGCTGCCGATTGACGTGCTTCGTGCATTTGCACAAAAGCATTGACGCTCTCGTCATGGAGTATGGCGATTGCCTCTACCCTTCGCAACGAAGAGAGCTGCACAGTGTGCAGATGCCCAAGAACCTCGCTCATCTGAGTGGCCAGAGTTGCGACCTCGCCGGGCTTGCAATTAGTTCAGTTCTGTGCCCAGAAAGTCAAAAACAAACAAAGTGTAACCCACCTCCGTTTCTGCCTCGGCCCGTCTTCGCATCTCGGATGAGCTGTCGTCCAATATCCAAAGTGAGATATTGAAGGGAGGCCGAGCGTGATGGTCCTGCGTCAAGTCCCTCGGTGCGTCGTACCACCAACGCGGAAAGTTGGTTGTGTCGATGGGCTCAGGTCCTTCAGAGCCGGTCAAGAGCTTGATAGCTTCGCCGGGTAAGGTAGGGAACTTGCGGTCTGGGTCACCGTGTATAGCCATTTGGACTGTCCAAATGAAGGTCGAAAACGGGGGCAACTCTCCTGTCTGCAGGCGCACATTCCCAACCAAGACTCGGAGGAAAGTCTGAGAGTATTCAGTATAGGTGATAGCGCCCGACATTTAGATACGCACCAGTTCGAAGCGCAGCGAGTCTACGACGTATACGTGATGCCCCCAGGGTCGAAAATGCAGGATCGCGTCAGCAAGACGACGTTTCATCGAATTCCAAAGAGGAAGAAGGGAGTATCCCTGAATCTGGCCGCTCGTGCGCATGATGAGCAGAGGAGGATCGCACCCGACGCCGGCGCGGCCAATACAGGGCGTGCGAACCCATCAGCGCCCGTCGCGAAGCACGTAGAAAAGCTCCTCACGCGCCTGACGGCGTCGCGCTCTCTCCGCCATGAACATGCCTCCCGCTGGCGCTCACGAGATGGCGATTAGTGAGCGGACACTAGTCCGAATGCGGATATCAAGCATGGTGGATACCGTCGGTCCGCAGTTATCTTCGCGATCTCCTGACGCCCTGGACCGTGTTCGTCTAGCGCAAGGGCTTCGGTTGGAGGCGGTGAGTATTATTTCAATGTTTAGAGACAAGAATCATCATACGTTATCCTAGGCCATACAGGCAAACATCAGCGGTGCACTCGCTATGAAGGGTGTGCCGATAACCTCCCTTAACGATGTCCCATCATTCTGTCAACGAACATTCTTAAACACCACGGATGGTTTGTACGACTTTATAGAGTGCGAACACTCTCGCCTCGGTGATGCCTGGACGCCCTTCACGTCTGAGCAACGAGATGACGTCAGAAGTCTCGAGGATATGCTCGGTCTGGTGGGCGTTGGAGTCGACGATGGAGCCCACAGGGTCTGGTGGTTGCATCTCGATGAGAAGCCTTCGGAGCATGATCTTTTCCGAGCCGGTACTGCCGCACAGCTATACCGCACGATGGAGGTATCTCTCAATGTCATGCGCACCATATTCCCTTGTCTGACTCTTGAGGATTGATTCTAGCGATATGGGCAAGCGCCGCCCCTTACCACGCTCGGTTGCGATGGCGCAGTGGTGATACCTGCACCGTATGTCGTGAATGCATGGGAGCATGCGGAGGCCCAATTGTACGCCTTACGCTCCTCGCTACTATCACAACGCAGTTTTTTGCGACGTCTCATCGATCATACTGAGGACAAGCTGGTAGCCTCGTACGAACAGCTCTATACGGGGGCCCAAGGATCTGACGCCCATCTAGCTAGGCGATTCCACGCGAGGGACGGGGAACCTTCTGGTGGTCTCCGTGCCGTGAAGCGCTGGGCAGATAGCCGTACAGGGCGCGTGGCGGGAGGCTGAAGGGTATATGTGTTTCGCATGCGCTTTCGCTACCTCTGAAGTGGCAATCGTTCATTGTATTCTGATGTGTTGCATCATGAGTATCGAGGTTAGGCGAATGAAAATGCGGATTGAACGGAATACAACACTCGACGTGGCGAGCGAAGACCGCTGACGAGGTTGAATGTTAGCGATGACACATGTATGTGTCACAGTAGCTCTGTATCTAGAGTACGGGAAAGGAATGTCATTAAGCAGGTTCACGGGGTAGTGTAATGTAGAGCTACGCGCACACAGGAAACCAAGGATGCAGGTGACGAATGAGGATACAGCTTGAGGAGAAGAATACCAGCGTGAAGGCGAAGATGGAGAGAATGGAGACAACAGAGCTATGACTTAACCACTACGAGGCATCGGGCGATTGCGCGTACCAGCACGACGGCTGCGAGGACCGCCGCGACCCTTACCGCGAGCATTTCCGCGAGGTGCTTCTATCTCCGCAGGCACTTGCGGCGCAGGTTCGCTCTCGTCTACGCTGCCCTCGGCATCTAGATCGGCGTCCGAGCCACTATCTCCCGCATGGCGCTTGGCCGCCCGCTCCTCGTCTCGAATAGCAGCGTCGTCAACGCCGCGCTTGCCGGTGATGGGCGCCCAGTTATCGCCGGTCTCCATCGGATCATCTTCAGCAGGAGGCTGCTCTTCATAATTGCCGGAGGTAGATTCAGTCAGGGGCGACAAGCTAGAAGTCGCGGCGGACCTACTCTCAAGGTAGTCGTTCGGTGGAGATGGGGCGCTAGAAGGACCTTGCACACTCGCGGGTGGACCCGCAGTCGATATAGCGGCTCGTGAGAGAGATTGGGCAGTAAGTTTACCGAGAGCTTCTTCACCGGGAGGAGCGCCTTGGTGTGGCTTCGATTCGAGGCGGGGGGGTACTGCGAAGAGATGTCCATCACCGACGATTGAAAACGGTGTTGTGCGAGCAAGAGGCGCCGGAGCGGCGATCGATGGGTGTGTTGGCTCAGGCCCAGGCGCAGAGCAGCCCAGATCGCCAGTCGGATGTGTAGGGGGCGCTTGGGAAGGTGCAGCCGCGTTCGTAACGGCGCGGAGGATCGTGTTGCCGGCGGGGACTGCAACCGGGGAGTGAATAGCTCGCGTCATTTCGCCAAGAGGGATGGGAGAGGAGATCTGAACGCCGGTTCGAGCGCCAGTATTATCGCCGGCAACGACAGGAGCCGGTGTCTGACCACCAGTTGGAACTCGCAGCATGTCACCCGAGGCGTTTGGGGGCGACGGAGGCTCATCGACTAGAATGCCAGATTTGAAGACGTTGGGGTCAGGAGAAAGCGCCGATCGCTGCCGTGGCGTCTCATCCACCGCGGTGATCATCTGGCTCTCGACCCGATCCATGCGTGTCAAGAGGGCGTCATAGTTGGTGCTCAACGACGCAACGTTCGCGGCCAGTGGGTTCAGCTTGTCGTCCAAGCTTTGCACGCGAGTGCTCAAAGGGTCAAGTTTCGAGTCGAGTTTGAGATTGAGCGTTGTCAACATGGTCGCCAGCTCGTGGAGAGACATCGATGCAGACGTTGCACCGTCGCCGGACAGGTGATCATTGGCGGGGTTCTGCGCATCCTTCTTAGTAGGCCCAAGGCCGCTTGAGACCGCCCCAGCGCCTTTCGCACGCTCCTCCATCGCTTCGATTGTCTTCATCATTTCTCTCTGGTACTGTCGGTCCTCGCGTTGTAACACGCGATCGTCCCGTAGATCGTCACGAAGATCACGGAGCCCATCGCGCAGTTCTTGTCGCACAGCACGCTCCACTATGTTGACGAACACCACGTCGCCGGCGACGTTCAGAACGGGTTGCGGAACTCGAACAATACCGGCATGATCACCCGAGAACTCCATATTCTCGTCAGGTATCACTGAATTCAGAAAGTCAATCGCAGTCTCGTGTAGATGGTCGTCTTGCTTACATGGTGCTGGGCGGTATGGAGGAAATTCGCTGGGAGAGCCCGCTCGGGGAATGGAACGCGTCCCCGGTATCGCGGTGCGTATCTTGACGGGACCTGGCGCCGTACGGCGTTGTTCCGAACCTGAGATCTTGGATTTCGTACGCCCTTTGCCTCTGTCCTGTCCAGGAGCAGGTGCGTGGCTAGCTGAACGCGACGTCGCGGAGGCGCTGCGGTCGTCGGCAAGCTCAGAAGTCAATCGGGAACCTGAAGGTCGAGGTGCCATTCCAGTTGGCACGCAATCTGGTTCGGATTCTCGTGCGATGGACGGCTCCCGTCCGGAGTCAGGGGCGTTCTCGTTATCGCTTGCGCGAGCAGTCCCTCGGCGAGGTCGCTTCGGAGGATGAACATCGTTTGTGATAGATGCGAGTGCGGTGGTCTCGTTCGTTTCGTCTTCTCGGCGGCGTTTATTCGCCACGGGTTGAGTGTCCGATAACTCGGTCATCTCGACGTCACGACGTTCCTGTTCGCGGCCTTCGTTCTCTGCGTCTGGCAGATGACCGTTGGCTAAGGCGACGCTAGCGCCACTAGGCACTATGCCCGTCATTTGGTCCTCCTGTTGACTCTCGTCTATTGTCTCACGCCCAGACAAAGCACCCTCCGGTGTCTTGGGCGCGTCCCCGCCAGCAAGAGCAACTGACGGCGATTGCGATTTGGAAGCATTGGGGGTGGCCGAGACAATAACACCGGCAACTGCCAGTGCCTTGTCTCCAGACGGCGAGGACAGAGAAGGACCGATCGCCGGTTTCGTCACCGACGTAGCAGACTCTCCCGTCTCTACCACTGGTGACAGGGGACGCCTGGCGTTGTCAGAGGAACCTGTCGCTGTTTCAGGAGGGTTGGAAGTGACGGTGTCGCGAGACGCAGCCAGCGAAGTAGGAGCCGAAGACGATCCTCCTTGTTCAAGGGCGGGTAATTTCGCGTCCGGTGCCAGAGGCTCATGAGTGGGCGCGCGCCCGGTTGTCCCTGAAGTGCTGCCTCTCCGGGCACGACCTTACACATGCAAGTCATTATTCTCATGCATAACGTTCGATATGTAGGATCGCTACTGACCGGTCTCGTCCACAAAATGCAAGGGATATTGAATCTTGCCCTTGCTCACCAGATCATCGAGGTACGCCTTTCGCCGAGCGTAGTCTGGCTTGCAAAACTTTTGTTCTTCCTGCGTCTTCGTGGGCGGTGTTCCACCCTTGCAAGGGCCGTTGCTACCTTTCTCCCAGAAGCAGGGAAGACAGGCCTTCGACCCTCGCCAGATACAGTTTCGCTTATGTTTCTGACAAGTCGTGCATGCTACCTGGAAAGACATCAGACATGCTCACGCATATGTCTGGGCGTGTGAACTGAGAGTACCTCAAATTGTACCGCCTGGCCGGTATCCTTGTCGACCGGACAACCGTGCATGCTGGGATGCTCCCACAGTTGAGCGTCAGGTATATGTTGGCCCTCGGGCCATTGCACAGTCTGGGCGTGGTGCTGATTATAGTTCGCGACCTGCCACTTCAACTCCGCAGAAAAGCCGCTGGGTGGAAGCCAAGGTGAGGGTAGGGGCCGGGCCTTGCGAGACGTCGCGTTTGAAGGCGCCGGCACCGTGGTGGTAGGCGTCGTATCGGCAACCGCGGGCTGCGCGTTAGACTTCTTCGCGTCTGTCTTGGGCTCATCTTCCGCGGGGTTGTACGTGGGATCCGAAGTATCGTCCTTCACCTTGACAGCGCGACTTGCAGCGATGGCGGCACTCGCTGCTCGACGAACCGGCCTATTACTCCCGGATGCTCCAGCACCAGTTTCGTCGGGCCGCGGCGACTGTTCTGCTTGTACATGGCGTTGCAGAGCCTTCTGAAAACTTCTGAGAGCACAATCGTATATATCTTGGCGTGTCGGCGGAGAGTCTCCGGAAAGCACCCCTATATTCCTTAGTTAGCTATATTCGCTGGAACCAGGGAGTAGCATTGACTCACAAGACGTGTACCACCACTGAAGCGGTCCCAACACGCTGGCGCCGAGCTTCACCGGAAGCGCCTGCTCCTGGGGCCAACCTTTTGCCAGACTCTCCCTCACAAAGCCCATATCCCACTGTCCCTGCTCCGTGTTGTACGCTCCCTTGTTGATCGAATTGAACATCTTTCGCAGGGGCTTCACCTCGGATGCCTTGTTATAGCCAACGGCAAATTTCTGGAATCACATCAGCAGAAGGAGAGGATAGAGGTTGGGGATTTGCGCACCATCTCCTGTTGCAACAGACCCCAGACAGTGCGCAACCGGGTCTTAGGCATTCGCGAAGGTCCCACTAAAGCCGTCGGCAGAACCTCTAGGGCCGAGTGAACTCGCGAAAGCGAGATGATGCCAGACGACTCGGGGTCATCGTCGAAGAATCGCTGGACTTCGGCGGTGAGGAATGCGGGAACGACAATGTCGCTCATCGAGCCAGGTCCGCATGCTGCCCGAGCCCGTCGTTCAGCACTGCGCGCACGCTCATTATCTTCGGGCGCGAGTGGCGGAGGCGCGAGTGGCGGGGACAGGCTGACAGACATGGTGAGCGAACCGGACAAGTAGCGCAATGGCGCGGAGGTGAAGTTCAACCGAGCGGACGCCGGTGATAGACTCTGGGAATTGATGCTTCATACTTCCGGCGTAGCGCCCGCCAAACTCGTTGCTTAACGTACGGTTCTTGGACCCAAACATCCATCTGGGCGTCTTCTGCTTCGGCGCGGGCGTGCTGCTCGACTTTCTTCGCCTTCCTGCACACATGAGCTACAATCTTACACCCATAATTATATCAGACAGCGAGTCTGACGGCGATGAAGTCGGCGAACTGCCCGATTCCTCGGATAACGGAACCCCTTCTGGCTGTGAGAGCGACGAAGATAGCCTTACCTTCCCGCCAGTCGGTCCTCCCCTCGGTAACGAAGATGATGAAAGCGACGCGGAGATGGGTGATATAGGTCGGCGATATATCCTCCTCCTATTCTTCCTCACTGACACTTCTGACAGTGCTAAATGTTCCCGCTCCCTCCGCTGATCTAGACGGCGGGCCCGGACTTCCCAGCAATGATCAAGTTTCTGACGGAAATAACCAAGTTTCTGACGAAGATGTATTGCGCGTACCCGAGATTGAGCGCCACGGTTATACGATGGACCATACAGACTTTTCTCCTCCCCTCACTGTATCAGTCCCCGTTCCTGAGCCCTTCTCAAGGGCGGGTTTGCAGAATTCGGGTGCGTGCTTGACCCCTGCCTGTTCAATTTAGTACCAATCATCCCTGCAGAACATTTCAATGAGTGGCTAGACCATCTTCGACGCCAGGACGTACCTGAGCCACCGTACGCTGATCACCTGTCTGATCTCGACGCCGCCGTTTATCTCGCGCTCTCGGTCAATGTGAGACGGGAGGCAGAGAACTTATTTCTTTTGCGAGAGCTCTTGGCCCTCAATGAAAGCGAAATAATGGAACTCTCTCGGATTGACTTCGTGGTTGCCCGCGCAATGACGAATCCGGTCATGGAATCCATGGCGCGAGCGCAAGGAGTCGAGTTGACGTTCCCAGAGTGGCGACGTCGCCAAGCGACGATACGTCCCCCCGCAGTAAGCGTGCGCCCCGGCGGCTACAATATCGCCCGCCCGCCTCTGAGCGAGAGCGATACGTGGGGACCTGCAACGTCGGCGGGGTCCTCGTCCTCGACCGGCTTGGCCGTACCCAGGAGCCGCCGAGGTGTATTCGTCGACCCATCTGGAGGTCCCGTACGCTTCGGCAGTCCGCCAGCAGTCAAGGACGAGTATTCTGAGAATTCAGACCCTGACCATAACGGACGACCACGACCTTCGACGAGCAGACGCCGCGTTCGCTCAGAATCTATTCAGGAACTGCCGCCGAAGAAGAAGCCCCGGGACTAGCTCATATATCCCTCCGCGCTGCGCTGCGCGACGCAAGCACCAGATATAAGGGGATATATCGCCGGTCAGGGCAGGTGCGCCGAAGGGAGAAGCTCGATCACTTAACACCACACCCGCATTGTTGTGCTCCAGTTTCTCGGATTTCTTCCTTCCCTGTCTACTAATCTCGCCTGTCCGTGTTGATTTTGTCTTCTCGCGTCCGAATTGGTATCTGCTCGTCTCGGTCTAACCCCCCCTCTCTCTGTCTTCCACATACCCACTTACGATTGAGTATATTTGCTAAGAATGGATATGTTCTCTTAGAGAAGTTCGTGGAAGAACGATACTAGTGTCCCTTCCCGGTACGAATGAATGCCACCCACGACACTCACTGTCCATCCTTGGACTATCCGGGCTCGCGCTCTTGTTCGCCACTTGGCTTCCGCTGAATCAGCCCTCGCGTTCCTAGCTCACGCTGGACTTACATATTGTCGTCGCGCTGACGGGTTTCCCTATGTTAGACTCCCTCGCTAGCCTGCCTGTTCTTCTACCTACAGATCCTGACCCGGTATCACATACTGTGCGTATCTTGCATATGACAAATGAATGGTTGCTTTGTTACAGGCTAATAATTCCGGATGCGATTCTTGAGTCCTGACCTCGGCGAGGTGAACCTGGCGAGCACCGGCCGGGCCCATATGGCCTTTCACAGCCGAGATGAAGTCCAAGCCACAGTTGCCGAGCTACGGGCTTTGCAACGTTCTGGACTTTGCCAATACAACCGCCCAGATGCTCATCCTCGTTCACATGAGTGAGGTCAATATCTCCTACGATGGAGCTCAGTGACACTCGGCATCTGTTACGTTCTTCAGGATCAGCGCCCGGAGGGAGCATGCCGATGGAAGGGGAGGCATACTGGTGGTGAGGTCAATTAGCCGCTATTGTCATTCAGCGTCTCCGACAAGGTTGCGGCCCGCCGTTTAGCCAACAATGCCGGTACAACAACTTTCGCCTGCAATCCAGCGTTTCGTCCCAATTCTCGCAGTCGCAAGTCCCGTCTGACTCTGATGAATGTCTTCTCTGCTCTGCATGAACACCATGGCGAATTCAGAGAAACCTACTACTTTGTGACGATTGTGGCGGGCGGCGTTCGGGCTGTTGTTCGTAGAATATATTGATAACACCAGACGGCGTAGACGACGGTTTTTTCAAGCTGCAGCTGAGGTGGACAGGAAACGAGGGTTTAGGATGCGTCTACTACAGTTGGAGAACGACTGTACTCATATTTGTAAGGAATGAGCTATCGCGGATGCATGTTTCAATAAAATAAACCCAACAACAGCGGCGCTGATCAACCCTGGGCCTCAACAACACGAATCTGAAGAGCACCGGCCGCCAGTCGGCAGGGTGAATTCATGATAGACTCCCAACTGCTGGAAGGTAACATCTGGCTCTGTAACTCTGCAAGTCCGCTTTGAAAATGAACTGTCTCCAGGCACAGACAGGGATAGGCACCGTCTGCCCCGCGGTTATTTAGGTACACGGTCAGAGCGTCGATATGCCCTGCAGTCAGGCAGCCCTCCATGTTTTGAGTGTATAGCGTGCCGCTCGAAAGTGGAGGGCTGTCAAAATGTAGCGCCTTTAGGCCTGTGAATCTTTCTAGGATATGCTCGTATCCCAGAGAGCGATCGGGCAGCCAGGTGTCCTTGGCGAAGACGAGCTCTTGAACTCGACCCTCGCAGCCAGGTACCCTTTCGCCAGGGACAAAGCGGAGAACATGTCGCAGGGTGTCGTACAACGCCTTAGGGAAGTTAGGATTCCAGTCTTGCTCACGGTCCTCCCGACGATATTGCCCATCTCTGAAGGTCAGCGACCGTCGCGCAGCGGTCTTTTCATCTAGCGCCTGGCTCCGTTGCCAATCCCGTGCGACGGGGTCCTGTAAGACCGGCCTCAACTCGTCAACAGACTCGGCGAAGGTTACGCTGACGAGCTCTGGGAACCGCATAGCGGCACGCTCGGAAGGCTTCGTACAGGGATCGATGCGCACGTCGAGTCCCATGACCCTTGATGAACGTTGCCAAATCGCTTCTCCTGGACTGGGAAGGCCCAGTGAGAGGTCCGTGGGTACTGGGTTAGCGTGGATTATGAAAGTACGCTCGGGTTGGGCGATGCTTTGGGCGAAGTCGTCAGGATTCCAGCCCTGTAAGGCTTCCCTATTGTCGGTGTAGTGCTTCGCAAAGGGCGCTTCGTAGGAGTATGGGAGATGCCGGTGTTTATACCCTCTCCAGTACCGTCTCCAAGACTCCACCGGCTCGATATGCAGATCGATGGCGTAAGGCAAGATCATCGCGGCCAGTACTGTGGCTGCAGATATGGGAGACGTGCACAGTCGGAAGTAGCGGAGATTTGGGAAGTCATAGACTCCTTCGATATCGCCCCCGTCGACCTGGAAACCTTTCGCGATGTCGATGGTCAGGTGCTGAAGGGTGCCGGCGCAAGAGCCGAAAGTCGTTGATATTGACAACACGTCAAACTCAACGACAGTGGCTGGGTTTTGGTGGAGATACAGGGAAGTTAGAGCCTTCGAGACGTAGTAAAGCGGTAGGCAAGAAAAGCGGCTTGTGAGAAGGTCGATGCTTTCTATAGCATACATACGCCGCGGTCCAGGGGCGCGAAGCGGGGATTCGAGCGCCTCTACATCAATGTAGCGTAGAGCGCTGCCCGCGCGACCCCGGTTCTCGTAAAGGAAGTCTCGTAGCTCCGATTCCCAGGGGTGACCGCTAGACCACGGAAGCCTGAGTTTGACGCGCTCGAGACTGGCGAAAAAGGTGGAGAGGCCGCCAAGCAAGCAAGTGCACACATCCAATGCAATCAGGTTGCGAGCTCCAGGCCCGATCATAGTCACTCGCCCGTCTGAAATGACCTTGCGCATGGACCGCTCCGCGATCGGCTTATACAAGACATTATCGAGCTCCCAGATGGCGGTGTTTTCGTCGAGAAGTATAGCGCGCAGGCGTCGGGATACTTGAGCTGCTCTATAGGCAGGAGAGGGCAATTCGACAGGTAGGCCCGACATGATGCAGCTCGGCCGGCCGAAGTCCCAGCGGGTGCCGTTGCAGCATGGAAGGATCTCAGATGGTGCAGACGAAGTTTGCGATGCCTGAACCAGGTAACGCTTCACGTCGGCATACGGTGCTTGTGCTGAGAAGTGCTCATGGTGCCAAGAACACTGTGCCCAGGATATGATCAAAGATACAAGCTCAACTGGTAGCTTTGGAAATATGAGAGGCGGGGAAGTAGCTTCAGACATGATGGAGCGAAGAACAGACAGAGGGGAAGCAGCTAGAGCAGGTGATGGGGAACGCGAGATTCCGGATCAATAGTCATGGATCATCGAGCGAACTTGTGCCCGATCAGCGCCGCCGCGCCGGTACCCCTCGCGTGACCGCCTGCGATGCGCGCGTTGAACGCGTATCGCATACTCACTCGCGCAGGAAGGGGAACTCGCCCGTTGGAGAGCTGAATATGCGTGGGGCGAAGAGCCGAGCCGAGCAAGGCTCGAGGCGTCGAAGACGGACGTCCGTCGCGGCGCGCCGCGACGGGACAGTCTGTTGCGCTCGTAGGCTGGTTATATTTGAGAGTGTTACGGTAGATGCAGTACACACTAGATATGTTTCTACCGGGTACTGTGTGGCTTGATATCTTGCAATAAGAGCCTTTGTAGGCTCAGTGGGCTTACTGCTAGGAGATGGACTTGGCCACAGGCTGCATGGGTTCTTGTACGAAGTACTACAGTACAGGAGGATTACAGCAGTATACAGACTCAGTCAGAAGATTGACTTGGCATGAGCTAAGTACTAACCACAAGCGCCGGCGTGTCCCGTCGCGGCGCTTCGCGCGGCGGCACCGCGAATGTTCATCTTCAACGCCTCCAGCCTCGCTCGGCTCGGCTCTCAGCGCCCCGACGCGGGCGCGCGGCTCTTCACGCCCGCGCATCTTTAGGTCTCCAACGGGCGAGTCCTTCTTCCTGCGCGAGTGAGTATACGATACGCGTTCAACACGCGCATCGCAGGCGGTCACGCGAAGGGTACCGGCGCGGCGGCGCTGATCGGGCATAACCGGCGGTGCACCAGCAGCGCGGATGACGACTTACCGCGTTACTGACAAGATGTGTGCGGCGCAATGCTCAATCTCATAGCGATGAGAAAACCCCACATCGGTCATGCAAGCAACCGTCGATGGGTCATAGCGAAGGATGAATTGTGAGATGCGTTCAGCAACTTGCTTGTGGGGTAAAACAATTCTAAGGCAGACGGATTAGGCCAGCATGCAAATCGAACGCATCCCGCCTCCGCAATAATCAAGAATCGATAGACCACCGCGCGAGGGGTCTCAGCCTGCCTTATCCGGACATGAGGCTGTGCAGGCGCGGCCGGTCGTCGAACATTCGTTCGCTCGTCGTCCCGGTTATGTCTCTGCTGGGCCTCGTAATGATGACTCAGCGGGCTTTTACGCGTACGAACGGTGCATTAGACGACGCTCAGACAAGATGATGCTGAAGGAGAGCACATATGTTCGCATAAGTCGTTGTCTGCGAGCGCGAGGACGCTTGCGCAGCGGTCGCGGCTTGCGGCGATCTCACACCTGTACCATATAAGGTAAGCCAAGCACGAGGCTCCACAGGGCCCGTTCCTCGCGTCACACATGCGGCATCTATCTACACAGATCCGCCGAGACTGGGAATCGCGCGATTGCATGGGCACTGACATCTATGACAGCCAATGAGAGACGTCGCGGTCTTCCCTCGGACACCGACGTGAACTTCTCAGATCATCGAAGCAGAGCGGGCCAGCGATGGTCCCTTCTCCATCAAGGGAATCCCATTCCCATAAACTTTGGTGTCAAGCAATCAGTGTATCTTGAACTCTTCACTCACCTCCGATGTCTGAAGTTGCTCCGCCTCTACTGAGATTCGACAGGCTTCCGGCTGAGCTGATCGCTCTAATCATATACTATGCGCAGGTTGCTTGGCGGGACGAACACTTTGCGGCGCAAGCTCCGTACGCCGGAGTGAAGCGATACGAGGTGTCGCAATCTCCTACTTCGCCGTCGGACATACCCTCTTGCTGTAATGGTGCACGTTGGGATTTTAGCCGCCCGACCTGCATACGGTCAGAATCTGGCAAAGGCCTCCCGCCTTCCCTGCCTTCTCCTGCCCATACTATCACGCTGGTCTCGCGAAGACTGCGCGGGGTACTTGAGGGGAATTCTAAGATCTGGCAATTGGACAACACATTGTACCCAGGAATCGCGCGCCGCACTGGAGAACACCGTACCGCCTTTCGTGGGAGGACTATCATAGTATACGGATCGCGTAACCTCATAGCATTGGACGTCTGCGCTTGTCTTCTCCGCGGCCTCCATTCCTTCTACTCTCGTCTCGTGAGCGTCAAGCTCAGGCTGCCGTGGTCCGGCGACCAGAGGCTCGCGACTGAGCTACGACAGTTCCTTCGCGACAACAGAGGTCGCGCGAACAGCCCTCTCCTTAGCTTTGACCTGGAGGCTCTTGACCCAGATCCTCTTCACGTTCAGAACGGCCGGCGTCGGCGTATGACCGCGTTCGAGAGTGTAAACCTTCACGTCAGCCGGTTTTCGGGAGGCAATGTCTACTACTACTCCAAGACGTTGATCTCCCTGTACCTTCATCAAGGTTCTGGCACCTCTGTGCTCTTCGGATCGTCGCTGTCAATTGGTCTGTCGGCGTGCGCCGCCACGATCGAGTATCTGACGATCGACATCGACGGAGGCTTTTTAGCCGATATCGAGGGCAGCATCACATTCCTCAAACTTCGCTACTTCCGGCTTTGCACGGAGCGCCTTTTTGGAGCCCTCTTGCTGGGCAGGCTTGTTCTGCCGTACGCACTCGACCTGCATCTCGAGCAGGTCGAGTCTTGGAGAGAATGGTTTACAGCAAAGCACCCAGGAATATACGAGGTGCCCTTCTGGCCTTCAGAGCATGCACCGGCATGTTTCGAGAGCGACTGGAGCCGGCCCGAGGTGTTTTCTCAAGATTTAGCAGAACCCCATCGGACTGGGATGCACCATAGCGCCCTTCCCCCAAATCACACGGCAGGCACCGGTGATCCAGCCGAATTGCTCTGGCGGCGCTCCACCGCGGTGATGGGGCTGGACGTACGCATCGATCCGAACACCGGGCCCTCCGGGCCGGCGGCAGCCCGGTTCCCCGAGCTTGTCAATGTAACGGTGGCCGAGACACTTGAACAACTCCGACCGGTTCTGATGGACCCGGTGGGTCGCGATGCCTGCCGAAGCCTGGAACTCGGCGACAAGCTAGCTGCGCGGCGCTCCCTGACGTTCAGAGATAACCAGCTGTTCCAGCAAGACCGTGAGCGTGACTTCAATAGTCAGTACCCAAAGGCTTTATACGACACCCTTCAATACGTTCTCGCTCTTCTACCCGACGAGAGGGCGCCAGGCTCGGAACGCCGAGTTCACGAGTTCGTATTCGCGAAGGATAGCTGGCTGCCAGATCTCTCTCTGGGATACCAGCACATCCTAGCGAGATTCACGGCGCTCAGAATACTACACTTCGACAGCCATCTGCTGGTCCCCAATGATCAGCTCAAGCAGAATATGGAGGGTTGCATCGCACCAGCGCATCTTGACGCGCTCGCCTTATTCCTGAATATGCCAGGAGTCGGCAATGCTTATGTCTGCCCTCTCCTGCAAGAAATTCGGCTTCAAGTGACTCAAGAGACGGTCATCAAGTGGGGAACACGCGTCGGTGGCTGGAACGTCGCGCTGAATTCGCCTGGCCGGTTGGCCTCCGGCGCTCGACGCATTGTGTTGACCGGGCTTCTTGATTGATCTTTGAGATGCGGGGCTTTACCATTCGCAGGAGAATGATCAGTAAGAGTACCCGAGATAAAACTACGAGCAGGCTGGGAATCTTGCATACAGATGAGGGATTAGGAGAAATATAGCGATTTCTTGTAACAAATGAAGGTCTTAGTTCTTCGGGCGACTGCTACAAGAGTCCGTAGGCGGCGATACGATCTCAAATGCGACCCAGCCGGTGATGGTATCGCATCACCGGCACCGGTGCCATTGTGAGCGAGCCCAGTGGGAACTTGAATGGGCCCCACATATTTGCCTGGTGAAGACATGTAGGCGGTTACACCGCCACAGGTGAGCATAACAACAAGACCCCAGTTCTACCTTCTCTAAGTTTATGTTGAATAATGTAAGTACGGGTGTGTGGTTCAGCTGTCAGCGATAGTGACTGTCAGAGACCACCGGGAAGCCCCCGTTGCACGACCGCCAACCCAGGGTGGTGACGCTCGCACCGGTGATCAAATCTGCCACAGTCCGTATGGCCGGCCGGCGATGTGAGAAGTGTATCTATTGAAGACAATCATAGGAAAGTGTGAACAAGCTTACTAAATTGGGTACACACTCCGTACCTCCTCGCTCAGCATATTGGCAGTATCTTAGCCACAAGTAAGCATAGTCGGGGGACGCGTGTCGTGAACCCGAATTAAGGAGTTACCTTTAACACTTTATTGCGATCTGATATGAACCTGTGACCGACCAGGTGGCGGGTTCAATATGATGTATTATTTATGGCGCGCTATTAGGGCGGGTTCTTGGTTGAATGGTTGTCATCACCGAGATTTGTTGGCTTCCTTGGGTTCGATTCCCAAGACTTGCATGTATGCGGTATACGGTTCCTTTTTCCCCCATCCCAGCAATTGCGCATGCCCCAGAGAGTTCGCTCCCTCCTCGATGCGATAGAATAGACAATCTATGCAGCCTTAAGTAAATCCTTAAAGGGTGATCACATCGTCCCCTTGCTACGTTCAACTGTTGCAAATCACTTGTGTCAGGGCTTGAGGCCCTGGGTCGCAGCTAAGTGATCGGGCGATAAGGCGGATCTCGATCGCCAAAATACGCCGCACCGGCAGTTGACTAGCGATGTACCACCGCTTTCGGTTATGCTCAGCGCCACCCAACTTTTCAGAACACCGATGGCGATCCGCAGTCGTGGGCGTCTGGCGACTCGACAGGCGAGGCCTATAGCTCACGGTCATCTGAGACCCGGCATTTACAATCCTCTGTGACTGTGCCGCAGGTGGTCATTGGCACCAGGTGCTCAGGCAGATCGCCACGGAGCGTCTGGCCGCGTGTGAAGACATCATGCCCACGCCTTCCCTTGCGTGTTACGTTGCGTAGGATTTTGATGAGTTCTTCGTCTTATGTCCTCTCTGCCTCGCGGACCTCTGTACTCACAAGAAATGGTGTTTCTCAGGGTTCATCATAGCACAAGATCTCAAATGTGTAAGATGTTGGATGCACAGATTACCAAACACTGCGAGTTCGGCATGGGATCTTGGCTGAACGGTTGTGATGTTATGAAATTCACGATATAGACGGGTTCGATTCCCGGCTCCCACATGGCGTTGCCCTCTGCTCGTTTTTTTGCGACTGAAACCCAATCACCCTCCACGAGGGAATGTTATTGCACTCGTGAACGGATCTACTATGTTCCTTACAGATGGAAGTGACGCGAGGTCTCGGGTGGCTCTGGGTGGCATTAAGCTGGTTTTGCAGCGCATGCCGGTGAGGGTTCGCCATGCTGACTGCACTTGTGGAGTTCGACCGATTGTCCAGGAGATGCATTCTTGATACATATTATCGGGTTCATGGCTGAACGGCTGTCACGTCCACAAGTCGATGGCCTTGACGGGTTCGATTCCCTCCGCCTGCATCTCTGTTAGGTATTCTTTTTGTCAGCTGCCCAATCACTGACTGAGATATGATCGTAGCACAGATAGTTTTACAAGTATAAAGGTGTCCTCTATTCCAAGCCATATGTTTTGCACTGAGAATATGGTGGATTGTCTTAGATCATTTACTCTGCTTACTGTAATCCGTGGCATCCACCATCGCATGAGCCACTATGCTCAGCAATATCGCCAGAGCACGTGCGGGCCGAGAGTTCGGCGCGGCAGCCATAGATATCGCCGCCGGCGATGTGATTGCATGACCAGGCTAATGGGGAGAGGCTTTTGTCAATCGTTCCAACACATGGGCGGTAACGCACCCGGCGGTGTTTCAGGTCTCGTGCACCAACCCCCTCCCCCCGGCGATTCGACTGGGCTGCGCGAGCCCGACATGTGGGAACTGTGGCCCAGGCGACCTGCTCTCGGGCGCACTGCTCCCGGGCGAATACACTATGTCTCTCCGCGCCGGTGCTTCATATGTTGTTCGTGATGCCACTCGCACATTGTTTCTGTCATGCTTCAGCTCACCCCTTCGCATCTGACCATAATCCTTGTGCGAAGGGCACGCGCAAGCATCACCGGCATCGTTCAGAGTAAACGTCCCGGCCCGGCCCCCCGGTGCTCGGCCAAGACTTACGCCGCCGTTCCAAGTTCATCACTTGGGACATTCGCCAAGGCCTGGGCTGCTTGCGCCCGGGGTTCTTCGTTTCCCCAGACCGGATGATGATTGCGTTACGGTTTAAATATTGGGTGCGACCTCTACATATCATTCCCCCAATCCTTAAGACATCAATCATAATCCCAGACATCTATGCAAGCGTCAATCATGTATCTCATCCAAGGCAACCTGAGAATTGACGCTATACGTACTGTCATCGTCTGACCAAGAAGTGGAAAATCGCACTTCCCATCCCTCCCGTCCCTCAAACCCTCCCATATACCACCCCGACCCCTCGAAGTCTGGCAGACGTACATGCTCCATGTTTTTCCACATACAAGCTCTCAGCTCGCGTACGGTGTTCTTCAGAGCGTAGCTGTCGTCGTCAATGACTCCGTACAGGACAAGGGTCTTCAAGTTGGGGAAATAGGGCGCGAGGTGGTAGATATCGACCATTGGGCGCAGCCTTCCGCCGGCCTTTATGATTAAGACCTCGGTAGTCTCCAGATCCACGGACGGGACTTGAGGAGATGACTTTGCAATGCCCCCGCATATCACGCTTACTAGACGCTCATGGCTTGCAATCTGTCCAACGTTCACGTCCTCCGCCGGGCCCGGCGGGTAACGCGTTTCGAGAACACTCCCAGGCAACCGGGCGGTGAATGTCCATTGACGAGACAGGTGCACCGGATTCTTCTCCGCCCAAGCCTCTTCTTCACTAGCGGCGAATGTGAAAGTCACCAGCTCTGGGGACTCGTCGTCGGGAGGCTGGTCGGTAGGCGCTTTTGTTTGGTAATGCAGAATCACGACCCGGCATGATGGAAATCCTGGCCCACTCAGGCAATCCACCGTTGCCTCTGCAATGAAGCGATCGATAGAATGGAAGAATATGTCCAGTCGTGGGAGTATGAGGTCGGCGTGAACAGAAGCCGTCTCTGGGATGGTGAGCTTTGGCCACAGGTACTGCCATTCCTCAAGTTGCCCGCAGAGAAGAAAATAACGAAGATGGGGCAGAGATACTGGTAATGCCACGGCGGCCGTCTCGTTTGAGGAAGCCAATACCATCTGCAACGCGAGCTCCTCTAGCGATGGGCAGTGGCTGAGAAGGAGGACCAGTTCGTGGCCTGGTATAGCATGATCCCATCTATCTGCAGCGAGATTCAACCTGCGAAGCGCGACACCATACAAGGCGAAGGGAGGGTTCAGCGCGACCTGAACCTGAACCTTGTGGTGCTTGTAATGGTGTATGCGAGACCGGTTCAGCCGGTCGCCGAGAGCATAACGGTGCGCAAGATGTTGCAGCTCGCTATCGGGGAGATCACCCAGCCATTGTCCAAGGAGTCGAGGCGTGTTGGAAATGCCCGAGCATTCGACGGAAATGGCGACATCGATGCGAGTCACCTTGGAGAGTTGCGACTTCAACATCCCCAATATGCAAGGGCGTAGGAGGAGGTGGGATGTAAAGTCCAAGGGAATGGCCGGTCGCCGGTCTGTGCATTTCAGCGCATGAGACGTTGCAGCCGGAATCAACAGCGCGACGCCCTCCCAGAATTCCGGTAGATCGTACAATGCATGCCTCCGGAGGCGATCGATGGCTAGCAAGCAAGCGACTGTAGAAGTCGGTGAGGGATCGTCGCTGCTGCTGTACCATAGAGCCTGGCCCGCAACAGGACCGGAAGATATCTCTGAGGCACAAGCTTCGATGTGGGATCCGTAGGGTCGTTTCATCCTTAGCTGAGCGGAGTCCTCAAACTCTCCAGGATAGCGAAATGAAGTAGGCGCGAGCGGCTCGCATAGACTATCAGGTAAGGCTAAGGAATCGAAACGGACGTCGCGAGCCGAGATGACATCTGCTACAACTTGAAGCGCGATGTTTTGCCAGAGTTCAACGGGCAGAGTTGTCAGCGACATGGTGGTTGTCACCAGAGTCGTAATCGGGAAATTAGTACCAGATCATATCGCGATGATGTAAATCGGCAATCTCCGCCGACTTACGGCAATCACCGTCAGCAGGCAAAACAGAACAACATCAAAAATCACAATATTCCCCACAGGAGCCTACTACCGCCAGCACCAGCGACCACCAGACACTGATACCGGTGAAGCAATAGCATCGCCGGCCCAGTCGCATTTCATATCGTGTCGCCGGCGCCTAGGTGTTATTCACCAGTCCGTCCTGGTGAACCGGCGGCGATAACGGGGCGCGCACACTTTGGAACTGTCGCAGCATCAGGCGCAGACGTGGTCAACAACGCCGGCTAAGTGTCCCCTCTGGCTCGCTCGGTTTCTTAGCTTCCTTTCCCCTACGTTCAACCCTAGGGTTCGGTGCTGGTACGGGACCAATCCCGGAGGCAAGCCTAATAATTCAGTAGGCTGCGACTGTCCTTCCTTCGCGAGTGCGGACACCCCATGCGCCTGGCGATGGTGATATGAGCTTCAAGAGGGCGAGATGTGCATAGCTCTCCAGGTGCTTTCAAATCCTAGCCAGCTACATACGGTACATATAATGAGTCCAGGGAGCCCGTCATGTGAAAAATTCGAAGGCAAGCGTAAATTAGGCCTGTATGCGAATCGAACGCATTCAGTCTCCATGATCTTTCTATGACATGGAACCGCTCCACTATGAAGGCCCCGTTGAGTCTGAATAGGCCAATGATAGGCTTTGTTCGGTTTGCATGTAGATCGGGAATCTAACCGCAGAACGCCGCGACAGATTGGCAACACTTCACCCAGGGATGCTCGCTTCACCAGACGTCATACTACTGCTCGTCTCGCTAATCTCGGAACTCCCAATGAATTGCGTGTACTGAGCCTACTAACATAGCGCCAGATGGCCCCTCGTTGATGACCCGCGTCAGCTTCATCCTCAAGGAGACAAAACGGCACTTCGTGCAACGGTGTAGATGGGTGGACCCCCCGATCATACGTGGGCGCGGTGGCTCGCCAATCTACTACCGGCTCGAGGTGCATGTCTATCTGAGCTGGGAGGCGCAGACGGCTGAGAAGAAACGCTCCATCGCGAGCAGGCGCCACAAGGCGGAGATACCGCAATTCAGGAAGCGCAACCGGGTTCATAGTGTTGATGACGGCGGCACCGGCGTCGATGGTCAAGAATTGTAGGTTCTCGCGACAGGCGACCAACGCCACGAAGAATTGGGGGCCCAGTCGCGGCTTTAGGGAAAGAGGATAGTACAAATAGAGAGAAGTTAGGTGGTGGGAGTAAAAGATGAAGTCTGCGCTGATTGTTCGCGACGTCAATAGCCCCACGGTGGGCAGTGCACGAACAGCAAAGCGAACAGTGCTACGGGAGTGTTGGAGTATCTCCATGTCGAAATGCCTCAACGGGCTCATGAGTTGACCGTTGTGTTTGGTGAAGAATCTCTCCGCATTAGACCCAGGAATACCGGGAGCGTGGAGGGGTAGGGCGACCTTGACGTTCTGTAGCGATTGATAGAACGGTTCCAGACCGCGCAGGAGGCAAGAGCAGGCTTGCAAAGCCACCAAAGTACGCGAGCCGTAGATTACCGTATGTCCTGTGCCAGCCTCATTCGAAACAATCATTCGCCGACCGGAGAGTTTCGCATTCTCCTTGTATAAGACGTTCTCGTTCTCCCAAAGGGCAGCATAAGAGAGAACTAGATCTCGCAGCCAGTGACAAGTCAGGCTCAGGGAGTGCGCGGGAGACATCTCGACTTCCGGCAGTCTCTCGCTATAGCAAGCGGGCACCACCCGATATTCTATGTTGTAGCAACAAGCTTCGGCGCGCTGGACGCTCTGGGGAGTATGAGCGTCCAAACGCTCGACGCCGGTACATGGGGCTTGAGCCGCGATGATATCGTCGTGCCAGCGCTCCTGAGCGTACATTGCAATCTCGGCGATGAGTTCCACTGGAACCCGGGATAGTGGTGAACGTCCATCGACAGACATGTTAAGCGACAGTTTCAGCTCCGAGGCGCAGGAGTAAGCAGGGGTAAGTGAAGGAAGGCAGCAGAGTTTCGATACTTCGCGGCTACTGCTCGTCTCACGGTTGCGGTCACGCCGTTGTACATGTCTCTCAGGGTCTGCTAGCCAAGATGGTAACAGGCACGGGCCGATTTTGCGCCGACTCTCAAGTGCCTGCTTCTCATACGAACTCAACAGTACAGGTGATATCAAGTTGCTGGACCGTCGTGCGAGTAAGACAATGTCCCCGTTGTACGTCTCTGAATCGGCACAAGCTCGATCAGTACCCAGGTCACCGCGGTGGCGAGCGCTTTGGAAGCACGCAATACCCGTCGGTCTAAAGCAATGCACTTCCATGACGTTGAGGGCCAAGGAGGCGGATGTACTAAAATTGGGCGGGTCCGATGCGTCACATTCGCGTTGAGTAATAATACATCCCTCCAGTGCAGTTTGCTCCGTGCAGTTTGCCCCAAACACTAGCCTCCATTCACACCTACGCCGACATGGCGAGCCGACAATGCAGGCGCGATGATGTCCATGGCAACTCCATCGGAATCGCATCGCCCGCCTGATGCTTGAAACCCCCACTTCTGATGAATGGGAGGCAACTTCGAGAAGCGCACTTAGGTTTCATCTCCATAGGCGAATGGTTTCCACAACGTATGCACCCGGAAAGCGCTGCGGAATATTGTTCCTACTTTGCCCACCCACGTCCCATCCCCGCAAAGTGCAGCATGCTAACCGCAAGGGAGCAAAGTCTCGAAGACACGACCAATGCTCAGGTCAGTAGCTGCTTACCTTATCCAACAGTCGGACTTATTCTCGTACTCTGACACTGTTCTTCCATGCGATAACTATCCCGGCGGCAACGCTTTCCAAGACGCTCAGCGGACGTCTTCTCGGAACCGATTCGGATCTTAGCCGGGACAAACACTATACATGAATAGAGGGGTGCAGACAATATACATTGAGGGGTCGTGAAAACTGTTTATACATCCGAGGGTCGAGAATAATGACAATACATTCCAGGCACCGCATAGACAGAAGCAGTCCAACCACGGAACAAAGGCAGAGCGAGACAGGATATATTTAGTGACTGGCCACGATACCCGGTTGCATGGCCGGCACGGCTTCGCGGAGAGACAACATGAGCGCATTGTGGCGTTTCGTGGCATTCGACGCATTGTCTACAACCGTGCATCGTTAGTATGGTGAACATGAATTTGCACGAGCGACATACTGTTGAGCGTCTTGCGAAGGTCGCCAAAACTGTCTTGAAGAGCCGTCTTGACTTGATCGATCTCAAACGAATAAGTCTGAGAGAGATTGGTCATGCGAGTATCGACGGCATGCAGGTCCGCCGTCTGCGCCGCAACCTGCTGCTGATACTTCTCATCAAGGACGCGCTGGGCTTCGAAAGCTTGTGCGTGACGGGCAAGATTCTTGTTCATGCCGTCCAGCTGAGAGGTCAGACGCTGCATCAGTTCTGTTCAATGTCAATTTGGGGCTGTCATGGAGTGATCTACGGAACCCACCCAAAGCACTGTCGCTGCCGGCCCCCCCAGTGGATTGCGACGTCGGAACAGAGGGAGTCTGACCGTTAGGGGGCGGGGGAGCGCCGTTCTGATGACCAGCGGGCGGCGGATGAGCTGAGTGGCTGGAGTTGGACATGGTGGGGGTTGGATTTGTGGTTCAGGCATGCTCGCAAGGATTATATACTCCCGAAGGGCGCGGATCATTGCGAAACGATCCATAGGCCCCCATAGTCATGTGTCAGCTCAGACGTGTGTACCGGCTGCCTGTCTCCCCTTCTTCCCTCGTCCTCCAACTCGACCGTACACAGTTCTGCCCGCTCAGCATGCTGAAGATCATCACATGGAGAGCGTCTTCATCGCATGCCCAGAGCGCTCTCCGGCTGACTCGACGTCTTGAATTTGTGCTCCCACGCTTTCGGCTTGTGCCATTGCCGACGGTACATCGTAGGCCCTGTATCGTCTCACACGGTCTATACAGACACAGCCTTCGTTTTTTCGCACTGTCAGGATGGCATGCAGGCATCGAGATCTGCGTCGTCAATTACGGTAGGAGTCCAAGCGCGGACACGCAGACAGTGATCATAGCCTAGACCCAAGTTAAGATCGGCTGTTTTGGTGAAAACGAGGGAAAGGTATGCTGGTGTCCGTACGCACGGGCGCATCTCCTGTCGTCAGCCGTGCACGCGGCAGGTTACAAACCAAATGCGTCCATGTCACAGCTGCGTGGAAGTTTGGTCTCCAAATCTAGTCCAGTATTCGTGGATTGTTAAGGACAAAAAGGAAATAACCAGGCGACGTGCTGGTGCGTATCCTAACTTGCCTGCCGGTCAAGACCTTGTTGCTCAGAGCTTCGAGATTGCTCTGGCAGCGTGAGGTGCCAACAGGTGAGTTTATTACGTCGGTTCCCGCCTTAGAAAAAAGTCTCCCACAGGCAGGCGCCTGTGGGTCCGGCTCCGGTGTCGACGGTCCTTCTGATCCGCCACAGCTCGGTGATGCATATATATGATATGTTGACTTCAACTTCGATGCCTCGACGCGTCCTCCTCATCCACAATGTCAGACATAACCATGGCCACCGCCACCACTGGCACACAAGCGGGCCCGCAAACCGGCGCCCAACCCGTTGCCGATGCGGGTGCCCAAGGCGCCCCAGGCGGCGGCGGCGGCGGCGGGAGCAACCAGCCCGGCGACCAACCCGGCGGACAAGGGACAGGCGACGGTGCCGCTCCAGGCGGACCAGCTCCAGGCGTTGCAGACGACCCGCTCATCGGTAAGCATCTCGCCATATATCGCTCGTCAACGTGCTGACAATGGACTTCAGCGGTCTGCCGTCGCGCGCTCTACAACGCCGAGCTCCTGTCGCTAGGTATCGACTCGCACGCGATGCGTATCGAGGCCCGGCATCACACGTACACAAGTCAGCTCGAGGCCATCGGCGCCTTCGCCGGGTACTACACGGCATCCGCACGTCGCCTGAATGACGCCGAGGGCGCCATACGGCGCAGTTGGCGTAATTTTGACCTTGAAGTTCGCCTCGGTGTCGCGGATGTTCGCCGCGACCTTGAAGGTCATTTTCACTCTAGGCATCGCTCTTGAACTGGTACTAATATATTCTTGTTCACAATCCTTAGCCATCGATTCGGTTGCGGATTTACAGCACGCGGAGCTAGTCGATCTGCTACATCGTATTCTCTGGGCATACGGTGCCCGCGTGAATGTGCCTCAGCCCTTCCAGCAGCGCTAGGTCAGTTTGGTGCGCTGGCGCTTGCGTGTATCGAATATCTTGACTATTGCTTGTATCATGGACTGTGGATTATCTCACGCTCTCGTCAAACCTTACGTCTGTATTTTTCCAAAATGTATGGGGTAGTGCCCCTTGTTGCTTTGCTCGTGAGATGGCCGTGCGCGTCCGGTTTTTTCTTGCCCTGCATTCGGTCATCAAGGATCTGCGCAGTACCCAACGGCTACTGAAGACATGAGCTGGCGCTCCGTGAAGGTTGCGCCGGCTAATCACACACAACGCGGCGATGAATTTCAAATAGCGGCCCCGGCACACCCTATCGCCCGGGTTGTTCGGGCTGAGTAAGTACGCCCATAGAGGTCTAATTCGAAGGAACCTTCTTGTCAGCAGTCTCAAAGACCGCACCTGCACACCTTGAATACCACGATCACCTCGTGCCATCTTACGAAGGACAGCCTTCCTCGGGCGAAAGGTGCCCTGTGGCGTCCGGGAGGAGTGGTGAGGCGTAAGGACATTGCTATACATGTATACATTCTTCTCTCTCGCTACCGAAGAACCCCCAGTTAGGCTATGTCTCTCGCGGCGTTTGACAAACGGTCATCTTCGAGAGCCTCGTTGCAATCGTGCGGGTCCGGCTGAGAGACAGGATCCTAGGCGATCGCGCGCGACCTTGACATGTGCCCAGAATTCTCCCAGGTGGTGTGACTCCTGGGTGAAAACATCAGGGTCCCTCCCACATGCGCAGCCGCAGCCCGAGGACACGAGTCTGCGGTATTTCGAGGGGATCACCTGCTTGGGTGTCGCCGAACATGAGTCTTCTGATTTTCTGCTTCGACAACTTTCACCGACGCTTTCCTTCGGGGAATGGCTTCGACGCATTAGTGCACCTCCGAATTCCCGTTCGCGTGTCTTCGCGTCTTGAAATCTCCACATTTCCGGCGTCTCAGCAAAGGCGATCGTTCACAATCGTAGACAAAGTCAGTTCCCTCCGGCAACGCGGCCTTCCCAATCTTCCCTCTTGCCATCATGTCGGAATCAGCGTTCTCAGGTGTGACGAATATTAAGTCCCGCCTACTCAGCTTTTCATATTCGGTTTAGCACAACACGAAGCATGAATCAAGGCGCTCCTGGCGGAGGCTGAACGGGAGAAGGAGAAGCTCAATGCTGAGCTCGACCACGCGCTGGAGACCTGTACGCCCATAGCGATGTCTTATTCCCGTAACGTCGTTCTGATGGCTTGTCAGTCTCCTCAAGCTCTAGTCCGGAAGGAGTCCCTACTAAGCTCCTCGACGTCAACCGCACTCTTGCGCGCATGATCGAAGCCTCTGACAACAAGCGGGCCATTCAGTCAGAACAAGTCAGCGCTATGGTTGAAGAAATCGTCGCGCTTCTACACGCTCGCATCCAGACAGAGCCAGAGGTCGCGAGTGGACCTGCCGGTACGTTCTTTACCCACGTTTGCGCCATCCATTGAGTCTGTCATTCGACGCTGAAGATACAGTTCATACAGTTCATACTTCACCGGGGGAACCAGCCTACGGCGGTTCGGAGGGCAGTGCGGGAGCATGAATAACGACATTGGGATGATGGCGCTTTCCTCATTTCTATCTACTGGTCTCTCAGCGTCCTGCTTCATGCCGGCGTTCAGTGTGCAACAGTTTGTCCTTATGTCTTCAATACGCGGTCGTCTCTATAGACCTTTCTTCATCAAAGGAGTCGCGCTGAAGGCTATTCGAGACGCCGCTGCAAGGGGCCCTGAGCGCCTGAGCGGGTCCTGATACCATCCCGGTGTATCTTGCGAACCAGTATAAGGGTGATCCTGTCATTTCCGATTCGTCCCGTATGCGGACCTGAATGGCGCGTTGAACATTGTCGTGAAGTGTCGATGTCGACTTAGGCAGTGGAACTTTGCTGGTCAGCCTTAGTCGTGGTCTGAACTCCTGCATCCCCGTATCCTCGCCTTGACCTCCAACCCCCTCCACCATCCTTTGGCGGATTTTCCCGATTTCGGCGCTGGGCTTAGTTGCCGTAGTTCTCTCATATTTGACTTTCGCTCAGGTCCTCGCCTATCGCTGAACGGGAGATGGTATCTTTGTGCAGATCGGGTGATCATTGCAGTCACGAGAGTTATCGCCGGCTGCCCGCTGACCCTCCCTTCAGGCCCTGGGCACCTGGCCATTCTTGCTGCGCCGACGGGCGGCGGTCCAAGATCCGCAACACCCATTCGACGCAAGGCAGTGCGGCACGGGTCGCTGGTATACGTCCGATCGCCAGCGGATGGGTTCGCTTGCAACGTCGTTACGTCTGACAGCCTCGCTGCGAAGCTGTCTTCCCCCGATGAGCTCATCTAGGGTCTGTCACGGCGGCTGTTCCATCCGGTGTTTCTCCTGCCGTATAGGCTCATAGGTTTCCCGATTGGCGGCATGCGTGGGAGAAAAAGGGGGACTTGCCTTTATATATGGAGTCCTTGCGCATCGAGATTCTCCAATACACCATGACTTCGCAATCTGATGTCACTGCGGGCTTGACCTTGCCTCCGCAGGGTAAGACCGCTTCTGACACACTGTAGAATACCGGCGCTAAACTCATGACAGGAGACGTAGTGAATGCACTGACCGACACTGTTACGCACGCACTCGTCCAGTTGGAGGTTCACGTCACCGATATGAATAACTTGGTGCGGTCGACGTTATCGGGCGACAGGGATTCACTGGCCCTCTCTCAACTCGAGCGAGAGATTGCTAGACTCCATGACACCCTACGATACGAGATGCGCGCTGTCGATATGACGCTCAAGGTGGGGTTGGCCGCGCTGCGCGAGACAGGTGAGTCTGCTCAGCCGTCGCGTCGTGCTCCGCTCATGAAAGGCATTAGAATTGTCAGCGGTGCCTGATGGCCTTGAAGGCGGCGCGCCGTCTCCTCCCACCTAATTCAAGATGTTCCCCACGCGCCTTTGTATTCGTACTGGGTCTAGTAGACGAAAACGGCAACGCGTTGTTTCCATTGTGCATAGTTAGATTGAGAGTTGTTAGCAACAATATCGTCGAAGACCTGTGGGCGCGATGACTAGGAGCTGGGTGACCGTAGCTACTGCAGAACACCTAGGGCGCGGTGCTTTTGGTTTGTGTGTCCGACTATGATGCGTATTCGGCCGCTTCGTGCTTTGCGGCACTGTGAGCTTGGCAAGTTTCAGAAGGCATGAGTAAGTCTCGCCATCCAGTCCAGGTCTAGCACATCGGGTAGCTGCCGAAGCCGCATTATATTATGCTCGCACAGCGATGCTGCCAAATCGATCCAGTCGAACACCTGAAAACGGTGCATGAGTCGAACGCCTCCGATGGTAGACGGCGAACAACACCTTCTGGATGTCAAGCAAGTGTCTTCGCGAACATGTATTACCCAGCGAATGGCACGCGATACCCATCTTTAGCAAGTACAAAATGTCACGATGAGTTCGCCGCTTTTGGGTCTGAAGCCAACCGCGTGAATACAGCCGACGGCGGTCCAGGGCTCGTTCAAAGGTGATCGCGCAAGTATTAGAGTCCGGCGAAACAACCGCAGACCTCCGACGCCCAGTCCTGGCAGATGATTTTAAGGTGCCGGGTTGTTCCGCAGACGCGCGTCGCCGCACCAAGCCACGGTGATCATGTGACCATTGTGACGTGTCTCGCAGCGGCAATCTGGCATGCGCTTGCTTTCGCTTCTTCTCCCGCCGTCATGGTTGCCGTCCAACTCGCCCCCTTTGCCTGGAAGCAAACGAATGCAGTCCTCTGTAAGGAGTATCTTCAGGCTATCTTGTCCTTCAAGGGTGACAATGTGGGACCCATCATCCACGTATTGAATGGCATCGACGGCTCAGGTCGGCTCCCACCTATCGACGTGTTTCCATCGCGCAAGGCTCTACTTGAATTATCTTGGCCGGCAATCTTTGGAATCTCCCTATTTGCGTCTTTCCGGGACATCTATGTTAGTCATTTATCGACCCGACGTGCCACACTGACCCGTGTATAACTGACCCCCCCGTTACTGATAGGTGTTTGCTCGGGTCATGGAGTCGATCTGGCAGGTCTACTTCCTGAATAGCCTGCGCTTTCAGGCCCTGGGGCGTCATTTGTGGTGGCAGAGGTTGCGCTCAGGTGGCTCTCTCGCCGACTTGCACTATGCTTCTGAAGACCTCCGCTCGGGACGGGATATCGCCGAAGAACTCGCGCCCGTTGATCTTGTCATACACCGCATGTACCATATCTGGACCCAAGAACGGGGTTACCCTGGTATGGGACACGGTATGGACTATGACTGGGTTGTTAACGTCGCGAATTTGTGCTTTCGGATCACGTCTACGCTCCGCTATCGGCATATGTGGGTAATCTTCTTCAGCCGAGATCGCCGCTGAATATTCTTTAGTGAGAGTGGCCAAGACAGAACAGTTTTCTTTGCGCAAATCAGACAATACGGCCAAGCCGCGGATAAGCGCCTGGCGTTCATGCTAGCAGCGATTCATTGGAAAACCAACTCCGACCTGCAGAATAAGATCGATACGTTGAACATCGCCTACGAGGTGACCCCGCCGCTTCCTGGTGCTTTTGTGCAGGGCCTGTACATAGCCAGCCTCTTTGGTCATTCGTCGGTTCCGCTTGGAAGGTTTGAAGCACTCCCTCTCCCGGTGAGGTTGGCCATTCGTCCCCCAACCGAGATATGGCCTGAGTTGCAAAAGATATGCATTTGGTGCGGTGAGGAGAGTGCCAGGGTATGCGCTGGTTGCCACCGAGTCCGATACTGTGGTCCAATTTGCCAGAAAAGGTATGTGCGCCTTGGTGGCCGCGCCATGATGATTGCTGACCTTGGCCGTAGGCATTGGCGGCAATCCCATAAGCCAGCTTGCTCTACGTACAAATTTCTCCCTCAAGCACTTCCTGATCCAGGCACTACTGCCTGAGTTTCATTGCCGCCCTCACACTTGGTCATCTCTTCATTGAGAATCCCCGTCCCTGATTCGTATATCTCGTTTAAGCTTGGTTCTAGCAGTTAACGTAGACATATGAACGCGTGTTCGGTATCGTGCTATACGACGGTGGCTTCTCCGCGCCACTGTTGATCCCCAATCGTTTGTATCCGCTGCGGCATACTCTTTACAAGGCGTTCATTTCCCTCACATCTGCTGTGATACAAACGATTTGGAGCTGTCGCCTGACGTTCTTCACTTCATAAGGGCGGGACATTAGAGGCGACCAGTCTATACGAACGTACAAGCATGAGGTTGTCGCCTACCGAGCAGTCAGCAGGCCATGTAGCGTATTAAATCGTACGCGCGACCAAGCCTGCTCAAAAGTTTGCGGTGGTGCCTTAATTCTCCCTTGTGACTGAGACTGAGAAATCCTCAAGCCTTCGCCATCAGCCCAATCGCGAGCACAAAAACTCTATCAATTAAGCGGGTAAAGTAGAATAGGGCGGTATGAAAAGACGAGTGTTGTGATGAATATAGAACCAGAGATATCAGCGAAAATGAAATATACAGTGCAAGCAGCCATGAACCTGAAACATCCAATGAATGGGTACCGAGCATCTGTCGACCTAACCGCTACGAGGCATTGGGTGATTGCGCGTTGCGACCCGTCGAGAGCGATTGCCGGGAGCCCGGGGGGGACCTTTGGCGCGGCCCTTGCCACGAGCAGGCGTCACGGGACCTGGTTCTGCTGCAGTTCCTACACCTTCGTCGACGCTGCCCTCCGCATCCTCATCGGCACCCTCAGCATCGATGGCGTCGTCGCCGGCGTGCCGCTTGGCTGGTCGCACGTCGTCGGATTCGACCTCGGCAGGTCTCCGCTTGCCCGGTGTCGGCAGCCAGTCGTCGCCGGTCTCCATATTCTGATCCTCGACGTCCATCTCTTCGTCAACAGCCTTCTCATCCTTTGAGGCCATCTCCTTCTCCTTCTCTGCGGCCTGCAAGAGTTGGAGGTTGCCCGGTGACAGATTGGAAGTCAGCGGTGACTCAGATTGCGCCGGCGTTTGAACGGGCTGAACATGCGATGCCGTCGCCGGCGAACTTGATGTATTCAAGGTCACGGGGCCAGAAGGAGCGACGTTGCGTGCTCTAGGCGTTGGCGTATCCTCTCGCGAAGGAAGCGGGGGTGGCGAAACAACCTTCAGGGCGCTGTCAAGCGCGTCGCTGGCAACACGATGAGGCTCTCTCCCCGCAAAGTCCAAATGCGTCTCCCCGAGCGCAGACGGATGCGGCGATGGCGAGCGTTCACTATGGTTGGGCGTCGACGGCTCCCTCACAGGGGCTGGAGGCTCATTATCCGTCGCGCCTGATACACCCTGACCGCCCGTGAGATTGTCTTGAGAAGTTGGGCGTGAATAGGTGTGGGCGGGTTCGGGAGCGCTCTCACCCGTAGACGATGGCGGCGGGTTGCCCACAATTGATGCGCTCAGTCCTGATGGGAGCGGCGGGCTCAATGTCGCCGGACGTGTCGGCATCTCATCGCCCTTGTCTATGCCTTCAGTGGGCTGCGAGGCGGGAATGGGACTCTGGCCCCCATATGGACCTCCACCGCCGCCATTGGCCTGCGCCTCGAGACGATCCATGCGCGTCGCCAATGATCCGTAGGTGGCGTGCAACTGAGCGACCTGCGTAGACAGAGGGTCCATCTTCTTATCCAAGGTGTCGACGCGCAGAGTCAGCGGATCAAGCTTCTTGCCCATGGAATCCATCTTCAAGCCGAGCGCTGTCATCATCGAGAGCATCTGCTGATAGCCTGACTGGTCCGGCGCGGCAGTTGATGGCGCACTCTCAACGCGTGGACTCTCGAAGGTGGCTGCTCTGGCAAACTGTCCTGGCAGCGCATCGATCTTCCCCATGAGTTGCCGTTGCAGCTCCCGCTCATCGCGAAGGTCAGAACGGACGTCGCGCAGGTCGTCGTGAACGGTCTTGAGTCCTTCCTGGACTCCATGTCGGATGCTACGCTCAACACAGTCGACCAGAAGAATATCGCCGACACTGAGTGGGGTGCTCAGCGTCTGGGACACGCTCGAGGTGCCGGCCTTATCCCCGGCAGTACGCATATCAAGGCCCGGGATGACTAGAGGAGGTTAGACGAGCCTTGGAGTATGGAGGACTCTGACGTACCAGGTTGTGGCCGAACAGGAGGAAACTCGTTGGGGGAACCAGACCGAGGTATAAAGCGCGAGCCCGGCGGAGGTAGATGAATTGTGACACCGGGACCCGCGGTGCTGCGCTGAGCTTCACCCGATGGTCTCGCAGTTGAGCGGCGCTTGGCCTTGCCGCTCTCGTGTGTCGCAGTAACCTCAGATGGAGCATTGCTTGTAGAACGCGAAGTACGAGGGGCGTCGTCGCCGACTTCGCGTTCGGCGGAGGCGGACACTGCACGCGGCAATTGCGTTGCGGCTTCACTCATTGCCACGTCCTGCGAATCTGCGGCAGGGTCGGCGTTCGTTTTCTCTGCCGCATCATCTTCAAGGCGATTGCGCTTTCTGCGCCGGGAGTCGCCGTTGGTGATTGTACTGAGCGCCCCGTTCAGCGGCGGCTCGACCTCACGCGTTCGCTTGCGTGTCTGAGAATGTTGTGCCGCGGTGTTATCCATCTCCGAGTCCTGCACATGGGGGCCAGGGATAGAAGTCGTGATAGCTGGAGAGCGCCCCTTTGCATCAGGCCCCCCTTCAGGCAGCGGCGCAACCATGACTGACGGCGGTATCACCTGTGGCGCGGGTGACGTGGCGAGCAACGGGGCCGATCCCGCGGTCGGCTGCTTGGACAACGAAACGAGGGACGGCGTGGCGGCCGAGGAGATGTTTGACACGCCCGCCGCCGGTACCGCGGCAATTGTGGTCATGGACGGTGAAGCAGGAAGCGGCGATGAATCCCCGCTCGTTGACAGACGTGGCTCTGTGTCCGCTGCTATCACCGGTTCGACGGCAGAATCGCCAGATGGCACAGCAGACTGCGCGGGCGCTTGTGTAGCTGGTGAATGAACGGAAGCTGGCGGAGGGGGACCGTCGACTGTGTCCGCGTTAGGCATCGCGGACGACGACAAGGAACCCGCGCCGATCTGTTCAGGTACGGGGGCACTTGAGCCGGGAGCCTGTGTCTCTGGCGCGTGCTCGACCTGGTCAAGGTCTGCTGTAAGCGCTACCGGCGATTCTGACCGCCCTGCGGGGTCTGGGTCTGGAGATGGGCTTGGGACTCTTGGACCGTTCTCCGGGGCAATAGATTCTTCTTTCGCCGGGCGGGGCGTCGGGCCCGTGGTCGTGCTACGGCGTGCGCGCCCTATGAACGAAGGTCAAAAACGGCGGCAAGCATACAGCAATCACCGTACCAGCTTCGTCAACAAAGTGAGAGGGGAACTTGATCTTGCCCTTTGCTTCGAGCTCGTTGAGGAAAGCCATGCGACGAGCGAAGTCCGGTTTATAGTGCCGCAGGTTGTCCGACGCGACGTCCGGCTGAGGCGAATGACAAGCACCGTGACTGCCCTTCTCCCAAAAGCAAGGTGTACACGCTTTCGAGCCACGCCACCAACAATTGCGCTTGTATTTCTTGCAAGTAGCACACGCCGGCTGAAGGGGGTGTATGAGTTGTGAACCACGAGTATCTCAGGCAGGGTTTGAGACATACCTTGCAGAGCATTGGCATACCGGTTTCCTTATCCACTGGACATCCGTGCATAGAAGGGTGCTCCCAGAGAAGCGCGTCGGGTATCGGCTCGTCGGCAGACCAGTTAACGAGCCTTTCGTATAATGCATTGTAATCCTCGCATTGCCACTTCACGTCCGCTGTGAATCCAGGGGGAGGAAGCCAAGGAGAAGGCGCGGGTTTCGGTTTCGGCTTCCGACCATTCCCAGTTTCTGGTGGCGCCTCTGCCTGCCCTGCATTGGCCTGTTGCTGTGCATTCGCGGTGGATGCACTTGGTTGAGGTGGACTTGCGCGCGATGTTCTGTCGGCTTTGCCGGGCAGCCCGGGAGTGTACGTGGGGTCAGAACCGTCGTCTTTAACAGGAATCTTGCGGTTAGCCGCAAGGGCAGCGTTCGCAGCGGGACGAGGTGATCGGGTACTGCTGGATGCATCACGCGGAGCGGCTTCCGAATTGCGCTCGGTTTGAAGGGGCTGAGTTACCGGTCCGCGCTGCCTATGCGTGTCGTTGAACTTCTGTAGAGCCGCGTCAAAGATGTCCTGTCTCGTGATCGACTTATTGGCGGCGAGCGAATCTGGATAAATACAATTCAGCGTTTATGAGCGAGCATGTACAAGAAACAGGCTGCAAGTAGACACATACCGAGCGAGTACCACCACTGTAGTGGTCCCAACGCGTTGGGTCCCAGCTTCACAGGAAGCTTCAGTTGTGTCGGCCATCCTTTCGCCAACGCCTCCCGCACGAACCCCATATCCCACGTCTTGGTTCCCGCGTTGTAACCGCCTGTGTTAATGGTCTTGGCGATGCGTCTCAAGGGTCGATATTCTTCGACGGCATGACGCTTGAAGGCCTGACTCTGAGCGAAGTTAGCCGATGGGTACTCGGGAAAAGCAAAGAAGACGCACCATTTCCTTTCGCAGAAGAGACCAAATAGAGCGCAAAGGAGTCTTTGCAATACGCGAAGAACCAACGAGACGCGGAGCGAGCAACTCCAGCGCAGTGTACACTCTGAGAATCGACACGACCGCGGCGGACTCTGGATCCTCCTCGTAAAATCGCTCGAGCTCTTCATCGAGGCTGTCGCTGCTGACTAAGTCTGACATCGTTCCCCATCCGCACACCGTGTGAGCTTGACGCTCGGCAGCAGGACTGGTTGTCACAAGAGACGAAGAGTGCGTTTGGGTCATGATGGCAAGACGAACCTTTGGTGAACGAAGGCGACGCGATCACCCCGCGCGTAAGGTCACCGGTCACGCGGCACCGTGGCCAAGGGCGACTTAGGGCCGGCCGCGTTGATCGTTCTTTAGCGCTGGGAAAATGATCCCCAGGACGCGTCCTGGCTTCCGTCTTCCGGCGAACAACGTTGTGCGTCTCGTCATCGTCGATACTGTTGCAAATCTGCCGCCGATTTTGTTCAACCCTACTGGTGGCCCATGCCCGAGCCTCCCTCGTCCGAAGTTATCGAAATCTCCGATGACGATGCCGCCTCAGATGATCGACCTCCTTCCCCAAACAGCAGCGAATGGATGAGCGACAGCGATGTTGAAATACCAGACGATCCCCCAATCGGCCCTCCTGTAGGCGACGAAGACAACGAAAGCGATGAAAATATGGGTGTGTGCTTCCGTAGGCAAGTCTAACATCTGCTGAATGCCTGCAAGAAGCAGGGCAAGGACCGTCCATCGTCGCGCGCGAGAGCACTGCTCCCCCGCTTCTGAGCGATGTTGCCCGCACCGTGGATGGAGAACTGAGGATGCCACTGGTCGAACGACATCCTTATGTCATGAACCACGCTCAGTTCTCTCCCCCGCTTATGGTGAAGGTCCCGGTGCCAGAGCCGTTTTCGAAAGCAGGTTTGCAAGATTCAGGTGCGTCTTAGAAGCCCGAAGCATGGCGTAATTCTGCGACCGAGCTTCGTACAGATCACTTTCATCAATGGCTTGGTCACCTCGCGGGTGATGATGGTGTCGAGTCGCCGCCGTACTCGGAAGAACTCTCGGACCGGGATAGAGATCTGTACGGGCGTATAACCGACAACGTGCGACGGGAGGCTTGCAACCTTCGTCTCCTTCAGAAGCTTCTCGCTACGACTGAGTGCGAGATTCTCGAGCTCCAGCGTACGAAGTTCATTCTTGCGCGCGCCGCCACACATCCTCTAATGAGAGCCGCCGCCCTCGCGCAGGGTGTCGACTTAGAGATTCCCGCATGGTTGCGCCGACGCGCGTCCGCTCCCCTTCCTCGGTCTGGTTTCCAGCCTGACGGCCGCGCGCCACCGGCTGCCGCGGCCAAAGGCAAGAAGAGCGTCAACTTGCGATCTCCCGCGACCAACACCGTGTCTCCATCACCCGTCGCTGGGCCCTCACCATCGGGCCGCCCACACGTTGGACCAGGCGGAGGTAACCATGACCGGAGAAAACAACAGGGGGCTGTATACGTTAACGCGGGGAGCCCGGTGAACTTTCTAGAGACATCGGATCATCTACAACACCCGCTCGCCGGACCTTCAAAGCCTGAAGCCCTAGAGGGCTGTACCTCCGGTGTGCCAACTTCTCTCGGGCCAGTTCCGAGTGAAGGTCGGGCCGGCGGACGTCGACAACGTTCGGACTCCGCCGGTTCTGACATAGTTGAAGTGCCGCCTCCCAAGAGGTCGCGAATGTAGATCCCGTCTCAACTGTCGCTCCAGTAGATCACGGTTCGTTTCGCGCGACTCGCCGACCACGGACTTTGCGTTTCGGAACGTCTTCAACTAGTAGTCGTCTTTTCACAATTATTGGTTGTTCGATGGAGCTTCATGTTCTTAAACTGTATCGCTGATGCGGACGGCTCCGTGCTTGAAGAATGAGCTGTATCATGTGGCGATGACCGGCAGGCGTTCGCCGCACACCTGGGTTCCCCCGTAGTGAATAGTTCGTTGATGGAGAGTCAAAAAAGCCTCCCTATCACAATGTGAAAGCCCCCAGTGAACGCGCGAGGAGATGGATCAAGCACCTCGCGTAGATGTTGAGGAAGCATTCGTCAGCGGACTTTATTTCTAGTCGATAGGGGGGTTCTTGTAGCACATGCGTCGCTCATGTCGTCATCTGCTTGCAACTGGGATATTACTCCTGTAGCTTACTCGAACCGCTTGCCGGTTGGGTGGTAACTGAATACCGCGTCCCATTGTGCTTGGCATCAACGCCGGCACCCGGCGCTTTTGTGCGGTCAGCACCTTGTCACTACTGCGTCACATCGATAAGATCACCATGTGACGGATTGTTGACGTCCTGTTGCGAACCACCATGTCTTCTCCTGCTTTACCTATTGTCTTGTCTGTGTCTCGGGTTGCAGAGAAGCATGCTCGTGCTGCTTGTGGGACTGGTTCTTTGGACGATGCGCTCTCTGCTGCGTTGGTCAAGACCGAACTTGAGGATTTCTACCGCGCAAACGCAGAATTATCCGGACCCGTAGCGTTTTCACGCTTGCGCGCGGCAGTGAACGCCCTCTTCACCGCTCTCACTAACGCTCGGGGTGCGACTCTGTCACAGTTCCCCCTCTTGTGGGAGCTACTTGTAGTGGAGCAGGTTCGTGCTTCTCTATTCCGGCCGCGTAGTCGTCCTAATTCACGTGCAGGTCTTTTTCACCACCTACTCGCATTCGCCGGACCTCCGACTCATGCAAGACTTCCTTGACGCCAAAGGACACTCTGAGCCGTCTGTTGAAATGGAATCGCACGCAGACGGGTTCGGAAACTCCGGCCACGGTCCATCGGCAGCTCTCGACTTGCATACTCTCGGACCGCTGCAGTGGTGGCTTGCTCTAGGTCAGCACCCGTTGTTTATTTTGCACCGCAGGATGCTACTCAATTGCGTGCAGATAATCCATTGACTTGCCGTGTACTGCGCCGGCAGGACATCTATGACAGTGTCGCGGACACTCTAGTCGAGAGAGAAGTCCAAGCACTCTCGCCGTCGCCTGATCCCCAGCCAGCTCCTCCTCTCCCTTCCGCCATTCCACTCCGCGCTACCATCGCCAGTGAAATCAGTGTCGCCAGCGGATCCGCGTTATACACCGGTGATAATGAGCTCGGCGCGGGTTCAATTGACGACGACCTTGTTATTCGCCGCCCTAAAGCGCTGCCGTCGCCTTGGCTTCCTCCCGTCGGCCTCGTCGGCGAGATTACTTGGCGCATCGAGGATCTGAACCAGCTTCGCCAGGATCTTCTCAACTGGCGGCAGAATGAACGTATCCCGGATGCTCTTATCTGGGAGCACCCAGCGATGCATGGATGCGCAGTGGATGCTGCCGGGCAGGCTGTGCAGTATTTGGTCTGTCCAATGCGTTAAATCATGTTCAAGCTCACGCGTTGACTCTTCGTCGGTCAGGTACCATGCAACACGTGCAAGAAGTTTGGTCGTAATTGCTACTACCGAGGGGCCCAGGCTTGTTTACCGTGCTATTGGGAGAAGCGCGGTAGGTGCGTCGGCCATGTCCATCCTGTGATGACACGTGAGCAGGAGAGAGACAACAAGCCGGACTTCAAACGGCGTGTGGGATTTGTGCGCGAGCTGGTGGACGCCGGTGTCATTGAGTATCCCAGTCATCTGATTGACTCGGCAGGTATGTTGTTACAATGTCCAATGGCGGCTAGACGTACTTACGTCTGATTTCAGGCCGTCCTATCCGGAAGTGAGTTGCCAGCAAATGGCGAGTCATCTTCGCGTCACCCGCTGCATGGACCAAGGTCGTATTTACTATCTGGGGAGAGTTTATCCTGCCGATATGTACTGTTGTTTCATGTGTTTACATTTTAGAAATATGAGAAGGTGGTCTTCTAGACAGTTGGTATACCTTTTTTATACAGCGAGAACATGTGCGATGTGGTATAGAGAGAATATCGAAGCTTTGCAACCAAGTGTCCGACAACAATGAAATGCCCGAGCTTCGAGACATAAGCCGGGCGAATTTATAATAGCCAGCCACCGATCTGGTATTTGTGAACCAAAACCCGGACTTCAAAGAAACACCGGCACAGAGTGGCAGGCAAGACGTGTTATGTTGACGTCATCTTGGAGTCAGCTGGTGATTACATGTCATTAATCGTGATCAACGGCACGAATTGCCCTGTCATTGACTGCTGCTTATGCATGTGTAGTGCCACATGGGGTCGGAGGAGGAGGAGGGGGGAAGTGAAGGCTGGCATTCCAGAACCCGGGCCCGGAGCGCTAAGGTAAGCTTACCATTGTATTCGGCGTACTCAAGAGTCCCTACGCACCTCTTTACAGCCCAGGAATCGGCCAGGAATCGGGGAAGCGCGAGCATTTTAGGGGGGAGGAGGAGAAGGGTGCGAAGGCCACTGGGCCAGAACGGCTGCAAACGCTGGGAATCTGAGCTCACCAGTGAAATGCCAGTATCGTATAACCCTAGTGCACATACCTATGTCATAGTAGAAGCACAAAGTAGCGTACAGTAGCTGGCCAGCCCAAACAAGCCTGCCAGCTGCCTGCCTGTTTGGCCCGTATTTATTGTGAACAGTACCCGAGATCTAATGAGGTCCATTTTGCGATGTAGATACCTGTCCTATACTCACCTGGTACAGTGGCTTGTACTCAGAATTGAAGCCTCGAACTGTACAACAATACTCGGCGAACTCATGCAGCTCGCGCGCGAAGCAACTCGGTCAACTCGCCCGAAGCTGTTCCTCCCGTATTTATTGAGAACAGTACCCGAGATCTAATGGGGTCCGTTTTGCGATGTGGATACCTGTACTGTACTCACCTAGTACAGTGGCTTGTGCTCAGAATTGAAGCCTCGAACTGTACAACAATACTCGGCGAACTCATGGGGCGCGCGCGACGCGACTCCCGCAACCCGCCCGAAGCTGTTCCTCCCGTAATTATTGAGAGCAGTACCCGAGATCTAATGAGGTGCGTTCTGCGATGTAGATACCTGTACTGTACTCACCTAGCATAGTGGCTTGTGCTTACAATTGAAGCCTCGAACTGTACGATTATTCTCGATGGCGCAAAACACGGAACACGCGCGCCATGTCTGCCACGCGTTCGCCGCGCTTCGTGTGTGGCATGCTCGAACTTCGCGAGCATTGTTGCTCACCATTTACCACCACGACCTTTCTGCACTCGCAGCTCTTCAACTTATTCTCGAAATGCCAGAGTACCATGAGGTTCAACTGATGGTTCGGTATTTCAACTATGTCTTTGAGAGCTTCTGCCGGCGAACTGGTTGGCCTGAATCTTGGAAGCCCACACTTCGCACTGTCTGGTACCATCCTATCAAGCGAGAATGCGAGGCATCAGGAGCTGCGGCGCGTAGAAGGGCCGGATATGTCGAAGAGCTGCCCATTAACTCTATGGTGATGAGGGGAATGAATAAGGGCAAGAATAAACGGCAGAGGAAAGAGGACAACAGTCGCCATTTCCTAGCGCCCAGAGGCCGACTTCCTCGAGGGTCATCGTATACAGATCTATCTCTCCAAAGTGTGACAGCCACGAGTCGCAGTCTTGTTCTCGATTTGGGCAAGGCGATCTTCCAGGTGTGTTCGGTCGATGTTGTTCGCGTGCTGTGACAGATCTAATGAATGCCCAGTTTCAGTTCTTAACCCACACGAACATCCAGTTCTACACCCCCGAAAACTGGGAGGCCGTGAAGGAGACTCCAAGATTCAAGTATGGGACCTCGTCCGAACAGCGAGTGCGTATAAGCCCCTTTAATGGACAAGACCTTTACTGATGTGGGTTTAGATGATCACCTTTCATGTTGCCATTGCGTTCGACTTTGGGGATTTCGTCCTCTCTTTCAATAGTCACGATCTTGTCTTCTTGGTGAGCCCCAGCATATTACAGCATGCCTATATATCTGACGGTCCTTCCAGCCGACATGGACGACTGTTGCAGATGCGGCGGCCGGCAAGCTGAACCATACCGATACACTCGACATGGTCAATGACTTCGATGGATACCTTGAGCACATTGCGGATTGGCTATCGACTGTGTATCCGCTCCTGCCCGACCGCACCAAGGAAAAAAGTATGTATAAGTTCATGCGCGACGAGGCCACACTGTTCTCTGGGATTGGCGTGTATTCGAGATCCGAGATCTTCATCCGGAGCGGTGGGTTCGGCTAATGGCTACAAGTTCCTCTGGCTAACATCGAGCGCAGGTGTGTCGCCCGAGATGACTTTGTGTGAGGTTGTCGAGAATAGAAGCCGCTTTTACAGGATCATCCTGTCGACACTCGAATTCAAGCTATTGGTCGACAGACTGTGGTGAGTTCCTATGACCTCTTCCCTGACTAGGTGCTCATACACTATATACTCGTAGGCTCGATTTCGTCCTTCCTGTCATCCGCAATGATCTGGTAGCACCGACGGATGATGAACGGGGTCGGTTCACAGCGAGCTTGCTCTGTCATGCGCAGGACGTGGTCAAAGCGCCCGAGCGGTTTCGTGCGGCGGTCGAGCGCTACAATAAGGAGCTGGAGGTCAGTTCGTCTGCTATCTGCCACCATCACGGCCCCTTATCTTTAGTAGGTTGTGCCATCTCTTGATACTGGCGAGTCATCATCTATCGAGAGCTCATCTTCTTTGGGCAAGGGAGATCTGAGTGAAGTCGAAGAAGAGGAAGTCTTTCAAGATATCGAAGAGGTCGACGTGCACGCATCCGATTTCTCCAGTTACGATCCTGTTGAGCCCATGTTCTTTGTTAACGCTCTACGTCTGGCCCCCGAGTTCGGTCCCGCCATCTTCGGGGTCGAATATTGGGCTCTCCATCTCCAGGAGCTGGGCCCTTGCACAACTCGAGATCACAATCCGGTGGTTAACGCTGACATTCAGAGCGGTACGACACCACCTACTCTGTTCTACATGACGCTAACCTAGCTTATCATAGGTGCATTCTACTCTGGATCTCATGTTATTGACACGAGTCGACTTGATACTCTTGTTCTCCCGACGCATCTCATGAAAAAGGCGCACATTCCCAATGGTTTGTACAACTTTACCGACTCTGACAAGATCTGGACGCCGCTGTATGTATCCCATCGGCTTCATGTTTCACTTTACGAGCTAACCAAACATCCAGTACGATCCTTAGTGGCTGGCCCAAGAAGAACATCAAGGCGTTCTTTTTCAAAACCATTGTGCGCACGAAAAATATCGTGGTCATTGGCATCCTCGAGTTCTCGGGAAATGCGGTCGCCATTCGTAGAGCAGGCCCTGTCAAGCGCAAGAATCAGTACCTGTAAGTTGTATCATGCTTTTTCCTGTGCGAACAGTACTGAACATGCCTTACAGTGCCATTCCCTCGCGCGGTGTCATTCCGTCACCCGAATACATTGGATACTCTACTGCTGAGCGTAACTTGATCTCCTCGATAAAGAAGGTTGATGCAAAGTACATCGCGAAGGGCGATGGCGATGCAAAGGGTAAGGGCAGGGCTAAGGTGTCACTTGCCAGGGAAGCCCTCCGGGTCAGACAGTCTGCGAAGCAGGCCTTCCAGGAGATGTGGGTCGACAGGTTTGGCTGGGACAGTGTTCCCAATCACAACGACGAACTCAGCGAGCTATCGAGTTCTGCTCCAGGCTCCCCTCCTGCAACAGATACAGATATCGAAAGCGCAGATGTCTCTCGTGCGGCGACACCCCCTCCTGATCAAGAACCCTCCTCCTCTGCTCGTGGACATAAACGCATCCGCTCTGACCAAGCGCTCATCCGCGATACAACTGCAGTCTTGGAGGAGAATACGAAACGCGCACGGAGGGATCGGGGAATTGGGATGATTAGGAGTGTACATCCGCTTGATGATATTTTGAAGGATCTCAAATAGTTATCATTGTTTGATTGTACACATATACTTGCCTCATGAGACGCGGAACGAACGCACCGCTCGCACAAGGTCAACCTGCCCGAGCGCCGAGACTGCGCTTCCCGCTTTAATTGAGAACAGTACGCGAGGAGTAACTGAAACCATTTTGAGATGCACGTACCTATACTACATCCATCTGGTACAGTTGATAGCACTAGGAATTGAAGCCTCGGACTGTAAAATAATCTTGCCCGCCGCGTGCGTGAGACGCGGAACTCGTGCGCGCGCAAACATGGTTGACCTGTTGAACCATGCCCTGCTCAATGATTCAGATGCTGTACCCGAGTTCGACTTGCGTCTGAGCGAGGACCCCAATGCGCGCGTACTACTCCTTAAAGCCAGCCCGCCGTAAGCAACACCCATCCCTTCTCGTGATGACGGTGAGATGCTGTCTTGCTGTGCCACCCATGCAGATACGAGAAGGTCTTCGCGTCGCGCATCCCGCTCGCATGGACCGGTGCTCGGCATGGCTGTGGACTGGGCGTATACGACGGTCGCTCAGGCCTGCGCGGGTGGTCGTGCTTTCGTGCTGAACCCCAGCAAGATGCTCGGCGGATCGATGTATGTTTCTTCCCCCTTCCCTCGACCATCCCCTTGACGCTCGACTGTCCGTATACAGGACTATCAATGCGCACATCTACCAACATTCTGCGCCACAAGACCTTGACAGGTGCTCTCGCGGCTGCACGGTGGCTATGGGACGGAACAGGGGTCATGCGCGGGCTTGGTGCGCCCGGCGCTGCGTTTGTGAATGTCAATGACCCCGCGTAAGTGCATTCTCATTATAAGTACGACGTGAACTAATGCTTTCGCGTACAGACTGCAATCACCTCCACCATCGGAACCCATCACGAACAATGCGCCTGGAAGCGCCGATGTCGAGTTGGTGTGGTTCCCGCTAGTCGTTGTCTACTTCGCGAATACAAGTCCATGGGGCAAGGAGGGAGTCATGACTATTGGAGTCTTGTAGTTAACAGGTCTACACAATCAGCAAAGACATGCATCCCCCAGTTACCATCATCCCGGTCAAAGTCGAATCCAGCCAAAATCTCCCTTGCTGCATCCAGAGTCTCGTCACGAACATCATCTTCATCGTTATACTCGGGTTCATTGTCCTCACCCACTGTAGGAGCAGCCTGTCCATCGTAACCATAGAGTGGGTTGCGAGCCGTCTCGACAGGGTCCCCAACATCTCCAGTCCACCAGCCTTCTCGCATCGCCCTGGTTTTACTAAGCTCGTAAAGGGCGAGTGGAGTGCGGTTACCCTCGGTGCGCATACGGTGTTTGTTCCAAGCCTGGCGATGACGATCAAGCGCGGCCTGGATGCGTGGTGTGTAGACCAGATGGAGGCATGTTCGGTGGAGAGGATTTTCGCGCTCAAGGAGGCCGATGCCCTCAAGGTGAAAGAAGATCTGTCGGAAGGTTTCGAAAACACCCTTGCGTGAGTCCCGCCAGGTGCGCTCCATACGAACATTGTGCATAGACCTCAATACGTGTGAGTTAGTCTATGAGATACTACTGGGCCCGAAGAAACTCACAAGCCTCGCAAGAACGCATTATGCTCCTCTCCCCAGTGCTCAATCATGGAATCCTCCACTGAGTTATTCTCCGTACCGTAGTCGCCACGGACGCGGCTGGGCCAACCATATTCCTCAATAGCTGCCTGGAAGCATGCGTTGACAGTGGCGGCCGTTTTGTTTGAACGGCATTGCATGTAGATGATCAGCCTCGAATGCCCATCAACACATCCGTGAACATAAAAGCCCCACATCCTCAATTTCTCGTTCCCATCCATATGCCACAGTGCATTGCTCCCGCGGACCTGGTATACACGCCGGCGAAGAAGGCCAGCCCAGCTGATTGACTCAGTGTGATGCATCATCTGAAAAAGAATGCTCTGGCATACCGTGTGAATACTCCTAGAGGATCTACCCGGCGAAGAGACTCTTGCACGCGGAGAAATGCCACCGTGATATCGCGAGCCTTTAGATGTCCGTCTACGATACGGGCGCCATCAAAGGGATGCAAAAGGGATATCTCAGCCACAATCTCATCGAGATCCTCATCGCTAATGACTGTGTGGGGGACCCGAGAGGCACTCAGTCCAGCACGACTAAGATGATTGTACAGTGTTTGGCGTACAACACCCATTGCAAGAGAGATATCGCCCCAAGAACTGCCCAGAGAGTGGAGATACAAGGCACGATTGAGGTCAAGCCGATAACGTGGGCGCCCTTGAGAGCCGTCATTCACGGTAGGTGGTCGAGCAGATGGGTCTCCTAAGGTCTGAGCTGAGGGATACCGGTCTACAAACTCTTGTAGAGGCTGCAGCACAGAGTCAACCACACGTATCAGATCGGCCTTCTCGGTCTCGGATGTGCGAGGGTCCTCGAGTGTTACAAGAATGCGCCGACAAGCAATGAGTTGGAGAATGAGGCGTTCCGCTGCCCGAATCTCAACATTGGGTATTGATCGCACAGTGAATGTAGCATCCCAGTGAAGGCGGTGGCACTCGAGAAAGAATTGATGGATGGCATCGTGCTGAGAATGAGGATCGGCGAAGGGTTGGCTTGCTCCCGATGGCTCCACTGGATAAAATTGTAAGGACAGTTATGTATGAGTATCAAGTGTACGGACTACTGGAGGCTCAAGACAGTACACAGATTGATGCACAAGGCAGCACTCAGGGGCAACACAGCGATGATGACGAACGGAGGCAAGGGACGGAGGGAGGATGACTGAGGAGGCGAACCGGAATAGCCCCAGCAAATAGCAGCACCCAGATGTTTGGACTACGTAGTGGGGACGCATGTGTGTGTGCGACTAGGACTCAGGTATGTGTGTGACGGGGGGTAACATGTATGTGCGCAACCTAAACTTGTGTCAAGGTGCGACATCTCCTCTCGCCTCTCCCACCCATGTCAATCACGGGGCTTTTCGCCCCACTTGTCCTGCAATCTTTATTGGACACTATAACTGCCATAGGGCCGGTACCAGCCCGGGCATATCCAAAAAAAGTAACGTAGTTCGAAAACAAGACATCGAGCACTTCTCAGACTGACAGACAAGTTGAAGAGAGACTATTAGTGGCGAGTCCGAACGGGCTATTCAAGAACGGAGTGAAGGAGAGTGGGACGGTGAAGGTATCCGCAAAGAGGCAGCTTTTGATGATACATGTACATTTTTGGTTGCGATTGCATTCCGGGACAGAGGGTGTAAGAGAGAGAAGGCGGCGATGGAGGCAGCTATTGGGAGGAATATGCGTGGTTCGGAGGCGGCGTGGTGATCTCCTGGTATATCATCACTACCAACACCCATGAGCAACATCGACGACAGTCATACCCAGGATGCAACCATACCTTTCAGCTCCTCCTTCCCCAACGTATCCGGCCCATCAAAGTCAAAGAACGAGGGGTCCAGCGGCGGCGCAGTCGGCTCGTCCTCCGGGTCATGATACGACTCGAGATACGGATGCGCGAGCGCCTCGGACACATCGATGCGCTTCTTCGGGCTAAACGTCAAGCACTTTTCCAGGAAGTCGATGGCCTGAACAAGGAGCACCCCCGAACCGCAGGTCAGTACGTCACGTCCTCAGAGTTCGTGGTTCAGAAGCGAGAAGCAATAGGGAGGGAAGAGAGAGAAGGGGGAAGGGAGGGAAGAGGGAAGAGGGAAGAGGGAAGAGGGAAGAGGGAAGAGGGAAGAATGACGCACGAGCGGGTTCGCGTTGGGAAATAGTTGGCTGAAAGGATGTTTCTTCCGGAAGGGCAGCGCGCGGAGGTACTCACGCGAGCGCTGGGACGTTATAGCGTAAAAATCGTCGAGCGAAGGCGTGCCGAGGATGTCGAGGATAAGTGATAGCTGCGAGTGATCTGCGGTGGCCCGTCAGCTCCAAATGGTGATAGACGAGAAGAGAGGGCGTACAGTTTCGGCCCGGGAAGAGCGGTTTGCCTGAGAGCATCTCGGCTAGTACGCAACCTACGGACCATATATCGATGGCTCGGGTGTACTCTTTGAACGTGAGCATTGTTAGAAACTGGACACTATATTAGGTACACTCAGTATGTAGTGACGATACTGTACGATACCTGGACACTATATTAGGTACACTAGCGCAGTAATCTATTAGTATCCAAGCGTTCCATGAGTCCGTAAACTTGCCCACCTCAGTATGTAGTGACGATACTGAGGAAAGGCTCGTACGCGCGCGTCCGCTCCCTCAAAGGTCGCGCCCGTGCCACTCGGCGTCTGCCGGGGCTTCGCGTGTCTCCGCATTGTCCTCCGACAAGCATTACTTCAGGCGCGTGGTACCATCTGTGTGATGGTTGTGAGCTTCGGCCGATGAGGGGTATGGGCGCTACGCACCGTGTTGCGACATATTCTGTTAGGAAGTTGCTGCTGTCATCGAGGTTGGGTGGTGGGCGAGCTGACAGCGAAGTGGTATAGGGCTTTTCTCCGCGCTCGAGACTGAAGTCATAGAACATCACAATCGGATCGCAGTGGGTGAGACATGAGCCCAACACTCGATGCTTAAAATATCTCGCAGGTAACAAGATCAGGGAGAAGCCGGAGAGGAAGCTCGGGCGGAGCTCTGCGCCGGCAAGTGTAAGTATGGAGGGGAGAAGTAAGTGCATAATGAGACGCACACGTATATGACTAGCTTTGGCGGTATGTCAGAGCTTGTCCTTCATCTAAGTCTCCGGCCCTTCAGATCATAACCCCGAATGAGGTTTTTCACCGTACGACTTGACATATCGTTAGAAACAGTCTGCACGTGCACATGGGGCGACGTTGACAACGTCATTGCAAAAGCGAAAACCAAAGTGTCATCGCGGAACGCCAAACATTGACTGATGACGCAGAAACACTGCTCCTGGAGTACGATGACAGGGGTGATTCAGCATATGGACTACATGAATGTACGAAGATGCTGCGAGTGCGCACGAATACCTAGGCATAGGACCGGGTTGCCAAGCGATCCATCACTATCTCTTCGTTAACCTTTTCCAGCTTTCCGTGAGGAAAATATGGGCAAGATGGGCCATGCGTTGGGCGGTCGCATCGAGGGCAGCGATTGTGGGGACGAATCGAGCTGCTCCGGTCGATGTGGCAGGCGACGGCCAAGGTGGAGTAGATTTTGCACAATTAAACTCGTTGCCGGATCAGGCCATGGGGGACCATACTGGAAGGGTATGAAGGAGAGCTACATAGAGCAGGGTTTTTTGACCGGCAACGTCGTCGGATAGACTGGAAGTCTGGACATGGTGGATGGGAATGAGAGGACACGTCAAGCTCGAGTCGTGTCCTGTCGCGTCCGACGCGTCTTGAGCTTATTTAACCCCCTACTTCCATCATCATGCATCATGTATCATGCATTACCATTCTTCGCCGTGAAAGGGACCTTCAATCATAAAAACTCATATGATAACACAAGGTTCCTAAGCTAAACGCCTCCTGGATCTTTGAATTTTGATGCGCATTTGTTCTTCCCAGCCTCAGACGAGGCGCTCACTCTCGTCGAGTGTCACGTAGAATTGCTTCTCATCTCGGGGTGATAATCCCCCGCAGCTTCTCTGCACGACCTTACAACCTATCCCTTCCGCGCGCTTCGGGGTCCGACGCAGTCCCGGCACTTCTAGTCTCAAATCAAGACCCCCACTCCGGAGCCGGCACTTCTCCCGCGGGTAAAAGTGAACTTTATCCTTCATCAACATGCAAGCTCATCGCAGCTATAGGGGTACACGAACATAGTGCATACAGTATCAAGCATTGCACGGGCCCTTTCATCTTGCACCAATATCGGACAAACGGTCCTCCGAAGTTCAGACGTGCTCTGCCGTATCATTCCTCACACCGCCGGACCCGGGCCCGCGCTCGGACAAACTTATGCACCAGTCCCGCCTCGCCACCTAGTGTGCACGTTTACATAGGGCTTCTAGTGAAGCCTCGCTGAATCGGCGAGTACGGCGTATGGCCTCAAAATGGAGTCATGGGCGGCCGCGCTATGTCAGGATCGACCAGGTACAACACGCGTAAAGCAGTGCGAAGCTTCTAGAGACCAACGGTAGACGGTCATCGACACATTCGACTTCGGTGTAACACTGATGTTTATAGTTATATGTGACAGTATTCAAGCACGCCTATCTTTCCTGCACATACGACGTGCGATTGAGCAGATTCTCAGGTTCCCGGCTTCAAGAGGTGACTTGCACGAGAGGAAACTTGTGCGGGCGCTTGGTAGCACAGCCCGTGCCGAACCCTAGTTCCTCGCCTCGTGCCCTCTCACGGATACCCCATTTGACGATCCTTGTCTTTCTATAAGAACAGGCATTCGTCGCGCCCCTTTCTGCCCTGTGCAATCGCCTGTCATCTTTGAACAAAAGTCGCGCTACAAAGGCGAGTCGAACGATCTCTTGTGCACAAGGACTGCGCCTAACTAGCCATAGGACGTCATTTCTGAGTTCGCGCAGGTGACGCCGTGTCATCTTTCATGCTGCGAAGCTAACCTCGTATGATGCAGATTCCTTCCTAGGACTATCACGATGGACAACACTCCCACCGATGCTGCCGATCGCGAACTTGAACATGCCTTCTATAACGCCTTGACTAGACGTATGCATGAAGATCCTATAACCTTCAGCAGTGGTCTACTTTTTCATCATGCGGCGAGCGGAGACGCGACCGTACTCGACTCGGGCGTGGAGTTGATGAGGTCTGCATACATGTCGCAACCTCAGAACATTAGCTTCATCTTACATCTCTGCGTATGGCTACGGACGCGTCACGAGTGTTCAAGCGCTGCGGCGGATAACCACGAGATGATATTTCTTCTCCGACGTGCATTGAATGTGGTGCCTGGCTTGGAGGACCATCCATTTTTGCTGGAGAGTCTGGGTATCGCTCTCCAATGGCGCTTCCAGCGTACTGGAAAGTTTGAAGACCTCGAGGCTGCAATATCAACGATCCGCCACATCTTGGAGCTCACGCCCGAGGGGGACCCCGACAAAGCGAACTGGTTGGACAATCTCGGTTCCGCTCTACAGCATCGCTTTAAAGCGGTTGGTGAGCTTGAAGATCTCGAGACTGCGATATCGACGAGCCGTCACGCCGTAGAAATCACGCCCGAGGGGCACGCCGACAAACCTACCTTACTAAATAACCTCGGTGTCGCCCTGCAGCGTCGCTTTGAGCATGTCGGCGAACTAGAGGATCTTGAAGCTACGATATCAACAAAGCGCCGAGCAGTGGAGTTCACGCCCGATGGACACCCCGATAAACCGACTTGGTTGAGCAACCTCGGAACCGCCCTACAGTATCGCTTTGAGCGCGTCCACGAGCTCCCCGATCTCGAGGCTGTGATATCAGCGGGGCGTCATGCAGTGGAGCTCACGCCCGAGGGGGACCCAAACAAACCGGGGAGGTTGAGCAACCTCGGTTGTGCGCTACAGTCTCGCTTCGAGCACGTCGGCGAACTCGAGGATCTCGAGGCTGCGATATCCGCAAACCGCCGCGCGGTGGAACTCGCGCCCGACGGGCATTCCGATAAACCAACTTGGTTGAGCAACCTCGGTACCGCCTTAGAGCGTCGCTTCGAGCGCGTCGGCGAGCTCCAAGATCTCATTGCAGCAATATCAACGAAGCGCTACGCCGTGGAGCTCACGCCCGAGAGCCATGCTGACAAACCGGGGATGTTGAGCAACCTCGGTACCGCTCTACAGTGTTTCTTCAAGCATCTCGGCACGCTTGACGTTCTCGAGGCTGCGATATCAGCGAACTACCGAGCAGTGGAGCTCACTCTCGAGGGAGACTCCGAAATGTCGGGAAGGTTGAGCAATCTCGGTGCTGCCCTACTGCGTCGCTTTGAGCGTACCGACAAGCTCGAGGATCTCGAGGCTGCCGTATCAACGAGCCGCCGAGCAGTGGAGCTCATGCCCGATGGACACCCGGACAAATTGAGTCGGTTGGACAACCTCGGTTCCGCCCTACTGACTCGCTTCGAGCGCGTCAACAAACTCGAGGATTTGGAGGCTGCGATATCAACGTGTCGTCGAGCAGTGGAGCTCACGCCCATTAGACACCCCGTTAAACCCTCTCGGTTGTACAGCCTCGGGATCGCTCTGCAGTCTCGCTTCGAACAATATCCCACAAGCTTGTCCTTCGCCGAAGCGAGCGCCTGCTTTCTAGAGGGGGCCACCTGCTCATCTGGGTCTCCCTTCGACCGCTTTCAACCCGCTCTGGGATACGTCAAAATATTGGTTCACAATCCACAATTCACGACGGCGCCTTCAATCTTAGACGCTTACTCGCACATCGTATGCATTATTTTGGAGCTCGTTTGGCTTGGCCACAATCTCGATCGCCGTTACGAAGAATCCTCTCGATATGCTCCAATCATATCCAACGCAGTATCTGCTGCTATTCAATCCGGCGCGCTGTCGCGTGCGGTCGAGTGGCTCGAAACGGGCAGATCTATCGTCTGGTCTCAACTCTTGGCCTTGCGCACCCCGCTTGACGAACTCGAGGTTCATCATCGTGATCTCTCAATAGAGCTACGTGATGTCCAACGACAACTACGGCATACCGCTCACATCCTTCGGTCAGACCAGCCCCGCAGCGTCGTGGTCGGTCAACTCTCTCCAGATGCTCAGGTTATCTTGGATCATCATCGTAGACTCAGCATCAAACGCGATGGCCTACTGAAAAAAATACGCGAGTGCGATGGCTTTGAAAACTTCTTGCTTCCCCAACTATTTCCAGCTTTACTCCAATCTCGCGAGCTTTGTCACGGACACTTCGTGTACATCAAGGTACATCGGTCCCACTGCCACGCTCTAGTAGTTCTGTCCCGCGATGAGCCCAAGCTAGTTGACCTCCCCGGCCTTTCTTTCGATCGGGCAGAACAACTGCAGTCGCTCTGGATTGAACAACTTCGCCAGCTAGGGAGGCATGCACGTAGTTCACATCCGAAGACAGCACACGTTCCACGTACACAACCATCTTCGCCTGCGGGCGCGCAGAGTCTTCGTCGATCAGCTTTTGTGCAGGATGACGATCTTACTTCTGATCGCCTTCTGGAGCGCCTTTGGGACTGGGTCGTAGGCCCTATACTGGAGGCTCTCGGCCTATTAGTGAGCCCTGTGTGTCTCTATATTATCATGTTTCAGACTATGAGCTGACTTACTTTCAAGGTGCAAGACGAAATGCCACCCCACATCACTTGGTGTCCGACTGGGCCTCTGACGCGTTTACCCCTCCACGCTGCAGGCCGCTACAGTGAACCCGACGGGCCACGTGCATTCCACTATGTCGCATCGTCGTATTCGCCCTCCTTGTCAGCGCTCACTCGTGCGGCTGAAGGTCTCGCGAAGAAACCGTCCTCTTCGAGCGTACTCGTCGTGACACAGCATGCAACGCCGGGACAGTCTCCTCTTCGAGGAACTCTGCAGGAAAGTCATCAGCTGTGCCAGCTCCTTCACAAGTCACGCATGCAACACGACGTGCTCAATCATAAGCAGGCCACCCGAGACTCTGTGCTTTCGGTCATGAATCGGCATTCTTGGGTGCATTTCGCTTGTCACGGCTCTCAGCGCAAATATGATCCCACCAAGAGCGCATTCTACCTATACGAAAGCGCCCTGTCGCTCGCGGATCTGATGCAGACTGTTTCAGATGACGCTGAGCTCGCCTTTCTCTCCGCTTGCCAGACGGCGACCGGAGATGCGGTGAACCCAGAGGAAGCCGTGCACCTCGCCGCGGGCATGCTCGCTGTCGGTTACAAAGGCGTGATTGCGACGATGTGGTCCATTGGAGATGCAGATGCGCCCATAGTAGTCGAAGCGTACTACAAGAGGTTGCTGGAGTCGCGTAACACGGGTGCGGTTGGGCCAGGAGAGACCGGCGCAGCGTATGCGTTGCATGAGGCAGTGAAGGTTCTGAGGGATCGTGTTGGGGAGAAGAACTTCGTCAGTTGGGCTCCGTTCGTGCATTTCGGTGTTTAGTACTGGGAACTGGGGAAACTGTTGCTATGTGTCTGACTTCGCTTATTGGGCGTTATCGTGTGTTTGCGAACGGGCGGCGACCCAATTGCACAGTTCTTGCAGTAATCGGACATCGTCAGCGATCATCGATCATGATGTATCACATATATGAGTATCATCGTCACTGCGTATTATTGGAGGCATTCTGCACACCGCTCCTTGTCCCTCCACGCCCTACTGCACCTTGACGGACTTCGTTCTGCAGCTTGCCACGTACAGTACGCGGTAGGGCCAAAGGCATGGGCGGGACAGGCGGGAGGAAGCGGGGGAGGCTCGGGGAAGGCGGGCTCGCCGCCGCGACTTCTCGCTGATGGTAAATCAAAACCGCGTCCTACCGCTGTTTCAGAATCCTTGGGACAGCGGCAGGTTTTTTCGACGAAGTGAGTTCTCGCCGAGAAAGGAAATGTTACCCGATTTGGGTGGACGACGCGTCGCGCAAGCTTCGCCAAAATTCGCGGCTCTTTATGTAAGCTCGCTTGTACACCATGTATAGCTCGAGCTCTCGCAGGCCCAGCGTGCGGGGAAGGGACTGGTGCATGCATATACTTCAATCGTCGGTAGCGATGAGGATGGAGGCAAGGTGCAGCGTTCCCGTCCCGCGGCAAGCGAACAAAGGGACCGAGGGGATACGATCATGTGAGTAACGCGGTACCGGGGGAAGTAAGTAGATCGTGTGCAGACGAACGTGTACGTGCGCCACTCGTACAGGGCGTCAGCAAGTGTCTGTCGCGTTTTTGAAAGAAGGCCTCTAGCCTGGATTAGATATTGAGAAGTTCCTCCCTCTGACAGTACTCTTCCGCAATATCCCTTTGACAGCACGAACCGTGCCCATTGCTCCACTCGGACGAGCGAAGTCTTCCACAAACGCATTCTATTGGGCCGGTACCAGCCCGGGCAAATCCTACAACGTATAGTAGTTCGAAAACAAGATTTCAGGCGCTTCGCAGACTGACGAACAGGGCAAGCAAAAACGATTAGTGGGGAGTCCGAAGGGGAGAACGGGCTATTCAAGAACAGAGTGAAGGAGAGTGGGACGGCGAAGGTATCCGCAAAGAGGCAGCTTTTGATGATACATGTACATTTTTGGTTGCGATTGCATTCCAGAACAGAGGGAGAGAGGAGGATGGAGGCGGCTATTGCGAAGAATACGCGTGGTTCGGAGGCGGCGTGGTGATCTCCTGGTATATCATCACTACCAACATCCGTGAGCAACATCGACGACACTCGTGGCCACAATACACCATACCTTTCAGCTCCTCCTTCCCCAACGTATCCGGCCCATCAAAGTCGAAGAACGAGGGGTCCAGCGGCGGCGCCGTCGGCTCGTCCTCCGGGTCATGATACGACTCGAGGTACGGATGCGCGAGCGCCTCGGACACGTCGATGCGCTTCTTCGGGCTAAACGTCAAGCACTTTTCCAGGAAGTCGATGGCCTGTATTCCAAAGCACCCCCGAATCGCAGGTCAGTACGTCACGTCCTCAGAGTTCGTGGTTCAGAAGCAAGAAGCAATAGGGAGGGAAGAGAGAGAAGGGGGAAGGGAGAAGGGAGAGAAGAGGGAAGAATGACGCACGAGCGGGTTCGCGTTGGGAAATAGTTGGCTGAAAGGATGTTTCTTCCGGAAGGGCAGCGCGCGGAGATACTCACGCGAGCGCTGGGACGTTATAGCGTAGAAATCGTCGAGCGAAGGCGTGCCGAGGATGTCGAGGATAAGTGACAGCTGCGAGTGATCTGCGGTGGCCCGTCAGCTCCAAATGGTGATAGACGAGAAGAGATTTGGGTGGCGTAGATGAATGCGCGTACAGTCTCGGCCCGGGAAGAGCGGTTTGCCTGAGAGCATCTCGGCGAGTACGCAGCCTACGGACCATATATCGATCGCTCGGGTGTACTCTTTGAACGTGAGCATTACTTCGGGCGCGCGGTACCATCTGTGTGATGCTTGTGAGCTTCGGCCGAAGAAGGAATGGGCGCTACGCACCGTGTTGCGACGTATTCTGTTAGGAAGTTGCTGCTGTCATCGAGGTTGGGTGGGGGACGAGCTGACCGTGCCAGGCCGAAGTCACAGAGCTACACCGCGTCAGTTGCTGTCTCGAGCGATAGTGGAACGGTGTAGCGTACCTTGAGGTCGCAGTTGGCGTTCAGTAGCAAGTTTGAAGGCTTCAGGTCACGATGCAACACGTCGGCCGAGTGCAAAGCTTTCAACGCGCGCAATGTCTACAACGCATCACTGAGCCGAGAACAATAGCCCGAACGCAAACAGCGAACGTACCTGGTAAATGAAGTACTGGCAATGGTCGTCCGACAGCGTCTGCGTCCTGATAACGCGATGCAAGTCCGTCTCCATCAGCTCTTGCACGAGATACACCTCCTTGAAATCATCGATGGACGCCGGCTGGAGAATATCGAGTATAGATATGATGTTCTCGTGATGGAAGTGCCGCAGGAGCTTGATCTCTCGCAGCGTGCGCAGGCAGAACATCGAGTGATCGAACGGCGTGATGCGCTTGATCGCCACCTTGCGCTGCGACGGTACGTGCGTCGCCGAGCTGGATACCGCAGCATACACTTCTCAACCATTTCATTTCGAGGTGAACAAGGGCGTGGCGACGTACCATACGATGCCGTACGCGCCCTCGCCGATGACCTCCTGCAGCTGGTAGTTGTGTCCGACTATAAAGTTCTCTACGCGGGCGTCCATTGTGGCCGGTTCGGGCCAAAAGCAGCAAGTTCGGGTTCGGATGCGGGGTCGGGTGGTCGCAGTTAGCCGTCAAGAAGCGCCGCTGTCGGGAGCAAACAATTGGCACGGCCGGATATTCTACTTTTGCAGCCAGCGAAGAACACTGGTGATGGTTCGGGGTCAAGAGGTGGTGGAGGGCGGCGTCAGTTGGCTTGAAGCGGGTACAAGTGCATTTGTTGTGCCAACTGACCGTCGCGCCGATCCGGCCGCTGTGCAGATCTCGAGTCTCAATGAACTCGCGGCAACGCACCCCACGGTTCGTTCCTGCCAGAGGTCCACGGACGCAGAGACGGCTTATCTATATCAGTTCTAAGTCTTGGACCCATACGCAACTCAAGTCCATACCCGTCTTCGATCTTCCACGATTACCACAATCAGGTATGCTAATCTCCCACGTGCTAAAGGGGCTTGACTTATGAGCAAATTATTTGATCTAAGCACTCTGTCCCCGTCGTCTACTTGCGGCACGCACGGCTCTCCTCCTGCTCTCATCACCCTGCCCGTGTCTGTGTTCGGTCTGGTCGGAGTCGTACTTCTTGATTAGACATCATGTCCAACCCTGATCTTGAGTCTTTGAACGGTGGGGAGAGGGGCGAGAGGAAAGGCAAGGGCGCCTCCTCCAAGTGTACGTATATTGATCGCTGTAATATATTGGTGGCACTCCTGTTGACATTGAAAACAGCGAAGGACCTGTCACACGTCCCATGTAAATTCTATCGAGTAGGCGCCTGCACTGCGGGTGCATCGTGTCCGTTCTCGCACACAGCGCCAGAGCCCGGCCAGAGCAAGGACGTCTGTGCATGGTTCGTCAAGGGCAACTGTAAATTCGGGCACAAATGCGCGCTGGCCCATATCCTGCCCGGGCAGCCGATGTCGATGGACAGGAAGAACAAGAAGGCGGCGCAGCAGGCCAACGCGGCTGCCGGCGGCAAGGACGGCTCCCGCGGCGGCAGAGGCAAGGGCGACCGCGATAGGCGCCGGGGCGACAACGGCCTGTTCTCCGGATCGACCGCCCCGACGCGCTCTGCCCGCGCCCCGATGCCGATGGCTCTCAAGGCGACCATCTCGCCCTCGGCGCCGGCCCCGCCCATCTCAGATTCGGACTTTGCCGCGTTCGGCATGCCCGACGAGGCGACCAAACTTCCTTCTGCGCCCGCCACACGCAAGAGCACGTCTGAGGACCCGCCGGCAGATGTCGCGCCGCCAGAGACGGCTGCTGCAGATCATGCAGCTTCTGCTGAGGTCGAGGCACCCTCACGCGACTCTCCTAAACCTCTCCCTACCAGCACGCCTTCGCAGCCTTTACGCATCAACGACTCGCGGCCAGCTACCGGACTCGCTCCTATAGGCTCTCCTCGCTCCAACTCCTCTCGCGAGCACGCCAACGGCTTCTCACCCGGCACCTCACCCACCAAGGGCGCCAACATGCTCTCTACTTCACCCTTTTCCGCCCCAGGAACCCAAACCGCCTTCAACCTCGTCGACAAGTCCGACTTCCGCCTCCGCTCCGGTATCGCCGCATCGCTCGGTACACGTTCATGGGCAGACTACCGTCTTCCCTCAGGCGGTCAAGATTCCGCTGCAGATGGCGTTGTAGTCGAAGAAGACGACCTCGAGGAGTTCGTTCCGGGTTCGCTATCGGAGCTGTTGAGCCCAGAAGAGCGCGAGCGCCGCTATTCACGAACCGCAGCTACGCAGGCGCTTAACCCGAGTCTCGCGTCTCCGCGTGATGGCGCTGGATGGACAGTCAACGGTCGACCTTCAGTCGAAGCGCATCACCACCGCTATTCGCGCTCTGTACCCGGCGTCAACCCGATACAGAACATGTCCATTTGGTCGGATAGTGCCGGCTTCACTGGTACGAGTCCGAACGTGGGCTCGCCGCGTGCAACGGGGATGGCTGGTATAGCCGGCACACCAGGCTCGTTCAAGTCGGGCTCCGTGACGGGCGCAGGAATGGGCGGCCGCTCGTTCGTAGACGACGCGCAGATCAACGCGTTCCTAAGCCCGACCAACGCATCAGCGGCGTTCTTACCTGGTACCGCGCAGCACTACATGAGCAAGAACAACCCCCTCCCACGCACGCTCTCCGACGGCCCGCGCCAGCAAAGCGCGCTCCGCGGCGCATACGCGAGCACGCCGCCCGGCGCGAACGCCGCGAACCTGCTCGCGCGCCTCAACGAGCCGATCCAGCCGCAGACCGCCGGGCCCGCGCGCACGCAGTTCGAGCATGCGCATACGTCCGAGAGTCTCGGCGGCGCGCCGTACCTCGGCGCGCGCGGCCCGCTCGACCAGCCCGACATGGCGAGCCCGTCAGCGCAAGCGCTCCAGATGCACGCGCCGGGCCAATCGCTCCCGCAAGGTCTGGCCGCAGGCTACTCGCGCATCCACGCGCTCCCGCCTCCGCCCGTTATCCCCTCCCCGTCCGCCTCCAGCGCGCTCGGCTCCTTCGTACCCGGCACGTCCTTCAGTGGGCATCATGTCAGCGATTGGATGGGGATGAGCCCTGCGAAGGGCGCGGGTCTCACGCTCGATGGGCAGAGTCCGTATGCGATGAGGACGGGGCCCATGCGGCCTGGGATGGGCGCGGGGGCTGCGCCTATTGCTAGCAGGACGCCGAGCGGGAAGAGCTGGGCTGCGCCTACGAGTCCGCTTAGTAGGCCTGTGTTGGGGGCGGGGGATGATGATGATTTGTTCGTGCTTGATCATTGAGTCGTTCATCCTCTCGCTCGATGGACATTCCAGTGCCACTGAACTCACCTTGTATACTTTCTGATATCACTGTGCTTCTGTACGTACGCACGACTGCTTGTGCTTTGTGCATCACCCTCTGTATCCTCTCCTCTCCCCGACTCCCTCAATCACTCCATCGGACGGACGCTCCGATCCGGCTTTGTTTGTTGTACGTAGGTCTCTGAACACCCTCCTGTGCTCTTCTCACTGCCATACGTAGTATAATATCCTCATTTCTCTCTCCACTCTTCTCGGCGCATTCCTATTATTACTGCATGTACGATCGTGGGTCTCGGGTTGGTGCTCTCAATGTGAATATAGTCTGTGCTTCTACTGCTTTATTCAAGGACCATACTTGGGAGCACCAGGCGCGGTTCGGGCGAGAGGCACGTTCCCGAAGGCAGCCTGAGGTGTCTTCGGGTTAGGGTTAGCATACAAGCTGCGCGAGGGGTAAGACTCAGGGCTTCGTGTAAGGAGGCTGATACCACTCCTCGGATTCCCGTCCCTGTTCAACTAGTGATCATACCATCTGTACCTGCAGAACATTGACGGTCGTTGGGCAATCATAGTAGCCGGCGGCGGACAGCAGCTGCTCTAGGAAGACGTGCTCATGCGCGTCAGGCCGGGCCGGTGAACCACGTACTGATCAGATAGTATACGTATCCGATGATCTTGGCTGGCAACGTCGCCATGTATTTTTCTCGCAGTCACGACCGTACGGCCGCGGCGCGTCGTAAGGCCCGGGGAAGCTTCGTTGGTCGAGAGGGCTACCGCCCGGTTGCGCCGAGTCCGAGTCGACAACAAAGCAAGGTACGAGTTCGGGAGGCTACGAAGACTCTTCATTAAGGCCTTAATGGGCGCCTAGTAACGAGTATTGAGCTTCGTTAAGGCACGAGAGGACGAGAACAGAACGTTGCCACCGCCGTATCGAGTGCCCTGGGGAGCACGTTGCTCGGAAGTGATGATCTCGGATGTGCTCTCACAAGCATACACAACGCTGCCCTCTTACGGAACTGAGGCCTTCAACTCTCCAATTATGGTACTGGAGCTATCTTTCGCGCTCTGCGCTGATCGTTGTTAGCACATCCACGGCAAGTAATGATGACGAGGTAGGGAAGAGGAGAGATCGATGGATATACAAGGGAAAGTGAAAGTCAAGACTTAGTGCTATGAAAGGAAGCGACTGTCATCGTCAGTGGGACAGGCTCAACGCACAGATCCCGCCGGTACGCTTAGAGCTCACATTCCGAGCTCAGGGACAGACGGGGCAGCGAGTCGGTACCGCCGGAACGCTGCCCGGTGCCATAGACGGGCCACAGTTCCACGGCGTTACCACCGCAGCAGCGGGCTCCACGTAGAGGGTTCATCGGATTGCGCAAATGTTGTCTTGGCTATAATTGGCGGCTCTTGTGAATTGCTGAATCAGGTACTGTAAGGCATCTTTTCATGACGATGACGCCTCCAACGGCGTCACGGCAAACGCATACAATGACAAATAATAGCGCATAGTCTAAGGGTATTCTCTAGAGAAAGGGGTCAGTGCCCTGGAAAGATACAGTATGCGATTGATACGTACAATAAGATACGCGCAGCCTATAGCAGCATTCGTCCTGACCAGCGAGGGAAGGCTAAACACTCCCTGACGTTCTCGATACCGGATATCCAACTAATCAAGCGTTCGAAACCTAGTCCAAACCCGCCGTGCGGTGCGCCGCCGTATTTCCGAAGGTCAAGGTACCAGCCGTAGGTTTCCAAGTCAAGTCCGTGCTTCCGCAGAGCACTCTCGAGCAAGTCAGCCCGCTCCTCGCGGAGTGAACCGCCCACAAGTTCTCCCACGCCTGGGACGAGCAGATCGAAGCAAGCTACAGTCTTCCCATCTTCGTTGGCGCGCATGTAGAAGGGCTTGAGGCTTGCGGGATAATCCGTGACGAACACTGGCCCTCGAATATGCTCTCCGGCGAGCCAGTGTTCATGCTCAGACTGTATTTGTCGGCCCCATTCCGGCGCAAACTTGAAGCATCCCGGATTGGCGGCGGCGTGTGCTGCCAGTACGTCGATAGCTTCAGTGTAAGTCATACGCGCCCAGCGCTCCTCGCCTGCAACGGGCTCCAGTTGACTGCGTCGCGACGTGTCACCCTCCTGCCATAGCAGAGCAGAATCCGATGAGGCCAGTGCTGCGCGCAAGACATCTTTGATCATGTCTTCCACGCCGTCGCAGATATCGTGCACGGTATGCGTGAACGCCCATTCGGCCTCTAACATCCAGAATTCCGCGAGATGCCGATTCGTTTGTGATCGTTCGGCCCGGAAACACGGACTTAGTGTCCATACTCGGGCAAGAGCGTTCGCTGCTGCTTCGAGGTGGAGCTGCGATGACACTGTCAGAAATGCTGGCAGGCCAAAGAAGTCGCGCGCAACACCCTGGTCGTCAGCCATTGACGCGATGCGGAATGTCTCTCCCGCGCCCTCAGCGTCATTCGTCGTAGTGATTGGTGTATGTGTGTAGCAAAAGTCGTGTCGCTAAGCAATGTCACCATACGGCATAACCATGCCACGTAAAAGTCCGACCCACCTCAAAAAATCCCTGCGTGGCGCGCATGGCGGTGTCACGTAAACGCAAGACTGCTGCGGGGCCAGCGGCTCGGGGTCGTAGATGAGCATGTTCGCGCAAATACTCCGTGGTGAGCGCTTGCTTCTGTATCGGGTATGTCTTCGTGATATTCCGTCAGAATATGGGAGAAGGTGCAGCTCAAGGAATAAGTACCTCAGGGTCACAGTCTCCGAGGACTTCGAGAGAAGTCGCCACCAGCTCCTTGTCTTGGCCCTTGCCGGGACTTTCGGTGAGTTTACCCGTCAAACGTACACTCGCGCCGTTGGAAAGCCTGAGAAAGATCAAAACTCCATTCTCTCTCCATAATAGCGGCACAAACTTGCGAGGTAATGAGGGGTCGGGGAAAACAACTTGCAGGTTCTGTGCGCAAGTACCGTCCGAGATCATGGCGAAGCCGATCCGTTTCTGCAATCGCAGTGACCTGACCCAGCCGTTTACCTGCACGGTCCCACTAGACGCAGGGAGTGTGAGGAGTTGCCGGACAGTCTTAGCATGTTGGAAAGCGGTGGACAGCTGTCGCGTCATCGCGTCGCACTTGCAAGTCGCGTCTTGGCCGAGTCACCAGAGCGCGTCTGTCACGTTGGTTTCCCACGAGAGTATTTCTGCCATGCAACGGACATCGGACAAACCACCTCTCTCTGCGAGCGATCATGTCCGTACCCTCCTGCATTGTTCCGCCTGTCCTCCGCTCTTAAACGTCATGTCAATTGCATGACTGGCTCGGCCGCCTCGGTCTATCCATACAACGACGCGACTAAGCGCAGCGATTTCATCCTGGCAACGGTCTTGAGCGCGCCCATCTGAGTTACATCCACTCGCACGAGCGCTGAGCAGATGCGATTCACGGCCTGCTCAGACCTTCTTCAAGCGCGCGTAGGGGCTCACAATGCTTTGTACCTTCGCTACAGTGGGCAACTCGATAATCCGCAGAATGATCGTCAATTCCTACGCGATCACAGTCGTGGTATCAAGCGCCCGGCATTGTCGCCAATCTCTTGCCCTTCCGTTGCTAAATTTTGGCATCTGTCTGGCCGGCGCGTCCGATGCGAGCAGTCACTGGCATGCGCTTGCCGACCTTTGCCTTCAGCTGGTACGTTTTCAAGTATCAACGGACGTGATCGTTTCCCAGTCCTTTCCTCAATACACCAAACTTCTCTGACTAACCCGATGATATCATAGTGCGTTTTATACCTCATACTGCCGTAAAAGGCTCCCCAGTGGCCGACTATCGATCTTTCAAGCATGCACATATTGACCTTACTATTCTCGCAAAAATCCTCAATCTAGATCTGTCCACCGTGGCGGACCGCTTCGTCGGCATTCCCACGCGATGATTGCCTACGATACGGTTTTTACGGGCTTGCTACATGTGCACGCATCTAGATCTTGCGTCAGAGGCGCTTTGACTGAGAATTACAGTGCTCCGTAATGTGCGGTCGGCCCTGACTTCGCCGCGCTCAGCAGTACTGGATCCCTTCAAGCCAATCATGTGGAGCGGAAGCCCTTGCTGAAGCAAAGCTGCCTTCTTTCCCGACAGCGTATTAGCAACCTCCGGCGATACCCAACGACGTTTAAGCGCCATCGCCTTGACGATAAGATTCCAGAACACAAACTCGATCCTCGACGTTCCCTCCGCAAACGGCCCCGTGTCCTCCCGCCCATTACTATCGACACCGGTCCGGTCAGGGCACGAGCTACGACGGGTTGGTACGATCCATATACAACACCGCTGGCACGACGACACTTTTGATGACTTTCGTCATCGACGCATTCACTCCGAGGCCGGCACGCCCGTTTTTCACGCTGCTAGATACTCACCACCGGGGCACAGCTGGTTCGGCCGGGTTGATATCCACGTCTCTGAATCCCCTCCATGTTGGATTCATCCAAGTCAAGGCGCCGACTCACCTTTCACCGACGCGTATACTTGTGCCGCTTATGGCGCACTCGTACCGCAACGCTCTGATGCATCTGTAAGGCGCTAAAGACCGTGGACACAGACTTTGCGACCAGGCGCCCCCTTTTGATCCGGAAAGATAGTGCGTAAACTCGACGCTCATGCTTGCAACCGGTCCAGCCGACGAGAATACGCGCAGCGCTCGCCGGCCAATAATCGACTCTTACTTCCCTGCGTCGTACCTTATGGTCTAGCATGTTATATTGATCATGAAGTGGCACTAGAGCACTCACGGGCGTTATTGATGCATCATCGCCGATCCCATGCCTAGATTGCCTAGAGGCTTTGCGCACCGCGGAGTGAGATGGTAACCTTGACCAAGCTCTTCGGGACTATGAAGACCTGTAATTCAATGTCGATGTGACGCGAATCCTGCAAACTTGTTACTCCGGTGTTCTCGGGGAGGTAACGTTTGTGGAGACGACGGTTGGACTTCATTATCGACGGGAGCCACTCGACCTTCCCTTTCCGTCCTGGTTGCAAGGTCCACTTGGTTGTGTACCTGATGTAGATGGGGTGCCGGGAATTCTCAGTCCTTTCTGACGCTGACTGGATTTGTATGGCGTGTAGCCTAACGTCGCTCGGTTGCCCCGCTCCCGTGCGTTACCGCCGAACCCTCGAGGGTTGACGTGTATTTCCCGAGTACTCTTCGCCGGCTCGTGCCTGCGAGCAACATGTTATAAGGCGGGCGCCAGCGCCGGGTTCATTCCTCCAAGTTGCATGGCCTTTCGTCTCCCTACCCACCTGGAGTCATTCATTCCCTCACTTATGGAACAAACTACCCAAACCCGCTCATGGTCTGGCTCTTTCACCCTGACGTCTCATCCCAACCTACATGGGGGCTATCAAAACGTGTTTGTCACGACTGCTAACACGGACATGAGTGCGTAAGTACAACCATCTTCAGGCTATTTCGTTTACACGCTTAGCGGTGACCTAGGCATACCGAACTCTGGCCTCCCCATCTTAACGTCTATACCCCTCGGCGGCCAGTCTCCCGCGCTGAGATCGCAAACTGGGTTCGACGCCACTCGCCTCCCGTCTGCGTGTTCATGGCCAATAAGCATCCCGATCCTGCGGTCAACAGTCAAAACCAGGCCTGTTTCTCATCCTTCGTCCACTATCTCCTCGGGAACAACTTCGTGAGTTCTTGGAGCCCACCCTGGATCTCTCCACCGACACTCAGCATTGTGTCATAGGTTGCTTACGCTCCTTGGGCAAGTCCCGAAAGGCTCCCCGGCGCTGGCATCGTATTGTACCCCAGCGATTCAACAGGGGATTCCCTGCTACTTGGGGCAATATTCACATCCACACCTTTTCCGGATTTCCTCCCTCCCGTGCACTCATCCGGTCCTGGCGCGGGACATGCGCAGTCGGCCTATGCTCCTACCACATCTTCGGCGGGGTATTATGGTGTCTAACTCTCCGAACCCCAGAACGGCCTTCCGCTATCCTTCCCGCCGTAAGCTCAAAATCTCGTGGACCCGTTAGATCTCCACACGCCGCTTTCATGTTATCCTGTTCGTTCTCGTCCCTGATTGATTGAGTATACCCAGAACCTGCTTTCTGACGCTATGGACCATTGCTTGCCATTATTGCTATCTTATCTACCGATCTGCTGAGACAATTTGTTGTACTACCACCTGCTTGCTTTTCTTCTCTTCCCGCCTTCATTTTACAGTCTCAATTCGCATACCCTTGGTAGTACATGTACGATACTGTTCTATCAGTAGAGATGACGCTGTTCCTCCACCTCTATCTACAATATGATGCCTTGACGTACGAACCTGACACACAGTTTGCACCACAAGATGCTCTCCAAGTAATGTACCGCCGTGTGTAGATGGATAGCCGGAGTGGCGCTGCACACCTTCCGACCTTTATCCTCTTCCCTCAGTCGGTACCGTCCCTGCCTGCGCATCCTCTTGCACGGCCACCCAGCACGGCACACCTCGTATGATGCGGATAATCACATCGCGATCCGATGCCCAATTTGGAAGATGTTGAGTGGATTCTAGGCCAGGCAGTCGAAAGATCATGGCGATAAAGGGCGATATGGTTATGCCCATGCCGCGCGAAGACCGACTAGCGCTGAGATCTACGAGAGGAGGACTGTATGCAGACCCGGCAGATCTCATGCCATAAAAGCATTTGAGTTGGGAATCGCAGCCTATGCCGCCGTTGCACCTCGCTCCCGGGGGAGCTCTGTCGTTCTTCGCGCCACGCTGATGAGAATACACCCAAGCAGCGAGTCCCTAGAACAGACCGCCTATTGAGTCCCGCCGGCAACAAGACCGTACCTAGGATCGTGGCCTGCATTCCCACTGCCCGGGGAGGAAGTAGCTTTCTCGGTCTTAAGAAACCGGTAAAGCAGTTTCTAGGTGTGTACTTCGCCGCGATGATCCCGATATGAGCGCGGAGATTGCAGGCCTAAATTGTAGACATCGTAAAATCATAAATGTCATTGTGGGATGTTGGCGCTTCGACATACGGTAAAGCGCGTCAAACTCCGAAAGAAGGAGGGCGTTTTCTAGCGTCTTCGAGTGACGCATTCTTGGGCTTCGCGGAGAGGTGGTGAGATTAACCCGATGTTGCATAGAGCTTCAGCCGCCTGAGGCCGCTATCGCAACCTACCTTGATCAAAGGTTGCCCCAAATGTACCGTGCGCGACAAGCTTAATCCCAAAACGCCCGACTGCGTAACCTTCACAGAAGATCGTGAATGTAGACATTGAACGGATCCCGTACGTAAACGATACTCGGAAAAACACACACTGATTCATGTATAGAGCCTTGGAGATGGGATAACAACACATACAAGTACTTCGATAGCAGACAGCGGATTCACAGCGTATCATACAGAGCGCCCAGTTGGAAGAATAGCCAGTGTAGAAAACGTAACGGTATCTCATCGGAACATCATCATGTCATCATTCCACGATAGCCATCATCGGGAAGACTTTACCTTCGGCGTGGCGTGAACGCTTCGGAGGTGTATGTTCGCCGTCGTCGTTCTGGTCCATGCTACGCTTCTCGGGACTGTTCGTGGACTCGGTGCCGAAGCGAGCCTTCATACTGCGTGTGACACGTCCACCGGCAGAGTGCACGACAATATCGGGCGGTTGAAGGATGTTCTCGACCGTGTTCTCGTCCTCGCTGTCATCCTTGACGCTAGGCGCATCGGAGTCGGCCGCAAGGGTCGGCAACTCGACCGTGAGAAGCTGCTCGTCGTGAACAACTTTCTTGGTCTTCTTGGTCTTGGTCTTCCTTGGACGCTTAGGTGAAGGCTGAAACGGCCTGCCGTTCTTGACGGACCACTCGATCTCGAGTATCCTGTGCGACGACGGCAAAGGGAAAGCGCGACGACGCGAATTAAGGCGGTAAAGTAAGTTTATACAGGAATACTTGAATTATAAAAAATATCCACCTTTCCTTCAATTTCAGGTTGTCAGGGACATAGCTTTCTGCCTTCCGGTAGAGGTCCAGAGCGATCTGCAGGTCACCCCTACACGAAGATGGCGGAGTTAGCGACGTGTTCAGAAGTCAGACCGGCATGAAGCTTACTTCTCCGAGTGAGCGCGAGCCAGCGAAACGTAGGCTCTCCCTGTCTTCTTGCGAGACATCGGAGAAAGGCCCTGCGCCGCCTGAGCATGACTGTTATTACGCTCGCTGAGAGTGCGTTAGCATGATCGATTGTGAGAAAGCGCCCATCACCACTCACTATTTCGTCTCGAGCTCCTCTAGCCTCCTGCGCAGTTCGGCGTCGAGATCTTCATGACGTTTCAGCAGCGGTGCAAGCATGTCCGGCGGTAACGAAGACTCTTTCGTGAGAGAAAGCTCTGTCGTCGAAGCTCTGTCGGCAGACTCGTTGGCGGAACGTTCTTTCTCGTCCTCTTGCCGTTGCTTCTCAAGAGCAGCGATGCGTTTGGCTACCTCCACCTCCAGGCGCTTCGCTACCTCCGCTTCCACCGCCTTCGCAATCTGAAACGAATGGGTGTGAGCAAATCGAATAGGATGGGACGGCGTGGGACGAAGTCCGCACCTTATCATCAATGTCCTCTTCCCCGACAGGGGGCAAGCCACGGGAATGACCGACACTCTTACGAGCTTGCGCATTAGGATAGGGATTGGATAACCCGGCGTGCGACTTTCGCGGAACGCGCGATGGTCCGGCTTGTGGCTGGGACTGGGTCTGGACTCGAGAGAAGCTGAGCGAAGGGCGTGGCCGCGACGTCTGAGGACGAGCTTGAACAGCAGTGCTCTTTGATGCAGGGAGCGATGGAAGGGGTGCGAGGCGAGTAGCCGGTGGCGGTGGTGCGGCGAAGTGGGCCTTGGGCGCGGGTTTCGTATCTTGCTCATCAATGACCGGTTTGTTCTCGATCACGCTGGTACGAGTTGCGAAGCTATCAAGACGATTTAGACGACAGCAGGCCAATGTGCATGTGCCCGCACGCACTTAAGGGTATTGAAAGTATCTTGTCTGAACTTCGAACCAGGCGCGAGGTTGCAGATGAGAAGACCAACGGATTTACCACCCAAAGCATCTTGCAGGATGCGCGTGAGTTTCGCGTTACGGTACGGGATGCGGGTCTAGACATGCCCGATTGGTAAGTGAAAAAGCGGCGAAACAGCTGGACATGAAGCACTTACATCCCCTCGATTCAAGGCATGGACGACCTGACCAAGAACGCTGAGAGATGTGTTGATGGCTTTGGACTCTTGCATGCGAGCAGGGTCATTTCCCGTGCGCTGTGGCATCCGAATTAGTACTGAATGGCGCTAAAATCATTCTAGGACACCACGTACCTTGTTGTTCTCGGAGCCCGCCAAGTCGACTAGATGAATTTTGCCGGTGAGCACTGGGATACATGATTAGCCAGTGAAGTCAAGAATAGGCGGTGCCTCGGCATACATTTCGTCTCATTGATATTGTGCATCTTGACCTCCAGGGTCAAGATGGCGTGCGAGCGGGAAGATTCGCGGTTCAGATTGGTTGCTCCAACTGAGCGCTGCTCGTTCGCAGCGCTGCAACGGCGTCATATCAGTATGGGCACATGCGGCAATGTTTTCCCACGCACGTATAGATACGGGCAAAGTCGGTGTTCGATTCGAGGGAAACCTTCTCCAGCCCGGCAACAACTACTTGTCCGGTCGCATCTTCTCGCACAGGAAGCTTAGGGGCCTGGATAATTTTGTGAGCGACGGTCGAAAAGTGTAAGAACGGTTCACAGGTATCCACCTTGTCACGCGGAACAAGAAGATCGTAGCATTCATCCTTGTAGATCTCGAAGTAGGACATCTGAATGGTGACTTTGTGTTCTGTAGCGGTCTTGCTGCGTTCGAAAAGTGCCTGAGGCGCATGTCAATAGACTGAAACCATTTGTGCTGATGTTCCGCACCTCTACAGTCCGCGGAATGACTCCCGGTTGACTAGCAGAGCCTTGCATAGTATGTGTCTTGCCAGAGGATGTTACACCATACGCGAATACCGTGACGGTCTATAGTGCGGATGAATGGATTGTCACGAACTAGGTTGGCGTATGACGCACCGAGCCACCGTAGACAACCTCGATCAACGGTTGCACATCGTTGGCAAATATTTCTTCTTGAGTGGCCTCGTGATCGTAACAAGAGTTCAGTCTGGTAAATAGGTGGGTGAGGGAGGCAATCATATATCAAGTGGCAGGCAACGCACGGATACTCCATGTTCTTCGTTGGTTCGCTATATCGTTGTGGTGCATGAGGCAATAGTGTCTCACAAGAAGCAGCTGAGCTTACCGAGGATGAGTGACACAGAGCCGCGGTGGTTGGCCATGTTTGACATATACACCATCGTCCTGTTGCTCTCCAGCAAGAGGTGGGCGAATGCGAGCTGCGATCTTGACTTTATGGTGGGAGCTCATAGTGGTGTTGGATGAGAAGCAATCCTTGCGCCAATAAAGAGCGTGACGGATATCGTAGTCTTGAGTAAGGAGCGACAGGGGGCTGGTGGCGGCGAGAGCCAAGTGTGGTCTGTGTGGCAACGGACGTTGCGGACGGGAATAGACTCCGGACCGGTCAAATTCAACTTGATCACGTGCGAGAAATCAAAATAGGGGTACAATGGGATATAGTGCGGGTAAGTATACAGTGCGGTATGATAAGTTGAGAGATAGTGTATATATGTACTACGTCTGCTCTCAGTGGGATTGTAAGAGCTGACGGCCGTGGTTCAGTACAGAATCCACCAGCCCAGGAGCGTCGTTCGCGTTCAAGTAGGCACTGGTGAGTGCGTCGACGTCAAGCTCGTCCTCCTCGAATCCTTCGACAACCGCATGGCTTAAGCGCCGAGAGTTGGGTATAAATATCAACGCGATGACGATGCGCCGGACAGCGTTGTAGTCCTCTCTTGAGACCACATCGTAGGTCAGACGAAGCTCGTTCTCGGCCGCAATATGTATAGACTGTAGCCCGTCCAGGGCGCAATGTGTTGATATCATCTCTAGGTATCTATTCGTACGTAAGTGATGGGCAAGGACATGAACGCGTGGGTTGACTCCGTACCGTTCGCGAGTAGCCGCGTCTTCTGGGCTGGGCCCGCTGCGCTGGCCGTACTTCTTTTCCAGTTGAGCCCGTTCGGAACGTAGGCGGGATTCCTCCTTGTACAGTTCTTTCATTCTCTCCTTGTACTGTGCAAGCCGTTGCTTGTTCCGCTGTAGGTCGAGTTCCAATGTTTGCATGTCTTGTACCTGCGCGGCCGCCTTTTCCTCCGCAGACGCGACCGTGTAGCGAGGCCCGGAGTGGTCGCGACGTAAGCGTACGAGAGCAAGACGAGTATCCAGTTCCTTTGAAGCAAGCTCAGAAGCTTCTTGGTGCGCCCTCGTAACCTTGTCGTAATCTGTGGCGGGATCAGACGTGTGGTAGGGAGTTATAAAGGCACAAGACCCACCATCTTGCACCAGTGGCGCCAACCTACGGATATCCTCATACTTCTCCGCAAGAGCGGCCTTCGATGCCTTCAAGGTAGCTTTTGTTCGCATGCTCTCCTCAAGCACGGCCTCCGTGTCCTCGTCATTAATCTCGGGCGGGTCATCTGCGACGATACATTTGATGTACTGATCCTGCGCGCAGACCTCCAAGTACTTCAACTTGATCCTCCGCATATGTTTCTATATATGGAAGGGTGCATCGGTCACTGTGTTATACTGTGGTACTGCAATAACACGTACAATCTTCATAGACGTATCCGATGCTAGTGCACCAGGGAGGCCTAATTTGTCCTCCTTGAACCTATGTGCCCTGTACTCCTCAGACGCCGATGCGATTCGTAGTCCGGCTTGTTCGCAGCTCAGAGCGAGGGCCTGGGCCTGCTTGACGTGATCATCCATACTGGTGGCGGATACGCGAGCGTGGTGGTGGTTCTGAGCAACTTGGGTAACTCTCGTGATCGTGGCGTGTCCAATCGGCGGACGCCGAACAAGGACCGCATTGGCGCCGCGCGCTGAGCCACGCTGTTCTCTCGACCACCACATGCTCCCATGTTGCCTCCACCCTGTGTCCGCTGCGCGCCATGATGCATGATGCTTGATTTCTTCGATGCTTACACCGCTACTTCACAGAACGCGTCACTGCGCTTTCCAAACCACATCTTCCGAACGTACAAGAATGCCGGTGCGGTGTCAGGGTCTGTGCATCGGCAGTATGCTGGGGTCATGCCATATTATCTCTATGGTATACATGTGAAAATATCAACCCCATACAGTCCGGTCATAGGTCAACGATTTCTACCTTTTGAGTCGCACCCCTGTATAATACACACATTAGTCCCATATGCTACAAAATCTGCATGATCTCCGTCGGATGACCTGCTTGCTCGGATGCCGCGACCGACCATCTAGAACGCTAGTCTCGTCGGCCTACGAACGGATCAGCTGTTTGATTGAGATGGGTACGTTGCTACGCTTGCATGCGACAGCACTGTGCTGCACGAGTGCCCCTGGTATGCTGTTCTCTCACTGTCAGGGATAGCTCATGACTTCGGCCGAAGCACGCTATCTTGCACTATCGCTATTTCTTGCTATCGCCTTCTGCCTCTTGTCAGACGCGCTTTGCGCTTCGACGCACGGATTGCCGACCCTCGCCGTGCGACTAGATTGATCGCGCAGCCGGAGGTATACGGATGACATCCACTGCTTTCGACATCGATGTCCATCACCTGGGTTTTACCACCACCAACTACCAAGCCATGCGGACACGAACAGCTACCCCAGAACCAGTTACAGCATCCTTAGCCGAACGTCGGCGGGTGACTGCATGCCACCCTTTGTGCTCGACATGCGATCCATACAGTCCTCCGCATGGGCTGTAATTGTTGCAGTCGTGCATCCCTCGATCTCGTTGACGTAGTCTAAATGCGTCTGCAATGCATCGTCAGTATAAAGGTCAGTTCGGTGGCAGCTCGAGTTCTCCAGCTCGGAATCCTCCAGCTTCCTACGGTCGTTCTTTCCTTCTCCGTCTTTCCTTACCATGGTCTTCTCCGTATCGCGCCTCTCCGCTGCTCTCGCCGCCGCTCTTTTTGCGGCGAGTGGTACTTCCGCCGCCCCTGTCACGACGGAGCTTGCATCGCGGAAGTCTAACGCCGCTGCACCGGCTGCACCTCAGTGAGTGCCCTAACACTCTCCACCTTCGACCCATCTCTGACTCGGAGCTTTGCAGCTGGGTTGGTATGTATCAAGCGTTGTACACGCCTCTGCTCCCTCTAACGTCGTTGTGCAGTCTACACCGACAGGTGGATCTCTGGCGAGACTGGTCCCCCGGACGTCTCCCTCCTCGACGTTCGTCTTTGATCTTGAGTTGCTCGCGTACCCATACTTAATCCATCTTTCACAGGGCTTCAACACTTACATCCTCAGCTTCTGGCTGACCTCCGGCCCGGCTGATCAGGCAGTCGAGTGGGCGTCTCTGACAGCCGACCAGCGTTCGAGCATCAAATCATCGTACGCAGCCGCCGGCATCAAGATGATGGTTTGTCCCATCAAGCCCTCCTCCTCTACTCGCTTCTGAACTCGCCTAGGTCTCGGCTTTCGGCGCAACTGACGCCCCGACGACGAACGGCGCAGACGCTGTCGCGACTGCAGACAGCCTCGCGGCTTGGGTAGTTGAGTACGGTCTGGACGGTGTCGATGTGAGGGTCATCTCTGTTTCGTCTTTGGGGCACTCGAGATTAATCCACTTGATCAGGTTGACTACGAGGACTTCACCGCATTCAACGGTGGCACCACGGCCGCCGTCGACTGGCTCGTCGCGTTCACGACCGAGCTTCGCGCGAAGCTTCCCGCCTCGGACTACATCATCACCCACGCGCCCGTCGCTCCCTGGTTCGAGAAGGGCTACTCCGGAGGGGGATATCTCGCCGTCGACTCCGCCGTCGGTAGTCTGATCGACTGGTACGAACTTACTTAGGGTCCTAAAGCAAAACCTAACCCATTTGTCTAGGTACAACATCCAGTTCTACAACCAGGGCGCGACCCAGTACACCGACTGCACCGGCCTGCTCACCACATCAGGTGGCCAGTACCCCGGCTCTTCCGTCTTTGAGATCTCCGCAAACGGTGTCAGCCTCGACAAGCTTGTGATCGGAAAGCCCGCCGTTGCCGCCGACGCGACGAGCGGCGGTTACATCGACCCCTCCACGCTCGCCACCTGCGTCTCTCAGGCCAAGGCCCAGGGATGGAACGCGGGCGTGATGAGCTGGGAGGTAAGACTCTCAGCTACCATGTTACCTCAGAGCATTGGCTGATTCGGCACGCAGTACCCGGATGGCGACGCGGCCTGGATCAAGACGGTCCGTGGCTCGGCCTACCCGCTCTAAACACCAATAGAGCACCATCATCGTTCTTTCAAAACCCACCACAGTCGCTCCTTACGCATATTTATCCTCTACTAAGAGCTCTCAGGGATTGCGCTGTACTCTCTCACTCATTGGCATCTCTCATCACTCCGCATTGCATATGTATCAGGTCGTATCTGCCACAATAGATATCATCTCTCACTCTTCTCATTGAGTCTACGGCTCGGGCGTGGTGGGCTTCTGCGTCGAAGAGTTCTCTGTGCGGGCTAATCGCATGAGAGCAAGCCGAGCCTCACCCGTTCCCTCGCGAAGTCCTGCGCGAGTCGCGGTCTCATGAGCGCGCTGGAAATATTCTTTAGCGCTCTTCGGATCTCCGTCCATCTAATCACAATTAGTATGGCCATTATAGTGAAAGTGACAAAAACAATACCTCACGAAGGGATGCCAAATTGAACAGGGTAACAACGTACGCCTGGTCACATACCCCTTGCACATCACCGGATGGTCTACCAGCTGATGCTTTAGCGAGTATCTCTTGCGCCTTTTTTGCCCACGCCTCAGCTTGATGTATCTTCGCATGCGTGAGAGGCCCATCGCGCACGATGAGCTCTGCCATATTGCTCATCAGTTGGGCGCCTATGGATGTTCAGTTCGATGGAAGTTATGCCAACTCAGTGCTGAGCTAACCTCTGCACAGCTCCTCTGGGGAGGCCTTCTTAGGCGAATTAGGCGGAGGCACAAGCATTGAGATGGCTTGTAGGTAGAGTGGTAAGGCATAGCTATACACATAGAGTCAATACACGCCAACAGCATGAAGACGCGGACTGACTCTAGCCGTCCTGTGCGCCCGTAGAACTCGCCCAGGGCTTCAATAGGCGCGCCGACATCGTCATTATGCAACCAACGGGGAAGATCAAGCTCCGCGAGAACTACCAGAGCAGCCTCCGAGCTCTCTGTGGCGTGCGAGGGCCGAGCAGTCGTGTCCTTGGCTAGACGAAGAGCCTCCTCCACAGCGAATACGCGCCACTGCTCTTCTTCAGCGTTCGGACGTCCGAGTGCTTGAGCGAGAGCGCCCAGCTTGTGAGCCAGAGCGACAGTACGAAGGCGTTCTGGCCCCGTGAGCTCTTCTTTATGCTTGCGCATGAGATCCAGCGCTTCGCTATAGGACTCCAACGCGCCCTCGGGTTGATTCGCCAGTTCGAGGACTTCACCGAGGGCGATTGCTACTCCGGAGATCTTCAAGTAGGGTTGGTCTCCTAGTTCGGTCACGGGGAGCTCAAGCGCCATGTCATACGCCCTATGTGCATTCAGTCAGCAATCATGGTGGGAGTACTCAGTGGACAAACCATACCGTTGGAAATGCTTGGCAGACAACGGGTAATTGCCCTTGTGCTTCGCGTCGATGGCTGCTCGTAGGTCCGGTCGGAGCGGGGGCGGCCACGCAGTAAACATCTTATATATTTCATACCTGACACAGCATTCAGTGTCTTCATCTCATTCATGAAGAGGGGGCACAGACAAGCCATATGCAGTGGACACTACACCTAAGGCAATCAGAGAGTAGAACAACGTTGACAATCGTATTCCTGCGCTCGGAGGCGCTGTTGGGCGAGGCTCACTCTCGGTAGACATCAGTCTCCGAGATGAGAAGAGAAGGGGTCTGTGTGCATGATTCCACCGAGCGTTATAGGTCCTAATGGTGTACGCGGTCCGTGATGCTTGCAAACTTTGCCGGTGCATGAGGATATTCCCACTTCAAAGCGTCAGATGAGCGTCTTCTGACTCTCGGTAGTTTATGCGCTCTACCTCCTTAGTCCTACAGAGCTGGCCATGATGGCAAGGTAGAGTGTATCGTTGAGAGCACAATGGTCGGACGATGACGCGACGCGTTCAAGTGCAAGTTCGCGACGCAATGGACGTGACGCGACGCGCTTGGCTACCCACGTGGAACCATCATCGCCACTTCGGCGACCGGCGGCGTTCAGCCTACGGAAAACGCTCATGTAGCGCGGTCGACCATTGCGCCTAAAGCTTCCCTTCGCGGCGCTTCAACGGCTGACGATGCTCCGGAGGACAACAGACACGGCGTGTGCGTCATCTGGACGGGCCCAGAGGGACAGACTCTCTCTCAGAAAGACCTTTCTCCAAGCTTTCATTGGAGTCTGGTCGGGGTCCCAGAATGCGAGTACTTGACGTGACTTGAAGATCTGTTTGGCAACGAGGAAGTTTTGGATCCCTCGCATCTTGGATGCAGAATTTGTGGTTCAGGCGCTTAACGCTAGCGCCCGGGCGTCTGAAGCGCTCGGTGTCCTACGGCGGTTTGGTCATTCTCGGTCCGCTCAGCGTGCAAGTCATGTCAGCCTCGATCTCATGAAAGAGATGCTCCTCACGCACAGTGGACGTACTTGTCTTCTACCTTCACGTCGACCATGATGAGGCGCAGGACGTCCGACGCTCCCAGCGATGGGCCTCAGATCGCTGTCACTGAGCCCTCACCACAACCCGACCAGAGTCCTCGAATCTCTAGACCAGCTGTTCGCGTGCAAAGGCTGCGCCCTTCATCTGCATACTCTCCGCAACCTGTACCTCGCTCGCTGCGCCCACCGTCTCCACCGACAGAACCGAATCCCTTTGTCGACTCGCCCAATTCTGGACCGAACACCGTGCACGGCGGCCTGCGGCGTTCTTGGAGTCCTTTCCGTAGGCGACATGAACATACGAGTCACGATGAGAACATGCCGCCCCTCGGAGATGGGAGATTCAGTGCCTCCTCGACCCTTGACGGCCACGAGCAACCACCCGAATACGCGGACGACGTCGTGGACTGGCTCGACGTATTGGGTAAGTCATCATCGCATCATTCCCTGTCCCTTCGCTACGTCCTGTGTCTTCTCCTGCCCAAGCTCGGCAACGTGATTCGGCTGCACGAATGTGCTCAGTCAGCGCGCTAAGTTCAGGCGCTTATTGGCCCTGTGAATGCCGTGTACCGCCGTTCTCACCTATGATAAACCCACGCGTGTTGTGGCTTCATAATAGTGATCTGCTCATGCACTTGTGGCACGCGCCAGCCAAAGCGGTGCACATGGCTGGGTAGATTGTGCTTCGACGTGACCGAGACATTTGTGAAAGGACGTGAACTGATGCCCTCGCCTTCACATCCGCAGATCCCGAGGTTGCCACAGTATCGACGCTGTCCAATGTGCAGAACAGTCTTTTCGTTCCGGATCTACGCGGACTGGTGAACCGAGCCCCTCTTATCAACCTCAGCAGTCGGTCGGCACCGCTGGCGTCTAGAGCGTCTCGCAGCGGCTGTGATGAGTGCAAGAACCATGCCACTGCCGAGGGTAGACACCCATCCGTACCTTCCGGCCCTACCAACGCAGGCACAACTTCAGATCAAGCTCGTGTCCCGACCATCGATGAAGTGCCGGACGCCGAGGCGGCCGCGATCGAAGCCATTGCCGAGGAACAGCGCGGTCGACGCCAACGTTCTACGTCAACACCACCCTCCCTTGACTCTTCTTTGGACCTCGAGACGGAGAGCACCGCCGGACTCACGCAGAAGGCGAAAGGTCAATACGCCATCCTACCCGCTGGGCTTGACTGGGAAGATTGGAGTCCACAGGAGCGAGCTGAGTTAGACGACTATGTGCGGCACCTCATGCATAGCCGTAAGGAGCGCTTCCGCAGGCGCGCGAGGGGCTTTTGGCAGTTCTTCAGGAGACGTGCGTACCCCCTCAAGTCGACGTCTATGTTCAGCCGTTGACTTCATTTCTAGCGCTGGGCTTCTTGATCACTCTCTGGGCTTTCCTGTTGACATTCTGGGGAACTGCCTGGGTTTTCTTCCTTATCGGCTGGGTGTCCGTGGGCGGTCGCCAGGGTTACTTCATCGAGATCTGTGAGCAAGTGCGTGCCGGCTCGCGGCCACTACATACGATATCACTAATCGGTGACATCTCAGGTTCTCACGGCGCTGTTCTGCGTCGTTGGCAGTACGTTTCACGTTACGGCTTGGCTCGTGACAAGTACTGATGCTGACCACCGCTCATCCAGTCGGGATGGCACCTTTCCGAGCGGTAGATACCTACCACATGATCTTCATCGTGCGCTACCACCGCATGACCCTCAGACTTCGCAAAGCGGTTGGCCTACCGAAGCTGACAGACAAGAACGATTTGCCCGTCCCCAACCGTGACGCGCTTGATGAAGTAGAGGTATGTCGCACTTTTACGAATCTGTGGTCATATCGCTGAATGTTGGCGCTAGGCACAATTCAAGCAGAACGAGCCAGGAGCGATGGTGCTCACCCGTGCTCAGCAGGCAAAACTGGAACATCACCAGCGCAAGTATCACAAGTCACACACGTTCTACCGGGCGCACGAGTCCCCCACCCATCGCGCATTCCCAATCTCGCTTCTCATCACCATCACAGTTCTTCTCGATCTCCACAGTATGTTTCAGATGGCGCTCGGTGGCACGACGTGGGGTATATACTACAAGCGTCGCCCCGCCGCGCTGACCGCCGTCATCCTCTCTTGTTCACTCACTTGCAACATCACTGCCGGCATCTTGATTGCTCTCGGAGGTAGATGGACGCGTAAAGTCGAAGAGGTGGAGAAGAGGGTGAGGCAAGCGTTAACAACGGAGGCAATGGGCAGGCTGGAGAAGCGGGCAAAGAAGCATAAACCACCGCGAGTTCGTATGGACTCTACTGGTACACCATATGTCCCAGGTCTGTGCCATATTGCTCTTGGATGCATGCTTCTAACTTCTGGACAGATAATGAGCACAGGGACAGCATGGATGGCGCAATCGACCCAGACGAGTGTGGTGAACGATGGGCAGCGCGGCGCGCAGAGGCTGCTGGCGGCCAGCCCTCGTCAGAACGCAATACGCCCAAGGCCGACCGTAATACGCCCAAGAGTCGCGATCGTCGTCTGAAGGCGCGGATGCCGCAGGTTTACGGCGGTGTAGACCGTCAAATGGGCCGGCTGGTGGTGGAGGAACTGCCCGAGCCGCCTCCTGCGCACCACATCGCTCGATCAGACGGGTCTAGCGTTTAGGTCGTACCGATATTTTTATGGGACTCGCTGGCTCCTTGAGGACTTTGATGTCACCACGCAACATAGTCATTACGCATAACTACGATTGCTGTTTCCGATTGATGCTTGATGATCATGTCCATGTCCATTCCTTCCGGACAAAGAGTTGGAGATTGCTAACGAACCGGGTGCCCGTAGTATGTACTCTCACATAACCCTTCGCTCGCGTACACCTGTCATTATGAGCGCTATATAACAGTTTGGCTGTTGCTGAAGTGACGCTGCGTCGCCTGCCCCGTGTCTGGGCACGAATTTCTTGGAATGCTCGCCCGCCAGTGGCTGGTTCAAGTCATGTGGGCGCGTTTGCAGGCGCCGGCCCGTCGCTGTCCGAAGGCCGACTGTGATCACCTCTGAGGCGCTTCAACTTAACTGTACACGCCCATCTCGCAGCGACGGGATCTCGCTCAGGCCTTGGGACACACTGACGCGTCTCTCGGCATGGATATTGAATGGCTCTCTGTGATAGCTATACAGCACACTATACGCTGGGACTGGATTGGTCAGAGCCCTAGCCGCGCGACCATTGGCATCAAAGCGCTTCCGACGGGACGGTTCACGCCCAACGACGCGGGCGGGCACGCCATGGGACAGCTCATCGGCAGTCGCAAGCCCCTACACACACGGCGTCTATGGAGGGGTATGGCCTGACCATATATAAGGGGGTGCTCTGGGCTGGCTAGTCGGTATCACCACCCCCATCGATCTCACTCAACTCAACACACTCGCAACTGTTCTTGCCTGCTATGCTTGGATTCAAGAATTTCGGCATTGTTGGTGTCGGTCATATTGGCGGCTATATCTTGGAGGAGCTGCTCAAGGCCAAGTCTTCTGGCATAGTTGACAAGGTCGTCGTCCTCACGCGTCCGGTACGTATCGATCACCATCCACACATGTCCCCTATCTAACTCCTTCTTAGGGCTCTGTCGAGAGGTTGCAGTCTTACGGCTCACGTGGTGCCATTTTAGCTCCGATAAACGACTTGAACGACGTATCAGCCGTGACTGTGGCTCTTAAGGACGTCGACGTGATCATTTCCGCGCTCGGCGGGGCCGCTTCGCAGTTGCAGATCCCCATCGCGGAGGCGGCCACGTCCGCTGGCGTTCGTCTCTTTGTCCCTTCCGAGTTTGGCGGAGATACGGACGGCGCGAAGGAAGGATACCCGGCTATGAAGCTCGCGCTGGCCAACAAGATCGCGGGGATCGTACCTGTCACCAAGTTCTTCAATGGCACCTTCGCCGACTTCATATGGTCGGCGCCCATGACGAACCTCGATGTCAAGAGCGGCAGCGTCACGGTCGGTGGAGACGGAAATGCGAAGTTGAGCTTCACGTCGCGGGTCGATGTCGCACGCTTCGTCGTGCATGTGCTCACAACGCTTGCCCCTGAGGATACGGTCAGCAAGTCTTTCCGCATTGAATCTCAGCGTCTGGTACGTCTTACTTCTGTGCAATATGGTTGGAATATGCTGATAAACTATCGCAGTCATTCAACGAGGTTTTTGAAGCGTACAGGAAGAAGAGCGGCGCGAAGCTCGAAGTCAAGTACATCCCCATCGAGGAGTTGCAGGGCAACCTCAAGAAGAATCCACGGGACATTGCGAGTTACTTCCATCTCACCTGGGCTTCGGGCGAGGCTGTGGTTGGAGGCCCAAGTTCGCTCGATAACGCGAAGTATCCAGGATGGAACCCCTCACCCGTGATCGATTACCTATAATGACTTTGTTCTTACTGTGGTACGGACTCAACGTAGTGTCTGTCGAGGGTTGCTTGTGATGCGTACCTTTGCTCGTAATCATGGTGTCACTCAAAGTCGGGGGCCATCTCTCGTCTCGCAACCCCCATCGCAATGTACATGGACGACACCTTTGAACTCAGGATGCAGCGGTATTGCCGTGTGAGGTCAGCAAGTCATGTGGGCGTGTTTGGCCAGGCACGAAATCATGCTAACGGGCCACATCATTCTCGAGGTTGACTACGAACCTCAAGCTAAGGACAATGCACGGCCCTACGGGCAATCCTGGTCCCAGGCAAATTGCGTATGCAGTCGAGAGTATACGTAGCGCACGTCAATGGCCTCATTCACTCGGTGTTTATGGCTCCCATAACCCGGGACGTATGCTTCTGATACTCTCCCGAGTCCCAACGAGGGCATTGGTGGTCACTCCAGCCGCAAAGTGTGTCAAATGGGATACTGCCATTTCCCATGCCAGTGCTTGAACGGCCGTAAGATTAACCCTGCTGAAAGTGCCTTTCACTAGAAGCAATGTACGCGGCCTCTGGAGGGACAAGGCACAAAAACGGATTCGACGTGTGCGGACGAAACGTGGGAAACCCGCTCGAGGGAAGTGCTAAAACTGTACAGTAGTTATCACACGCGATCACATGAATATCGTAAAAAGTCGTAGACCAGCGTGTGGAAGGTATGGGCGCCATGCACAATGTTCAACTAAAAAAAGTACTCGCCTATCCGGGCGAGGCGATGCACCTCCCGTAAAGGCAGTACACATTCACGAATCTCCAAAACTCTGATCTCAACTGTCGGCAGCATCGTTCTCTGTAACAATAAACACTTGCATGAGCGTCTTCGAGATCGTGCGAGGAAGCAGAACACATACATTGAAAGACTTGTCTGCTTGGTCTAGACACCTCATGAGCTGATCCAGTTGTCCTGAATGTCGCTTAGCGCGGAGGAAGTGCGCAACCGAATGCTGCCGAACGATAGCTTCGACATCCAAGGACTCAGCCTGGATATCCCTACAGATGACTAGGTCAGCCACACCCAAAAGAAGAAGGATAAGAATACCGTACTTGGCGAGCGCTTGAATGGCAGCCTCGTACGCGGGCGACAGTGCAGTCGCATCCGGGATTGCACGTACGAGCGATGCGGCGAAGCCGTCGATCTGAGCGAAGATGTCCAATATCTGCTCTTTTTCGCTGGGCACCAGCTGGGAGAGTGTCAGACTCGGAAAGCAATCACATGAATGAAAATGCCATATACCTCTATCTGCTTTGTCAAGAACAGCAGCCCGCCTACAGCGCTCTTGAGTAGCGGGAATGCATCGGCAGGCTGGGCGAGAGCTTCCAGGCCGAGTAGTAGAACATCTTTGGCCGTCTCCTTGGTCTCGCCACAACTCTTAGCGACATGACCGAAGTCTACGATTGGGCTCGGTTCCACATGACCAGACCTCGGGAAGACGACCAAGCGACTGTCTGTAATCGGGGTTGACGAAGTCGAGACGACGTGCACGATCTGGGTGAGAGTAAGAGGGTGTGCGGTGGCCAATGCATGCTTCTTGTGCCTTGCGACTAGTATTATGCGAAGCACCAGGCGAATAGCAAAGGGTTTGAGAGTGCTGAAGACGTTCGGCACCCTGGGATGTTGTTCTTCGGAGGGAGCTCGATACTAGCGACGACGTCGATGATGAGGGCGAAAGGAGGACACAACGCAGAGAACCTCGCAGACAGACAGCGCGCATCGCAAGGCGGTCCTACTAGCCTAGTACTACAGACGCATATCGACCACGTCTTTGTCTTTAGGACCGCGTTAGATGAGCGCTAGAGCGCGGGAACAAGTATGTAGACCTGGGTAAAGGTTCGCGGAGCCCGAAGACCATAGTGCTGACAGTCCACACCAGTGGTATTCGAGCGTAGATTCAGGTATTCCAGAGCCAAATTGAGGCCGACTCAATGGGAAGAGGGATGGTGGTCGTGGGGTAAGGCGTCGACCCGCCGCAGCGCGGCTGAGGCGCGTGCGGCGGCTCGGACCGCCAGCCCAACTTGACGTGCCAGCTCCAGTGTGCCTGCTACCATTTGCGTGGCTTGGTCCGGACCACCATCCACAGTACCGTGCTCGTGCAAGGGTCGCAGGATGACCACGTCGCGCCTATCAATGCAAGATCTTGAAACTCGCCACAAACGTTGCAGCCAATTACAGCACTATACGCCGATCCTGGCTCATCGCGCGCATTCCGGGTGCCCGCGCAAGGGCCGAATTCACGCGGGACCTTCTTGTCCTGGTCTTACTACAGTCCGCTGCATAGAGTATGACACAACTGTCGGCCATCCATCCTATTGCCCTGGGGCATTGTACCTCCATACGGGTCAAACGTAGGCCCGACCGCAAAGCAGCTTCGCCTCTATCTTGAGGCCCAAGACCTCTGGGGAGACCTCTCTCGATTAAGTAACCACCTAGTGCCATAGCAAGTGCACAGCTGCGCGAGGATGCTTGCAGCATGAGCTCACCGAGACGCGTCGCCCGCGCGCCGCCGCTGACAGTGCTAACAACAACAAAAGGGCGCCGAACTATGTACTGGGGCCGACATGGTCACCCGCGTCGCAGCGCCCTGCGTCAGATCAGCGACAGTCACACGGAAGGTCGCTACAGGAGCTATAGAGCGGACAGTCAGCAGCAATGCCGACAGCCTGGCCATACAAAAAAACAGAACAAAAGGAAATCGAGCGGTATCACGTGACTTTTGGCGAGGTGCAAAAAACGAGCTCCCCTTGAAAACCTGTTCCATAAATGGGACCAGGAACTGTAAGTAAAGCTTAGACATGCTGATACTCGGTACCATGTTGTGCACTTGTGCACACCGGACGCCCCGGACCTTGTCGTGGCACTCTGATTTTCGTCGACAAATTCGTTCGTCGTCCATTCGAATGGGGATAAGCTCGCAACGGCGACTCAATGAGCGCACCGTCGTTGATGCGGCGCCCTGTATTTGATGGTGGCGCAACGACTGCTGCCGGTTCGAGACACCTACTACTGGGCGCTCGAGCGGATACCCAAGCGCAGCGTATATAGTTCCACCGCCTTCGGCCGAAGGCCGCATCTGCAACTTGCTCTGATCCTCCATGTCCTGCGGCTCATGTCGCATTCAGCGGCTACATCCGCGTATGGTCCTCTCCTGATAGACAACTTCATCAGTGCCGTACAAACTACCATCATCTGTGTTCAGGTCGCCGTATTCTGGCAGCATGCGGAAAGATACTCGCGTATCATGAAGGGCCTGATAGCGTTCATTACACTCGTATCGCTGTACGTGGTCGCTGCATCCACGAGCGAAGTAGCGTTTGCTGAGTAGATATACAGCATACAGACGGCAGGACTGTTCCGCGTAGTCTGGCTCACCATCGTGAAGGCGGTGGATACTCGTACTCAGGTGCGCGCTTGCCTCTATCGGCATGTATTATTACTTAATTTTTATCGCAGGCTTTTGGCGGCTTGTCAGCTTTTCCTATCTTCGTGAGCTCTCTCTGGTCTTGCCAGGCTCGCGAATTGTATATCTCAATCCTACCAGCAAGCACTGCTGGCCACTCCTGTTCAGGGAGTGTACACATGGAGATGTTACCTTGTAAGTTACCCTCACCGTTCTCCTATGAATCGAATCTGACCTACAGTCAGATTCTGGGGCGGAGACCGTGGCTTCCGGTATGTATCATGCTCACCGCACCTCTTCTTCCTGCTCACGCACATAGCTCTTGTTGTGTGGCGCCAACATCACCTCCGCTGCGCTATACATCTACTGCACTTCAGCCTATTCGTCAGGCCTGTGGACCCAACCTCTTGCTGGCATTAAGCAAAGACCGCACGCCCTCTGTACGTTCAGGATCTCTTTCATGCTCAACCGCTACTTCACTTGTATCCCCAGACTTGGCCGCACTCTCATTGACGATATGTAAGTCGCGGATCCTGATTGCATAGGAGAAGTACTGATCAACGATGCCATTGCAGTTATTGATGTTGTGCTATCTTCCCTCAGTAAGCACGGCGTCGACCCCTCCCGCCCGCAGCGTATGAAACTGATATCTTGCAGTCACGGGCTATCTATTCCGCTCATTACGGAATATCTATGCCGCACGTTACCGTCGTGTGAGTCTCCTTTCGTTACTAGACATCGCCCAACTCAAATAGAACGCCAGATCACATACCGTTTAGTCGTTCTGGTGTGGGAATGTTTCCTCCCTCCCACAATCTGCGGCATCGCAACGCTGGTCAGCTACGGCATCTTCGCCTACTCGGTGCGTTCTTTCTTTGGGACTTGAAACATGTTCTGATCGTGTTCACAGGGCCCCTCTAAGAACTGGGATGTCCCGATCCAAGGTGCGCTGGGGAAGCTTTACGCCATATCCCTCCTAGTCTCGGTGTAAGACCCTTCCTCGTCGCACTGCCCCGATGGCTGAGTATACTTTGGTAGGAATGTCAACGTCTCGTATGAGGCCGAACAGGAGTCCAGAACCGCGAGCGTGATTCAAATCGACACTACCATCGCGCTTGACCGCCTGCCACGTTCAGATGCAGAGAATAGTCAGCATACTTCGGATCCTCCAGAGGTGAGTAGGACTCGCTATGCTCTTGTTGCGGCTGCTTGATTGACAACCCGACAGCAAACACGATCTCTTCTGCTTGACGATGGCAAACATGACCTCGTAAACCCATCGACGAACCTATTCATCCGAGATCACGTATGATATTCGCCTCAGAGTGGCGATCAACCAGTGCATGACTACCCTTGGCGGGCCCTTCTATATCTGATTTTCTATCTACACAAGATTGAATAATACGGTGTCCTCGAAAGCGTGATGGTGTCATACGGCAGAGTGATATACATTTGCAGTCGTAACATGGGAATGGGAGGTATCATGAGCTAAGCACCAAGATATAGGTAATCAACGAAGATTATGCATAAACATATGCGCACTCTGCAAGTCACATCATAGTGTCGACGACCGAGATGGACCATCGCGATCTGGCGGCGGTGAAGGGGTGACGCCTTGCGAAGGCCCGACGTTGCCTAAGGCCTGGGGAGTCTGGAAGGCGACTGTGCGTCTCAATGGAGGCGGTACAGTCGGCTGTGGCGCAGATAGTGTATCCTGGCTGCCGACCTGCGTTCCAGTCTGTATCTGCAATTGGCTTCCGCTTCTGCTCCGGTTCGGACTGCGTGTGCCAATGGCCGGGATGTCAAAGTCCTGTTGTGTCGGGCTTTCCGTTCGGTACTGATCAGGGTCGAGGTATTGGCCAGAGCTCCCGGTATCGCTCAGCGGCGTGATCGAGCGGGGTGTTGGTCGTGGACTGCGATCACGTATAAGAGAGTTCGGTCGCGAGCTTGATCCTGGCGGTTCGTTGATCGAGGGAGGTGCCGTCGGACCAGGCGGGTACGTTGTCCATACTCTCACCGCGCCATCATGGCTACCCGTTGCAAACATGTAGGGGTCTGCCGCTGGGTTCCAAGCTATGCAGGTAAGATCACCGCCACCGAAGTTCTGAGCGCGCAGATGATGTAGTAATGAACCTGACTCGCGATCCCAAATATGTATGTCTCCAGCTGGAGGCAATGTGAGCACAACTATTCAGGGATCTGTTCGCAAAAGGCAGCTCACCCTTTCCAGCGCACAGCACGAGTTGGTCATCCTTGCCTCCGAAGTAACTTGGGCCGGCGAAGTCCACTTGGAACTTCGGCATGTACGTGTGCCGCAGCGATAGACGCGACGTGTATACAGGTTGCAACTCAGCTGCACTGGCCTGCGCCTCCGTAACGTCTACCCGTTGCCTGATTGTTTCGATCTTCCACAATTGAGGGGGCGCCTTGAACTCATAGCTGACCAAGGCGTAGTCTCCTCTCTTCGCAATCGTGATGTCGCGCACGTCGTGGAGGATGGGAACCTGGCTAGATGAAGATGTGTCAGTAATCGCAATTGACGTTTGCGGTATAGCTGAATGCACTTCTCAATCTCTTTGCGCTCGATGTTGTAGGCTGGATATGTCATCAGCTTCAGAATACAGCAAGCGTAAGCATATTTCGAAACACGCACATATGATCTGCTTTTCCTCGCGACATTTGCTCGGCGTCAAACCGTCCTGCGAAGATAACAACATGCCCACACAAAGCATACGTGCGCCTGTTCATAGTCAGGCAACGTTACGCGTGAGAAGGAGAGCAACATACCGTCTGGTGTAACGGATACATCGTGGATCTTTAGTCGGTCGAAGTGGAACGTATCGATTTGTTTGCCGGTCAGGTCTACCAGCGCAACACCGCCGCCTTCTACCGACAAGAATGCTGCACAACTCCTGTCAGCAGAGCTTCGCGATGCCACCAAACTCTGTCCGCACCTTCTCCTTGAGGCATCCAAGTGATAGACTGTACTGAAGTGCCGCGTTCTATCGTTCTAGTACACACACCGGCCTGGTGATAGAGTCAACACGCAGATCGATGCAGCCGTTCTTGGACTCACCTCCGTCCAAACTTTGACACTGCGGTTGAGTTTCGTGAGTAGAAGCTTCCCGTTAGGTGACCAGGCCACTTGTCCAACAAATCCAGAAGGATGCGCAAGAGTGCGATGATGCATGAACGGCGAGCCCACTTGGAAGATCACACTTGTACGATCCCAAGAGCTCGTAGCGAGGAACTTCCCGTCCGGGCTGAACTGCAAGTGTCTCACGAGCGCCGTATGAGCCGCCAGGTCCTCTGTCGGACCAAGGTTGCGCAACTTGGTGACAAGCGCAGCTACGCGACTTGCGCGGGGTGCGGCCGGGTACATGGTTTCTTTGCGGCTTGGCGGTAGGATTCCGGAGGATGTGCGTGTGGCGCCTGGTTTCGCGGAGGCGGCTTGCATCATCATCACCGAGCGAACCATGTTGCGAAGTCGAGTACGTCCGGGCGAAGATGGGGCAGGGGAAATAGGTGTTCCCGGTACAGTCACGGTTCCGTCCTTCTCAGAGAGCAGTTCCGTTGTGCTGCCGGCTAAAGGCGAGCGAGCTGAATGCGAATGAGGATCTGTAATGTGCGTGCTCCCTGATTGTCGACGGTTGCGAGCAACTGGGCCACCATTCGTATTCGTAGATGTTATATCGGGACTTTGCGGTCCTGCGACAGAGCCGTTGATCGATTCGTCCGAGGATGACGACGGGATGGTATGCGGGCTGATATTGAGCTTCTCGCGGACTCGCGTGGGCATCTGACGGACCCGGACTTTCGCCCTACGAACCCGCCCAATAGCCTCAGAGGCTACTATCCCGGTTTTGCGTTCTGCGATGTTCCACTGGCGCGACAGAAAGGGGAAGGGGCCAAAGTCCAGGAACTTATCCCAAGAGTCCTCCAGCATATCCGAAAGCCACTTTGTACCCTTATGTCGTGAGAAGGCATAGCGCTCGAACGCAAACCATGCGGACACAGCGGTCAGGCCGAAGCTGCTGAAGGCCGTGAAGACTGTCGTGATGGTGGACACTATCCGATGCTAGTGTGTGTATTGAGCGGATGCCCATAGCGAGCGAGGGTGACTCTACGTACCTGGTTTGAAGAGTATGAGAAGACCACGAGCCCGACGGAGAAGCATGCGACGGACAGGACCAGGAAGACCAATGGAGACCGTTTGATCCAGATGAGAACCCACCAGGGAACACGATGGCCCGGTGAACGACTGGAAGGGCGTGATCAGTGTGGACAATGCTGAGGAGAAGGTTCGACTTACTACATGGCCTGCTTCCAAGTCAACCCAAGAAGCGAGTTCACGGCTGCAGCGATAGAGAACACCATCGAGGTGAACCAGAACCCATTGACAGCGTCTGCCGCTGGTGTTCCGACGGTTTCGAAGGAGAACTGCAACGTTGTCGCTGTGACGGCAGAGAAGAAGGTCGCCACAGTCGACAGGTTGAGCAAGTTATTCGCGCCGTGCTTCTGAGCGAATCGAATGGTGGGTACACCTGAATGAGTCTGGGGTTACTCTTATAGGACCATACAAGATCACAGATAGGAAGGCGGACCAATCTCGACGAACATAGATAGAGCTTGGGTGATCGATTCGATATGTTCGCCCATCTCCTCAGTAAGATCATGTAGGTACCGCTGGACGGCCGGGTATCTGAATTGGCCTAGATAACATGTGAGCATTGTTTCGTGTAACACGCGTGAGGTGACGATCACCTTCGTAAGCCTTCAGGCAGGATGCCCAGTACTAGACCAATGATCAGCATACTTCACAAGGCGGATGATGATCACGCGTCACACCTTTAGGTCTCCCTCGAAAGCTACAATGGAGGCATTGACGGCCTCGTCCGTGAATTCCGGAAACTCGTTTAGACAATGCAAGAATGTGATCACATCTTGAGCTAGTAGCTTGATCTGTAGGGGAAACTCTTCCTGTTCTGGAGGATCGACCACGACCGGCCTGCGTACGTGTGGTGGCGGTTTTGACTTCGCGCGCCCTCGGGTAGGCAGTGCAGGCTTGTGCAGAGCGTCTCGGTTCTCATGAGCGATCTTTCTGGGGAACAGATCGGCCGCGTTCTCGCGGAATAGGTAGCCGATAATAGTTAGGCGTTCGCGCAAATGATACGTCGAGGAGAGGATGCCGACGGAAGAACCCAGTTGACGCGCCGAGTTGCTAAAGTTGCGCAGCTCCTTGTCGAGGTTGTTGAGTTTCCTAAGCGGGCTATACTTAGCGTCATGCCAGGTTCTGACATGGATTCGCGCACCTCGCGAAGCGGTGGAAGGCCTCTGCGCCAACTTTCTGAAGGTGCTCGTCGACGGTGGCTGCGTGGGATGTCTCAGATGCTTGAACATATGATTAGGGGCTTGTGGCACGCACGAACGTCCTTGTCGCCTTCGAAGCTTGGCTCCTGGTTGCCTCCAGCTACACGCGCGCGTTAGCCACGCATTCATTTATAGAGAACGGTCAACATACCTGCTCCTAGTTCGTCATCGTTGTTCAGTTCTTGTAGGGCGGCGAGCAGGGTCAACAGCGTCTGCTTCCGTTTGCTGGTGGGCACGGACGGCCCGTTGGTGGAGTCCCCGCCCGCGAGGTTATTTGGAAAGGCTAACGGTCGCCACACTTGAGTGGCAACTACAAATGGAGAGCGGAGGCGCATACTTGACATAGCAACAGAGTATTCTGCTGAAACGTTGATCTACTCTCGTCGTTCAAAGGTCGTTGTGTCGGGTCTTCGTACGGGAACGTAGCAGGGGTATGCAAGGCGCGTAAGAGGGTCGTGCAAGGCGTGAATGGGGATGTTCGGTGCGGATATAGACGTAGCGGCAGTGCGGGGAAGGTGTCCTTGCACGTAGTCCGCACCCAAAACGCGTCGGCACAAGGTGTGGCCTCAACAGCCCGTCGGCCTCGAACGCTGCCTCGAGGCGAACTCGGAATCCGGAGGTTCCGTGATGCTGTTGATCGGAGCAAAGCCTTGTACCAATGTTGCTTAATGAAGCGCTTAAGTCTGCTGCGTTCCTGTATAGATCACTTCTATGGAACGCTCCGTTGTCAATTGCGGCGATGCGCAGTGCGCACATTCGTGGAAGGGCAGATATATTGAGAGCAGGTTGAGAGCAGGGTGAACTACAAGGTGGATAATGTACAAACAAGAACCATGCCACTATACAAGGGGTATGTGCAGTACATGTGCAAGAACAATCAATTACGGGAAACAGACAGCGGGTTGAGAGATCCAAATTCGGCACTGGCGTAGACGTATGAGAGAAGGCAGAAGAGCTATGTAGAGGTTTCGCGAAGGCGGGGAAGAAGCGTAGCGTGGCGCTGGTGCAGGGCTCACTGCCGGAGACACTTTATGAGCTTTGTGGCTCCCTCCACACCGAAGCCTTGCTTGCGGGGGAAGCAAACGTACATCGGCAGATGCACGGTATGGAACTTGCTCTATAGAAACCAGTTAGCAAGCTGCGTATACGGGAGAGCAAATCGGTCAACGTACCCTATAGTCTCCGCGCCTAGTGATGCCTGTATGGCTGATGATGGTGTTGTAAGTCTTGGTAAGGAACGAGACGCGCCAACCCTTTAAGTTGTCGACGGGTATGAGCTCTTCGCTCGCGGTGATGCCGAATGTTACGGAGACCCGACGAAGCTGATCGGACGTAGCGTCCTCCTCAGCGTAAGTCTTGTCTGGGCGCTCCGCCTGGTTCGACGATGTATGTCCAGATTGGCTAGCAGAGGGCGATATGACAGCGCTCGAGGCCTCCGAAGGTGCAGTGCCGTCGTGGCCGTGACCGCTGCTGTTCTGCTCCCAGAAGAGCGTGCCATTAGTACCAGGCTCGTCGGATTCGCTGTTTAGCGCGTCCATGGCCTGGTAGATGAGATACTCTGACGTCCCGTGCGGTGCGTTCGGGAAAGCGGCGTGGTTCTTGATCTGATACTGGTCGTGATGGATGCGCGAGAGAACGACGAGGCCGACGATCTTGCCCTGATGCTCGGACACCCAGTAACGACGATGCTCAGCGTCAACCCAAGGTTGGAAGGAAGTCTATCGAGGCGCGTCAGTAAGGTCTGGGCGAGTCTGCAAGCGCTGGGGAAGGACGTACAGAGGCAATCTGCATGCTGTTAGCGGACTTCTTGTGCTTCTTCCACGCCGCCACGCCCTCCTCGACTTCCTTCTTCTGAGTATCCGTCCAGGCATCCCACTTGATCTCACGGACGGTGATACCAGCCCGCTCGGCGCGACGGATGTTCTTTTTGAAGTCCTTGACCTCGGCGCCGCTCCCGGTCGACTTCGCGAGTTCGACGACGGCCTTCGGGTCCAGCATGTCTTCGACGATGCACGACACGGTACTCCACCCGAACCGCGAGTTCTTCCCCAGCACCTTCTCCATCTCGCCGTCCGCGCAACACCAGATGAGCTTCAGCTTCCGGTTCTTGCACCACTTCCAGAACTGGTAGCATGTCTCGTCGAGGGCGGCAGGGTCAGAAACGAGTGGGTTGCCCCAGGCGAAGACGTATGGGTCGGAGCGCAGGTAACCCTGCACAGGGCGGAACGATGAGCCCTCGATATCCTTGTCGGCGCGCCATATCTTGTATCGAGAGAACTCGAGCCAGGAGGTGTTGGAGGATGAGCCGTATTCTGCGATCAAACCGGCGATATCCGCCTTATCCTTCTCGGTGAAGGTGATCTCAGGGTGCTCGGTAGTAGGCGATGGTATAGGGGACGGCAAGTGGAAGGAGCCCTCTTCCTCTTCAGGGTGGCGATGTTTGCCGAGATGCTTGATGTGGTCGCGAAGGCTGGCTAGATGCGGAAGATGTGGCATGGCGGTGGCGTACGGAGGCGGAAAGTAGAGAGAACGGAGAAAGGAGATCTGCAGTGGCTATCTACCATCCGAACATGCAGGCACTTTAAACGATCTGAACGGACGGAGGTACGGCGAGCACCCGTGTGGGCCTGGCGAGTCTGACATATCGCGGTGACGCAGGGAAAAATCTGGAACCGACTCAGAGATTCCGATCCACCGCGCGTGTAGCCGGCGCCCTCCTGCGGGCCGTACTATGTTCCGTGCTTACTTGCGTCGGGATGGCGTAGTTGATGAGGATATCCATACAGTTATGGGTCAAAGAGAAGAGCATAAGCCGGCGACCAAGCCGGTCGGTGACGGACATCGTGGAAGTCAGCAGGAAGAGGACCGTCCGGACCAATCCGGAGTGGGCGCGCCCGGCTTTCTGAACCACGCTCACATGTGATACGCTGTCTTCCACACCCGCGTTCTGTCGGACGCGCCAAGCGGTACCGCAAATATAGGCATTGAGCTGTGGCACCGGCAAGTTGCCCCCATACCGCATGGACAGTTCGAGACACCAAGTCGATGTCGACCTCATGGACGCAAACTTCAGAACACACGCGTGGATAGGGTATAGGAGATCGCATTCGCAACGGATGTTACAGGATGTACATACTGAGTCTAGCAGGCGCGATCTCGATACAGAGTAAGTAAGTAGTAGTAGGATGATGTGGAGTTGAGAGTGAGAGGCCGAGATCATCAGGAATCGTAAGGGCATGATAGACGAGCAAGGGAGAGGAGAATGGAGAGGGGAGTGATACTAAGACAGAGCGACAAGGACGGTATAATGCAGGCAGCGAAGATGATACAACAGAGCAAAGACATAATTTACACCAAAAGGAAGCAAAAGGAGAAGCAATGGGCTACGGCGACGCGTCTATTGGCGGAGAGCCTTGATGAGCTTGCTCACGCCGTCGAGACCGAAGCCCTGCTTGGCGGGGTAGCACACATACATGCGCTGGTGAACGGTGTGGAACTTGCTCCTGAAGTCACCGCGGCGCGTGAGGCCGGTGCCACCGACGACCTTGTTGTAGGTCGCGCTAAGCGCGGAGACGCGCCAGCCGTTCAAATTTTGTGAGGGCGAGAGCGTCTCGCTGGCGGTGATACCGAAGGTGACGACGGCACGGCCGGTGGTCGACTCGCTGTGGCCATCAGCGGAGTTGGTGGGGGTGACGGAGGAGTCGCGAGAGCCGGATGGCGAACGAGATGAGACGTGCTCGTCAGAGCGGCCACGCGTCTGCTCCCAGAGAAGGCAGTCCTCGCCGTTGAGCGCCTCCATGGCCTGGAAGATGAGCCACTCCGAGGTACCGCGCGGCGCTTCAGGGAAGGATGCAGCGTTCTTGATCTGCCACTGGTTGTGGTGGATCTGAGTGAGGATGAGGATACCAACGACGTGGCCCTCGTGCTCGGCGATCCAGTAGCGACGGTGCTGGGCGTCGAGCCAAGGCATGAATGAGGTCTGAAGGGGAAGTCAGTAATGAATCGCAAGGATGAATTAGAGTGATCGACGTACGGATGCGAGCTGAAGACCAGTCTTCGCCTTCGCCTTCTTCCAAGCCAGGATACCATCCTCGACCTCCTTCTTCTTCTCATCGGAAAACGCATCGTACTTGATCTCCTGCACGATCACGCCCGAGCGCTCCGCGCGGCGAAGGTTCTTCTTGAAGTCCTTGACCTCAGAACCGCCAGCATTACCGGGCGCGTTCGCAAGATCGACGACGGTCTTGGGGTCGAGCGTGTCCTCAACGATGCAAGAGAGCGTCGACCACCCAAGCTTAGCGCCGCCGAGGACAGCCTCCATGTCGTCATCGACGCAGCACCAGACGGCCTTGAGGCCCTCGCTCTTCGCCCACTCCCAGAAAGCCTGTGCGGTAGCCTGCAACGCGGCCTTGTCGCTCACGAGCGGGTTGCCCCAAGCGAAGACGTAAGGATCTGCGCGGAGGTAGCCCTGCACGGGCACGAATGACGACTCCTTGATCGGGACGGTCGGACGCCAGATCTTGTAACGGGAGAATTCGAGCCAGGAAGTGGAGGATGAAGAGCCGTACTCGGCTATGAGACCTGCGATGGCGGCCTTATCCGAGCTAGGCGCCATGGCGGTGAATGCAGTGGTTGCGGCGCCGATCTGTGGCGTTTGAGTAGGCGACGGAAGGTGGAAGGAAGCGTCATCGGCGAGGATGGCGGTCTCCTCCTCCTGCGCTGGTGGGGTGATCGGGACCGGGTTGACTTGTACGATGGTGGCGGGTGCGGCGTCCTCCTTCAAGACAGCGGTGCGCTTCTCATTATCGAAGACGACCTGAGGGATCTGCTGGCTGCGGCGGCGCAGGGCCTTGGGCGAAGGCAAGGCGGATTTGATCGCCTTGAGTGAGAAAGTGATGCGGTGAGGGCGCGAGGGGCGCGAAGGCACGGCGGTAGCATTAACGGTTGCGACGGCGGCAGACATTGCGAACTGTTGCTGCGGTTAGATAGACGAGTTTTAGCAGGCGAGGGGATGCAACAGTGCAGTGTGCAGAATCCGACTGGTAGTTCGTACCGGGAGCTTATAAACGTCTCGCAGCCTGGCCGGGCGGCTCAACCAGTCAACGTAACGCGCTCAAACCCATAGCAGGACAACGCAAACCGCGCGGCAGCCGGTCTGACTCGGCGTCTGGCTGAGTGATCCATCTTACTTACGCCTCCTGGAATCGCCGAGGGCGCAGGTTCAGACAGGCGCTTCCGGACCTTCGATGAATGAACGGCTCCAAACAGTACATGTAGCTCCCGCGTAACGCTCGAGGACACACGACGGCGCTTACAGGGCCGTACCTCGCGCCCGAGCGGCAGATACAGAACGACCAAACGGCCCGAACATGCAGCGGAGGCCCCGGAGATGACTTCACCATACGTTCGTTGATTGGACCGATGCGTCGTCAACTTCAACCGAGCACTGCACTCTCGTTTCCCCAGTACAGACGTCCTAGTAGGATATACTCGGGACTATAGCCTCTCGAAATCGCGATACAGAAAGTCATCTAGCATGAGACAGAAGTGGGTCCGCCCACAAATCGTTGAGTCAGGAGGAGGTGGAAAGAGGACAAGACGCGCGGAGGCAACGGCGCTTAGCGGGGCTTCCACTCAGCGAACATGATCGCGATCAGCATGCTTACGTCGCGGCGATCCCGCCGACAATTTCCGACAACCACTTGCGTCATTTCTGCACCTTCGCACCCACCAGCACACCCACCCAATTTTCCTTCTGCGAGGTGGACCGGGCAAGGGCCGGGCGAGCATCCATCTCGCCGGAACGGTTGACAAAGGGGGCAAAAGTGTGTGCTAGAAGATGTGAATGCGATAGTTCCGGTACTCGCGTATCTAGATCAAAATATAGTCAGACGTCTTACTGGGTCTGACTTGAGCACGAGACAAACGTGTGCGATTCATATCCTTTCTTCTCGCCGAGCATGCAGCTTGTGGCGATAGAACTCTCATGCTAGTTATTGCCCTGCATACCTCCATCTAAGCGTTGACGTAGGGGACCGTTTAGTTCCCAAGGTTGATGTAGGCGCCGCCGGGCGTCAAACAACGATCCTGAAAAGGCTATGGCTATCTGAGGCTTCCATTTCCACAAGGATTCGTAATGGGTGTCTAATACCCTCAAGAGCCTCGTGTTTGGCATCCGTAGGTAATGGCTAGTATACAAGACTTCGATTTAGGGCAGTCGTGGGATGGTGTACAGTAAGTTCGGTATAAGCAGAGCAAGAGGCGACGTAACGTTACGATAGTACGCGCGGGTACAGCTGGATCTACAGGGTAACGAGAGAGCAGCGTTCAAACAGAAAGAAACGGCATCCGATGAAGGTCATTAGGGTAACAGGGGGCGGAGAGTGTACAGGCAAACGCTAAACTAAAGCTGTGAGGGTATCCCGCGAGATGGACACAGTTCGGTGTACTCGAGCACAACAGAGGAATAAGTCAGATGGTGAGCGGACTCGCTCACTGGCGCAAGCACTTCATGAGCTTGCGGACGCCATCGATGCCGAAGCCCTGCTTCGACGGGTAGCAGACGTACATAGGCACGTGCTCCGTACCGAATTTGCTCTGTTGTCATGATCAGCGACAGGTCAGACGAGAGAAAGAAGAGTGATAACGTACCCTAAAGTCTCCGCGCTTCGTGATACCGGTAGCGCCGACGACCTTTGAGTAAGTCTTCGAGAGCCACGATACACGCCAGCCCTTGAGGTTGTCGACAGCCGTAAGATCGTCAGCGGCGGTGATGCCGAACGTGACGGTGACCCGTCTTGGGCGGTCAGACGATGCAGAAGAGTCCTCGCTCATGACGGACGACTCTCGCGAGGGGTCCGCGTTCATGTTGCGTACAGGGCTGCGAGCACGGTCCTCTTCGTCATCAAAGACAGTCGCGCCTTCGTCCTCCTCCTCAAGCGCTTGCATAGACTGGTAGATCAGGTACTCAGATGTGCCGCGCGGTGCGCCAGGGAAGGACGCGGCGTTCTTGATCTGGAACTGGTTGCCACCGACGATAGCCAGGATGAGAATACCAACGATCTTGTCGTTGTGCTCCGCGACGAAGTAGCGGCGGTGCTCGGCGTCAACCCATGGCTGGAATGAAGTCTGTAGAGGAAGGTGTCAGACGTGGGAACTCGTATCGCCACAGCAGATGACGTACCGATGCAAGTTGAAGACCGGACTTGGCCTGCTTCCAGGCAATGATGCCCTCCTCAACTTCCTTCTTTTGGTCGTCGCTCCAATCATTCCAGCCGACCTCGCGGATGTCGACGCCCTCCCGCTCCGCGCGACGGACGTTCTTCTTAAAGTCCTTCGCACTCGAGTCGCCGCCGGCTTGGGTCGCGAGCTCGACGACATTGTGGGGCTCCATTACATCCTCGACGATGCACGAGACGATTGACCAGTTGAACTTCGAGCCCTTGCCCAAGATCTTCTCCATCTAGATATGGAAAGTAAGCGTGTGTCCTGTGTCAACTGCGGAGAACCGACGTACCTGGTCGTCAACACAGCACCAAACGAGCTTCAATTTCTGTGACTTGGCCCACTTCCAGAACTCGAGGCATGTCTCGGTAAGCGCGGACGGATCAGAGACGAGCGGGTTGCCCCAGGCAAAGACGTATGGATCAGAGCGCAAGTATCCCTGAACGGGACGGAATGAAGAGCCCTTGATGTCCTTGTCTGCGCGCCAGATCTTGTATCGAGAGAACTCGAGCCAGGAAGTGTTGGACGATGATCCGTAGTCAGCGATGAGTTTGGCGATCTCCTCCTTCTCCGCCTCCGTCGCGACGCCCTCCATGCCGAGCTCAGACTCGGCAATCTCGCGCGTCGGGCTACCATCAGGTGATGGCACGTCGAACTCCTCGATCGCCTCTACTTCTTCTGCTGGAGGCGTGGTAGCATCTTCTGGGCTGTCGTCGCCGTTGACCTTGTCTATACGCTTGTCGCCGTTCGAAGTTGGCGTGTGCGAGTGCTTGAGCTTGGAAGGCACAAGCTTCTTGAGAGTCGTAGAGATCGGCATGTCGATTAGTTGATTATTGACAGAGAGCTAGGTAGTGGAAATGCAAGGGCGCGGTGAAAGAGTGTGGTATGACCCGCGTTGCGCGGGAGGGCTTTTGAAGTGGGAGCTGTGGAGAAGGCTTGTTCTGCGCTGATGCTCTATGCGATGACGTATGTCATGGGTTCGCCCATTGCCCCGTTAAATCCGCGTCGGTCTGAATAGAAAATATCAGATCAAAGTCGCAACACGATATGCCTGCTGAAATGCGCATCTATGGATGCAGAAGGAGGCGAGCGAGTGAGACGAAAACGAGCTTTACGATCCCGTCAAAGGCTAACTTGGGCGTAGAACGCGCGCGAGTCTTACCCGCCGGCAAAACGCATGCATAGTCGTCACAGGCCCCATCTTGCGAACGTCGCAACTCCGTATCCTGGAGCCACACAGAGAATCCTTCCTGATTAGCCCGGAGCCCATCCGGTCCCTCGGAAGATACAGGACCCAGACCCAATCCGGTGCACGGAAGGACGTCAACAGGTTGCGCAGATGACGACGAACGAAGCCATCGAGCGGGGCATACTGTTCAAGAAGGTAACGCAGCACCACCTACAGACACGGAGAAGTGGTACGATGGGCACAGCTATATAATTGAAACGGCGTTGTGAAGGGCAAAAGGTAAAGAACAAAGGTTCGTGAGTGCGGGGCCCGAGGTCGCGTGGGCAGCATCGCAAATTGCCGTTGGACCCACGGCAGACTACACTGCGCACAAGTGGGGAAGCATACAGACGCCGACAACGCCTTGTATGCCAGTAGCGAAACATTGCGTTACAAGGGCCACAGTATGGCATCGAGGGGATGAAGCCGGACGAGACCGCGCTCGCGGCAAAGCCTACTGTCCATCCATATATCAGCCACACGAAAGCCACGGCGCAAACCCTCTGCCGTACTCTCTATACCGGCGGTCGAGGACAAGCCTCGGCCAGAAATGTTCTGTCAAAGATAGCATGGCCGAGACTTGGAGACGACCCTGGCCGAAGGGCTAGGACAAGAATGGAGGATGACGACGACGGCGTTCTTGAGAGAGCTCGAAAGAGGTGTGGCAGTGGCACGCCGCAAGCGGGTAACGATCAAGGTAAAGGCTCCCATCGAGCGCTCGAGCGCTAGCAGTGATGTGAGCGTATCCACGGCGCTTGTGGGTTCGGCGAGAAGGAGACTGGGAAGAGAACCCTCGGTCGACAATAGATGGCTCTCATGTATACATACCTGTGACAACCCGAGTACGCCGGTATTCAGCTCTCAATCTACTATCTCGAGAGCAACCTCCTCGGGAACCCGAGTATGTGTGTAGAAGGATTTCAAGGTCACTGAGCTGCTCTTGTGACAAGGTTCAGGATAGACAGCGTCCAAATACCTTTGGACGGGTTCAGAGGGCTGCATTCGCGCAGGATCCTCCTATCATTGCTGGACACGCCGGATATCGCATCATCCATGGTAAGATAAGTTCATCGACGGGAGTTCATATTTTTCATTAAAGGCTTGCGTGTATGCAGAGCATTGCAACTCATAACGCATGAGAGCTAGATGCAAGTCGCGGTCGAAGGGCACTGATGGCCTCGAAGTGCGCGGAGATTGCCGAACGCCTGTCCGCCGCAGAGTCAGTTCTCCTTGACTTTCGCCGCACGCGTCTCCCTCACTCTTCCAACCCCTCCGCCCACGATGCGTTACTACGAACAAAAATACCCGGAGGTAGATGAGCTGGTGATGGTGCAGGTGCGGCAGATTGCCGAGATGGGCGCGTATGTCAAGCTGGTGCGTCTATGAGTGTAATTCTGCGCGCGTGGGCTGCTGTGCTGATCATTCTCTGAATAGCTCGAGTACGACGGTATCGAGGGCATGATCTTGCTTTCTGAGCTCTCACGTCGTCGTATACGCTCTATCCAAAAACTCATCCGTGTGGGTCGTAATGAGGTCGTGGTCGTACTTCGTGTGGACAAGGAGAAGGGTATGTCCTACATGCATTCTGGGCTACCATCGCAATATTGAACTTGTTTCCATCACACAGGTTACATCGACTTGTCAAAGCGCCGTGTCTCACCAGAAGATATCACAAAATGCGAAGAGCGATACATGAAGTCCAAAACCGTCTCTTCCATTCTTCGGCACGTCGCATCGCGTCTGCCCACCTACGACCCGGACGCGGAGGCATCGAAGGAGAAGGCCGCTCCGGCACCCGCCGAGAAGGAGGAGCACAAAGAGGATGAGGAGGATGAGGGCCCTCACGTGGTGCCGGGTTCGAGCGAGGAGGAGCGCCTAGAGCAACTCTACGACACGATCGGCTGGCCATTAAGTCGGAAGTACGGCCACCCGTACGACGCATTCAAGCTTGCGTTGACGTGCGTTCAACTCCGCCGGTCTCCTAGTCTGACGTATCTCTGATCGGCCATTGTCCGTTTACAGCGAGCCTGATGCTGTATTCGCTTCGCTGCCAAACCCTGTACCCGACGCGACGCGTTCGCTGCTCATGGCCACGATCGCGAGGCGTTTGACGCCCCAGCCGATCAAGCTGCGTGCGGATATCGAGTTGACGTGTTATACCACCGCCGGGATCGACGCCATCAAGAAGGCGCTTCGGGCAGGTGAGTCTGCGAGTACCGAGGCCGTGCCAATCAAGGCAAAGCTTGTTGCGCCGCCGCTCTACGTTCTTAGCACGAACGCGACGGATAAGGTATGCCCTTCTCAATGCCCAGTCCTACCCTAAAGTCTGACATCACGGGTAGTACGCTGCTGTTGACCGCCTGGAGCGGGCCATCGAGGTCATTCAGACGACAATAGAGCAGGACGGAGGTTCGCTCGTCATCAAGATGAAGGTTCGTCCACTCCCCTTGTCATCTTCACTTCGTATACTGACATGTCGTAGCCAAAAGCCGTCTCCGACACGGAAGAGCAGGATCTCGCCCAACTTATGGCCAAGGCCAGCCGCGAAAACGCCGAGGTATCAGGCGACGAAGAGGAGGAGGCGATCGAAGCCTAAATTGTATGGCTGCTTGTACATCTCCCCTTGCGCAAGACTGGCAATTCTATGTGCTTGTAGAGCTTCTGTGGCACCTGTCTTTATGTAGCCCAAACGCATCATCCATCTTGTACCCTACCACTCTCTGGATCTGTACATCGTGTAGCATCTAGATCTCATTCTCTGCGGGCACTGAACCTCCCATATCTGTATCACAGAGGCAAAGGCGGGGCATGAACGTGAATAAATGCGAATCGTAGTCTAAACGCAAGGGTCGAAGTTGTCATGCGCCCGATACTTGAAATCCGCATCATCATCCGCCTGTATCGCAACTTTCCGCACCCTGCCGTTCTTCCAGCCAGCGATCGTACGCGGCGTGACGATCAACGCTTTGTATCCTTCCAATAGCATCTCCCGGATGAGACCATGCTCCTGCGCGAAGCTATCCAGCATCGCGACTCTCATCTTCTCCGGTGCCGTCACAGTTCGCAACTCCAGGGGCTGAGGCACTGGCTGCACCACTGGCAACCGCCCTGCGAGCTCAGGAGGCATGATCGAAAGGCCGGAGTCGTATAACACGCGAACTTGCTCGCTCGTTGTTGCGTCGAGGAGACGCCAATGACATGCGGGGTCTTCGCGCTCGGTATCTGGAAGAGTGTCGACGACTCCTTGTTCCGATCGTGAGGACGCCAGAAGAGCACCCGTTGCGATGTTGCGAAGTATGAAGGCGCCATCACGTAGAACGGGCGCCCACATATGATGATAATCGGTTGTGTCGTGTTTTGCAACCTGAGCATGCAATTGTTAGTCGGATATATAGCTTAAGCAAGGATGAAGAGCGCGTACGACGTACGTTGATATGCGCACCGCCCCAGTGATCCATAGTCATCCTATTTACTGAGCTGTTCGCGATAGCAAAGACATCGGCGCGGACGTTGCCTGGAAAGTTCTCGACGTAGACGAATGCCCAAGAACTGTCCTGCGAAGCCGATGGTGTCAAGCGCACGTTGGGATCCCAGGTGCCCCTAGCTTCTACACGGGTTGCAAGCATCCCCGTAAGCACGTTCTGTAGTAGCAGCGGGCGTCGGGGGAATATAACGTCCGGTATTGGCGTGATGGGATTGCCGAGGCTGAGGGGCATGGTTGAAGACAGGCGGATAAGGCTCCATTCTTGGAAGGTGGTGGGCCCCTGAGAGGGAATAGATGTAGCGTGTAGTTCATCGCACCCTGAACGGGCCCTCGGACATCGGCCGTCAAGGACTATGCCGTTAGCACTTCGGATGGTGCAGTATTGCTCTCTACGAAGATGGCACCGGTCAGATCGTGTTCGAGAGCGACGTAGGTCGAGAGAGGAACTCACGTAGACACCTCTCTTGTTCCCCAAAACAACCAGGTCTGGTGTTCGCCTGCGTTATAACAATGGGCACAGACCTTCGAACCTGGTCTAGTGGAGCAGGCAAAGATGTCCAGGACTGTTCCAACGGCCAAGCTACGGATCACAAAGGTAAAGTCGTTGTTGGCCTTCTTCTCTATCACCCATAGCTGCGTTTGCAATGCTCCTTCCCTTGATGGCGCCATATACGTGTGATGTGCGGCTCCGCCTAGCGGCTTGTGGTCTACTGTCTCGATGACTTGACCGTCGGCGACGTTCTTGATGATGTAGATGCCCTCTTGAACGCGTAGGTTGCAGTTCGCAATGAACTCGGAACGAGGCTGGTCAAGGTCGTGAAATCAGCAAAGTAGAGCCTAGTGTAACGATAAAGCACCTACTGCCGTTGGAGTGATAGACATCGTATACAGCTGCTGCACCATTTGTTGTTGTACCAGACGCGTGCTTACGCTGGACTGGATCTAGAACGAGCTGTAGCGAGGTCCTGTACCACGCATCACGATGTGCAGACCTCGAAGACGTGAAAAGCATGCGTCAATTGCTCGTTAAGCGCTTTGACAGCAGCGACATCTTCTGACTTGCTCAGGAGCTTTTTGTACGTCCTGCGATTGATCCTCTCGGAGGCATACGCAAGGATGTTTTCCATGGTGCTGTATCGTCGTCAGTCAACAGATATATGTGACATACTGACCGTTATGTACCTTGTCAACTGACGAAGGTCGCTCTCGAGCTGCACAGCTACTGACTGCATGCCATTGCACGAGCGCGCTACGGCCACGACAATATCTTTCGCGCGCAGCGACAAGCTCTTGAACATATCATTCGTGATTTGTGCTTCCTAAACACGGAAGGGGGTCAGCCACGCGATCAATCTCAATGGACGACTCATGACAGACTCACAATGACATACTGTAGCAGCTGGACGCCAACTGAGGCTAGGTACTTCACGAACGGCAAAGTATCCACAGCTTCTAACACGTCTCTCAGGGCTGCCAGCCCACCAGCAGCATTGCCCAAAGCATTTGATCCGACACCACCGTACATCATCTGATCGAAGGGCGTGAACCCACGATCCATGCTCGAAGACGGGGACAACGACGTTGATGGCAGTGGGGGAGAGCGGCTACTCGAGCCCGAGCCCTCAGACGACGGTCGGGTACCGTAGGGGATACTAGGAGGAGTTCCGGGTGACTTTGATCTCATAGTGTCCTTCAGTCTGGATAACGCGGCAGATGCGCGATCCGAGGAGTATGACATGGTGACGGTCGACTCCCAAGTAAAGGCAATCCCCTCTCCGTTGGGCGCTGCTACGCGGCTGTGCGTGGAACACTAGCGGGCGCCATCATCTCGTGTATACCAGGCCTATCGAGATCGGAGTGTAAGTAGATCGACAAATGCGCGCTGTCGCAACAGAAGCATTCTGGCGCCCGTGGTGCCTCTGTTTCCCACCGGTACCCTGTAAGCGAGGTGTGACCGGGACCGGCGACATAGCCATCATAGCCATAGGTCTGGATGGTGACAATAGTGGCCGCCCGTTACTTCGAGCAGGGTAGTACGTGAACTGTACATATATGATAGACGCCATGGAAGTCGCGGGCGAAGTGCACACGCGCTTCAACGGTGCCACAGGTTCGCCCATGACCACCACGTAATGACATTCTGAATAACGCTGTACACGTTGTCTATCCGCATACTTGATCTCCGCTGTATATTTTGACCCGTCTACTCCCATTTTGCCATCGCCTGAAGATGTTTCGCCGCCCACTCGTGGCCCAGGATGGTCTTTGATAGCTCATGATCTTCCCCCAATATCTTGAGAATGCAGCGCAAGATAGCCGCGACTGCGGTGTCAACGTGCGCCGGTGCATGTCCCCCAACGAACACGACGCCAGGCCCATTTGCGGCGACATGCTTGGCTACTTCGTCCAACTGCACCCCAAAGGCCTTGCAAGCCGCCGTGAGCGCTTCCCCTTTCGGTGCAATATCCTCCAGCGCTTTCCCACCGTGCCATCTTTCGCGCGTCTCGCGAACGTACTTCCTGTCCGCGTCACTCATGCAGCACTTTTGGTATACAGGGAAGCAGAAAATCTTGAACGAGGTTTGCAGCAGGGGGTAGACGACCTTCTCCGCATAAGCCGCCTGCAGACCCGCGGTTCCCGGCGCGACGAGACGCGGCATGTTCGGGTACGCCTCTTCAAGGTACTTCGCAATGGCGAAGGACTCGGTGACTACCCTTTTCGTGTTCGGGTCGTAGATGGTCGGGACGGTGTAGTGCATGAGATAGCCCGTGTTTGGCAGGATGCCTAGCTCCTTCATCTTCGGTTCGACCTCCGTGAAACTGAGCCATTCAGTCTTGTATGGGATGCCCTTAATGTTCAGCGCGTATCTGCAGATGCGGTTCAGCATTTTGTCCTGCGCAGGCTTCGATAGATGTGATTGTTATCGTACCGCGTTCTGATGATGGAGAGTCAGCTTATCAGTCACTAGAGCATCGACCGGAGGTCTGGGGATCACACACTTCATTCTGTAAGAGTGTATCCATTAGCACTCCCTCGCGAAACTACGCATGAATCTCACGTATTAGGGCTCCAGCATTTCTCAGATTCGGATTGGCCCTCTGGACCCTGACGTAGCAAGTCGTAGAAGATGATAGGTTCAGGTATTGCCGCTGTGCTTATCGGCGAGTTGGTAGATCAAAGTCCCAAGTGGGTGATGGACGGGCTGTCGCAACTTCGATTCTGCAGACGTTGTTGAGCTTTTATATCACTCGTCTTGTACTGCTGACATGCTGACGGTGAACTCCGGGAGTCGGAGAATAGGTCATTTGCCCCAACATGATCGCCGTTTGGCCATCACTCGTGGTGAACAGACGGTCTCCGAGGGCCGCGGCATCGTGGCGGACGATAGGCTGATACGCCGATCCTACTGCGGTCGTCGTGGAGTATGAAGATACGTGTACAGTGTGCTACTCTACATGCCGTTGTACGCGCAAAACAGAGATACTATCGCGAGAACACCCATAAGCTTGTGATAAGGTCAGACTCAGCGATCTCATCGGCTCCGGAGGTCTCGTCCTCAAATGTGCACAGTCTCCTCTCCAACGTATCAGCAACAGCGGGTTCCTTCTTGATCCTTCGCTTGAAGTCCGCTTCGAGAAGCTATAATATCGTCAATACCGACGACTTCAGTAGAAGAGATCAAGCCGACGCACAGTAGCATACGTGTGATCCAGGAAATCCTCGAGCGAATACGGCGGCTTGGTGAAGGCCTCGCCGAAGACCTTCGCAAGCGAGGCGACACCCGGGAGATAATGCCTTTGCAATGTGCGCAGCTCCCAAAGCGATGAATCAAGTGCGTCCGTTGCGTTCGGATCGGGCTCGTCCGCCTTGAATGGATCCTCGAAAGCAGTCGAGGGGGCGTCGTCGTCAGCCTCGCGATGGATCATGACCATGAGCGCTGGGTGGCGCTTGAGGATGTTGTAGATGAAAGGAATGGTGATGACGATGCCAGCAGGAGGTGCGCTGAGTGCTAAACGGGCGAGCCGCTTGACAAAGGAGCCGAGCAGTGTTGCGGGAAGATGCCTACGAGTTGTAAATCAGATCAGATGCACTGAACATTATGTGCTCGGACTCACGTCGAACTGAGGAAGACCTCTGCAAGACGGAAAAAGCGTGCCCTATATTTGAGATGCAAGAGGTCATCATCCAGGAACGTATATAACCGTGTATAAAAGGAAGGATAATCCCTGTATCCACGTTAGTCGATCCGATAGATTCAAGAGCGCGAGCAAAACTCACAGGTTATACTCCGTCATCAGGATGAATAGCGCGTTCAGTGCCAGTAGCCCAACGACACCGCCAAAGTCGACACAAGCTCCAACCCAGTCCATGAGCATAACCGCCCGCGTCATATTCGGCATCACTCGCTGATGCAGGGCGCCTAACGCCCTCAACGCCAACGCGCTGTCCGTCTGCAGGCGTGGTAGCAACCCAAGCCATGCCCGAGTGAACACGGCTCTATGACTTGGAAGTGCATGAAGAGACTGGTGTACGGTCATCTTGTGTAGACGCGCTGTCGGCGTGACCTTCTTATTCTTCCCATCATCCTTCTCTGACGGCTCATCAAAGAATTTGCGCCAGTCGTCTTCATCCTCGCCCTCCTCGTTCGCCGCATCGGGCTTCTCCTCGTCCTCTTCGGGCGCGGAAGAAGCACCCTTGCCCCTCTTCGGTTTTGGAGGCTTGGCGCCCATCTCCTCAACCCACCAAGACTTGATCGCCTTGGGTTCCTGAGGGAAATTCTCAAGGTTCTCGAGCAGACTGAGCAAGTTTTCGTGCGCATGGACGTGCTTCTGCTTCGCGAGTTGCGACAATAGTGGGCTGATCAAGCATGTAAGTATAGGTAAAAGAACAAGAAGCCTGCAAGAGCTTACTCGCAATCACGCAGGAAGAACCATCGCAGATCGTCGTAGACGTTCAGATGCGCCTTGACGAAAGTGTCCCGAACATCAGGAGCAAGAAGACCCGTTGAAGAGGCAGAAGAGCCAGGGCGAAGAGACATGGGCGCAGCAAGCAATGCCTCGATGATGCGTTTGTAAAACGGCACATTGAACTGCGGGTGACCGGAAACTTTGGTCATCGAAGTCGAGAGATGTTTCAGTAGTGACATAGCGATGCGCAAAGCTGATGTCTGTAATGTTACTGAGAATATGATATCAAGTATATTGAAGAAAACATACCCTTAGCGCCTGTTCATCATCCTTCAATAAGCTCAATAAGAACTCCGTGTACGATGCGAGACGGTCCTGCAACCATCCTCGCACCACCCGCGCCTCCGCATCCTCCCCACGCACATCCAGAAGTCCCTCATTGACTACCAGTACAAATACTCGATATAGCGAGTAGATAGCCTTATGCAATAACGCAGGGTTTGACAGTGTGAGCGTCAAGTCGATCAAGTCCGCGAGCGGGTTCAGAGACTGTTTGGCGGCGACAGCAGAAGTAAGACGAGCTTCGAGGTTTGTGATTGTTTTCTCATCTCCAGTCGATGGGTCGGATAGCTTGCGACGCTTGGCCGCGCGAGGGAGGGAAGACGGAGGCATGACGGTGAGAGTGAAGGTCTATGTCCCGCGCGGCTTTTCTGAGCTGCTCAAAATTCGCGGTCACATGGGTTGCATCAAACGCGGTTACGCGTAGACGCGTGACCTCGGGACACGCAAGTATTGGATGGCATAAGGTTGTACACAAGCCTCAAACACATTCTGCTGAGAAATAGATCTCACCAGCTAGCTTCTTTCTAGGGGCTGTACGGTAAATATCATTCACGCTGAGATTTTGGTGCACCAATCATTATTTGAGTCAGACGAGACAAGTACTAGGGGACAAATGAGAGCAGTAGTAGATAAGGGAGCGAAAGTCAAGAATAAAATGAAAGTAGAAATTGTCCGAATCAGTGAAGAGCGCGCCCCAGAACATCATCCCGCCCTCCGCACGAGGTAGCTTGTCTCCGGGATGATGACCATGAGGATCTGTTCTCTGAAATTGCTCACAGGCTCAGGCCGAGGCCGATGCACAGTTTGAAGTCGAGCGTAGCGAGGATAGAGAGGCAGCTACTACCGAGAAGTCCAGCGAGGAGGCTGATGACGACTTTCAGAACGCCGAGCAGGCCGAGGACAGTTGAAATGAGGTTGGCGCAAGGGCCGCTGATCAACGTTGAGCGACACGTTCGAACACGTTGAAAGCACGAACTCACTCAAGAACCTGGAGAGCCAGGAGAACCTCAGCCTTGAGGCTGACTACACTATAGCACGAGCCGCATGCGGTGATGACAAGCTGCAGACTTTTAGTGGGTGTTTCCTCGCCAGACGGACAGACAAACATACGGTAACAACGGCAGAAAGTAAGGACAGAATGTTCCCAGAGCCGAGACCGTCAGAGCTGGCACAGGCGGCGGTCGCCGTGCCTATCTTCGCCGAGATTTCGGCGACAATTGGCTGCACATCGCCGGCCGTCGCGCTGGAAGGTAGGCTGCCTGCATAACCCGTCAGCGATGCTATAAACAGGGAGCAAAAGATTGAAAACACGCACTCAGTTTGCTGCAAGAATCTCCCACGTCGATCGCGAGCTGGGCAAGAATTTCGGTGACGGTCGTGCCGGTGCGAGCCTCAAGCGCGCCCGCTTCAGGAGCAGGAGCAGGAGCGGGCGCAGGTATGGCCGACGCGAAAGTGCCGAACGCGAGTGCGGCGAAGGTAGCGATCTTCATGAAAGAGAACATGTTGACTTCGGGTGGATGAACGGCGACGAGGAAGAGATGTCGAGGGTGGAAGTGCGAGTTCTCGAAGATCGAAGAGTGCGGAGGTCCCAGAGGATGGAGAAACGAAGGCCGTTGTATCCGGGGTTTATATAGGTCTATGAAGCGTGGATGCTCGATGTAGAAACCGTCATGTATCACCAATGAAATCGCGAAAAGGCCGCAGTCGAGACTCGCAAGTACGGGGTGCTGATGCTGCTGTTGTCCGAGGCGGCGACCCAGGATGCCGGCGACGTCCGGACTCGGCAAAGCGCCTACAATTGAGTTTTGACAGTTAGCAGCGCTTCCTACATCTGAATACGCGTCATGAACTCGTGACCAAGCACCCTCGCTACCGAAACTGAATGGATTCAATGCGCGCTCGCAGTCAGAGCACCCCACCTGGACAGCGCCTGTCAGGGAAAATGTTCGATTCATTGTCGCTGAGTTGAAATACTTCCACACGTGTGGCGCGCCAAGCGATGTGAACATCAACTTGGTAGGACTTGCGGTAAACGTCTTTACTAGAATAGTGTCAATTAGATGGGCAACAGGCGGAGACTCGGAACACGGACGTGCTAGCATGAGGGAGGACGGATCTCAAAGATTGTATGAACGAGGTCGAAGATCGTTAGATTTGATTGCATCCTGGCATAGGTCAGAGTACTGCAAGGAATTTGTGAATCTGATGAATGGAGGAGCAACAATCGAGATGGGCTCTCACCGAGGACAAGCTGAGGTGTGTCAAGGAGAGCGAACGGACCAGATCGTGTCATCTGTCATGATTAGGCGCGGAAACGCCAACAAAGCGCTCGGCAGCGCCCATGTGCACGGCAAATGCAACGCGGTTACCCTGAGCGTGGCAGTTCTACAATTGCCAATCTCTGTTGTTCTTGAGAGAATGTACACGAGGTTGGAAGCGCCGAGTCTACCAGTGGCAGACCGTCTACTGTGAATGTGTATCTTCCGGCACATAGATTCTGGTACAGCGTCCTTCGATGATATATTGAGTGGGTTGATTGTGGTTCCTGGAGTCGCAAGTAACAGGCCGAGATGGGCTGCAGGCATGTCGATGGAGACGCGCGGGGATTACTTGAACCCCAGGATCTGGCGACGGATCGTCCAGCTTGACAAGGTAAAAAGGATACATTGCACAAAGCGTAAGTGACTGCAGAACTGCTTCAGAGTCCTGACAGCGCAACGACGAACGACTTGATGAATGGGTCAGACGGGATGACGACATCAGTTAGCGTTGTGCTGTGGCAACTCGCACGGTGATTGGAAATTGACTCACCGGATTCGAACGGGCTTCTGCTCTTCTTGTAGATCTGGCAAGCCCAGAATCTGCGAAGTTGTTTGAGTATACCAAAGCGGGCATTCGTCGTCCATGAGAACACCTGATGTCTTTGGCGGAGGTCGAACTTTGAACATGACGGCAAGAGCAATGCGCAAGGTAACAGGCCCTTTGGGAAACGCAGTCTGGAGACCATTCCCCCAACTATGACGAGCATAGGTGTCGCGTCGATCCAGGTTCTGCGCGCATTGTCAGCTACAACATTCTGAAAGAAAGAAGATGAATATCAATAAAATATGAAGTTGCTCAAGAGCCTTTCGATATTAGGAAGGGACCTACCACATCTCTTAGGCTTCTGAGTGATACCATGTCAAAACGTGAACTCAAGGTCCAGCAATGTTTCCCTCTTCCAGACGCCTGTATGCACAGCGCTGTGCGAGAAACGCGGAGTGGCGTCGGAAACTGTACAGGATCAAGGTCAGCCAGCGCGGTACCGCGAGCAAGCCTCGGGCATCTCGAGGCGCCGTTCACATCGTGAGCTTGTATGGCAAGATCTCGTCTTCTCTGATTGGCATCGTAAGCGATGTTCAAAGATGTACCAGAACAGGCAGAATTGCCAGATCACGATTCGCGAATACTGGCGTAGCTGAATAGCTCGGACATCTCGTGGCGCGTTGGTCGATAGTCTCGGGCTGTTAGAGTGGACGATGTGTCGCTGAGCTTTCTCGTCATCGTGAACCGGTCGAGAGGTCTACTACGTTCCCCGTGTACCACGCAGCGAGTGCAGATTTCCGCGCAGACTCCGGGTCTTGTCATGCCGGTAATCTCCATGGATATATGAGGTTTGCGCGGCGATATGTCACAGTCGTCCACCCCGATCGTCAACCCCTTTGGAGGCGGGTTGCGTCACCGACGAGGTCACCAGCAGCTGCGCTGCTCGTTGTTCACAGTGGCGTCCGGCTACCTCGATAGACCGGTCGTTTCGCAATCTTCATGGCGCGAGTTGTGCGGCGGTACGCTGCCTAGACCGACTTTCGCTGAGGACGATCCGCGGACAACATGTGCATGTCAGGACCGGTGTGAGCGTACGCCGGAAGTCGCCGTTGAGCGCAACAAAGTGGAACAACGGCAAACCAACGTGCGGCCGGCGACAAGTGGGATATAGAGCGTGCGGGTAATATACACACCATAGCGAACCAATCATCACTCGAAGGCTGTGTCCATTCTGACGCCCATATTTTGCTTGACCTCCATGCCCAGCCTCTTCATTCGGCCAGCCTGTGGGGTTCAGTCGTCAGCAAACGAAGTCCGATGTGTAGCAGAGTAGAAGCGGGTACCTCGATGCGTTCATTCTGTACACGCCTCAGCTCCTGCAGCTGCTCCCGACTGAGGTAACTTTCCCTCTCCTTATCGGGAACCTTGTGCGTGCTCTTGTGTGCCTTGATATCAGCCTCGAAGTCGTACCCACCGTCCGTAGGTGGTAATGTATCGCCAGAGCGCATCGCATTCATTCGTCGCTCATAGGCTTCAATGTGGTAGAACTTCTCGTGCGGTAACGTCGCTACCATATTCATTAATTGTGGCGCTATCACGAGAAGTCGATGGACAGCGAACCAGTATTGAAGTCTTCGACGAAGCGCAAGAACTCCTTTCGAGTTTTGTCCTTCGGCAGAGTCTCGGGATTCAACATGCGTTCCTCCACGAGCCATGCACGGAACTCTGCGTCCTTGCTGTATATACTGTTTGACGATATGCATCAGTTTGTATTGCTGGGAGATAGTCGAATAGCGAACTGCTCACTCAGTTTCAGAAATAATACCGTACTTCCCCCACTCGCCACCAGTAGCCGCAGTAGCGTTCTTCTTCTGCCTCTGCGAGTTGGGCTCAGTCCTATGATCCGAATGCATACTTACAGAGTGAGTCTTACCTTACGCTCCTTCTTCTCCTTCTTCAACCGCCTCTTCTCTTTTCTCCGTTCTCGACTGCCACTCCTGCTCCTGTCCCTATCCTTCTCTCTCCTCCGCTTCTTCTTTTTCCTGCGCTCGACATCACTATCCTCAGATGATGACGAACTGGAAGCAGATCGTGAGCGCCGTCGCCGTCCTCTATCACGACTACGGCTTCGTGAATGCTTTCGGGTATGTCGGTCAGAGTCTCGCCTAGGCGAACGCGAGCGACGATCATCACGGTCGCGTTTCGGTACGGGAGAACGAGAGCGACGTGAACGTTCTGGAGAATCGCGCCTGCGTTCTCTCCTTGGTGACCGCGAACGTGAGCGGCGCGAGCTTTCTCCGTCACGGCCGCGATGCCTGTCGTAGCCTCTGTCCATACACAATTATATTCCGATACAAGTGAAAGCCGAAGGAGGTAGAGAGCGAGAGCAGTCACGGTGGTGGACGTCAAGGTGGCCACCCGAACCCTTGACGCGGGGCTGTGGCTCCGCCATCAACCATCAACATGTGTCCACTCCAATCATCTTCCTCAGTCGCTGCTCTATCCGCGAAAATCTAGATAAAATCCACTTCTACTACAAGGCTGAAGTGCTCCTACTATCGATAGCCTACTCTTACTCTTCATCTTCTTCATCGTCATCTTCCTCATCCTCAGACACCTCCCATCCAGCCTCCTTCATCTTTGCCTTATCCCGCTTCCGTTTGTCGCTGATCTCGTCCAATAACACCAGGAGATCCTCCTGCTCCTTCTCGACTTCCGCACGCTTCGTGCGTTCTGCCTCGAGCTCAGACTTGACAGTCTCCAGTTCGCCCGATAAGTCGGGTACGAGGGGGGCAGGTGCAGGTGCGGGTTCGGGTTTTGCCGCTGCTTCCGCCGCGACAGCTTGAGCTTTGGCCTCTGCTGCCTCTGCCTCAGCTTTCCACTTCTCCGCATCGGCCCGGGCAGAAGCGAGGTCAGCTTCGACTGTAGAGAGCCTTTGTTGTGCAGCAGCAAGCTCTGCTTGCGAGGTAGAGGACTGTACCCGATGATAAGCGCGATATACACGTGATCATACAAGTAGCACATACCGTTTGTTGTGACGTCGCGGCTTCAGCCAACAAACGCTTCAACCCATCAATCTCTACAGCCTGCTTCGCTAGGGCATCGCGTAACGATGAGACGAGCATGCTCTCCTCTCCGCTCTGTGCAGATGTCTGCGGAGGTGAATCCGGCTCGGCCATGATCGCGCGCATGATTGTCTCTACAAGCGAGTATCAGCACAGCGTCTCGGTGACATAGAGAGCGAACGTACGGTTCACAGACTTCCAGAAGTCAACGAACGCCCAATCGAACCAGATCTCCGCCTCGTCATCGTACCGCGGTTGGAAACCTGGCGATAGACTCGCAGGCGTGGGACAAGGCAGCACCCAGACATCAGGCGCCACGACCTTCAGCCTGTCGTCGTCCCTCAGCCTCGTCAGACGTCCGGAGAGTGTGCTCTGTCCGAGACGCGAGAGTAAGGGGTACATGCTACTACGCGTGATCTCGGATGGAGAGTCCGAGTCGGTGTCGCGGTTGAACTCGTAGCAGACGCCGAGGAGAAAGGCGCAAAGGCCGGGAACGACGATGTCCGTTTCTGAAGGTTGATTGAGTTGTTCAATGAGCTGTAGAAGTCAGTCAACCTAGGCACTGTGTGGCGTAAAGGTACGAGATGCACGTACAAAGCCCATACCGCCCGCCTCAAGGAACGTTCGCACGGCTTTAGGGTCCTCCCATAGCCACTGCGAGAGCAAAGACAGATACGCGATGAGCCACCTGTCCCACTCTCGTGAGTCGGCTTCTGACAGTCCATCCCGCGTGCGCGCGAGGAACGCCAGACTCAGATGCTCCGTCAAAATCTGCAGCAAGCTCTGCGCCTCGTCTTCGTCCTCATCTTTCTCCTCCTGCGCGGGCGGAGGTGCACTACCATCTGCCGGCACAAAGAATGCCCCGCTGCCTTCTGTCCCGTCGGCATTGAGAGGTGGTGGTACGATCTGCCGAGCGAGGTTCTTGCAGGGCGGGGTGTGGCGGAGAAGATGGGCGAGAAGGACTGATGCGAATTGGAATGATACGACGGCGACGCGGTCCGGTGGTGTATCGCCCTTTGGTGTGGCGAGGAGACCGAAGAGTAGTGGTGTCAGAGGCGACCGCGCGTTGGGTCCCGCATCTTCCGGAGGGAGCATACCAGCAACGATAGCTTCTTTGACCGAGTCGTCTCGTATGAAGTTCTGTTGATGTTATCAGTGGCGAATGCTAGGATGTAGAGATGGCGACATACCTCGAATACACCAACTGCACTTGCACGCAGGTCCATGCTGGGCTTCGCCCGGCGCTCAGCATCGGCGCCATTATACTCGCCGTGCATAATGAGCTCTATCAAAGCGTCGAGAGCGGTGGCAGCTTCGAGCTTGTCCCACTCCTCGCCGTTGGTTTCAGGAACAGGGACATAGGGCGTCACGACGATCTCAGGGAGCATAGGCGTGGCGTCCGCTGGGAGGTGGCGGAGTGCCTGCACCTTGACTACAGTGGGAGCGTTGGAAGCGAAGGAGAGCTCGATCAGCATCCTCGTATATGCGTAGCCTTCTCTCAGCTGTAGGGTGGGTAAGCTTGAACGTCTGGATGTGAAGGGAGTCGGACATTCTCACAGCAGGACCCTTTGCAGCAAGCAGTAAGCCGATTATGTCGATCACCAGTGACGCACATGTCGCTTTTCCCGGAGACCAGAACTGGAGCGCAAACTCTTGAGGTGCGGGCAGTTCTGGCCGAATACCGGGGTTGAAGTACAGCAGCGTGCATAGTGCGGCGGGGAGAGGTGTCTCGAGGAAGTAACTCTAGGCGGTAGTGTAGCGTCAATACAGTATACGATGCATTAGTGAAGAGTCGGCATACCTGGTTGGATGTGTTGAAACGCAATAGCATATCCACACATTTCAACGCTTCCTCCACATACTCTCCGCCGTCGAGACCGCCTTCTCGTGTGATGATACCAAATAGCTTCTCGAATACGCCATCAAAGGCAAGGACCTTTTGTATCTCTCCACTCTTGCGTAGCAGCATAGACAGCATGTGCAGAGCCTCTAGAAAGCGCGTATAAGTGGTACGTTCTTCTCACGGGTATCGAGGAAGGCGCGCATCGGGACCGAATAGATACGGTGTTCGAATTGATCGCTCCTTCACGGCAGGTCGCTTTCTAGATCGAGAATATGACGCTTACCTCGCGCCAACATATCCCTGCTGTCCTCCAGCAATGTGACCACCCTTGTCGGTCCAGCCGGCGCCGTCAAGAAGAAGGTTTGAACTGCTTGTGGCCTCGTTTGTAGCAATGCACTGAGCAGCGAGCAGGCGGCAAAGCGCACGTAGAAGTCCTCGTCGCCGAGAAGTGCGCAACAAGCATGAGTAAGTCCAGGATCTTGCAATACTTTCGCAGCGTTCGCTAAGGCAATATCCCGTGCAGGTCCGTTATTAGTCGATTCGGTTGTGTCGACCAGCATCAAGACGGCTTCGAGTGCAGCGCGCGCAATCTCAGGGTCATGCGCAGCATCCTCGCGCACGATGCGCACGAGACCCGGCAGACATTGGTCGGCTACCAGCCCGCGATGCTTGCGCGTTAGGCCCTTGAGCGCGAGGACCGCCGCGCGCCTGTCGGCGAGTTGAGTTTCTGGAGAAAGGCGGTCGGCTAAGCGCCCGATCGTCTCCTCGGGTGTCTGTTGCTGCCCTTGTGGACCTCGGAGAGCGGTGTATGTCTGCGAGAAGAAGTCCATAGTCGCAGTCACAGTCCGAGGATGGGAACGCGGCCTGCGCTGAGCGTGTCGGGTCCGCAGGCGCGCGTGTACTGTTCGCGTCGCACGTGGATCTATACTTGCTCTCAACTTCCACCAGCGCTAAAGCGCTAAGTCGCATTCGGTACCGCAGCGCTCGGTATCCAGAATATTTGCAAGGTTCTGGTGGCACCTTTCATTGGAAGAGCTTGTTGAGGCGTGTTGGTATGGCTGTGCCTGTTGCAATGATGAAGGGCACGCAACCATTCCCGCTCAATTGTGATCGCCACGCCGTGGCGCCCTTTGTGTTCCCATTTCGGCTTTGTGGTTATGGTCATCGGCTGTGTCCGCGATCGGGCGGTATAAGTAAAGTTCGCAGCCTAGGCTTTCTTTTTCCTTCTACGCCACTCCTGCGCTCGCTCGTCTATCATGGGTGCTCCGGAGTCGGACGAACAGACGAAACTCGCCGCCTTGTCTACTCGCCTCAAGGCCCTCCCGGAAAACCTCCGGATGTACGCAACTCTGCTTGCTGATGTCACCCACGTCGAGTTTCCGGAGCACGATATCCTTTCGGATGACCCGCGGCTATGGGTCAACCATTACGGGAACGCAAGGAAGACGCTGAAAGAGAGGCCTATCGAAGTGGTCAAGCAGGACGCAGAAGAAGGGGACTGGGACCAGATGATCGAGTTGGGAATGCGGTGCGTACTGTGGCGTTGACTCTTGCATATCCTCTGCGGGAAGCTTGCCGGGGCGCTGATCATTGACTTGTACGTCTTAGGTACTACACGGGCTGTACGGTCGATAAGGATCCTCAACAAGCCCAGAAGATCCTGAACCTCACAGAAACTATGCTTGACGAAGAGCTGAAAACGCCCGGTGGCGACCAAGATTTGGTATGCGAACTGCTGCCCACCCTCTATCGCATCTACGGCCGCATACATTTCGACACTTATCAAACCACGAACAAGTCTGAAGACCTCTTTGAAGCTGCTGATAAATGCTTGAATGCGCTATTCTTCACGCATCCGACTCCTGCACCCATTGACTTACGCGTGATGAAGACGCTTGAGGAGACGCTAGGATACGTCCATGCTGGGCGCGCTGCCGGCGCAGAGACGGAACTCAAGGACCTGTGGGACGTCTGGGAAGACTACAAGACCTGTGGTCCCGGCGCTTTTCTGTGCGCGCGCTGTAAGACACCCGCGACACCCGAACGCAAGCTGATGAAGTGCGCTGGTTGCCCACGGTGGAAGAAGCCGTCATATTGCTCGACAGAGTGTCAGAGAGCTGTGCGTCCCTCTTTTGGGGCTTCATAGGGTAATATGATCTGATAGCCTGCCCTAGGACTGGAAGGCTGTTCACAGGGACACGTGCGGGAAGACGGATGAGGAGAACATGTTCAAATCCAACATCGTCGACCGATCCTTGTACTCGATTTCAGAGTAGAAGCTTGAGGTTGAATATACAAAGGCACTGCACACAGGATACAGATATGGAACAAAGGATTCTCACAGTGATACCCAGGTACATGTAGTACGACGCAAACATATGTATGGTAATTCGGACTTCACTACGCACAATCTTGTACTTGCATTGTTGGTCACGTATATCTGGTGTTTTGATGTCACGAGAGGGTTTTAAGTAAGCTTGGCCTTAAGGCGTGAAGGGCGAGCGAGCTCAACGCCGTCGCTAGAAGTGTGGATGGCGCGCGCTCGTCGGGAGGTTGCGCCGACGCGCCGCGCTTTTAGCCGACGCTCGCGAGCTCCAGTCGCGCGCCTTTTGCCTTCGACGACTATCACCGAACAGGACCGGATGCACCTCGCTCTGTCAGCGACCTCCGAGTAGTCTACGCCTATGGCCGACCGATTAGCTTCTACTTTTCTGGCTGACACATGAACGCCGACCAGCACTTGTGATGCTAACACCGATACGAGCTGCTGTCACCATGTGCTCTGAAAACCGGCTCTCCCGACTGAGGACTCGGTCTCTCCTCGCATCAGCGGTTGTACTCAGGCATATATAAACTGTTGGGGATGTCGCGCTCTCGTTCAACAGATTGGCGCTCTGTCGAACATCTATCTACATGGCAGACATACTTATACTTGGCACCAATGGTACGTAGTCAACCAAACTCCTGTGCCCTGAGTCATGAGTTGACAGAGGCTGATGCACAATAGGCTACTCAGGTCGTATCACGGCCAAATACCTACTCGAACACCCGCAGCGGAACACTTTCAGGCTCGCACTTGCCGCTCGGTCCCGGAGCAGAATCGAAGCCGCGAATCTCCCGCTTGACAGCACCGTCCAACTATGGGAAGTCAACATCACGGATAAGACCGCTTTGGAGGAGGCCATAAGCAAAGTGTCGGTGGTGATCAACTGCGTCGGGCCGTACTGGAAGACCGGAACTCCCATCGTTGAGTACGCATCTGGTCTACTAGTGTTCACTTCGACCGTGGGCCTGATGTCTCGGTAGAGCATGCGTGAAGCAAGGGAAGCATTACGTCGACATCACTGGAGAAACCCACTGGATATACACCATCATTCAATCGTGAGTATGCTTGCTTATCCATGTCAATCTCACGCAATGCATTGACCACGGCCATAGCTGCGACTCAAATGCGAAGCGCACCCGCTCCATCATCGTGCCAGCATGCGGATTCGACTCCGCGCCGTCTGACGCGGTTGTGTATGCGGCCAATAAGGTGCTGAAAGCACAGTACCCGACCGCAGAGATCGAGGACTCGATCACAGCTGTGGATGCTGAACTGGGCGGTGTCGGCGCGGGAAGTCTTCAGACCCTTCTGACCACGTACCAAGAAGTCCCACGAAATGTACTTCAGGCGTCTAGTCAGGCTTACGCACTGAGCCCCAGTACGTCTTCTTGGTGTCTATCTTATATCCGGCATAGCAAAGCTAACGCTGCGATATAGCTCCAGGCGGCAAACCCTATCCGACGTTCAAGTTGCTTTACTCGCTTCCGTACCCACTCAGCAGCATCGTGGGCGCATACTCCATAATGTCCCCCATGAACCGCCCAATCGTTGAGCGCACTTTCGGCCTTTTCGAGCAGAACAAGTCGAAATTGCCTCATTCATCCTATGGACCGCGTTTCCGATATGATGAGTTCAACGTCAGCAGAAGCAGCATAAGCGCTTATCTGACCAGCGCACTCCTCGCAACGAGTCTACTCTTGCTGGGCACCTTTGCCCCCTTGCGATGGCTCTTCGCCCGCACGATCCCGAGCTCCGGGAATGGACCTTCAGAAGCGTGCGTCCTTGTTCAGTGCCTTGCCGGTGCAGTGTCCAATCTCATCATCATTAGGGCGCTCGATGCTGGACACTTGAACATGACGAATGTTACGACCGCAACCACCCCACACAATGGGTCTCGGGTACGCGCCAAGAGCGAGCTGGTATGCAAAGGATCTCCTTTGATTATCACGTCCGGTACGCCCGTGCCCTCTCAATCTCTTTTTTGTTGCTAACAACATCGTAGTCATAGCCGGGGAAGCCGCTCTTGCCCTACTAGATCCAACAAGACTTCCCGAACTCGCACGAGAAGGTGGAATACTGACGCCTATGACCGCCTTTGGAGATGTTCTGCTCAAACGTCTGGAGAAGACTGGCCAGTGGAGGCTTTCAACAGTGATACTGGATGAGAACGCGAAGACCAAGTAAAACATAGACGCCTGGCATTAAAGTCGCGTTTTCTTGTTGCCCACTTTGAGATCTTCTGTTCTTCGGGGGCTCAGATTCCCAAGTCACGGACGCTGCGAGTCCGAGTCTATTTCATGTCAAGTGGACTCGTTGTCCCGTCCCCATGGTCAATGGTGTCCAAGAGCCACATTGCCGATGGTCCATCTGCCGCGTCGAGTGGCAGGTCGTGGGGGCACCACAAGTGGTCATATTTGGTCGGACGGCTTGTCGGAGCTTGTGGTTGGCTTTCGCCAGTCGATAAATACAGGATCGCGCACTCCTCTTCCAGATAACACCTCATTCAGCTCCTCCCTTCTCCCTTCTCCCTCGCCGTCGCACCCTACTCATCATCATGAACCACTACCAGAATGCCTACGTGAACTATACGGAGTACGTATCTCATTTGCATCAATGCGTATCCATCTGACGAAACGCAGCGAGTATTTCAAGTTACTACCCAAGCCGCAGGTCCTATATCCTGAGAGCAGGTACGTCTCGCACTCACCTTCATTCACCCCCTTTTGGAGGATGTACTGACATAAAGCAATAGCAACGGCGCGGAGAAAGGACCGTCTTATATTCTCTGTCCTTGTCCGACATGGTTGGACGATGCTCCGATCATTGCAGTGTGCGTTGATAAGTGACCAAAACTGGCACACAAGATGTACTGAGCATATTCTCAGCTCCGGCAGGTCTAGCATCATATGGCAAATTATGGATCAGGGGTTTTTCACGGTCTATCTCTACATCCACAGGAAGAAGACCCTCGGTTCCAAGCGCCCGTCACAAGAAGTCTGGGCATGTGATCAACTGCAACGCTTCTGCCCCAAGGCTGTCGCTTCTATCGAGGGATTCTATCGTACTGGGCATCTTCGAGCACAAGAGCTCATCGCCCAGGACATAAACGTGTTGGCAATCGATCTGACCAACAGCTTTAAAGCAGACTGGTCCCAAATTCAAGGCGCGCGGCTTGACGGGCTTGAAGGCGCCATCGAAGCTCATAAGCGCATGTTAACCATCCTTTCTAACTGGGCGGCATCCGAGCACGTATGGGTAGACGTTAAACTGACTGCCAACGTCGCGGCTCAGGGTCTGCGCGACCGCGCGAAGTGGTATCGGGCTGCCTACGAGACTGTTCAAGTGGCTACCAAGCATTTGAAGGATCTACAACTACGGGCCTCGTAGCTCGACAGTCCCTGTGTGCATCTTCGCCACAATGTAATCATTCCTTGAGCTTCGTGTACCAGTCCATAGACTCAATCAACCCATTCAGTAATACCTAGCGCCTCGTCTTCACCCGTCTTATCATGCAGTTTTGTACTCTGTTGTATCTTAATAATGAACACGTTGTCAATTCGCAAAGTGCGCAGGATGGGAAGAGACGACAGGGATCTTCCTTGAAGACGTGTGTTCAGACGCTCGTAGCAGGCGTTGCTTTTTCTGCAGTCGCTGTCGGGTATGCGACAATTAACGCGAAACCAATCACCGAATACGTCATCGTGAACGATAATCCCGTGCTTGCGGTCGGCGCGCTTCGGCGCGTTGACACTTCGCCGACCGGACTCAACAACATCATTCATGGCAGACATACTCATCCTTGGGACTAATGGTATGCGGTTGCCAGATCTGTGCACGCTCGCGCTAATAGTTGCTCAGGCTACTCTGGTCGTATAACGGCTAAATACCTTCTTGAACATCCACAACGGAATACGTTCCGACTAGCGCTCGCTGCTCGGACCCGAAACAAAATAGAAGCCGCAAATCTCCCCCTCGACAGCTCTGTCCAGTTATGGGAAGTCGATGTCACGGATGAGGTAGCGCTGGAAGAGACCATCAGTAAAGTATCGGTAGTCATAAACTGTGTTGGGCCGTATTGGAGAACTGGCACCCCAATCGTTAGGTGTGCACGCGATCAAATTCAAATCCGGAGTGTGAAGCTGACCCCTTGGTAGAGCCTGCGTGAGACAAGGAAAACACTATGTTGACATCACTGGCGAGACTCACTGGATATACGACATCATTCGGCTGTGAGTACCAACTGCCTCGGCCTGCTCGCGCGGATCCGTTGACCCGAGCGCTTAGCTTCGACTTCCATGCAACACGCACCCGATCCATCATTGTGCCCTCATGCGGCTTTGACTCTGCGCCGTCAGACGCGGTCGTATACGCAGCCAATAGAGCATTGAAGGCACAGTATCCCGATGCAGAGATCGAGGACTCAGTCTCGGCCATTGACGGTCAAACTGGCGGTCTCGGCGCGGGAACCCTTCAGACTGTTCTGTCTATGTTCCAGGACGTGCCGCCTAAAGTGTTGGAACTAGCCCGGCAGGATTACTCGCTGAGCCCTGGTACGTCTTGCTATCATTTGATCGTGCCTCCATCGTCGGGCTCACATCATTGCAGTCCGTGGCGGCGAACCCTACTCTCCGTTCAACTTCCTCTACACGCTGCCATACCCATTCCATGATATCATCGGCGGATACTCGATCATGTCTCCAATCAACCGCGCCATTGTCCAACGCACCTTCGGCCTGTTCGAAATCAGCAAACCTAAAGCGCCGCGACTATCCTATGGCTCGCGGTTTCGCTACGACGAGTTCAACATGAGCAGCAGCGTCATAGGCGCATTCTTGACCAGTACGATCCTCGCCGTGGGCCTCTTCTCGTTGGCTACATTTGCGCCTGTGCGATGGTTATACGGGCGAATCTTACCGACATCTGGTAATGGGCCCTCAGAAGCGTGAGTTTCATCTGTCACGCACTGTTGGCCTTCGCTCATGGTTTGCCGTCAACTAGAAAACTGAAGGCGGGACATCTGAACATGACAAACGTCACGACGGCTGCTACCTCTGAGGGCACTCATGTCAAGGTCAAGAGCGAGCTCAGAAGCAAGGGATCCCCTTTGTATACCACATCTGGTGCGCTCGCCATCACTGCCTTGATACTTTCTCGCGTACTCATGCTATGTATGATAGTCATCGTCGCAGAAGCCGCGCTTGCCCTCCTGGATCCGTCCAGCCTGCCCGAGCTCGCGCGACAAGGTGGCGTTTTGACGCCCATGACAGCCTTTGGAGACGTATTGCTTGATCGCTTGGAGAACACCGGCCAGTGGACGCTCTCTGCAGAGATTCTGAGAAGCGGTACTCTCGAGAACGCGAAGACGAAGTGATCCAGAGATGGGCTGTTGTTCGGTTATACTTGCCCCTGCCGCTATCGTACTGCTTTCCTAGTGATCTATTCCTCACATTGTATCTCACCTAGAGAGCCCTCATAGAGTCTATGTAGACAAGCCGCATGATTGGCAGCCTCGAGTCCGAGCAACAAGTTTGGGCGCTTGCCGGAGTCTACATACGTCATCCGAAGCCTCATGCTTCCCTTCAACACGATCAACTTCACCGACAACCTGCTCTACTCTCCCATGGCCGACATACTAGTCCTCGGAGCCAATGGTAATCCAGGATCGTCTCCATATGTAGCTCTTGGCTGATACACGCTAGGCTATTCGGGTCGTCTGATTGCCAAATACCTCCTCGAACACCCACAACGTAACACGTTCAGACTCGCGCTCGCGGCTCGGTCCCGAAGTAAATTAGAGGCCGCCAAGCTTCCGCTCGATAGCTCCGTCGAGTTGTGGGAAGTTGATCTCGCGAATGAAGCTGCTCTGGAAGAAACCATTGGCAAGGTGTCTGTGGTTGTCAACTGTATTGGGCCGTACTGGAGGACTGGCACTCCGATCGTGAGGTGCGCACGCAACCCATTCTAGTACGGTCGAATAATCCTCATACCCGCCGTAGAGCTTGTGTAAGGCAAGGAAAGCACTACGTTGACATATGTGGCGAGACTCACTGGATATACGACATCATTCGGCTGTGAGTCCCCATTGCCTCGTCGTGGTCGCGCGGCCCCGTTGATCCCGGCGCTTAGCTTCGACTTCCATGCAACACGCACCCGATCCATCATTGTGCCCTCATGCGGCTTTGACTCTGCGCCCTCCGATGCACTCGTGTACATAACAAATCGGACGCTGAAGGCGAAATTTCCCTACGCGCAGATCATAGACTCTGTGACCGCGGTTGACATGAACACTGGTGGTGCAGGGGCCGGTACACTTCAGACCGTACTCTCCACATTTGGCGAGGTTCCGCGAAGTGTTTTAGAGCTCAGTAGTCAAGCTTATGCTCTGAGTCCTGGTACATCTACTGTTCATCATCTCCTTGTTCGCACTGACGGTACTTTCACAGTCCATGGAGGCAAAGCCTATCCAGCCTTCAACCTACTGTATACGCTCCCAAAACCGTTCAGCCATGTCACTGGCTCGTACTCGCTTTTGGGTGGGATCAACAGGGCAATCGTCGAACGAACTTTCGGGATCTTCGAGCTCGACAAGTCCAGTACACCTAAGCAATCATACGGACCACGGTTCCGTTACGACGAATTCCTCGTTAGGAAGGGCTACGTCAATGCCTTCCTTGCCAGTATGGTGATTGCCTTCAGCCTCTTTGCATTGGTCTTCTTTGCGCCGGCACGCTGGCTGTTCAGGATCCTCATACCGAGCTCGGGAAATGGGCCTTCAGAAGCGTGCGTGGAATGGTAGCACAGCGTGATTCTCGAATGGTGAAGACTCACGGTGTACCAGCAAACTCAAGGCAGGGTACTTGACCATGACAAATGTCTCCACGGCAACTACAGGATCAGAAATGAAACAGCGGGCACGCGTGAAGAGCGAACTCAGAAGCAATACATCGCCATTGTATCTCACTTCCAGTAAGCTCATGGCCACTGCGAGTGTGCGCAGAGGCTGATCGTATGTTCAGTCATCGCAGGCGAGGCCGCACTATCGTTATTGGACCCATCCCAACTCCCAGAGCTTGCTCGGAAGGGCGGCCTCCTTACGCCTATGACGGCCTTTGGTGGCGTATTGCTTGAGCGTCTGGAGACGAGTGGTCACTGCGCGTTATCCGCAGAGATGCTTGACTACAACGGTTGCAGTTGGGATGATTGAAATGATAGACAGCACCGGCAAATGGGCCGAACACGGAATTTGTTCTCGGTAGTCACTCAGGATGGACGGACTGTATTGTACACATACACGTGTGGTATCTCGCTACTTTTCTACTGTATGTACACCTTTTCAATAGATCGATGTGCACGCATTTAAGCAATACGTTGACGTTTGTCAACACCTTGTTCTGCCTCCTCGTCCCAGATGTTGATTTCCCAGGAAGGCTTGTAGTTGACCGGGATGTTGAACCGACGGTGGCGGTTGACGCCGATGGAGCCTACGCGCTGATAGTCATCCCCGGAAAGCTCGATCTGCTGGAAGTTCTCCTCTATACGACCTGCATCTTCGTCAGCTATGCCTGTCTCGTCACTCGGGACAGTGGCACGCACCCTTATGCACAGACTTCGGGATGACGATGTAGCCGCGGTGAGCGCCCCATGCGATGACCGCTTGTGCTGCTGATGCATTGTGCTTCGCAGCAACCTCCTTCACGGCGGGGTAGTCGATGATCATCGGCTCACCGACGACTATCTCTTCTCATTAGCCCCGATCCAATCCTGGCATGAGTAATCCACACGTACAGTTGTTCCCGAGGGGCGAGTACGCCGTGATATGAATGTTCTTCTCCTCGCAATACTTGACAAGGTCATCCTGCGGTAACAACGGGTGCGCCTCGACTTGGTTCATCTGTGGCACGACGCCAGTCGCCTCTACGATGCCCTTGATCTGCTCGACAGTGAAGTTGGATACACCGACGGCGCGGACCTTGCCTGTTTTGACAAGAGCGGTCATCGCGCGCCAAGTATCCGCGAGAGCGAGGTCGTAAACAATATCGGGCCGCCCATCGTTGCGCTTTGGACTAAGCTCAGGACCAGGACGATAAGCAACGGGCCAGTGAATCACTATGTACAGTGTCAGAAAGAACATGGGGCGCGACGATGGGAAGGCTCACAGAAGAGGTCGAGATAGTCGAGACCGAGCTGCTCGAGACACTCGTCTAGCGCAGGCTCGACATCTTCCGGCGCGTGCGAGTTGTTCCACAACTTGGACGTGATGAAAATATCCTCGCGCTTGCAGACTTCCGGAATGACCTTCTTGAGCGCCGCGCCGACCTGACACACACCATCAGTTCTAGACATGGGAATACAGAGCTTGAGGCACATACCTCCTCTTGGTTATGGTAGATGCGCGCACAATCGATATGACGATATCCAGCCTCAACAGCCCATTGGACCTGCAAGTGCACTCAGACGTAGGCATCTACTGTGAGGTTCATCGTGTGCCTGTACCGCTGCTTCAACTTCACCGGGCTGCGCTAGCCAGGTCCCTAACCCAATCTGAGGGATGCGCACGCCGTTATTGAGCTCGATGGTCTTTCCTAGAGACATGGAAAGAGATAGCAGATGGCGTCAAGAGCGAAGAAGCTGCCGAAGGAACCCGTGAGGCTGGTCCTTCTCGGGTGCTCCGCGGCGCGACTTGATAAAGCAGTTGAAGTCGGATAACGGACGGCAACACATCCAAGCCCATCGTCGTGACGCCCAAGTACGCGATAGAATAGCAGCTACTTCAGTCGGCGCTCAATCAATCACAGCCGTGAACTGCCTCTGTATCATTGTCGGACACGTCGGCGCGCTGCTCGTCGTTCGGACGACGTTCGGTGTCGTGCGACAACGCCTGACATGACGCCACCCTCGCGGTCATGATTAGGGGTTTTGCCACAGCACACGTCTACACGCGCCCACACCTACCCATGTATGCATCTTCTCCGGTCGGCTCGGGCATCTTGCTCCCAACTACCACGATCCAGTTACCATGAGAACAAAGTGGCCAAAAAGCGTAGACATCACAAGCACAGGCTACTGTACAGCAATGGCACCACGCCTTGACGACGTTTCGCACGGGCACTTGCGGCTCGCGCGCGCTCAAGGTTTGGAAAGAACTTTGAACTCTACCTTGCCTTCGACGCCCATGGCAGATTATCACGCTGGCCATCGTTCGGAGGCGCTCTACAGTCACCTAGTCTGAGATATTTCTACGTTACCTGAGGTGTCAACTTCTCGAGAGAGTCCACATCTTATACCCAGGATGGGAGCCTTTGTCTCTCGGTATTGGGCCGCCCTTTCACAGGCGTACCCACCGAAGGCCGTCTGGTCTGTCGACGATATTCCAGATCTGACGGGAAAAGTTGCAATTGTGACCGGTAAGCTATGTCTAGCTGTTGGCCTCCGGGAAAACGCGAGTGACGAGCACACCGTATTCAGGTGGGAATTCCGGCATCGGCTATGAGACATGCAAGGTCGGATTACACCTGGTTAGCGAAGGTCTTGAAGCGCTGAAGCACATCATGTTCGGATAGCAACTTCTCGCTCACAACGCCAAGGTCTACATGGCAGCGCGGGATGAAGGAAGGGCCCGTCAAGCCATTGAAAAGCTTGCAAGCGAGACCGGCAAAGAGGCGTTCTTCCTGAAGCTGGACCTTGCGGACATGAAAGCCATCACATCTGCCGCAGAAACCTTTCTCGCGTGTGTACTATCTCATTCAACCATCGCTCGCCCCACTGACCTCTCGAAGTAAAGAGGACGCACTGCATATCCTCATCAACAACGCCGGGGTCATGAGATGTCCCATCGACTGGCTAACCGTGGACGGATACGACATGCAATTTGGCTGCAACGTTCTCGGCCACCACTTCTTCACGCAACTACTCCTTCCTGCCTTGATATCTGGCACCGATCGCACTGGGGTGAAGTCACGCGTGGTGACTGTTTCATCCGCGGCGAGCTACATGGGCCCGGGTGTGGACTTTGAGACCTTTGTGGATGGCAGGAGACGGAGACGCACACCGTCTGAGCTGCTGTACTGTCAGAGTAAACTGGTATGCCCATCATTACCCCTGCGATCTTCCCGGCTCATACAGGGCATAGGGCAATGCAATCGTATCTCGCGAGTTCGCAAGGCGGTATGGCGATAAGCTCGTGTCCATCTGTGTCAATCCAGGTGATTACACTCTGAGTTACCCCAGAGATGTTTTGTTGAAGCTGAATCTCTCGGTCAGGGAACCTCACCACGTCGTTGTACAAGCACTTCGGTCGTCTGCAGATGCTCCTGACCGTACGAATCTCAAGCCGATGTCTATTGCCGTTTCGCTGAACGCTCAATTAGAGGACCATCTTCAACCTTCAACCCGAGCACATGGGATCCGTCACACAACTCTACGCGGCAACCGCGCCGGAGTGCTCAGAGAAGAATGGCAAGGTACGTGCGTTATGTCCTGGGCTGCACTGAGAGCTCAACGGTGAATCTGTAGTTCCTTGTACCATGGGCGCGCGAGGCATTCCCGAACCCGAAAGCACTGGATCAAGGGCTCGGAGAAAGGCTGTGGGACTGGCTGGAAAGCGAGTGCAAAAAGTACCGCTAAAAGACTCGTCTAGGTCTCTGTACCACTACTCTACGATGCGGCCCGTCAGCGCAGAGCCTTGGATCTTAGATGCTGTAACTTGATACACCCGTCATTCGTGTTGACATTCATCGCACCTGGCTTCGGGATGGGCTCGGTCGTCGATACCCGAGCCGATTATATGTCTCTTTGGCAGCAGGGACGTAAGGTGGTGCCACTCGGGCATGGTTGAGATCCCCGAGGGCATCCCGGGTGTCGCAGCCTCCTGTTCTCTGGCGCTATTCTTCCTCTCCTTGAGTTTTGAAGGTATCAGTACTCTGCATCCACGGAACTACAATGATGCCGCTTCGAATAGAGGGTCCGGGCGAGGTTGCCCCTGGTACTGTACGTCGTCGACATCGGCCCTTTTTTAACACGGCATATATAAGCAGGTCCGGGCGCTCTATCATATCCAACACCTCGACTTTTACCACTTGCACCCTTCCTTCGTCACCGTCTTGTGCTACCATCCGATGGGCTCCACCGTTTCGCGGTACTACGCAGCGACCGTGCAGGCGCACCCCTCCAAGGCTCGTTGGTCTGTCGACGAGATCCCTGATTTGACTGGCAAAGTTGCCGTCGTTACGGGTACGCACACATGCGATTCACTCTTGTGCGCGTGATATCTGACTGTTTGGTCCATGTAGGAGGTAACTCGGGAATCGGCTACGAAACTTGCAAGGTATGCCTTCTCATACACCACTCTACCAACTACGCGTTGAGCTCCTGAACAGCAACTCCTCATCCACAACGCCAAAGTGTACATCGCAGCCCGAGACGAAGGGCGAGCGAGCAAGGCAATTGAAGAGTTGAGAGGCGAGACGGGTAAAGAGGCGTTGTTCCTCAAGTTGGATCTGGCGGATATGAAGGCGGTTAAGGCTGCGGCTGAAGAGTTCCTCGCGTGAGTTCCACCCATATTCTCCCGCGGAACTCGCTCTGACTATGCCGGCGATGTTTTGCAGGAAGGAGGACGCGCTGCATATCTTGATCAACAACGCCGGCGTGATGAAGTGCCCCATCGACTGGGTAACCGTCGACGGATACGACATGCAGTTCGGCTGCAATGTCATCGGTTCGCTGCACCTCTCTTGGAGTCACTGTCACTTTGGTTGGCTCACATCATCTGCAGGACATCACTTCTTCACCCAACTTCTCTTGCCTGCCTTACTGGAAGGGACAAACCGTACCGGCGAGAAATCGCGCGTCATAACGTTGTCATCCGCTGCGAGCTATCTAGGCTCTGGGGTCGATTTCGAGACATTCGTAGATGGCAAGAAGCGCAGGAAGACTTCGTCTGAGCTGTTATACTGCCAGAGCAAGCTGGTCAGTCGCATCCGTCGATCTTTGAACCATTATCTGACGAAATGAGCGCAGGCCAACGCCATCGTCTCGCGCGAGTTCTCGAGGCGGTACGGCGACAAGCTGGTGTCGATCGGCACGAATCCAGGTGAGTGAAGCGTTGCTATCAGTTCAGTGCTCGGACATCTCACTGAGTACCGTCGTAGGGAACATAACGACGCCTTTGTACCGACACATGAGCACCCTACACATGCTCGTAGTCGTGAGTATCCACCCTTTCGTTTCGTTATGTCGCATACTGAGTCACCAAACTAGAAATTCGTGCTCAATCCGCAACCTCAGCCGATGGGCGCCATTACCCAGCTGTACGCAGCTACGGCGCCGGAATGCGCGGACAAGAACGGCAAGGTAAGCTCACCAGCGCTCTCAGGGATTTTCTCAATATCTGACGGGACGCATATAGTTCCTTGTACCATGGGCACGCGAGGCGCTGCCACATCCGAAGGCGCTGGACCCCGAGCTCGGAGCGAAGATGTGGGATTGGCTGGAGAACGAGTGCACGAAGTACACATAAGATACACATCCGAGCGTTCATAGTTTGTGCATGTGGTCCTTTTTTAGCTACAGTATGATCGGTCTGAATGTTAATGAGCCTTTTCTCCGCATGGTGGTTGCAGGTGGCAAGGAAAGAGGGACGACGCAACGCGGCGGGCATCCTCTCCGGATCATCGGTTCGGATCAAAACTGAGAGCAGTGGCCAAAAGCGTCGGCCAGTATGGTATTGATATAATGTAGACTGAGCGTAGAGCAGAGATGTACGAAATGATAGACACACGATACAGGACAATGGTAGCACATACAAAGGAAAGGGCCCCCATCATACCCATGAAGCAAGAAATACGAAACACAGACGCGCCGCACAAGCCCGTCCACAACCTCTTCACCAATTACTTCCTCCCTCCCTCCACAAGCTCTCCACCTACGTTTAGTACTGCATCTCCATCTACCATCTCCTGGCCGGGCGCTGGCCCAGGTTGAACATCGGCGTGATCAAGCCCGCGCGCCTTTTCACCACGATCGTCCTCAGGGTACCCCACGTTCGGCGTCGTGACGCCCGTCGACGTCGTCCCAGCTCCGCTCGACCCAGAGCCGCTCGAGCTGGAGTTCGACGAGTCCCCACTCGTCCCGCGCGAGCGCGTCTGGATACTCATACCCTCACTCGAGACTCGAAGGTCGGCGCGCTGCTTGCCTTTGCCTAGCGAGATCCGGTGGGGTACACTGGGAGACGCAAGCTTTGCGGGTTTATCAGGTGTGGGCGGCTCCCGCTCCTCTGGAGAACGCAAGGTGCCGTCTGGATGAGCCGGCCAGAAACAGTGCTTGATGCGAGCCTGTGTGAAGCGCGTCAGCAAACATCGGTCGTATACGGTAGGGATTGAACACACCTCTGGGTCGAACTTGCGTTTCAGCTCGAAGAGACGATCCCAGTTGGATCCGTAGCACTTGATCACACGCTCTGGCGCCTCGCCCCGTCCGAGGAAAGACGGTAGAGGGTGACCTAGCGAGACCGACTCGAGCGTGTTGTTCAGCCACTGAGCGGAAAACATGAGCAAATCCTGACATAAAACGAGGCGAATTAGCGCGACACACGTTCTCTGCGGTATCGACACAGCGAGGATCGTCGATGTCCATATCCCACTGATGCAGCGCGGCGATAGTGAAAAGCGCCTGACGCGCCTCGGCGGGGAAGCATCCCGGCGCGTTCTCCTCGCGTTTGGGATCCGCAATTGCGCCTCCCGCAAGCTCGAATAGCCAAGCTGTAAGGCGCAGAGTCAGCTGAGTCGTGGTACCGATATGGATATTGAAGAAGAACGTACTGCATCCTATTGGCGTGTCCGCGAAATCTCGCACTGTATTGCCGATGACCTCGTCCGAAAGCCCGCGCGCAAGCACAGACCGGATGAACCACTGGTTCCCCGCACGTCCGCGCAGTACCTGAGCGACACTCTCCTGCTGACGCGTGTACACCTTCTCGCCGACCTCCATGAGCACGCATGCCTCGCCATCCCAACTCGCAAGTGCGTCGCGGAACACCTTGCCCTCCGCTGCGGGCCCGTTATAGCACATTTGTATCACCACCAAGCTGTCCTGGTCCGCCGGCCCCGCTGTGAGGAGCGCGTTGGCGTACAGCTGTGGTGGCGCGCTCTTCACGCAGTCGCGGAAGTGTGCCAGCAACGACGGTGCAGTGGCACGGTGGAAGCGCCAGATGAGGTTGCCGGCATAGACGGACGGGATAGGGTACGCGCGTGCGAGATAGCGAACCACGACTCCAAAGGCTGGGCCTGCGCCGCGTAGAGCCCAGAGTAGATCGGAGTTCTCGTACTGTGAAGCGTAGACGATACTGCCGTCGGACAGGACAACTTCAGCCTCGATCAAGTTATCGACGCTGAGTCCATATTGCCGGCTGAGGAAGCCGAACCCGCCCAAGAGCATCCCACCCGACCCAACGGGGTGAGCACTGAACGGGACATGGTAGGATATACGTGCACCGGGCGGGTCGGCAGCAGCAAGCGTATGCGATGCGGTGTAGCCATCAACGTCGCGCTGAGATGCACCTGCACCGAAGGAGACGTAGGCATGCGGGTGTAGTGGTGTCGATGGAGGCGCAAGCAAGTCATGTGAAGGTGCTGAGACAGGTGCGGGCGGCGGATGCCAGGGAGCGGAAGACGATGCCGACGTCGAGGTAGACGGTCCAGGAAGCGAAGAAGCTGCGACGGGCATTGATGGGCCCGGGACGGGGGCAGGCGCAGAGAGTACGCGGGGCGGGGATATGATCCGGGGCTTCGGCCGTGGGGCGTCTTCCATGTATCCAAACGGATCCTCACCATCGCTCCCGTCCTCCTTGACCACCGGAAGCGCGGGTGGTTGATTCTGAGAAGGCTCGTCCAGCCTGCGTCGGTTCACGGGTGGCTCGCGCGGTAGTTCTCCGAAGTTGTCTGGCGGCATTGGCGCGCCTTGCAGGAAGCTTGTGACGGCCGGGCTGGCAGAGTCATAGGCGCTGGGGCTCGGAAGAAGCGCACTGGGCGGTGATGGTTCGCGCGGACGTTTGCCGTGGGTGCTAGTGGTGATATTCTCGGATGATACGGGTATGTTCTTGAGCGAGATATGTTGGGCGTCGATACGGATCTCGCGAATACGCGAAAGGTCGATAACGAGAGTGCCGGCGATAGCGCTGCCGTGTGTACCGTAGCCGCCAGCCTTGACACTGAAGGCCATATTGTGTGCGTTGGCAAACTTCACCGCGGCTGAGACATCTGCGGCATCGAGAGGGAGGCAGACGGCCTCTGCGTTGCACACGACGTTGCCATTGAATAGCCGAGTGTTGGGTACGAAGCCAGAGCTACCACGCTCGTAGACAGGCCCTCGCAAGCTAGCCCGAAGATTGTCAAGCAGAGATGGATCCATGGTGCGGGCTGTAGAAGCGAGAGTGTTCAGATTGGATCTTGTAGCGCCGGATATATGTAGGCGTTCGGGTATGTGCAACTATCGCTGACGCCAACAACGCATCGCGGTACTCGTCAACACAGGCGCGGAGATCAGGAACGACCACGTCTCCAGCCTTTCCGGACGCGGACAAGCTGCAGCTCTCGAAGCTGTAAATTTGGAGTGGAAGGAAGCTTGGAGGAGATAGGGGCGCGCGCTTTCAGCTGACGGGTGGCGCCGGTCGCGGTTTTCCCAGGCACCGACGCGCGCTCCGCTACCGCAACATGTTCCGGCCTTTTGCGCGTACCGCCATCTCTATTGAAGTCGCCGTCTTCTTGCACTGCCCGTGCTTCTCTGTCGCTCCAGACCCATGCTGCCCCTCGGGGAGTCTGGAGCAAGCGAGAGATCTGTCTGATCCTCGGGGAGTTCTCCGGAGGTCCCTGTAGGTTATCCAGCGCTCGATGACAGCCCTATCACCCACTTTACACGTCGTACGTGCGTCAAGGGCTTCGTTGCCAGTAACCCAGGGCCTGCATATCGATGTATACGTCCATCTTTTATCTGCCAAACCTTCTCTCTGAGATGTTGCAAAGCTCCCACGCGAAGAACTGCCCTGCAGGCTACACCGGATTTGAGGACGGCGTAATGTGCGACGGCGCAAGACAACTCTACCCCAAACCCAGTGCACGACACAATCTATGACATGTCCCCCGATAGATCTGTCAGCGCTTCCGTCGTCGCCTGTCGTCGCCAGGTAGAAGATTGGCGTGAACCACATAAGGATAGATTGCTCACGCAGCCACCGTGCGGCGTTCATGTATGGGATTATTGCAGCGCGCCTGATTCTTCTCGTGAAGGCGAATGGAAGCGACCTGCATTGTATTCGGCACTCGCATGGTCAGACTATGCATTGAGCACTCGTTGTCCTACGCTCGTTCTTGCTATGATGCTGGGTTCATCGACCGCGATCGTCTCGCCTCCTTGCCGCAGAACAACAACCTAGCGCATAGCGAGCTGAAACCTCCGCGAGCGCTCGATGCCACGCCTCATCACAGCTCAATCTCGTGCTCTGATATACAGCTTATCATGATGTAAGTCCTTCTCATTTGTCCTGTCCCCTCGAACTTGTGCTGACGAAACATGGTCAGGGCGCTCAAAGCTGGCCACATACGGCGTGCGTGTACTCGAGGGTCCGAATGTTATACCGTTCTCTATCAGTTTATGATATGCGGCGTCCCGTGGGCGTCGGATTACTATTGCACTTTGAGGGCTAGCTTTGAGGGTTGCACCGTCATACAGTAATGGGGTGGCAGAAGTGTTCTGATTTACGCCCTGCTTCGTTCGGACCGGAGTGCATACACGGCACAGCTCTTCTAATCCCCCCAAAAAGCATTGCAGTAGTCTCATAAGCACAACCAGCAGGTACGAATCATCAACATGCTTGATACTCAGGCCTGTGCTGTGTCCAGTCCTGACATCGGACGAGAAGCAATCAGCTCTCATGGCACACCGTGACGTGAGGTGGCAGGACGCAGTACATGCTAGACAGATCTTCTTCTGGCAAGTAATCGAGCGGTAAATTGGCTTCCGCTCATTCAGTGATCGCGCAGAACTCGCGCGTACCAACCAACCTCTTCACATTCGGTCAAGTATCACCAAGACCCGGTGCATCGCGGAGCCCAATGCGAATATACGGCACCAAAAGCTCAGCAACGCGTAGATCGATCGGAACCGCGTTCACAGTGTGTACGGCTTCCAGTCTCGCGTCCTTGTCCAGCCGAGCACAACAACGCCGTGCCCGTCCTCGCAGACTGCAGCAGCGTCAACGCGGCGAGACGATGCAGGCGCGGCGTGAGACCGTACACCTCTGGCGCTCAGAGTCAAAGTCATAGACGTCGCGAGAGAACTGAACAACGATCTCGAAGCAGCCGAGCGCGCAGGTCGAGGCGTGCGACAGAAACGTACGGCTAAGTCTCTGCTTTACCGATTTTGCGGCCGGGGTATGTGAAGCCCGGAGCGCGGGTTCAAACGTTCAGACTTCATCTCCGTATCGCCTTGCGTCGTGCGTTGGCGGGCTTCGTCGAGGGAATGCGCTTGTATGCGTGCTTGGTCGGCTTCGTAGTTCTTTGAGTAACGTACGCACGGAGGCTACATGTAGATATCATGGTTTAACCTGAAATAACGCTGGACTCTGAGATGATGGCGGTAGAGATCAACGCGCCCGCGCGCGTCGACACGTCGAGACGTACTGTCGCATCAAACGCGGTCACGACCATTCGATAACCTCTGTCCGAAAAGTCCGTGTGATCAAGCAACCCAAATATTATAGGATGATACATTTTGAGATCAGACAGGGTATAATCGAAGCACACCAGCACCCTCTAAAGCTTCAACCCCAACCTCTCCAGCGTCTCCTCATACCTCTTCAACAGCAACCTCTCAACCCACCCGCCCTTCGGAAACGCCTTCGCCCACTGATTATGCAAATGCACCGCAAACACCTTGCCCAGCCTCACATCCAGCCCGCCGCCCTCTTCCCTCCCAATCCCGCCCGTCCACCCCCCGCCCCTCGGGTCCGCCTCGAACGGATCCGGGAGCCGGTTGTCGAGCCTGCACGCGCGGCCGTCGGTGAAGCAGTGGGGCAGGATTTTGAAGGGCGGGATCCCGGATGCGGCGAGGCGGCGCCAGAGGCGGAGGTAGAGGACTGATCCCCAGTCTGTTGAGGCTGTTCGGGGGGCGTCGGAGGTGCAGATTAGGGAGAGGGCTTCGCAGAGGTATGGCGAGTGTTTGTGGAAGTGCATTACTGCGCCGTTAAACGCCGAATACGGTTTGTCTATACACCCGTCAACATCTCGTTGTGGTGTGAAGTGAATGAAGGAAACGTACCGTAGCAATCCCACTGCGTGACAAACTCATGCTCCAACAACGGATAAAAATCCCTCGTCCAGAGCATATCCATATCGACCCACGTCCCGCCCTCATGCCAAATGACCAGCAACCTAATAATGTCCCCGTCCAACCACGCCTTCTCGTCCTTCAACTCCAGATACTCGCTCCCCTCAATAACAGTGCCCCGCGCCAGCGCCTTCACATCCGCGACCCGCGCCTCAAACACATCCGGCCACCTATCGATGTACCTCTTCACCAGCGGATTCTTGCCAGCCAGATCGCCGTTGGACCACAATATAAGCTTCGAGTGCGTATGCGGCTGCGTCGCGAGAAACGACTTGAGCATCCACTCCTGCCGCGGCCCAAACGGCGCGAGATCCGTGCGCCAATACGTATGGAAGATATTCGTCCTGCGCTCCCTCTGCGCCAGCGCCGGCGGCACCTGCACGGCCCCCGCAAAATCAAAGCAGTCGAGCCCGAGCTGCATGCTGAACCCCGCCTGCACCTCCGTATGCCGCGCCCCATACAATCCCTCGCTAAGATTATAAAACGGCGACACATTCCCCTCCTCGAAACAGCCCGCAAGCTTGCCAGTCGGCATAATCTGTTTCTGAATCCACGCCCTCCTATACGCCGCGATCTCGATGTGCGGCTCCCATATGAATAAGAATAACGCGGCTGCGATGAGGAAGGCGAGGAGGGCCGTGCGCGCGACGCGCCAGACGAGGCGGGCGTTGAGGTGGTAGCTCGTCATGGCGTGCACTGTCCATCGTCGGACCGCGCCGCGCGAGGGCGAGCGCAGGGCCGGCCAGGCGTTGATTACCAGCGGCCTTCGGGTGCCGGATCGGCCGCGCGCTTGTAAGTGGCTCGAGCTGCTGGTGGGCAGAGGCAAGTTGCTCATGCCCGGATGTTTGCTTCGAAATTCTGACTGCTGCTACAGGTACGCTTTGAGCGAGGTGGGTTGGCATTGGCAAGCCTGATCTGATTGGCTGCGATACAGGCTGCGAATGCGGGAGGTGTACTCTAGCCGTATGTACGACGGCGAGTACGACTACGATGGGAACGACTACTACTGGGAACGGGACGCCAACAAAGTTACGACGCGGGGATTTCGAAGGGGCCGAAGAAGGGTTAATGGTGGGGGATGATCGAGTATGGTGATCGAGATACCGTACGAGAGCAAGTAGAGAGCAAAAGGGATGTGAAAAACGACGACGCGACGACGGTAGGTAAGATACACTACAGAGTATAGTCATTCACAAGAGAGAGAGAGAGTAAAATTCGATAGCAGAGCTGGGGGTGGGTGGTGATTGTGATGTTCGTGTTATATTGGGTCGTATGTATGGTTTGGCCGTTCGGGCTCAGAAGTGTGTCGCGCGCCGTCGTTATTGGTTGGAGTCGTAGAGTACTACTAATAGCAGCGCAGTGAATGAAGAAAATAGTGGGCCCCTCCGTGATCCTCGGTGCGTGTTCGTGTCGTCCGGCAACAAGTAGTCGTCGTGCCCCTCCTGCACGTGCCACATCATCGTGCGCCAGCGGGCGTACCGCCGTTTCGTGCGGGTGCGGGCGCAGCAGCTGCGCCGTTGGTCTGGTACACGGTCTGCTTGACCTGCTGCTGCTGTTGCGTCTGCTGCTGCTGACGCGGCTTCTGTCCTGCAGGCTCGTCCTGCGCACTAGGCGCGACGTACAGGCCCTTATCGATGACCTGCGGAATAGGCTGGATCTCCGTGCCCAGCTCCTGCTCGATCTTGTACAGGTTGAACCTGTCCTCGTACGTGACGAGGTTGATCGCGAGACCCAAGTGTCCGAAGCGTCCCGAACGACCGATCCGATGCAAGTACGTCTCGCTGTTCTTCGGGAAGTCAAAGTTGATGACGACGTTCACGGCCTGGATGTCGATACCGCGCGTGAGGAGGTCGGAGCAGACGAGGTTCCTGCATACGCCGTTGCGGAAGTCGTGGAAGACGCGGTTGCGGTGTGATTGGAGCATCTTTGCGTGCGAGTAGAAGCACGAGTAGCCGAGCTCGGTGACTTTCTTTGCTAGAAGCTCGACTCGGTTGGTGGAGTTGCAGAAGATGATCGACTGGTTGATTTGTAGCTAGACGTACGGGTCAGTGTGAGGCTAAGACGAATGGACAGAACCAACTGACCTTGGAGAATAGCGTATTTAGACAGTGGACCTTCTGTCGCTCTTCGACGTAGGCATAATATTGGGTGACACCGCGCAGAGTGAGCTCCTCCATGAGGTTAATCTCGTACGGGTTCTTCATGTGCTTCTCCTGCACAAGATCGTCAGCAGCAATCCAACCGTTCCCCAAACGACGATACGTGCCTTGAAGTCTTTTACGATGATGGGGAACGTCGCAGAGAACAACATAACCTGGCGCGTCTTCGGCAAGAACGCAAGCAGCTGCTCCATAACCGGCGCAAACTCAGGGCTTAGCAGCTTGTCGGCCTCGTCCATGACGAACACGGGGCACTCGCTGAGATCGGCGACGCCCTTGCCCGCAAGATCAAGAATACGACCGGGCGTGCCAACGAGCACATGTACCGTCTCGCTCAGACGCAAAATATCGTCCTTAAGCGTAGTCCCGCCGGTCGTAACCATAACCTGCACGCCCATATGTTTACCCAGATTCTTGCACACCTGCGACGTCTGCAGCGCCAGCTCGCGCGTGGGCACGAGGAGCAGCGCCTGGATCTTATTCTTTGACACGTCGACCTGCTCGAGGCTCGGCACGACGAACGACGCGGTCTTGCCCGTGCCGTTCTTCGCGCGGGCGAGGATGTCGCGTTTGGAGAGCGCGGCGGGGATCGCCTCTTCCTGGATCGGCGACGGGCGCTCGAAGCCGGCCTCGAAGATGCCCATCAGCAGCTCGCGCCGGAGCTTCATGTCTTCGAACTCGATGCCCTTGATGTTCTGCACGTCCTCCGTCTGCGGCCGCTCGTCACGCGGTGGCGGGCGGAGATTCGCGCGCCAGCCGTCGGCGCTGTTCGCATATGTCAATATATCGCTATGTGGTATCACACACGTATAAAATATCTCACGAGCCGGATGTGGAAGGTGCGGGCTGGGCCATGGTAGTAGTTTCGGATAAATCGGCTGGCGGGTGGTTCAGTGTTGGTTCAAAATGGCTCCGCGGGCGGATTGGTGGGCTTGGGTTGATCGGTGGTGGTCAAGCCTGAGTATTTGATTTGTTGTGCGTTGTGCTGGGTGCCGGGCTCGGGAAGTGGATGGCGAGCGCGGGCGAAGGCGGGAGTGTTTCGGGCGATGGGTGTGCGGGGACGACAAGGCGAGAAAGCTGGCGTCAACGTCTGTCGTCGGTCGATGATACGCGCGCTTCCCACGCGTCGAACTTGCTTCTTGCCACCGACCGCCACGCGAAGCCAAAGCCATAAAAGTCACAATGAACCCGGCTGCCCTTTCACGCGACTGTGAGGATTATCCTGAAGAGTATACGCATAAGGGTGAAAGGATCGGACGCGTCACCCAGATTCGCCTTCACGCACTTCGTCTGCCACTGTATCATCCTGAGCTCCTGGTCCAGTGCCTTCACTTGGAGTAGCTCTTCTCATGATCGTGCTGCAAGGAACATGATATATCCCGTCAAACACTAAGAAAGGCCATGTGCGGTGCAATCCTCCCGCGTCTTACCGTTCTTCTAGCGCTGTGACCGGGCGGAAGCGCCCGTAGGCGTGCGACGCGGCTACTCGTGGACTTAAGCATGATGAACATTTAGTATGAGTCCAACATAGAATGTATAGTCGTGGCTACGGGCGTCTAGACTCAGGTAGCGACTCCGTACTTCGCGCACTCGCCCTCCAGCCAATCCCACAACCGCGCACCAAGCTTTGGATCCAGAACTTGTGATCTGGGAAGCGCCTCGCGTGCCCAGGGTACGAGGAACTACGGTAACGAGAGTAATGAGCGTTGTGCATAGGTATAGCAACTTTGAGCGTGAAGCCACAGTCACCTTGCTGTTCTTGTCAGCGCATTCTGGTGCTGTGGCCGCGTATAGCTGGGTGAGAGCACCCGTCGCTGGCGACTGTGTGTTGAGAAACAGTTTTTATCACGCGCGCTCAGTATAGCTATTGCAGTCGAGTCTGATTGATGCGCTTACGACGAAGAACATATGTACCCTGCTGAAATGCTTGTACAGTGTTGTGTCGATATTCCCTACGAGGTCCTCAGCGCTGGTCGCTTTCGTGTTCGAAGACGAAGTACTGACCAGGATTGACACATGTAGACACGAGCTCATCGCCGTATCGCCTCGCAAACTCGCGAGAGACGATCGCGTTCCCCTACATCCATTATAAGCCTTGCGGTAGTAGGACTAGGACGACAGCTCACAAGCTTGCTATGACAGTACAAGAGCTCCGAAGGCGTCCACCTCCGTCTCTTACAATCCATGAATGTATCGAAGTTAAGGCCAGGTCCAAAGTAGCTTGTGACAGACGAGACGGTCACTACTCGCGATTTCTCTCCAGTGCGGTCTGTCCCTGCCAGTAAAGCGGGTAGCAACTGCTGTGAGAAGAAGTGATGCCCTGGACCGACGTAAGCGACATGAACAGTCTGTGTCGAAAGGGGATCGCGTACCAAGGACGTTGCATCCAAACTGCATATCGTACCCATCCGCGGTGATCCAGTTGACCGGGCATTTCATGACACCGGCGTTATTGATCAGAATATGCAATGCGTCCTCCTGGCTTCCTGAATGTAAGAAGCACGGTCTTGAAGTGCTGCAAGCGGTACTTACGCGAGAAACTCCCCAGCCGCTTGTCTGACCGATTTCATATCTGCTAGATCCAGCTTGAGGAAGATCGCCTCACTGCCAGTCTCGATCTTGAGCTGATCTATGGCAGCTCGCGCTCGCCCTTCGTTCCGCGTCGCCATGTATACTTTGGCGTTGTGAGGGAGAAGTTGCTGTCGAGCGTCGGTTCTGTCGCTCTCGAAAGGGAGTAGGCATCGTAAAGAAGGCTAACCTTGCACGTCTCGTATCCTATCCCGGAATTCCCGCCTGTATACGGTGTAAGCACGGAAGTCATCTAGAATAGACGGCGCCTGTTCTGCAAGCGTGCATACCGGTCACGATAGCAACTTTCCCAGTCAAGTCCGGAATCTCATCAACAGACCAAACCGCCTTGGGTGGATATGTCTGGTCATAAGCGGCGTAGTTTCGTGAAAATGTGAGGCCCATTCGACCAAGAGCCTCAGGGAGACAAGTTACACAACACGCAGCGCTCGAGGCGAAGAACTTCGGGCGCCCTGAAGGATGATTGTGGCCGTCGAAAGCGTCGACTTTCGAGCGGGAACGTTGAGCTTATATGGTGCAGCGGTGATCGGCCTCTTTTGCCGTGCCAAGCTATGCAAAAGGTATGATATGGAGTCCTTGACTTTTGCTTGAGGCGACGTCGCACCCAGCAGCACATTAGTCGGACTCAGCATACAGCCCGGTTCCTCTATATGCTGGAAGGTCATGCCTTCTATCGGGGAGGTGTTGCGGTGCGAGAGCATCGTCGGCAATTGCCATGCGCGCTGACCAACGGTTCAACTTGATAGGGACAGATACGCCCGCACACAGCTCGCAGGCTAGGTGAGCATGCCGGATCGCGCAAGCCCTTACAGTCGTGAAGCCTTTGGTAAAGACGTGGTACACAAGGGCTACATCATGGTTCGGGGTGAGTTCTGTGTAGTTCTGTGGCCTCGTGGAACGCGGAATAGACTGTGACGGAATCGCCATCAGTCACATCAATCTATCCGCCGGCGCGTCTGCGGCAGAGCGCGGTTTGCTCTGCGCTATCATCATCCAGCCGTTCGACTCAACCTTTGGAACATAGCGATCTAATGAATGGCTCGTATATAGCGCCATGACAGTACTGTCTACTGAGTCGTTCCCATAACTCGTGCCCGCACTTTGCTCGCGAATGGTGAGATGCCGTGCCAGTCTCCAAGGTCGATGCCGCTGGACTAAGTGTGTGGCGATACCAGACTCTCGGATTCTCTCCTAAGATAATCGCCAGGCGTATCACTGCCAGCATTCACACAGACGGGTATGTCTGACACTCGTTGCGCTGATCAACGAAGTGCTGGACGCGGCACACGTGGGACTGGCGCCGGCTGAGCGCCGCGCGGCGACCTTGTCTGGACGCCTCTAAGTTCAGACCGCTTACTACCAGACGCAAACGGAAGCCTCGACTTTTACAGCAGATCTCCTTACGATTCTGAAGAAGGTCTTCTTCAGGGTGCTTCTCGCTTGACTGCCATCCCCGTGCCTGTCGCACGAACACAGCCATGCTGGTCTGCGACCCCGATAAATAACGCTTCCTAAACGCTCTACACCACGCTCTTCGCCCCACCAAGCACCCGCCATGTCATCGCTCGCTTCTGAAGAGCTTATGCGCGTTATCGATTCTCCATGGAGCAGCGCAGAGCGCGGTGCGTAACAGTTGTATCCTGGCATGTACGGCTCACCAATTCAGTTGCACAGAATCCAGTATTACATTGTTTATGATAATACAGTTGCTATACGATTTGTACCTAGAGGCTCGTGCCCGTCGCGAGGTCAGCCGCGCCAAACGGATAGCTGCGCGCGAGAAACCCGGTAGACTCGCTCGAGCCAATCGTGTCATCCGGCTTCAAACTCGACACCTGCTGCATAGCCTTCGCGGCGCGTTAGTCCCGTGAGTAGTTCTCCGATATGATGACAGAGCTATCCTCACGTGAGAAATTTCTTCCTTTAGGTCTCGATCGATGCGTGGGTTCTCGATGGACTTGAAATCCGAGGTCGATTCGATCGCACTCCAGAAGCTTATTTCACGCCATGATTATGATACTTATGCCGACTTCCCGGAGGAGAAGCCGTATAAGTTTGAGGGGTAGCCTGATGCGATTTTGAGTTATGGCGCAAACTGTGTGGTTTGAGAATAGGAAGAGCAGATTTAGGAGATACAGGATCTGATACTTCGATAGAAGTCTGAGAATCAGGGCGGGCGGCGGGCCAGACGTAGTTAGATGTACACGCACGTATCAAGTTACAATAGTCATAACGAGCTTGACTGCGACCCTCTATCTGAGTGCCTGCTATACATACTCAAGGGTGACCTGCAATATTGCAGTCAGAACTCTCTTTACAGGCGTTGCATCGTACTTGGTCGAAGGTGGGCCGTGCACGAGGCATCTGATGACAATGTCACCATCAGTCACATCTGTTGATCTCGCCAACTCGCCCGACGCCAACGTTGTTCCCGACCACGACTTGCCCCTCTCCACCAGATCGTTGTGCTACGATACGCAACATAGCGCCACGGACGGAACAGACAGTTTCAATCCAGCCACATTGCTTGTGCAGCATAGACGCCCGTCCGCTCTGATGTCAATCAGAACCGGCGTGAGCGGCATCCTCGAGTCTGATGTCAAACCGAAAGACCACCAGTATTCGTGGGACTTGCGTTCATTGAGAGCCTGAACCGGTGACTCCTGGACATATGAAGGCAGTATTCAGCCCGCACACCTACCAGCTGACGGCAATGTACTTCGATAGAACAGCGCTCGTTTCTCTGGCTGATACTTCGCAGGTAGAAGATCGATGAGAAGCAGCAAGGTGGCGGCGTGTAGCAACACGTTGGGACAGCGAGGAGGGTCCCCTATACCAAAGCGTGATACCACGCCAAAACAACGAGGCTGGATACCTGTGGCCATGATGAGCCCAACTCAAACCTTGTAGAGCGGCGATTCCGTTGTCGCCGACTTTCACTCGCTACCAGTACAGCTAGGCGCCGTGGAAGTTTTCGGATCGTCAGATCATGCTCATTTTGCCATACGTCGTGCGAACAGGGCCAACACCGTCTATCTCTGCGATAAGTAGCGCTCCTCCTGCGTTGTGTGTCCCAACCGCCACTGCCTCGCTTATGCCGCCCATCGATTGGAGACTCGAGTATGCAAAACAAGAACTCGAGCTCGAGAAACGCTTTCCAATTGACGGGATTGACGATGGTTATTCAATGGCTCAAGTTTTCGAACGGGCAGAACAACGCGGTATGATCACTTACCAGGCTGTCTTCGAGTGTCTTTGCTCATCGAATGAGATGCGCAGAATATGCGCTAGAACTGCTAGAGGTACTGCAACAGATCGAACACCACTTTTTGGAGATCCGTGCTCGGCGTGAGGTCAGACGCGCTGTTCGAAAGGCCGCCGCTCTAGAGGGTGAATCCGGTTGGCTCGCTCGCCTTGTGCATGCCCTCCAGCTCAGACTGAGGGATCTGTTACATCGTGACGCACTGTCGTGAGTTCCTCTCTCAGGTTGTGAGCTGATCTGATAGAAGCAATTGCTTTGGTAGATCACGATCCGAGGTTAACTCCCGAACGCAGCTGATGTCTGAGAACGATATTGCATTACAGGAGATGCCAGACCAGAGAAGTGACGCGGGCAGTGAAGATACCGTTATGCCTGGCTAGATCGTGGATCTTATCGCTTCGTGTCGCAATGCTACCTGCCTTCCTTCTGGGTTCTGCTGTTCGTGCTCTCCGCAGAAGACGTTGAGGGATGAAAGTTGAGACGTTGAACATACACGCACATCCCATCCCACATGACACTCAGCGCTCTGGACGCGCTGGGAGAACACGAAAGCGCCCAATATAACCCAGAAGAGTATGAATACGCGATTGGCGAGACGTACACAGGAACGAGGCTTTGATAGAAGGCGCGGTGACCTTCATCCCTGAGATAGGCGCTGTACTAAAAGACTTCCTTCTCGATAGTCCATTCTATATTTCGGCGGTCTCCGAGTCAGTCCACAGAAAGGCTCGCTCCTTCTTATCCCCTGTATACGTCGCTTCAGCATCCTTCAAGCAGTCACCCCCCTTCATCTCATCAACATCCTACCATGTCGCGTCGGCCCAGGGATTCAATTGAATGCGAGCTCATGGCCAAGGAGCGCGGTGCGATCATCACTGTTTCCCCACACGTTCTCCCAACTGATTGGCCTTACAGACGCTCTCGATGTCATCCATGCTGGCCTAAAGAGCCTCGACGACGCACGGGCTGAGGCCCGTGCCCGATGGAAAGCAGAGAGAGACGCTAAGCGGGCGGCAAAGAAGGCTTACGCGGAGGCTCATCCTGGCTGGTTCACACGCACGATGAGGCGTCTATTCACATCAGAGTCACGATCGTGAGTCCATGCCATCCTTCGACGGCTTGAGTTTGGCCAGCTCAGTGATGTACAGCGACGGTGATCGGTCTTCGTCCGGTAGTCAGACAGAGTGCAATGCTCAGGCCGCGTCGTCCAGCACTCTGGAAGTACCCATGGCATCGATGTCGTCTCAGGCCCGGCCGCGCTCTCCTCGACCCTATTCGATCGGACCGGAGCTTTCGTAACTTCAATGGTTCAGGGTCCTCGTGGGCTTGAATGAAGATCAGACGACAAGATGTAGATTGCAGGCAATCATGATTCTCGCCAATGACCCTCATGCTGTATTACCCGTTCACCTGAATCGACTGACACCTTTCATGGTGTTCATATCCGGCAGAAGCGAGTCGACATGATCCAATGTCAGCGTTGAGTAAGAGATGTGTGAAAGTCTTGTGTGTACACGCTATAGGAATCATGACTCCGTAGCTGGAGGTTCAGGCACCTGCTCTATTGCAACAGAGAAGAACACCCTGCCCCACGGTTCATCTCCTTCATCGTCCGGGCGCTTACGCTCACAACATGTGAAGCGTACAGGCTGGCCATCCCAGAAACGCAAGAGGTCGAATGAGATGCCGCCTGGGAGATTCAGGGTGACGCTCGGCGTGAAGGAGAGATAACCGTGGCAGAAGTCACCAGTGATGATATCCTGGTACAAGCAGTTCAGTGAGGTGCGCGTATCAACAGCTCGAGGAAGCATACCTCTGGCCCGAAGACGATCTCCTTTCTCCTCCCAGCCTCCGCGAAGTACGCTCGTCGAGATCCGGCATCCTGTTTGGGTATCTCCTCGACGTTCGCCACCACCTCCGTCTCCGCATCGCCTGCTCCGTCCTCTTCCTTCGACGTTGCGTCACCATTCATCTTGTCCTTCAACTTGCTCGCTCCATTCTTGAATCTTGCCTTGACCTCCGCCACATTCTCCCTCGAGCTCTTCCCGTTCGAAGTCCCGTTTGCATCATGATCCTCCGCCTTGACAGCTGCCAAGCTAGCGATAGACGTGTTGGAAGGCACTCTACTAGGCCCGCGCGAGTGGCGTGCGAGATGTAGTTGTGTGACGTCGTCTGAGAGCGAATTCTGGTCTGTGGCGGGGAATGGTGGCGGTGTCCCGCGGGTGTGGTGGAAGTGTGGCATGGAGCTGATGAGGGGCGACAATGCCCATGGCTTGGTCTGGGAGGAGAGGTCGTGATCCATAGTCGGATCTCTGTATCTAAACGACGCGTTAGGATGTCTGAATCGGTATCTGGGGATATTGGGTGCACTTCATGAACCGTAGAGCGGCCCCAGATCCCCAGGGTAGTTGTAACGGCCTATCGAACGTGTTCCCAAACAAGATGTCATCTGCACATATCTCTTGCAGGAATCTCCCTGTACGCCGTCGCGCTCTCAGTACATGTATCCCAGACCCGGCGCCACAGCACACGACACACCTTGGAACTGTATACTCCATGTGATTCCCGCGCGATCCTCCCTCTCAAAGTACTCATGCTCTAACAACTCGCCCTCCTCATCCGGGAATCCCTTGATGTACGCAAGGAGTTTCCCCTCGAAGTACGGCGAAGATATCGGAAACGGCTCGCCCGTGTTCACGGACATGGGCTGCATGTCGTCCAGCGAGGGACCGGCGATGACGCGTAGACGAGGCATATAAGACAATAGATGATGGATAAGGGCAGAGGTTGTATATTTGGTTTCAGAGCAGAAGGGACCTTATGTAGTCCTTGAAGCGCAGCAGGTTTGCCCCGAGAGCTCTGGCGAAACGGCTTCCAAGGAGCCGGCAGGATGACGTCCTACGGGCGCTCTATCGACAGACCGACTCCATCAACGCACCCACAGCCACAAGAAGGAGCGCGATTTCTGTCACATTCATGATGGAGGTCGGGAAGACCGCCTCTTCAGCCTCTGGAAGTCGCAGAACCTTTACAGTACATGAGAGAGTCCCCAGAAAGGATAACCTTCAGCGATGACATTTCTGTATCCGCGGTGGACATCTGAATGCCCCGATAGACTTTCCAAGTATAATAAAACAAATTGGCATTACAACGATGACGACAGTGGGATTCGAACCCACGCCTCGAAAGACTAGATGAGGTGTTAACCTGATTCTAGCGCCTTAGACCACTCGGCCATATCGCCACGACAGCGTCTTTATTCAATGTGGACACAATAGCTGCTAATCCCGCCCCATTCCACGCTATCCCTCTGCATCTCAACCTGTTCACTCTCAACGATCATGTCTGAACAGCCAAGCTATCCGCGCTCCAGCCTCCTAGTCCTAGCCTTCAACTCGGTACAAGCATTACTTCCGACAACACTAATCGACAAAGCCGAAGCCTATCTCGACGTACACCGGATAGACGATGCAGTGGCCCTCGCGGACGAGCAGCGCAAGAAGCTTCAAGCCCAACTTACAGTCGACTCCGGAGAAGCCGACGCGCTACGATATGTACATCTACGAATAGGATTCAAATGCCTGCTGGAAACTCGCTTTGAGGATGCCGGATACCACTTGTTCGAAGGAGGATTAGACCCACGCCTGCTCATCTCGTATTATCCGGACTTGCGCGGCTCACTACTTTCCGAAGAGGACGACGTGGAGTTATTCGAAGGAGTGGCGGATAATGTTGTACCATTTGATTCGGTCGACGATATCAGTGCGTACACTTTCTCTACTCTATCTTCTCATGCACTTCATTGTAGTTCACCACTTTATCCTGTCGACTTCGCCTCACATTCCATTTCTTGGTGCACGTCTTGCTTCGTCCCACTCACCCCGGGCTGACTTATAGTTTCCGCCGACCTAGTCAGGAATTACTCTCCGTTCCTGGCACCAAATACGCGTTCGGCTCCGCCTACCGCCGAACTACGCCGGATACTCACCACCGCGGCGTATGAAATGCTGGAGAGCTTTCTGCGGAAGTGGAGGAGAGTACGAGGAGACGGAAGTGTCCATGAGACACGAGTGGTGAGTGATCCGTGGTTCTCCTTGACAGCTTCCATGCTTCGCCACATGTACATATTGTGCCACTTGTCAATACCATATCTCGCCTTCCTAATACCATTTGTGAGGTTATGTTTCTGATGCAGGTTATCTTAGATCGTGGACACCGTACTGGCCAAGATCTTCGCGCTCAACGAGAAGACTACGGACCTGTATGCACTATTGGGCGAACAACCCGACTTGATACTGCCAGAGCTAGAATCGGTCTTTATATCGTCGGGGCAGTATAATGCACTTTGCAGCATGTACCAAGCCCGTGGACTAGATGAGAAGCTACTGAATGCCTGGGCAAGGTAACGCAACTCTCTCCATCCTGCGCAGCCCGCTCTGACGCGCCAAATAGAATTGCGGAGGGTGAATGGACGGACCCGGAAATTCCTGACCCGTTGTCGAATATGTTAACGTTGTTGACGGTGCGGCGAAATCGGGCGCTCACGCAGCAATGGGGAGTGTGGTTGGCAGCCAAAGATCCCGAACGCGCTCTGAAGGTGCATCTCCTCTCTCTATAAAGCCTTTCTCCGCCCGTAGAGCTCATGCGACATAGCTCTTGACATCTCAAGGCGCCAACCGCGGTCGGAAAGCGTCTGTCGATGCCGACCTGGCCACCCTCGCGCAGATACGCGCCGCGAACCCACGAGCAGCCGTCCAGTTCCTCGAACACCTGGTGCTCCAGAAACGCTCCTCCGATCCCAACCTTCACACCGAATTGGCGCAGTCATGCATATCTCAAGTCTTGGATGCCCTCTCTGACGAACCTACCGCAAAGCTGTGGCGCGCCAAAGCAGCTTCGTATGCTTCCCACGCGCAGAGCAATACCCCCTTCCTGGCGTACTTTGCCTCCACCACACCGGACTCGCCCACGAAACGCGCACGATTGCGCGCTGCGCTCTTCCTACAGAGCTCGTCATTCTACGATGCACTAGCAATACGCGAACGGTTACTTCCTCACGCACAAGCACTGCCGCTCGAGATGTCAATCGTAGAAGGGAAACTCGGCATGGACCACGAAGCGCTCACGCGCCTCGCACATACCCTTCGTGATAGCTCGTCGGCGGAAGCATACTGCACAGCTGGCCGCCGTTCGTTGCCACCAAAGATCGCGAGGATGTTGGCGGAACGCGAGTCGCTTGCCGCATGGACACTCGGTACAGCCGATGCTGTTCCGGCAGACTACGGGCGGGACGCACCGAAACTGCTGAGGATGTTGTTAGATGTCTACATCGAGAGTGGGAAGGAGGATGCGGCGGCGGCGCTGATGAACTCGCAAGCGGCGACGTTCGATGTTTCGGATGTGCTGTCGCGTGTTCCGGATGCTTGGCCTTTACCATCGGTTGCAACGTTCTTCTCTCGGGCGCTTAGGCGCTCGTTGCATGAGAAGCATGAGGCGCTTATCGTGAAGGGTATAGCGATGGGCCAGAATCTTGCTGTACGTCTGCCCTCCCTTGCTTACAAGATGCAGGGGTATTCTGACATTCCTTTGCAGATCGCAGACGAGACGCATTTGATCCTGAGGGAACAAGGGTACCTCGTGGAAGAAGCAATTGACGATGATGATGGTGACAACGAGAAGGCGCTTCCACCGCCTCCGGATACGGAAGAGGTCCTGGATGAGAAGGCTGGAATTGACATCCCGCGTAGCAACGGGTACGGACAGGGTACCATGGCGGCAGCCTCATGGGATTCGGCCGCGACACCTCCAGACTCTGGTGATCACGACTTCAGGTAGTGAACTAGGCAATCCCTTTTGTCTCATCCGCTCTGGCTCCCCCTACTAATACATGTACATGATTGCTGGATTTGATGTCCGTAATTGCTCCATTGTCCTCCCATACCCAAACGTTCTACCGAGCTTACCATACATCCGAACCCTTATACGTTGGTGGCTCGTCGGGGATCTCCAACTCGTTTTGTTTGTCTGGGAGCTGCACCAGACCATGCGTCCCCAGATCCAACATGGCATCCTTTTCCGCATCACGACCCACGTCAAAGGTCAGGGTCAAAGCCCCGTTTGTCCCCACTCTCTCGCGAAGAAGACGAGGACCTTGCACGCTGTGTGTCTTGTCGAGCGCGACCAAGATGAAGATGAGGAGTGGGTATATCGTCTGTTTGAAAGAAAGATGAGCATATATGCACGCATCTCGAATCGCCAGTCTTACTGTGACTTGGGCCATCGCTGTGTCCAGGTGATCGACAAGGGTGATTACCTCATAAGTAGGGGTCATGATGCTCCCGGCGGGAATGTAAACGTATACTGAGACAATATAGAATATCTAGACGGGAGTGTCCTCTCGTAAGCCGTGATTCATCGTGGTGCTATCCATACGGACGTACCCAGAGCAGTGTGTATGCGGTTCCCGAATCGATTAAGAGCTCCATGAACCGTTCAACGAACGTGCGTTTGTTGGTCTCGCGGGCATGCGCTACGAGCTGACGCCTGTATAACCTGAGCAGTAGTGAGATGGGGTAGCCCTTGAACACACGTGGATCAACTTACCAAACCCTCGCAGCGACGAGGATGGTCGCACAAAGATTACTTGCGAGAGAAAGATACAAGGCAGCAATACCGAACTGAGTCTTGCCAAAGGTGGCTACTCTCTCCTCGTCGAAGTATGTCAATAGGGTGTCGAGCGATGAAGCGAGTGCGACTATGTTGGCCAAGATCATGGACGTTGTGGTGAAAACGAGGGCTGCCGCGAAAAGAAGGATGCAGCGTGACTTGTCCCATACGATGTATGTTCTCCATAAGACGATTGTGTCGCTCAGTATGGTCTGCAAGATATTGGTCAATCCTCATGTGATTGGTTTCTGTCGAGACACGCACGTTGATGGAGAACATAATGAGCAGGACAATCGATGGTGCAGAATCGAAGGACTGTGAAGGGCCACCGACAGTGAATAGTGATGCCGCTCCCCAGCTTGCCGCAATCCAATACTGTGCCAGACTAATTGACCAATGTACCAAAGATGTGGCAGTCATGAATGTTGCCACTGCTGGTATGAATACATTCGAAGATATTCTTGAACGTATAGCCCTGAAGAGCTGGTCAGAACGAATGCACACAGTTCTGTCATGAGAGCCACTAACCCACGACTGGCATAGAGCATACATCCGAATAAAGCGCTAGTTACACCTGAAAGGACGGGTCAGCCCTATGGGAATCGTGTCGTCGAACCTTTTCTTACCGAATAGAACGGTCTCTGTGATCAAAGGCTCAAGATACCCCAAGGATGACGTATAATAGTACCATGCCTGATAGACGGGAAGGTGGTACAACGTATCTGGATCGTTGCGTGCGTCCCAGTACACACCATACCAATCGTCCGACGATAGCCCCAGTAACCTATGCATCGGTCAGATCATGGTCCAGAGCACAATGGCCACTCGTGGCATACCTTCCCGAGAATGACCTGCGGAGAAAGCGAAGCAGCAACGCCCATTGGGCCAGGTAGCCCCCGTATGCTAACCATAACCCGAGAACTAGCAATCGACGACTTAGACGCCGACCCCTGATGTCAAGAAGTTAGCCAGACCGCGGTCAAGAGTTCACGCTGGTATCGTACCAGGCTAGATCAGATCCGAGCACAAGTCCGACCGTCAGCGCTCCTACACACCCATTCAGTTGACTGGCACATCAGTTCCTCGGCATACGTACCAAGGCAAAAGCTCTCGAGCAATACGATAGGCACAACAGAGGATATCGTGGCTTGATGAACGGTCTCGAAGACAAAGCCCTGTTGAGTGCCGTTCAGCGCATCCGACAGCGCTCGCCAGCTGATGGAGGTGATCTCCGGTCCAGCCGCGCTCGTGTATGAGGGTAACACGAAGCTCTGAGTCTCAGTCGCGAACGGCGCAGACGGCGCAGCGGCATGACTGGAGGTCGTCGACATGCCGTGCAAAGCTGTGGGGGCAGCGAGCACGCTTCCCAGGTCGGCTTGAAAAGCCCGGCTTTATACAATACAGGATTTTCAGTGATGGATTGATGAGTTGCCCCGGCCGCGACTGAACCGCGGATGTTTTATGTATAGGGAGTATGACCGGTCAGATTTTCGCAAAGCTATCAGACTACCACAAAGTAGTAGACCGCTCATGTAGGCGCCCAAAGCGCTTGAAGTTAAGTCCTGCGCAAATCGTAACAACGTAGCGTGCACGGCGACGACGTGGCAGCCCAATTCAGAATCTATCAACGCTTCCGAGGCCACCTGGACAGTTCACACGCCTAGAATTCAAGTAATGCTTCCCGTACAGCCTTGCTGATTTTCATGAGAAACAACTGAAGCGCGAGCAGCCTAATTGCCGATACAGTATGATGGCGGATAGATGGCGGCCGCCTAGAAGACTCGAGGCACCAGCAAAGCTCGAATCCAATCACAATTAAACGCGCGGTACCGTGACTTGCGTATCCGCTCGGCGCTCGCTCATTGCCATCTTGTGAGGTGAGAGCTCGGGAGGGATCAGTACTCTGGTCTGTACGTCGGTATTTATTCCCGGAGTAGTCATATGCTACATGGGTGACGATGACATGAAAATGGGACAGTTGAATGTGCTATGGTGCGCCCGAAGGACTAAGCCAGGGCATATCAACCGCGGTCAGAGGACGTATGGGGCCCGCGACGCGCATTATCTCCTGTCTTGTTGGCGACAGCTTTGGTTTGTATATCGGGCTCGATAGCTCGAGTGGCGGTGGCGGAGTCGTGATTGGCAGACCCTCCGCGACCGGCGAGGAATTCTCTTGGGCACGAGAGGCGGAGAGCAGGGTAGGTGTTGCCAATAGGCTCTCCAATGGTACTTCGGGGGTGATGTAGCCGGATGTGTACAATGATGACGTATCAATGTCGGAATGGTAGTAGAAGGGCAAGGGACTATGAGATCGGGAGGCTAGCTGGTCCCCCGTGCACGTTTTTTTCTGAAGAGCGTAGATCTAGGGTAAGGCAAACCCTCTTCCTAAGCCGTCCATCTGCATCATCCGGGCCAATATCGTGAGTCGCTCGTTTGCGTGGCGGCGACGACTCCAATGTGGCGACTACCAAGGACGTGCTCGGTCCTGACGCGAGCGATGAACTTGGGCGTATCTGCGGGCTCGACAAGCTTCCAGAGCGCATGTTGAACGATGTAGGCCCACAACCGTCGGACGCGAAGTTCTTCCAGCAATTCGCGGTACGTGTCATTAACTTCGCAAGTGTTATCCCAGATTATGGTTTCCTTGTCAGCGATAGTCCTGTGTAATCGTTGTCACTGCAGAGGAAGCAAAAGGCCGTGACGCACTGTAGTGACCTCACAAGCGCCACCATCCGCCTAACCTGTCCTAGCTCTGCAAGTAAACGACCGGCTTCGGATTGGTGTTGCCCGACATCGCCACGAGAGTGCTGGATGTCGTTTACCCGCTGACCATAGAGGTTATTGGTGCGGGCGAGGAGTTCTTCCGTGAATCGCAGTAGGCTGCTCAGAGCGCCTTGCTTCTCCTGAAGTAAATGGGCCGGGACGCAAATTCGACTGGCCATAGCAAAAGAGATGATGAAGCCTGACGTGTAGGTAATATGGCGGAAGCTACAGGGGTGCGGGCACGGTGGAAAATAGCGGGAGTGGAGACACTTTTGAACGACCGAGCACAAAGGAAAGCGAAATCGCCACCGTCGGGAGGAACTTGTGACGTCCTGGGCCTCGCGGCTGTGCACGTTGCGTGCTGATCGCTATAGGCACGAAGCATAGAAGGCACTACCCCGTCACAGCCGTAATAGTTGTTTGCTCAAAGCGTGTATTGCAAGGTTCGGCAGGGTAGTCAGGGTATTTAGTCATCAGCATACTAGAGATCGAACGTGGGACTCAAAGCAAGCGAGGAACCTGACGCAGGCCGGCGATGGCTAAAGTTCATAATATCCGGAGAGCAGCCATCTTTGTTGCTCTTGACGTTAATAACAGACCTGCAATCATGGTGGTGGTGGTGGTGGTGGTGGTAGCCAAGATGAACGCGTAAAGGTGCGCGGTCAAACTCGAACACCGGTCCGGCCCGGAATGCCGAGCTTACGCCTGAAACAACTGGAAGCGCTTCTGCTGCTCTGAACCCGAACGGCCATCACCTTCTTCGACCTACACTGTTGTCACTCAATGTATTGAGAGTATCTGGAACTTCGGTGACTAGCCCAGGGACCCGTAACATTCATGCCTCCGCGTGCTAGAGAAAAATGTGGCGTTTGCCGAGACAGCATATCGAAATATTCATGCCCGAAATGTTCACTTCTTTAGTGGGTAGGGGTAGTCGCTCATCAGGACTCTCGGACTCTGATCAATCATTCTCTGCGTAGCTGCTCTATAAGTTGCTTCAAGGCGCATAAAGGTTCGAGACCTCATGCCGTGTATCCCCTGTTATTGACTTCGCCTTTACAGACGGTGGATGCAACATCCAGACCACAGATGTGACTTCAAATACGAGACTGATTACTCAACCGTTGTTTGAGTCCTCTGGAGAGCCCTCAACTTCAAAAGGAGCACTTCCTGAAGACTCGCTACCTGCTGACCCGCCACTGAAACGACTCGCGTCGCTCAATTGGCCTTACGTGCCGGATGAGCCTTCTCATCCCGACCCATTGAAACGCGACGACCCCAAACCTCTCAACCTCCGACAGTATGAAGCTATAGGTAAGCATCGCTAGATATAGCATGCCAAGAACGCTCGCTGATATCGCACCTTAGCACGCTCTCCGGCGGTTCGTGCTGTGCTCACGACACACCCTCGTCTCAAGGACATATTGCGATCCATAGAAGCTTTGCGCGGTCTCCACCGTGAAGAGGCTATCCAGCGTGGATTGGGCGTTGCTGCAGATGACCAGACAGGTCGGACCAGGATAGGTGACCGGCCAAACGATGATACGGCCTTTGTCAGTGCGGACGACAAGGACGCGCTCAGACAACTCGCGGAGGCTGTTGAAGCTGTTGTAAGAGGTGGTGAAGGGGGTTTAGGGCTAGACTGGGGTGACACATAACTAACTAGATCGTCGGTAACTTACAGCATGTCCCCTTACAGCCTACAGGGAGCTTATAGGTAGTGGATAATACTTTACCACTCATGTCGTCTAGTATTCGGTTGAGCGGGACGTCGAGCAGACCAGGCGCCTATACGCACTTTTCCTGAACACGGAGGTCCCCGAAGGGGTTTAGTGAAACCAGCACCATGCACCATGACGTAGACTTGCCAGTGCAGGCGTAGTACAGGAAAATCAAGGACACGGTATCGGAAAGACGAAGGAATATTAGCTTCAAGTTTCTCCGAGGTAGGACCGACGGATATAAGCGTCAGACCAATCTCGCACGCGCGGTCAAGATGAACCGGCTCGTACGTCTGCGGGCTGCAGTATAAGTAGTGCAGAATGTTGCTCAGCAATCTGACGGGGTCTAGACATCTCTGTCGTTATCGCCAGCGCCACGCCGATCGTCCCGGGTGGTGTACACGCCGTGATAAAGAATTTGCAACCGTCTTCACTCCTTGACCTGACTTCTCCCTCCACGAACTGCTTCTACGCGGATCTGTACTATGCCTGCTGCTAGGCTATCTATTGAACAAGACGTTGGCGATGTCTCTAGGGACGACATCGCCGCCACTGGGATGCACACGCCAGTCTCTGATGCCGAAAACGCTGTTGAGGATAGCGCTCAGTACGACCTACCCTCCTTTCTAAGCGCCTCCACCTCCCGAGTCCGGCGTCGATCCGAGCTTGCATTCGCGCGCAATGGCAAAGAACGCGTGCGCGACGAGCACACGCATACGTTCGAGCTCCCGGCGCTCTCGCCTGACGCGATCGCGCGTTCAAGGCAAATGCCGCCTCAAACTCAGATCGAGCTGCTCGAACAGGAAGACCAGTACAAGGAGGACCTGTCAGCGGGTCCAAGCTCTCTCGTCCCATCCCTACGCTATGCGCCCTCGCGTACAGAAGGTGAAGGCGCCTCCTATCCACCGAGTGTACACGTTGCTGTCGCGCGCACGCCTGCGCATCGCCGTATCGCCCGCTTGCAATTTGCTACATTCTGCTTCTCTTTCTTCCTTGAGGGCTGGAACGATGGATCAACCGGACCGCTCCTACCTACGATTCAAGCCTTCTATGGGCTCAACTACGCCGTAGTCAGCATGGTGTTCATCCTGAACGCGGTCGGTTTCATCCTAGGTGCTGCGACACTAGTCTTGCTTGTCGAGCGGTTTGGCATGGGAAAGGTATTTGCGTAGCTTATGCGCATACAGGCATCGGCTGACGGTGTCTTCCTACAGGTTGCCTCTTTTGGTACGCGCTGATCTGCTGTTATCGTATCCTCATACGAACCTAAACTCACGAAACCTCAGGCGCTTTTGTCCAGCTGATCGCGTACGCGATGCAGGTTCCTGCTGGACCCTTCCCCGAATTTGCTGTGAGCTTCACCCTGGCGGGCTTTGGTCTCTGCATGCAGAACGCCCTTGGGAATGCATTCGTTGGTGGTCAAGCTGAGAATACAGCTACCATGCTCGGATTACTACACGGCGCATACGGCCTGGGCGCATTCGCTGCGCCACTGCTTGCAACACACTTCTCTACCCAGACTCACTGGTCGTATCATTACATCACTAGCCTGGTGCTCGCCGCAGTCAACTTCACACTCCTAACCGCCGTTTTCCGCTTCAAGACCCAGGAAGCAGCGATGCAGGAAGCAGGTTACGAGCCCGCACCTGCGGAAGCAAACCGCGGTAGCCAGTACGGTGCAATTCTCAGCATCCGGGCGGTCTACTTCCTCGCCGCTTTTGTGCTCATCTATGTCGGCGTTGAGGTCACACTTGGCGGGTGGATCGTGACCTTCATCATTCGCGAGCGCGCCGGTGGTCCGAGCTCGGGTTACATCTCCTCGGGGTTCTTTGGCGGTCTCACGGTTGGTCGGGTCACACTCCTCTGGCTCAATAAGCGTATTGGAGAGACCCGCGCGCTTACGATATATGCCATCCTCTGCATCGCACTCGAGGTGACGGTGTGGGCCGTACCCAGCTTGATCGAGAATGCTATCGCCGTCAGCATGATCGGCCTGCTCATGGGCCCCATGTACCCCATTATGGTCGGCCACACGTCGAAGATCCTCCCCCGATTCGTGCTCAACGCTGCCCTGGGGCTCATCAATGGCCTCGGGCAGACAGGTAGCGCACTCCTCCCATTCCTCACGGGTGTGCTTGCCAGCAAATTCGGTATCACTAGTCTGCAACCTCTGTAGGTGTCCCATCACTCTGCGTGTCCCGCAAGACTGGGTACTGACTCCTTGCACAGGGTTGTATCTATGATGGCCTTGATGACTGTCATCTGGTTTGCCATCCCCAAAGGGCACCGGCGTCAAGAGTGATGCGAGAGAAGAGTAAAATGTTCATAGACTGGGTTGTCCATCGGTTCCTCGCTCTACGATTGTATATGCGCAATACTTCATCATGTATAAGTGGAACATCTTGAAGCTAGTACGAGGTGATGATCTACGTTCACTCTGAAAAGCGGTCGTGGAGGGATGCAAACGAGATATATCATTGATCAAGCAAAGGGGTAAAATAACGAGGTCATGTACTCGAAATCGAACATGATTGCCTAGGTACAAATACATGCGGATGAGAGCCCACTATCAACTATCCGTTAAGACGCACAAAGGGGCACAACAGCCGTACAATCACAAAACAGTTGCTCCAGTGCCGAGACCCAAACCACCCAATCCGGTATTCGCTCCCAAGCAAATGAGACTGGTACATCCGGCGCCTGTACCGGTACCCGTGCCGCCAGTGCCCGTACCCGTACCTGTGCCAGTGCCCGTGCCCGTGCCCGTGCCCGTGCCCGTGCCAGTCCCGGTATTGGTGCCAGTCCCAGTACCAGTGTTAGTACCAGTGCCTGTACCCGTCCCGGTGCCAGTACCAGTCGTGCCCGTCCCCGTGCCCGTGCCCGTCCCAGTTCCTCCAGTAGTCGTACCTCCGCCGGTCGCGCCGCCATTGGTCGCGCCGCCATTGGTCGCGCCGCCATTGGTTGCGCCACCGTTGGTTGCACCTCCGGCCGTCGCACCTCCATCGGTGGCACCTCCGTTGGTCGCACCCCCAGCGGTCGCACCTCCCGCCGCTGTACCTCCAACGCCATTCGTCCCCGCCCCCGCGCCAAGGCCGAAACCGTTACCGAAGCCGAAACCGTTGCCACCAAATAGTCCTCGGAAGAGGCCGCCGTTGAAGCCAGCTCCCGCCCCGAAGCCAGCTCCTGCCCCAACACCAGTTCCGTCTCCGGTACCATCGCCTGTGCCATCGCCGAACAACGAGTTCAAGAAGTCAGCGAGGCTCTCTCCATCATCGACGCCACCACCGCCAGTCCCGTCGTCCAGGCCTGTGCCAACGCCATTGCCGTTGCCCACAGTGGCGCCGGTGCCAGTGCCGACACCCGTGCCAGTGCCGCCAAGGCCTGTACCTGTGCCAGCGCCCGCGCCAGCACCAGCACCCGCGCCAGCACCAGCACCCGCGCCAGCACCCGCGCCAGTACCATTACCGGTACCATCGCCAGTCCCATCGCCCGTGCCATCGCCCGTGCCGTCACCGGTACCATCGCCCGTGCCATCGCCTGTACCGTCGCCTGCACCGCCGGCCGTGGTGTCCGTGATATTGGCCGCTCCGTTGATGTCATTGATGTTAGCGGTCCCGTTATTGATGGCATTGATATCGGCGGTTCCATTGAAGTTACTGCCAAGTTGTTAGTTGTACGGTTATATATGACATGCGTAAGACTGACCCATCGATGATCACGTATCCATTGAATTGGCCGACGGTACCAGAGTTGGTAGTAACGCGGCCGAAGGTGCCATTAGGCAGACGTCCACCGATGAAGCCAGTGACGGTGAAGGCGGGCTCACGAGCGACGAGGACCTTGGTCGCGTCGCGTTGGTTAAGAGTCCTATGTGATTGATTAGATGAAGTTATAAGACCGTAGACAGGAGGAGGCTTACGGGGTAGGTGCTGAGTGGACGCCAGAAGAAACAGCCAGACAGACGAGCGTGAGAAGACTGGGTGGGAACATAATGTTCGTAAAAGTCGTGAAAGAAATGGGGGGTGTAGCTGTGTTAGCTGAGAGAGGAGGTCTGTTGACCTAAGTTCTCTTTATACCCGGCAGTTATCGCCAGAGACGTCGACGTAGAAAATGCCAGACGAGGACGAAGAGACAAAAATGACGCGCATCCTGATGTGTTGAATCCTAGTATGTACTCTTTTGGTTAGTAGAAGGCGGCACTGAGGACAGAGAGGTCAAGAGAGGCATGCGGTACGGGACCAAGTCGATCAAGCCGTCGGTATGGAACTTCTTCTGCCCGGACGGAGCCGATCATCCAAGAAACATCTCATTCTGCACTCCATGCCTTCCTCACAACTTCCTCATCGCCAATAAACGTGCGCCGGATAGTACGGAGGCGCCATTTATGTGCTGGACTACCACCTGTGAATAAGGTCAAAGTATGATACGCCATTTGTGTAGAAAAAATAGACGAGAAACCGCAGCGTGACACGCCTTCATACGCCCGGAGCGGGAAGCACGGAACTGCACGTCCCGACCCGCAGGTCTCAGGTCGGTCTCGGTGTGGGTGGTGGTATGCGTCGGTGCCTGCCTGTACAGCAACTAACGAGTCTTCTCCAGGTCGCGTATTTGTCCCGTGCTGGTTCAGGGCTGAAGAGCACTCCACCGACTCAGGGGGGTGCGGAGAGGACTCAGAAAGCGACCTGAAGCGAAGGATGCAATGCAGGATCCGGACTGGGTATGTAGCTCACTTGGCGGAGAAGGCGTCAGAGCCAAGTCCGATTTGTCTGAGTTCTGCATTTCTTGGCCAAAAAGTAGAGGTCGAGAGTGGGGTTGGTTTCGATGTCCGAACGTCATGGCCAATATGTCGAAAGGCCAGCGAATAGCGTGCTCGCGATGAGATATCGGAAATAGCAATGACAGTACCCGACATTGTCGGAGACGATTCAATGTGGGCAGGTTTGGTATACATGCCATTGCGGAATCTGTCCGACGGCGAGCTCGTGGTGGTCAAGAGAAAGCCTCCCTGCCGCGGCACACCGGCATCTGTTGCGTCGATTTCTCCGCCCATATGCGCCCACACGTGTCACAACGGAAGGCTGTCCTAGTCAAGCAAGCATGTATATGTTGGGCAGCATATGTTATACAAAGTCGTGATATGTTACACAATGGACTGTAAGAAGTCCACCGAGAAAGCGAAAGCGACACCATGCTATAATACAAGTCCAATTCACCCCTTCGACATGTCCGTTTCTTGCACCAGTCTGGCTGAGCTTAGTAGATACGAACGACTTCAACAGCTTGTGAAAGCTGCGACAGAACTTCGCCGTCGAGCGCGAAGCAGTCTGCTATCTTCACGTAGCGGATCGCCTGAACGCCTTTCCCCGTGCTTCTCGCCCTCACGAACCTGAGAATTTCGTGGCCGCTCACATCGCGGAAACCTTGTACCGCGAATGCCTCGAGACGCGGCAGTATCCAGCCAGCACCATCAAATGGGGCAGACAAGATGTCGAGCAGCCGGGCGCCGAGAACGCCCGAGGACGGGTAACTGAGGGCCAGGCCTGTGAGCCTAGGCAGCCTGTGCAGCGCGCGTATGAGCGGGTAGATAGCGGAGCCGTCGAGCGGTACAGCTCTCAGATCGAGCATCTTGAGAGCTGGAAAACGCTGTGGAGCGTCATCGGCGACACGTCCTAGCCAGTGAGCGGCGCCTTCGGTTCCTGAGTCCATTTGCACCGCCAGACGGTTCAAATTGGGGAAGATTCCGGCGTCGAGGAAGAGGGAGAGACTACCGCCGTCCAACTGGTGAAACGCGAGGGTGCGAAGGTTCTCGTATCGGACACGAGGAGGTTCACAGGCGAAAACGCCAGGACACGTGTCAAGAAGGAACTGGGAGCTCTGCAAACGCAGAGTACGCAGCTCTTGTGCGGTACTTGTTACGCTGAGTAGTTCGCCAATGTCCAGAGAAACACGCGACGATGACGAGAACCGTTGGTCGCGCACAATGTGCAGGGCTCGTAGCGATGGCATCGCCGTGCGCACAGTCAGGAGCGGTGCGTGCTCGAGCACTACATATCGTAAGCGCGGGCATGGTTGGGTGAGCACCGTGAGTGGGCCTTGGTCCGCGTCTGAGCCGTCTGGTGGGTCAACTCCAAAATGTACTTGTTCGAGTGCTGGTCCCAGCAAAGAAGCTCCTTCTGCGATCGTTCTCATCCAAACCCAATCCGTTGTCGATGCCCGAAAGCAGTACGCCCGATCCAAATGGGGTGCAAGCGCGTTCATGACTTGCTCTAACTCGTTGTAAAGCTCGAGATAGCGCGTGTCGAGGTCGATGGAGAGCTTGCACGTTCCCGATCGAGTAAGACTCGTAGTGAGCTTGCGCATGAAGCGCGCATGGGTCTCGGAATCGCGTCCATAAGCGTCGTCGTCTGGGGACAGCGTGATGTACGACCAAAGTTGAGGTGTAGACACCGCTATGGTTCTCCATTGACGAGAGACGAGCGACAGGTCGGGCAATAACGTTGCGCATTCGTGCACACCCATCTCAAATATTTTCCCTAGCAGCTCAGGCGGCAGATGCTTGATGAGCGCGTCCTTAGCGAGAAGCTGAGATCGACGCAGTCGGAGGTTTGCCATCTGCGCTTCGAGCGCAAGCAACTGCGAGTCTATGTCCACCACTTCTGGATCGAATGGCCGTGGATCGCTATTTGATAGTTCACGGCTCAGTAACATGTCATTGCATGGGTATCAACGGCATACATTGTATTTGGGTCGGGTTCGATGTCTTCGTTATCTTCGTCTACTAGGGGTAGAACGACGAGCGGCTGCACCGCTGCCGGATCAAGCAGCGTCTCCTCCCATGTCGTGAGCTCATCGAAAGACGAGGTTCGGCTCAACATATTGATTGGGGATACCGGTGGTAGCGGCTACACCGTCCCTATTGTTAACGTCTCAGTATGAAGGTACGGAGTCTCGATGTATTGGGAGAGCGCACTATGCTCGAACGCGACGCTAACCGCGTGAAGCGAGTGACGGGTAGCCGAGAGTGGTGGAGGTGACGGTTGTTTGTGGTGGTACAATCTCAACCTTGAAGTACTTTGCTCAAAGCGCTGTTTAGCCACAGCCTCCGTCACAACAGCTTCCCGCGTTCGGCGGGTGACCCTATTTGTCGGTATTCGAAACCTCCCAGTGTACTAATCGGGAAAGTCCATGAATGGGAGCAGCAGTACTTGACGTGGATGACGCTCAGAGCCGAGGCGATGTATTTGGTGAAGTGATGGCTTGAAGCAAGGGTACGACCCCCCCAGTCGGTGATAACCGGTCCGACGGTTCCGGAAGCGCGTCGCCACCACCGCATTCAAGTGGGCCACTTGCCTCCTCCGGTCTCGTGCTTCGTACACCAAGTGTCTATCAACTTCAGCTCAAGTAGCTTGATGAGTCTCTGAACTCGAGAGCTCTGTACGCGTCCATGACTCTTTACGCGAAGTCAGTGCGTAATAAGCATCGGTACTAGAACAAAGCTGCGCCGTACTATTACCCTGCTATGGGTATCCAGCGCCTACGTTGTGTTTTAGGTACACTCCAGTTATGCATCAAACGGCACTGTATTACCCGTGTACACCAACAGGAACTGCATATGAATGAGCGGTAATCGATAATCTACGGCCTGATCACTCCACGATAGTCTGCCGTCCTTGTCCGATCTTGTCGGTTACTGCTATATATGTCCTCGCCACTCCAGGCTGCCAGCTCGCGTAGAATGATGACCTTTTGTCGGCACCTGTCACTCGCGTTTGCTAAACCTAAGACTCGGAGAGCTTGAGAACATTTCGCCCGCCGCGATTCCTACATCTCGACATCGCCTTCTCGACAGGAAGAATGGCCATATCCTCTCCCGACCCCTTGCGAGGCTCCGTCGCTCTACCTTACTGACATGCGTTTAAAGTGCCGTACACAGCCCACCCTACTCTCTCATTATTGGTCACGCCCTCAGTGTGGGCGGCACGAGACCTTCACTTCGAGCTCACGCATCTGTTTAAACCGCGGCCGATCCTCGGAGATACCCAGCTTGCCTGGTATTAAAGCAGGCGCTCCATCGAACGCTGGACTCCTGCCCCAGGCCAATCGTGCCACAGCTATCTCATGATGCTTCGCCTCGCACATAGGCCTTCCATCGTCAAAGCGTCCTCTATCCGTGCCGCCAGGTGCCTTGCGACAGCTGCGGCTGAACGGACAACCCGCACACCGAAGGCGGAGGGCTCTATCGGCGATGTCTTTTCTTCGTTGTCTGGAGAGATATCCCAACCGCTTCCCACCCGGTTCTCTGACCTGAAGAAGGAGCTCTTCACCGACGTCCTGATCAACAGCTGGAAAGAGGTGCTGAAGGAACTGGAAGTTGCTGTGGAGGAAGTTGCGACAAGAGGGTCCGACGTATGTCTTTCGAGCTCCTTGTTTGTGAGGCTGATGCTGATTTCGCCTGCTCTTACAGATCTTGCCCCGCGTCGCGTACGCAGATGTCGCCAAAGGCTTGTCGGAGGATCAGAAAGCTGAAATCAAGAAGCGCGGCGCAGTCGTCGTAGATGGAGGCGTCTCCGCCGAGGTGAGATCGTCACGTCTGGCCCTTCCTCCCGGCGACTTATGTCCGCGTTCATAGGAGGCTTTGAGATGGAAGCAAGAAGCTAGAGACTACGTGGCGGCAAACAAGGATCGAGTGAAAGGTTTGCAAACATCCACTTTCCCAAGCAGGAAAGCCTCTGATCATATGTGGTGCTCATAGGCTTTCCGAGCGACAACATCCAAGTTTACGAGATCTACAACTCAAGCGCGCAAACGCAAGCTCGTACACATCCCGCGCTGATTGAGACGCAAAGGGCGTTGCTTGAGCTCTGGCACACAAGCAATCCCGCAACGCGAGTCAGTATGCGCAGCCCCATCTCATACTACGACCGTTTCCGCATCCGACTCCCCGGAGATCGCGTCTTCACTCTCGGCCCTCACATCGACGGAGGATCTCTGGAGCGATGGGAAGACCCCAACTACCGCCGCTGTTGGTCAAACATCCTGAGCGGTAAATGGCGCGAACACGATCCCTTCGACGTGTCGCCGCGCATCGGCGCGAAGCAAGATCTATATCACGGCACGTAAGTTCATTGTGGCCCATGCACAGCCTCAAGCTCATGCTGAGAATGCGTTGCAGGAGCCAGTGCTCGGTGTTCAGACCTTGGCAAGGCTGGACATCACTCTCGCCGACGGGTCCGGGAGAAGGGACACTGCGCGTCTGCCCGCTTCTTCCGCTGGCGACTACATACCTCATTTTACGCCCCTTCTTCCGCCCGCGCACGTCATCATCGGGCCTCGATGACTGGGTTGTTGACTTGGAAGATACCACGTTCCCGGGGAGCGGTATGGGAAAGGGTCAAGAGCTGAACGAGGCGACGCATCCGCATCTACAGCTTGGAAGGACGATGGTTTCTGTCCCAAAGATGGAACCTGGCACGCAGGTCTACTGTGAGTTCATATGTATGCTCCTGTTCCAATAGCTTATGCTGTTGCATAGGGCACTGTGACACGATACACGCGGTTGAGAGCATCCACAACGGACCGGTCGACTCTTCGGTTTTCTACATTCCCGCGGTCCCTCTCACAGATTACAAGTGCGTTCAGTGTTCATATGCTCATCTCTAATTCTGACGTGCGACTAGTGCTGAATATCTGAGAGACCAGCGGACTAACTTCATAGCAGGCCTTCCAGCACCGTGAGTAACCGAGTTATTCTGAGCATAGCATGAGAAGGTCCTAACCTGAACTCGAAGGGACTTCCCCGGCGGAGAAGGAGAATCGCACTTCGTGCAGCGTGGCGGTGTATGGAATGCTCATGACGAAGAGGGCCAGAGGTTGTTGGGCTTCAAGATGTTCCAGGTACCTGCCTATGCCTCGCCCGCTGAGCGCTCTGTCATCGAGCGAGCCAATGATGTATTGTTCCGCTAATGTAAACTTGATACATTCTGGCACTTCCGCTCACTATGGATAAATCGGATATACTACACGGAGCGCTCGCTTGAAAACTGCGGGCTAACAAGGCTCGGATAGAAGCCTGGTAGTGCACAAGTACAGTGGATGCTTTAATTCAGTATCTGTTGACGCGATCACCGACGCTTATGCGAGTCTGCGCCTTTTCGTCACCGGGCGGTTGTGCTCCTCATCTGCACAGTACTCGCAGTCACTATCACAGTCGCTACCGCATTCATACTGTGGATTCCTCTCCTTTTCCGATTGACCTACTTGCCGCTGCGACAAATCTGCAGGATCTGTACCATGTAGTAGTAAGTATCTCAAGGTTGGATTGCTCAAGAGCCAGAACATACCATCTCCCTCCAATGGAGGTATACGCAGGATCTTCCTCATATGCGCCGCACTGACACCGGGCTTTTTCCCTGGCCCAGCGCCAGAGATATTCAACATCCCATCGCCGCCAAACATCGGCACGCCATCCTTTTCGCCTTCCTTCTCCGCGATGGAAAACGGCACCCCGAGCGCCACGAACAACAGCTCAGCCGTAAGCTTCAAGCTCACCCGCTTTGACAGGTCGGTGTTTAGCCCGAAGAGAATCTCATGCACCGTGAGGATGTCGCCGCGAGTGATTTGACACTGGCTGATATCTCGACGCTCTGGGTCAAGTTCGTACCAGCATATCGGACGCCAGCCGTGCTGCTGGTGGGCTTCGGGCCCATGGTCGTGCATCGTCTTGCTATCAAGTTTCTTGTCCGTGCTCGGACTGTCAATGGCGCGGTAGCCAAAGGAATAGGCGCATTCGACGAAAGTTGCGCCGATCCGCATGTCGAAGATGACGTGCAGATCGACCCATGCGGGCGCGTAGAGTGAAAATATGCGCGTATAGACGTTTGCGTTGTCGACCTGGACCAATTTAATGTCAGTGGCGAAGCTAGTATACTGAGGAAAAGCTGAAGTTGTCGTACCACAGGGTCGCCTTCGTCGCTCGTCCAACACGTCAAAACGTCAATAGAGTCGGCAATTCTGCACGCCAGAGCATGGTCGTCCGGTAGAGCGCGTGAGATACACTTCCAAGCCAGGGGATGCAAGTTCCGATAGTATGTATCGGTGGCTTCAGACTCTTCGCACATGTACTCAGTAGATCTCCATTCGCCAGGGTCGCGGACTTTGATGCATTCCTCCCACTCGGGCGAATTAATCGGGTCGACGAGGTTGAAAAGCTTCCGAGCGCGCTCTTTGGGCTCGTCAGGTAGTTCATCATAGTTCGTCGGGCGGGGAAGGTGCTTCCAGGAGAAAGGGTCGGTATGTACCTGCGTGTCCGTAGCTTGTCAGGCGTTGTGGTCGCTAGCATCATCATGAGGTTTAGGCTTACCTTGAAACATCCGCTGCATTCCTTACCGGGACCGGGTTCCTCGTAGTGTTCGTCCGACATGGTTGGATGTGAGGCAGTCTCCATCTGCCAAGGAAAGACAAGGGCCATATATAACAGCGCGAAGAATATGACGCAAACGCAACGAATGGGGCTCTGATGGGTCACTGTAACCATTGGAGCTGTGGTTCATGACACGCGTGCCCCATCATCAAGCGCAATATGGGGAATCACATCTTAGAGATCTAGTGGAGTAAAAGTAAGTGTAGCATGATATGATAAGCGAGCACTGGTCAGAGTTCCGTAAACGGCCAGGAGACAGATCGTATCTTCTATCACGTCGTATAAGGGTGATGTGCGTAGTTCACCAACTGTACCCTCCTCCGTCCATGTCTTCATCCGAGCTATACAGCGCATTCCCATCCGAATCGTACCTGTCCTCATCGTCATCCTCGTCCTCGTCTCCGAATGGCGGCTCGCCCATCTGGACAGTGGACAAGTCTGCGGTATCTGCATGTGCCATTCCCGTCAGCAGAGTAAAGAGGCTTATTAGACGGATGAACGAACCGTCTCCCTCAAGCGCGGGTATGTTGAGGATCTTACGCATATGGGCGGCGCTGATTCCGGGTTTCGACCCATTCCCGGGATTGCCGATAGCGATGAGGCTCTCGTACTCAGGTATCCCATCCTTGTCTCCCTCCTTCTCAGCGATGTAGAACGGCACGCCGCACGCATTGATCATGAGCTCAGCGGTTGCCTTCAACGGAACGCGACTCGACAGCTCAGTGTTCGTGCCAAACAAGACCTTGTGCACTGCGAGAATGTCGCTGCGAGAGATGTTGCACTGGCTGACGTCCCTGCGCTTGTGATCCAACTCGTACCAGCCGATCTGATGCCAGCCGTTTCGAGCGTGCATATCCTGCACGTCAGAGTTGCGGACTGAGCTCGAGGTCTTCTTAGAGAGCGATTTGTTGGTGATACGGTAGCCCAACGCGTACGCGCACTGGACCGTGTTCCAGCCCGTGCGCTCGCTGTACTGAATGTGGAAGTCGACCCACGCCGGAGAGCATAGCGAGAAGAAACGCGTGTACGCCTCGGCATCTTCGAGCTACGATAGCACAGGCGTCAGTCCGACGTAAATGGCGAGATCGTCTCTTCACAAACCGTGGAATCTCCCGAGTCTCGCGTATCACAACTCGTGACGACCGCACAGTCGGCAATCTTGCCCGCGAGATCTTCGTCGCCCGGAATAGCCTTTGAGATGGAGTCCCAGACGCATTCGGGAATTTGCTGCGCGTAGCGGTCCTCTTCGTCATTGTCAGGACACATGTTGCTCGCGCATGCCCAGTCGGCCTCGTCTCGGGCTTTCAGATAGGCGGCCCATTCGCGTGAGTCGACGGGTTCCACGAGGTGAAAGAGAGCCGTCGCTCTCTCCTTAGGATCCTCCGGCAAGTCATCGAGTGTAGTGACGCGAGGGAGTCGCTTCCAGTGAAAGGGATTCTCGTGAACCTAGAGCACGACCGTCAGTCGAATGCGACAGTTATGAGTAGTGCGCACGTGGGGACAACATACCTCACCACAAGTCTCGCACTCCCTTGACGGGTCGTCTATGCTCATGTTCAATCGTTGGCGCAGCACCCGGAGGCAAGTTAAGGTCAATCGTCGTCCGAGGCAAACCCTGTGCCGCGTGAGCTGCTTCATTATATAGGCCAGTGATGGGGACGCACGGTCATCAAACGCACTGTGGGCGACCAAGATAGCTACGTGAGGACGTCAAATGCCGAGCGTCAAACGTCTCTTCCGAATGGACCACAAGTCCCGAGCTTTGGCTGAGAAGACCTGACCATCAACCTGCCCGCGTCACCCATAGGCGAGGCACGCCATCGAAACAAGCACTTGAACTGCCAATTCTTGCTTGAGATCTCGAAGACACCAACTCCCACTCACTCGACGTCGCTCAAATGAAGCAATGATATCAGCCATTCTCATGGATTCATGACGGTCCCGACGAAAAATGCGTGCGATAGAGTGAAGAGTACAGTATGCGATACAGAAGCAGACAAGAACAGAGGACAACAGGCGACCAGAAACAGAAGATCCGAGGCGCTTAAACCTCCTGGCTCTCCTTCTTGCCCTTTGCGGTTTTGCTGGGCAGGAGCTGTCGAAAGACGGATCAGAATCAAGGATGTCTACATAGGCAACACAATAACATACCTCGGGGTTGATGAATGGCACAACACCACCCTGGGAGATGACGACGTCGCCAAGGAGCTTGTTCAACCTGATGAGACGAGTCAGACCATGTACGATGGAGGAATAAATCTGCGCCACATACTCCTCATCGTTACGGATGGCAAGCTGCAAGTGGCGGGGAACAATACGCTGCTTCTTGTTGTCGCGTGCAGCGTTACCGGCAAGCTCGAGAATCTCGGCAGCGAGGTACTCGAGGACGGCGGCGAGGTAGACTGAGGAAAATAATCAGAAAACACATTGAAGACATATTCAGATAAGCTCCGACGCACCAGGTGCACCAGCACCGACACGCTGTGCGTAGTTGCCGCGCTTCAAGAGACGGTGGACACGACCGACGGGGAACTGGAGACCCGCCTTGGACGAGCGCGATTGCGACTTGCCGCTCGCCTCAGCGCCAGACGCCTTGCCACCGGACTTGGCCTTGCCGCTAGTCTTGCCAGACATTATTGATTGTTGGTTGATTGGGTTGGTGGGCGGGTAAAGCGGTAGCGCGCGAGGGCGTGGTGGTGGTAGGAGAGAGAAGAGTGACGGTCTGCCACTCAAACGCGCGCGCGGCGCTTATAGCGAGCCGCGGGCGTGACAGTAAACGCAACGCCCGTGACAAAGTAAACGATATCAGGTGACCTCCGCGTCCTGCGCCTCTCCCGTCCACCACGTCTACGTAGGCGACAATTACCATGTCCTAGGTCCTGGTGGAGCCATGGATAGGCGTGTGGCTATGATGAGAACCACCATGCTAATGGTGAATGTGCATTGACTGCCTGCGCCGACTGTGCTGGCTGCACCATGCCGCATGACACGTAGTGCACGACTTGTTGCAAAACTCTGCCCAAACTGGCCGCTGTAGGCAAATATTTGACACCATGTACCGGATAGAACCTCCTGTCACCGCACGCTCGCATGACACATATGGTGGGGAGCCTTGTGTCATGCTGCAGCGCTCGGTCCGTAAAGCGCTAATGTCCCCCACGACAGATCACCATATGTGTGTCAAGTTCGCCCCCACTTCGACTTCGTGAAGAGCCCAAACCTATCGCCTTGTTCTCCGACCGTACCCTCCGTTGCGCATGCTGCCTCTTTCTGATGTCTTTCCAAGGCCCCCGACCTTGATCGTGACGTTTCCGTCGTGTCTGTTCCGGCATCTTAGTGGCCTCCGAGTCGGTCAAGTAAGCTGGATTGGACGCGTCTGTTGCAGGGTCTTGAGACGATCATTCAACTGCTCGACTCGCGGAGCGCCGAACGGCGCGAGCGAGAGGCTTATAACCGATTTGCGGCGCGTGCCAAGTCTCCCTTTTTGGTGCCCCTTGTATGTCGAATGGCATTGGCCGCCGCGGAGATCACAAGCATCGTAGATAACCTCAACGGCGATGTTCATCTGCTGAGACGGAATACGACATCAACCGACTAGAGGCGATACAGAATGGCAAACGCCACCCAAGGCTCCGGTGCGCGGTCGAGTCGGAGCTTCAAACGCGCGTCGTTGCGCCTCACGCACACCGCCCTCTGTGGTTGACGATCAATCGATAAACGAACCAACCTCCATGCCAAACCGTGTATCGTTCTAATCGGAAGCCCAAAGGCTGTCCATCCAAGGCCTCGCTGCTTGTATGATTTGACGGCGGTCTCGTGTTTCTGTCCGAGGGGCCCATTCCCTTTCTCTTCAAACCCACATCGACCATCTTTGTGGCTGCATGGACTGCCGTCTCCGCGCCCCTCGCCCGCTACTGTGGTCTGCCTAGCCGACGTGATGTCGTCCCCTCGCGAAACCCGATTACCCGGATTTCAGGATCTGTTTGGCCATGTCCCCCTTCCTACCCCCGGATCGGGCGCAGCGAGGGTACCCAGATCAAAAGCTCGAGTAGACCGCAAAGACAGTGCATCGCCAGTTGCAGCCTCTGCGCCTCATCCAAACCCTCGTTCTCATGAGTATTCTCGGAATGACCAGCGGTGAGATTTTCCCTCGCTCATCTGCCTCCATGAGGTTCTCACATCCCCTCCTAGGCTCCACCCTACGGCAGCAGACACTACACATCACCGCCAGATCGATCGCGCTTCTACCAGCGCTCACCGCTCGCACAACGCGTACGTATTTATATTCTCGTCATGTGTCGAAATTCTAACAGCGATCGTCCTATAGGACTGCTTCAACCTCGGCCCACCGTCCGGAGCATTCCGCCTCGATCACTTCACCGGAGAGTCCAGTCTTCTCGACGATATTCTCACCACGTCAAAGCCCCTCTGCCAGCCGCCGCTCGTCTTTCTCATCGCCTGAGCTACTCGCCTCCGGCATTCCGGTCGGCAGTGCTCCCTTTACACCCCACGCGGGCCCCAGTAATGCCGCATACCAATACAGACATTCTTACGTGCCGTTATCCCTTTCACCGAGTCCCTCCATCTCCCCACGGGCCGTCTCTCTGACTCCGTTCGACGTCGACGCGATCCCTCGATCCAGCCCTCGCAGGCCACGCGCCCCAGGCCGAGGCAAAGCCGCCGGCGAACCGCACAAGACCGCGCGGGACAACGAGCCCCCGCCATTCAATCTTGATCCTGCGTCCTTTACGATCTTACAGAACCAGATGTGGGTACCGCGTGCGGATACACCTACGGCGATGATCTGTCACTGGGGCCGCTGCGGGCGGGAGATCAGCACGGCTGATGGCGAGATTCCCTCGCACCTCGTCAACGCGCACGGGCTCTCGCAACAGCACGATGCTAGCGTTACGTGCCGCTGGGTCGACGAGACTACCGGCAGGATATGCGGCGTCGCGATGACCTACCACAGCGCGCGGCAACATGTACTGAGGCATGTTGTTCGGGTACATCGGGGCGCGTGCAGGAAATGCAGGAAGACGATGAAGGAGAAGGGGGGAATGAAGAGGCACTTGAAGATGTGTCTGAAGAACGCCACTGTATCCGAGATGCTGGAGTTTGGCGTCGTCGTGGTGTTGCCGTCGCCTGGGAGCGACAGCACACAGGCGGCATGTATTATTGCGCCCCATCAAGCTGGCTCGTAGGGGCGACCCGTAACGTCGAATCGATGGATCCCTTTGTTATCGCCCAATGCTCTCGCAATGCTATCTGTTACACTGCTTCGGTGCCTGTTGCCTTTGTACTCACTTCCGGAATCGTCCCGTCATTTGCCCTTGACTTGCTTGGAATTCTTCAGGGCGTTGTTGTATCATCTTCACTGCACCTTCTCCTACGCCTTTTACAGACAATGTGACCTCACCGAGGATATATATTAGTTGAGCGCCATGGGCGACCTTTTTAGGTAGAAGATACAATTTTGGGTCCGATATGTAAGGACTGTTGTGTAATCGGACCCTACCTATTGGCGGTGCATCTATGATACATAGATACATAGATCGTGCGTACGCCGCCAAACGCCCTGCAGCAATGGATATCCGGAAAGGTACGTAGAGCGGGTTGCCAGCACATGCTAGACAAAGTTGAAATAAGTCCCGCCTTCCAGCGGACGTGGTCCGCCGAGATGAAGCACACTCTATTCACTGACGCTTAGATCATCCTGTCGCGACCGTACTGAACGACCACACAAAACGCGGACTACCGTATTCGCTGTGCAACCGATACGACCCAGGATGAATTTCGAGCGTCAATTGTCCAAGCTGATCACGAACAAAAAGGTGCGATCGCGGAAGAGACGCATTGGCCTCGTTGCAGATCAGCGATCTTGTCCATCATTCTTCGAATGCAGGAGCGGAAAAGAGCGAACGCCAGCAAAAAAAGTTGCCAGTCGAGACTTTCACATTGGTCGTTTTAGGAAGCAGCATTACAGTTTGCGGAGGACAAGGTTCAATAAGGTTGGTTGCTTGCCATGCATGATGATGATGGTGGCCGAGGACAAGAGGCGCCCGGTGTGGACCACGAGCCGGAGACTCGGATTTCGGGCCGGACGCATCTTTGCCCCGCGGCGCTTGGTGCGTTCACACCCTCGCTTGTTTCTTGTTCTTACCACCACTATAAGGCCCGTTTCCGTCAAAAGCCTGCCCTTCTACTCATAATCCCTTTTATCGGGCAGAGCCTGTATGCTAAGAATGGATTCTGGGAATATAACAAGAAGTGAGTGGTATCCAACGTCTACGGGCACGCGCCTCGTGCAGTATCAGAGGACTAACGTTGTGCTGGCTCCAGGATCTCCACTATTGCGAAAGGAATCGTTGCACACTCTTCCATACGACTTATTGCTATCTATCATTCAATACCTTGATACATCGGACATTTGCTCACTCCACCTCGTACGCGTCACCTCACTCCATTCTATACGCCCCCTTCACGCACAAGACTGATTTCGATCTGGTTAGACCGCTCGCGTGTTCGAACACGTCGTCAAGTCTCCCCCGGCGCGACGTACACTCGCCCTAGCTATCCTCTCTCGCTGCCGACCGTTGCCATTACAAGGTTTCAAGCGCCTCACGGACCTCTCCGGAGATGAACTGTTCCGCAATATCGTGCGCGCGACATTGTTAGAGCGCGGATGGACACGGCGCACCCCGCGCCCTGCACAGAGTGCGCCCCTGGAACCTAGTCCGGATGGTGTGGTACCTTGGTACAAGATCGTAAATTCCCCGGCGGAGGAAGGCGTGGACTGGCTTTCGCCCATCACGCCGAATTACACGCTATGTTCAACGCGCTCCGGTCGGGTATTGTGTTGGGATATGCTCCGGGATGTCAAACTGGCACAATGGGATCCTGGTGAACGTTGGGCTCTCTGGAAATGTAGGATCGAGTACACCCAGCAGATGGTGTACCTGGCCATGGCGCGGTCAACCACAGCAAAGTGAGACCTTTTCAACCATCAACATCATCAAAGGAACTAAAGTGGCATCCAGCATTGATGAAAGGAATATGGAGTTCAAGCTCATGCGCATCAACTTCTCCGACAAGACGTCGGATACATTGCCTGCGTTTGATGAGATCCGGACGTTCGTCTCTGCGGGAGCTGTGATGAACGTTTTCCTGCTCGATCCTATACGTGGCCTTCTGGCTTCGTTCGTGTGGTTACGCACGACCAATACCATTGGTCTATACGTCATGCCGGACTGGGAGGAGGACGCATACGTCTTTGTCGATACAGGGCTACAATGCGTAAGTGCAAATACCTCTGGCCAACGCTGCCTATGTACTTACCGAAGTATAGGGCCTTTATGGCATTTGGTCATGTATTCTCGACAATGATGACATTGTCATTCACAACGAAGACGGGCCTTTGGCGCGACAATACGTCTATCCGCTATCTTACCTCCTCAAACACGCCTCGATCTCCCCAGCAAATGAGTGCCCAATCGTCTCCGGCCCTCTATCTCCTTACCACTCTATAACGCGCACATTCACATACCCACAACTCCCTCCCTCGTCATACCAACCGCCCTTTCCATCCGAGATGATCGGCACGCAGAACCTCAGCAACAACGATCCTCATCTCGTACAACTCGTTCCACCGCCTGGACCTATCAGGCCTTCTCCTGGAGAGCCGCTCCCCGATCCGTTTCCTGCGCCATGGTTTCCGGAAGGTGCGAACTTCGTGCGGCAGTGGTGGCCGACTCTACCGGACGTACCCAAGATTAGCTGTTCGGCCGTACTTTACGCATTACACGACCATCTCACGAATAGGACGAAGTACGTGCTGTCGCAGCACTACTTCTGTGTACCTATGGCCCCGTCCGTCAGCAGATCAGACCCGGAGGACGATATGCTGCTGCGCAAATGGTTCGTATCCGACCCTTTCGAGGTTGTCTGTGTACAGGATGTGTTCGACGGCGACGAAGGAGGCGGTGCGGGAAGTGATGAGCGCCTTCGGCCACTACTAGCTGTTGACTTCGGTCTGGCTGTGTGGTTGGAGTACGTCGATGAGCCGGCAGTGAGCGATCGCATGCGCCTACGGTGCGTCGCGTTCCCGTGTGTACGCTCCGACGGCGAGGGGCATCTTGTCGCGACGAGAGCGGAACGCACCATCATTGGTGGCGAGGAGGATCCGGTACAAGAGGTCGACGAGAACGGCGAGAGGTACTGGATGGAAGGTCGTGTACGGACATTGGAGGTTCCTCCCGAGCTTGATCTCAGACATGTTGAGAGCGTGAACGTCGATCAGAGCCAGGGGGCCGTGATCCTGTCTGTGGACGACGGGAAGATATATGTCATATATTATGAGTGAGCCTGGGCACTGGAGCCTGTATCCTAAACTTTGTCCTCCACCATCATCACTGTAGCCTAGCATTATCACCATGTTATACCACTACCTTTGTCACGGATCAAAGGCTCAAGCGCTCGTGGCGGCTCAAGCGCTCACTGGCATGCATTATCCCACATGCATTCTACCTCGTCGGCGACAGCGCGACAGATACCAAACAATTGTACATGTTTTGTCTATTTCACAATGGTAGCAGCATCTAGGGCTCTGTCAACGCCTTCTACTTATCTGCGACTTGGGTCACCTGTGTTCGTCGTATGAGTTCTGGCATGGCGGGTGGGAATTACTGTCGGCTTGCTCCGGTGATGCGCGGGTCGTCCTGGGGCCGAGACTGTCGCCCCGAGGGCTCCCCAGTTCGAACGCTCACCATCCACGGGGCTGTCTATGCCACTCGCAGAGATAGCGTATAGCTTTGAATTCACGCTTAACCACTCATACGGTGCAGCGATATGACCGCATGTATAATCACTATTGGACTGTAATCTTATTGTCCTGCACACCTCAGCCTGATCTCGCGGACGTGCACTTGCCGATGGCGAGTCTTTCCCCGCGTTATTGTACGCCGCGGCGGTCTTGCCTTATAGTCCCACTCGTACCCGGCATTTCTAACTCTACTACTTTCTCGGTCTCTCATCTCTTCGGTGCTGGCCACCTTCAACGCCCCTCACTACCGCTGTCCAACCGCTCTCGTTATTCCGACTTTCCGCGGTCATAGGCATGCCTCAGGTTCCTTCTCAACCCACTCCCTACTCAATCGAATGCTCTTCATTCCCTCCGCCTATCCAAGCAGCCTCTGGTCCAGGTGCTTGGGCATTCCAGCGCGCTTTTGAATCGGCTCGCGAGCCTGTCAGATGGGCCATACGTGCGCACTTCGTCAGCGGAGACGACGGGGGGTACTGAAATCGTCTTCCTAGTCACCACTATGTGTTTCTGGGAGAACGAATGGGCTTTCAAAGGCGTTGAGGTGCCACGAGAACGGATACAGGATGCATACGATGAATCGCCGCCTGACTTGAAGGCTACTCTGGGTGCGTCTGTCGTCGCTCGATCTGCTTTCATAAACTCATGCTTCTTCTCTCGTTCAGATCACATCGTGAACCAGAGGCTTCCGTTCTACTATATGAGCGAGGGGGACCGGCGCTGCCATGATCTATATCGCACTGGACGTATGGAAGAAGCGGAGACGACAGCGTTATCCACAGAGAACTTCGTGCGCGAATTCAACTCTGCTGTGGAACCTGTTCGCGCGGCTGTCTGTGAGTGAGAATCACACTTGTCCTCCGGAGTCGAGTCGAGACAGAGTCCATCTAGTGAAGACATTCGATGACTGGGCATTTTTCGAAGAACATCGTGAAATCAGCCCGGTTCCAGAAGCAAATCTTGCACAAGCTTATGCAGCCGCTTGCGGCGATCTCAGGATAGTCGTCAGTACGTACACGTTGTCAACATCACTGCGCGAGTGCCATGGGGTTGTTGACCTACTTTATGCATAGGCTGGATTCTCGCGACCGGATGGATAGTTCCTGTCTTCAATCGTAAGGCGTTCGAGCTATACCAGTCTTCTGTGCATCGCAGAGGCCGATATCATGTTACAAACCACATCAAGATGCACGCTCTGAATAGGCTTGAGGGTATGTATTGATGAATGCGGATCTATAATTATACAATTTTGCCTGCGGTAACAGATTATACCCTACCGTATATACATGTGTAACGCGTTTTTACTAGTACTAGTCTATTGCCGTCAGTTACGCCACAACATCTATGAGGGGAGGATGGATGTCCCTGAGCATGACGGTCCCTTCGGTTTTAGTCGTAGGAATTGTGAATCGAAACGCCATCATGCAAGAGCAACAACACTAGGGCGAGTCAAGGCAGGGGATGCTTTGGGCGACGTGACTGGAGTCCTCAGAACGTGTGCAGTCCTGTGAGAGGGCCCCGCGGTACCGGTAGAAAGAAGACATTCTCGGCGGTCGTCGCCCATATTTATCGATCTGGACGGTCTCTCGCACTATGAGAACATCATGAGTAACCGGGCGGTTGCGGAGGTGGATCAAATTATCCCTACCTTTGTTCAAGCACAGCACAGGATCGCTCAGGTAGTCATTGAATGAAAATGGCACCGTTCGCAGATGTACTTGGATCCCACCCGAATCAGCTTCCCACGACACAGATGATGCGCCAATATGACGCGCGGGCTTCAGCGCTTCAGCAGTGAGGCCAAAGAGCCCGAAGATGACGAACGAAAGCGCTGACGCTGTCCAATTGTAGACATACTGGTCCGCGAGGTACGTCCCGAGGATTCATGAATACGGTACGCCGACCGGACCCCGCTACGAGTGTACCTGCGATTATGCAGTTGGGAGGGGTGGAACCTGCCTGGTGGAGGGTGGCAAGAGTAGTTCTAGCTTGGCTGGTGGGAAACACGTTCGGCTTGCTCCGGTGATGCGCGCCGGGCGCTGCCGGGCGCCCGCCCTCCGTGGCCGCGACCGCGACTGTCGCATCGAGGGTTTCCCAGCCTGGAAACTCACCGCCCATGGGGCTGCCCATTCTACTGGTATACATGGCGTATAGCATCGATAGCAAGCTAGACCGCACATACGGTGCAGCTATATAATCTCATGTTCGATCGTCATTGGGCCATACTCTTATTGTCCCGCGCACCCCAGCCTGATCTCGCAGACGTGCGCTTGCCGATGGCCAATCTTTCCTCGCGTTATTGTACGTGGTCTCGCCTTATACTCTCAGTCGTCGTCGGCATCTCGAACTCGAGCTCTCTCTCGCCCTCTCTCCTCCACGGTGCGGGACACCTACGAACGCCCTTGCCCTCGCTACCGCTATCGTCACTCTAACTTTCCCTTGTCTCTCGTCATGCCTCAGGTCCCTTCTCGACCTCCTCCCTACTCTATTGAGTGCTCGTCATTCCCTCCGCCCATACAAGCCTCTGCCGGTTCAGATGCTTGGGCGTTTCAGCGCGCTTTCGAGTCGGCTCGCGAGCCTGTCAGATGGGCTATACGTGCGCACTTCGTTAGCCGAGACGACGGAGGGTACTAATATGGAGTCACAGTCACCACTATGCGTCGTTGGGAGAACGAATGGGCCTTTAAGGATGTTGAGGTGTCACGAGAACGCCTACAGGACGCATACGATGAATCGCCGCCTGACTTGAAAGCAACTCTGGGTGCGTATGTCATTGGTCGAGCTGCCCTCATAAACTCATGAATCCCCTTACTTTCAGATCACATCGTGAACCAAAGGCTCCCATTCTACTATATGAGCGAGGGGGACCGGCGCTGTCATGATCTATATCGCGCTGGGCGCATGGAAGAAGCGGAGACGACAGCGTTATCCACAGAGAACTTCGTGGATGAATACCACTATGCCGCGAAACCTGTTCGAGCGGCTGTTTGTGAGCGAATATTGCATTTGTCCTCCGAGTTGAGACGCGACAACTTCCATGCAGTGACCACATTCGGAGACTGGGCGTTCTTCGAAGAACATCGGAAAATCAGTCCAGTTCCAGAAGCGAATGTCGCACAAGCCTATGCAACTGCGTGCGACGATCTCAAAATAGCCATCAGTATGTTTACATCCCTGACGCCAATTTACGGGTGTCACGAGATCATCTATTGACTCTGTGTGTAGGCTGGATGCTCGCTACTGGCTGGACGGTTGAAGTCTTCAATCGCACCGTGTTCGAGCGGTTCAAGTCTTCAGTGCATCGTAGATGTCTCAATCATGCCACAGCCCACATCAAGATGCACGCTATGAATAGGCTCGAAGGTATGTATTGATGAATGCGGACCCATACCATTTTTCTGTTACAAGTAATTACCATTACCTATATGTACATGTATAGTATGTTTTGACCAGTAGTATTCTACCGACCTGCTTTCACGCAACCACGGCTATAACCATAAGAATCGTGGGCAGAAACACCATTATGCATGAGTAGCAACATTGGGACGAGTCGAGGCAGGCGATGCTTTAGACGACGAGAATGGAACCCTCAGAGCATGTATAGTCGTCCTGTGAGAGGGGGGGGCGCTACTGACAAAAGTTGAATCTTCTCGGTAGTCACTGCGGTTCATGTGTACAACCTTTGCACTACGAGGACTTTGTGAGCGGCCAGGCAAAAGTACAAGTAGACCAGATCATTCTTACCCTTGTTTAGGCACAATACAGAATCACTCAGGTACTCGTATGGTCCAATGCCAAGGAATTGTGCGATAGCCTCAAAGGCTGTAGTGTATGCTTCCGGATGCTACAAGACTCGTCACCGTCCGTACTGACGGCAGAAACAGCGAGTTCTGGCGCGGAGTGGGCAGGCGTTATAACGCGCGCAGAAGAGGGGTGCGTGGAAGGGCGATGCTGAGGAGCAGTAGGTGCGCAGCCCCGGTGAATGGGTTGCATGTGACGGCGCTCAGTCGAATGGAGCTCTTGGGTGGCACGGGCGACCAAACGTCGAGCCTGACGCGCGTTGCCAAGGACAGGCGGTGGATACACGGGCGAAGACGGGAGAGGCAGAATCGCGTGTTGAGCAGGTGCGGCGCTGCGTCCAGAAGGCGCAACATTACTTGAAGTATCGCGAGGTGGTTGAGTGTTGTTAAGTCGAGGAGTGAGCGAGCGACTGGGATACGGAGGGGTACGTCGTGGATCGCGAGGCGAGGGACCGTATATTGGCGGAGGCGATAAAGGCGCAAGCGGCGG